TCGGCCTCAGTATCGCCGCTACCAGACCGAATGTGCCTCCGTCTGTATCCCAAAGAAGACGTACGGGAGTGAACAGACGAAGCATTGGAACCTCCGGATTCGTCAATGGGGTCCAGCCAGGAACTTTGACTATTTTCTCTAGTATGGTCGATTACCCTTCGAGTCTCCGAAGCGACCGAAAAGTCAGTTCGTATGGGTCCGTCTAGTCCATCTCCGTGGAGTCCTGATGAGGGTTGTACGGTGGTAGATGCTCCATAAGAAGAAGATGCGTTCATGGCAGATGACATAACATGGTCGGGGAATCTTGATCTGACTGGTGTCCGATTGAAGGATGAATGCAGAAAGCCATGCTCAGGCGAGTGAATGGGATCTGTGTCAGGAGACTGAAGCCTCGGAGGCCGGTGTTCTTGCCGTGTCTGCTGCTGGTGTTGCTGCTGGTGTTGATATTGGTGATGCTGGGTGTGGGTATTTGCATGGGTCATTGCGTGAGGAGTCTGATTGTCTTCGCGGCCGATCCTTCTGAGAGTCGCTGTTTCCACTGTCGTCGGGTCCGCTTCACGCTCGGGTGCGTGTTGAATAATGGTCCTCCGATTTGATACCTCCTCGTCCGGATAGGCAGGGAGCGACTTGCCGTTGTGCCACAAGGAAAGCATCTGATCCAACTCGCTAATTCGGCTGCTGTAGGTACGACGCTGTACGACTTGAAGTGAGCAAGAGTGTCAAATAGTAGAAGTGACGATTGGGGTGAATGGGATGGCGAGCTGTGACGTACAATAGCTTCAAGCTTGCGTTTGTCCTCGTCGCCTGAGGTTCTTTGCAGCACCTGGTGGAGAAGCTCGCAAGCCTCGGCGTAGGCCTGGCGGGCGCCTCTGAAGTCCTGATTATTGTCCAGCAGGACAGCACTGTTCGCCTTCTGGAGGGCGCGTGAGAGCATGGCTTTCTGCGAGGGAGGCTTAGGTGCACGGGCTTTGGACGAGTCCGCACTGCTCTTCCCTGAACGGTTTCGAGAGTGGCCGTGTGGACGCTCCTCTCCATGGATATGACCCTCTTCTGAGGGGGTCATTGTGGTCGCCATGGCTGCTGAGGGCCGTGAGGATACCGATTCAGTTACTTGAGCGCCAGCGGGTAGAAGCCCGCGGCTTCCCAGGTGTAGATTCGTGGCAACGCGGGCGGCAATGGGGCGATAATGGGCTTGAAAACCTCTCCCTGGAGAACCAGGCGCTTGAGCCGTGTGGGACCCAGGGGGCTGATGGTTGATTTCAGGGCTGGTAGCAAACTTGGCGAAATGACCTAAAATCCCACTGTTGGTGCGAGTATGTTTGTGTTTCTGCACGGACGGGTTGGGCGTGAAGGATGAGGCAGTCGTGGAGGGTAGGGAGGTGCTTTGGGGAGTTGTTGTCGTCGTCGGCTTCTGGCGGGCGGTTGGCGAGCGCGGGGCAGCAGGAGGGTGCGGCACTGTGTTATCGACACTTGAATTGGTTGAACTGGACCAGCGGTCGACGTAAGAGCGGTTTCCTGGAGAAACGTCCCTGGGAGGTCGTCTCGGATCTACATTTGCACCGGAGGGATTGTGGTGGTATTGGGGGTGGCCAAGGCGCAAGAAGGTGAAGGCTTCGGACCGGTCAGTGTGGTGAGTGTCCGCGGCATGGGGAAAGGCCGACGCGGAGGCTAGGCGAGGAGACGATGTCGAATGATATGGTGTTAGCAGTGAGCCCCCGCGAGGTAGGCGTGTGGTTTGCGAATCAATGTCGAGATCGGTCTTTGGGAAATGCGATGGAAGGGGAGAGGCGGATGGGGCGGGCCTGGCGGTCGGCGGGTACAGGCTGGGATTTTCGGATCGCACTGCGAGGTGTGAGTCGTGATGCATGATCCAATGGCAGGCTAAGTCGTGGGGGCGGATCCAAGGCTGGAGCTAGTAGGTAGCAGAATTGGTTTACAATTGGTAGCCAGTCACTTGCATCGCCTGGCGCTTGGTTTCCTTTTAGTTGGGTTGCATGAGCAGTCCAGTCCCCTCCCCCTTTTTCCTCTTCGGAGAGATAATCATTTTTGGCCGTGATGCGGCAGGTGTGAGGGATGGCCATGACCATGGGGGGCGAAACCAGGGGTTGGGCAGCCTAATGGGGACGCGATGGACGATGGATGCTCTCAATTCTGTCGGGGTCAATCAGAGAGGCTTCGAATATTACTGCTAGGTATGGAGCCTTATTATGTGAGGTCTGGAAGGAAGCCATCCATTTCCTACCAACTACCTACGATACCTACTTACACCGGCCTCCGCCGAGGTGCATCTCATCAGCCACGCCTGGGTTCTCTGCCTCGTAGCAGAATGCACCGAGCACCACTGGACCACGCTCAAGCATCTACATATTGAATCAATTAGGTGGCCAGCAGCGACGAGTAGGGAAGGAGGGTGCCCTGAGTGTGTTCCTGCCAGGGCCCCGTGGGCCGTTCCTGGCCGGCGAGCAAAGGCCCCTTCACTAGTGGCGGGCACTCGCTCTAATGGATGCCATAATCTGGGGCCTGGATGTGGTCCGTGAGACTTCTGTCGCTTTTCTAGGGGATCACCTCACAGGAGGAGAGCGGCGTAGGGGTACTGGAGAGATAGGTACTTCTCCATGAGCCACATAGGTTGTACCTGCAGGCCCTGCTCACCGACCGACCTTGTCATTGGCCTCGATGCGGACGACTGATCCGTGCACGTTTCTGCCTGAGTTATGCAAGACCATAACAGTCAGCAAGTACCGACACACCACGAGGTACATAACATGAGCCGACTAGTCGCGGCTAGGTACTTGAGTACCTGAGCAGTCTTAGCCGCGCCGCGCCAAGACTTGGAGCTCTAATGCGTCGCGCTTGAAATTGTATCGTCATCTCTGTCAATCGATGCACTGCTTCTAGCAGCTATTCTTGATTGCGTTTCCCTATCCTCACCTAGCCGCAGGGATTGAGAAAACAATGGCAAGTGTCGATGACATTTTCAAGGTACGTCACCTACATCTCAGAATCATTCAGGCCTGCCAAATTCTAAATGCGCTCGATAGAATTCCGGCCTGTCCAGTAAGCGGAGGCTTGATCCCATCCGAGATCCCAGTAAGTACTCATTGCCCGAATACATGTGCCTTGAATGGCTTTTCTTTCAATCTGTAAACCTAATATGATGTCTTTTGCGTATTCAGATGAGATCTACAAAAGCGCAAAATTAGATTCTCGCCGCCCGAATAGACATGCCCAGGTCGAAGACGCCGATGAGGATATCGAGGCTGGACCAGCTCTACCTCCCGATGACGAGGAAGAATACGGACCCTCCATCCCCATCGACGATGAAAAGGGTGACGACGAGGAAGGTCGCTTCTTTGGCGGTGGAATATCAAAGCAGGAATCCGAGATCCTCGATTTTGTAGAAGGCGCCGACAACGGACGAGAACAGGACAAGATTGATGGAAGCTGGCTGCGCAGAACAGCTCTAAATTTTGAAAAGCATATCGCCAAGAATGCTGAACTGCGCGCGAAATTTGAATCGGAGCCACAGAAGTTCATAGCGAGCGAAGCCGATCTCGATGCCGACATCAAAGCTCTGTCTATTTTGGCAGAACACCCCGAACTATTTCCCGACTTTGCGTCTCTTGGCTGCGTAGGCAGTCTTGTCAGTCTTTTAGCACACGAAAATACCGACATTGCAATAGATGCAATTGAGATCATCGGCGAGCTCACAGACGAAGACGTGGTTGCTGAGGAGGCGCAGTGGAATGCTCTGGTCGATGCTCTTCTAGATGCCGATCTACTTAGCCTCATTGTGTCCAATTTTTCTCGCCTAAACGAAGAAGACGAGGCTGACAGGAGCGGCGTCTACTATTCCCTTGGGGTCATTGAGAACCTCTGCTCCCGAAGCGCAGTAGCAACACGAATTGGCCAAGAGGACAAGCTAGTTCACTGGTTACTTGACCGTACCCAAAGGAAGGAACTCGCCGTATCCCAGAACAAACAATATGCCGCTGAAATACTTGCAATTCTCTCTCAAGCATCAGCGGAGAACCGCGGTAAGCTTATTAAGCTTGATGCGATCGATAAAATGCTTCAATTAGTCGCATCCTACCTCCGGCGAGATCCTGAAAAGGGAAGCGAAGAGGAGGAGTACATGGAGAACCTTTTCGAGGCGCTCACGTGCCTCGTTGACGAACCTGAAGGCAAGACCAAGTTCATAGAGGCAGAAGGTATTGAGCTATGTTTGCTCTTGTTCAAGGGTGGCAAGATGAGCAGATCTCCTGCCCTTCGTCTGCTGGACCACGCTACTGCCAGCAAGACAGGTACAGAAGTATGTGAGAAGCTGGTGGATGCAGGCGGCCTCAAGAGTACATTCACGCTATTCATGAAATCCCAGGATCACCGTCTCTTGAGCCATCTGCTCAATATTTTTGCCTCCATGCTCAGGCTTCTCCCTGCCAATTCAGCGGAAAGGATTCGCTTACTGGCCAAATTTGTCGAGAAAGATTACGAGAAACTGCGCAAGTTAACGAAGCTCCGATACGATTATAGCCGTCAGATCAAGCAAGCCGAGGAGAAAAACAAACAAGAGCGGCTGTCTTCGAAGAGGGAGGATCAAGAAGAGTTGGAAATCGAATGGTTGTCTAGAAGACACGATGCTGGCCTCTTCATCCTACAGGCCATCGACGTGATTCTCGCATGGCTGTCTGCTGAGGATGGTGGGGCAAGTCGCATAATCAAGCAGCTTCTTGCAGAACGGGATGAGACTGTCGCAGTTATCAAAGCAACACTCACGGAGCAATTAGAAGCCTTGGATACGGAGGAAGAGGATGGTCGAGATTTAAAGGATATGTTAGGTACGCTCGTAGAGTTACTACGCTAGTTGTTTATGAAAACATTGAATCCATGTCAACGAGAACAACCAGAGCTCCTTCCACGCGACCTATCGAACGTTCTAAAATTCAAGGGGCCTTCCAAACAATGAATGATACGTGCCTATGCTTCTCCCCAGTAAAGATTTAGGCAGCTTGCGGGGGAGTAGGCTTGGCCTCCAGAACAGCAGAGAGCAGGTTCTTGATCACACCGGCCTGTCCCTTCTTCCCAGCCTCCTTGATGGTCTGGATTTCCTTCTCCGCCTCCTTGTTCGCCTCGTCCTCGGCCTGCTCGTTGCCTTTGCTGTGCTATAGGATCCACGTCAGCGTATGCTCGTCCAAGAACCGCCCGATGCTCTATCAGTCGATCAGACACAGTCTGGAATTGTACCTCAGCCTCGAACTTCTTGAATTCCTGCTCCTTCTGGGCTCTATAGTCGTTTATCTCCTGCTTGGCCTCATCTCGAGCCTCCTTGACACGCTTCGTGCGGACTGTATCGTGGTTGGCAACGGTAGGATTATCGGGGACTAGCTGCATTGCCGTCTAGTGCTAGCGGCCATGAGGGAACTTACATTCTCGAGCTAGAGTCATCATTCAGGTCAGCAATCATCAACACCAGGTGTGAGGACAAAACGAGCAACACCTACCCTTCTGGACGATCTTAGAAGCTTCCCGCTCGGCCTAGATGAAGTCAGGTAAGCTGCCGTGCTGCTATCCATATTACAGAGATGGACGCGGATGCCTACATCGAGCAGGGTCTGAATGCCGGACGAGTTCTGGGCAGACTATCGAGAGGTTAGAGCAAATCGCTGAGCTTCAGCCAGGTCCATCACCGACCATTGTGGGGTTGAGAGAAGGGACAAGAGTCCCCGAGACAACTTCGGATTCGAAAAAGACTAAGGGCGACAAAGACAAGAGAGCTGAGGTCGAGGTGCCGGGATGCGATGCGAGATGGCGAGGGCGAGGCTGGTGCGTTCGTTTGATGGTAGACACTCAAGAGAGATGCCAGGCCCCGTGCTTGGCCGCTTGACGTAGCGCATAGCGACCGAGATAGTACAGGATAGGTACCTCGGTGGCAGTAGCTTTCAGTGCTAGGACCATGTACCTCGTGGGCCCCACGGCTCTGCACTACTATCGGCTAGAGCTTATGCAATTTGCACAACGCCAAATGCACGTCATTCTCCAAACCTCTGGTAGATTTCGTCTCTGAGCTTTACTAAGATAATGGACCTTAACACGACAGACTGACATTGCAAATGCGCATTCACGTACAACAGCATAGAGCCTAGCAATCCAACTTCACATCCGACCTACCCATTCGCACCGAAAATCGCAGGCCTTCTCCAATTGAGTCCGACCACCACCATGTCCCGCGCCTCGAAAATGACCATGGTCGGTTCCGGCCTCTTCGCCGCTGCCACCATTGTCTTTGTCCACTTCCAACAAAAGGCGGAGAAAGAAGTATGCCACACTTCCTTGGAATACACCCATTGGCCAGCCTCTGCCTCCACGGACTGAGCTAACAACGCCCACAGGCGATGCATCAAGGCGTAGTACGAGATATCGAGCAACAACGTATCAAAGCTGAGCGTCAGCTGGATTTCGACATGCAGCGCGCTCTTGAAGCAGAGTATAAACGAGACCAAAATGTCCGAAGTTCATTAGAGCCAAACGACAGCAGTGCACAAACACCGTCAAGATAGAATGTCTCGCCAAGCACTTCCATACATGCACGACAATTCAGCCTTGTCACATCCAACGAAGAGAAACGAGTCGAAATTGCATTCTCAGGCAAAATACTGTACAATAATGCGAGGGCCTATAGTCATTCTATGCTCTTTTTTTTCGCTATATGGAGTCTCCATCATCGCCGCGACCTCCCATCCAAATACGCCGGCCTTCATCCGAATTGAAATGCTGTCTGTAAAGAACGTTCATTACTTATCTGTGTATTAAATTATCCCCCCTCAAACCAATGTTTTTTTTTAGCGAATCGAAACGCCAGACCTGCTGGTAAACATTCTTGCGGCGATGTTCATGGCCTGGAGCTCCTGGAACAGAAGCTTAGCAGCGTACGGAATATGGATCTGGGCGATCTTGGTTTTGTTCTTGCAGGGTCGACATTCAAACGATTGTTTGGAAAGATTGCTGTCGCGGGTATTAGCATCAACTCATATGTAAACTTGAAGGAGAAATTTGATCGTGATCATGATAGATCGTCGGAGAAAACTTACGCAATTGGTGTCATCAGCCCACAAATCTCGCAGACGTGAACACGGAATGCATCAGAAACTTCAAAGAGACGCTCCTTGAGGAAAGCAGCGGCACCATGCGCGATCATACAATCACGTTCCATTTCTCCGAAACGAAGACCACCATCTCTTGCACGACCTTCCACAGGCTGTCTTGTCATGATCTGAACTGGTCCTCGAGCTCGTGCGTGAATCTTGTCGTCCACCATGTGACGAAGACGTTGGTAATATGTTGGGCCAAAGAAGACTTGTGCACGTAGCTTGCGTCCGGTATGGCCATTGTACATGATTTCGAACCCACGAGACTGGTAGCCATGCTTCCTGAGGAGATCTGAAACTTGATCGACGGTAACGTCTGTGAAGGGGGTGGCATCACCCTCCATACCTTCCAGCGTCGCCACTTTGCTAAGCAAGCATTCAATCAAATGGGCAATTGTCATTCGAGATGGAATAGCGTGAGGGTTGATGATGATATCTGGCGTAACACCTTCTCGAGTAAAGGGCATGTCCTCTTGTCGATACGTGACACCCACAGTACCCTTCTGACCGTGACGAGAGGCAAACTTGTCACCAATCTGAGGAATCTTGGTGGTACGCACACGAACCTTGACATACTTGACGTTATCAGCGTTGACGGTCAGAACGACAGAGTCAACAATGCCGTTTTCTGTGCTTCGGAGTGGCGTCGAGATATCTCGTCGTTGGTGTGCCGTGGTCCTGGTTCCCAAATCCTGGTTGTCAGGGTCGATTGGCGCTGTTTTGCCGATAATGATATCTTCTCCGGATACACGCACGCCAGGTGCCACAATTCCATCCTCGTCCAGTTTATCGTATGTGCCGTGTTTCATTCGAAGGGTGTTTGGCTGGAACGGTTTCTCGAAAACCTCGGTATAGTTGAGACCAACCTTCTTCTCCTGATCCGAATAGGATCTGAAAAAGAGACTTCGGAACAGGCCACGATCGATACTGCTCTGGTTCATAATGACGGAATCTTCCTGGTTATAGCCAGAGTAGCAAGAGATTGCTACAATAGCATTCTGACCGGCAGGCAACTCTCGGAACTTGAGGAACTCCATGGATCGAGTTGTTCCCAGAGGCTTCTGAGGATAGTACAGAATGTTTGCCATGGTGTCCATGCGGCGAGAATAGTTGGTGAGGAAGAAGCCCATGGCTTGTTTACCCATAGCAGACTGGTAGGTATTACGGGGAGACTGGGGAACGAGGTCAACGTCCACTCTTGGAAATCTCTCTGCTCATAGCGAAAAAAAAGGCAACTTACTTGATTATGATCCGGGAATGGGATAATACTGGCGCAAATTCCCAAAATCATACTTGGATGAATCTCGCAATGAGTGTACATGTGCGTGGTAGGGTTAGTCTTCGTTCGCAATCTTTGATTAGGCTCGGCTTCCAAACTCTGCTCAACATCATAACCGAGCTTTTGGATCCGGTATGTCTCCAAATCTTCAGGTGTCATACAGATCATCGCAGTCTCTTCTTCTTCGGCATCCAGATATTCAACTGCACCCGCACCAATCAGACGGTTCCACCCAGATTTAGACTCTCCTGTTTCACGCTCGGACAGCTCCTTGGCGATCTGGTTTACTAGATCTTTGTTGAGGACCAGAGAGCCCTTGGGAGGATCACCAATATTGGTCTCTTCCTGCTGAACGGTGAAGACAGGACGCATCACACGGCCAGCATCCGAGAAAATCTTGAACTCACGATCTCGGATATCACGGACCAGTGATACTTCGTAAGGCAGCAAAGATTGACGACGGAGGTCAACGACATGGCTAACCAAGTGCTTCGGATCTTGATGAACACCAACCCAACTTCCGTTGATGAAAATCTTGGTAGCATGAGGGTACCTCAGGGGCTCATATTCTTCAACAACCTCCATTCCACGATTGATCATGAAATCGATCAAGGGTTCGGATGGAGATCCCACACTCACATAACACATCAAAGATAAGTTTTTGACCAGACCACAAGCCTGACCTTCGGGGGTCTCGGCAGGACATACCAAACCCCAATGTGTATTGTGCAGTTGGCGAGGCTTGGCCAATTTACCATCTCGGCCAATAGGGGTATTTGTTCGTCGCAAATGGGACAGGGTTGAGGCGAATGTGTACCGGTTAAGAACCTGGGACACACCAGCAGTGGAGCTCATAGCTTTCTTCTGGTCACCCCAATTACCAGTGGCCAAAGAGTACTTCAAACCATTGGAAAGAGTGCCGGGCTTGACACCAAATGCCAAATTGAAATGTCGGTTGCCCTCAACGCATCTTCGCAAATAGGTCGAAAGCTCGTTGTTGAGCCTACGCATGATGTTGCGGAAAAGCTTCGCCAACAATGGACCAGCCAGATCAAGACGCTTTTTACCAAAGTGATCACGATCGTCAGGTTCTCGCCTTCCTAGAGCGCACTGGAGAAGCTTGTGAACCATGTAACCCAAGAAAAAGGCTTTTCTGGTCTCACTACCCTCGTTTTGTGAAATATGAGGCAGGGTTTCCTTCTGCAAGATGTCCCTTGCCACACGGACACGCTTCTCTCGTCCAAGACCTGCCTGGTCTCGATTGCCTCGCTTGCCGATGAAGTCAAGCGCAACTTCTCTGTCTTGGACACAGAACGCCTCCTCAATACAGGGTCGTAGCATTTCGAGCATCTGGGTGTCGTTACGGTCGTAGCAGATGTGGTTCAGGATATCTTCATCCGAGACCACACCCAGCGCACGGAAAACGATGGCAACGGGGAGATCGGACTTGACAAATGGGAGTGTAGTATGGATGGTTTGGCCGAAGCCACCACGAGCCGAGTCACCCTTTCCGTAGAGTTTGAGCATAAGGCTAGAAATGAGGCGGGATCCCTTCTCCAAAGCACTCCTGATCTCGGCCGTATACGTATAGGGACTGGGCTGTGCCTTCTTGAACACTTGGACAATGTTTGCAGCGGAACGTTCTTGGGCGATAAGAACCTTCTCACTGCCGTTGATAATGAAGTAGCCACCTTGGTCATAGGGGCACTCGTTGACGAGGAAGAGGCCATCATCGGGCTCATCATTCAAGTGGCAAATCTTAGACTTGACCATGATAGGAAGCCGGCCCACGTACACGAAGTCCTTCATGCTATCTCCCTTCTCATTGTCCCCATCTGCTTCTTCTGTTTCCCACTCAAGTCTTGTGGGGTGTTGTCCAGTTGCCGCCATCTCTGACTGCTGGGCGTCATCAAGCTCGTGGAGCGGGATCTCTTTATCCACTGCAACGGATACCTTCTTTGAAATCTTGATGTACATAGGACTTGCGTATGTCAAGTTTCGGTCGCGGCATTCGTATGGGAGGAGAGATGTGGCGATACCGTCCGTTTCGCTGATAGTAGGTCGTGAAACCAAAACTGATCCGAATTTTATTTCGTATCGTCGTAGAGAAATCTCCCGGTCTGCTGTGGATGGAGGATTCGGCTGATCGAGTGTAATGGTACTGTACTCGTTCACGAGATCTTGGATAGTGCTCTGTGTGAATTCATCGAAGGACTGTGTCTGCTGGGACACAAGACCTTTGGACTCGAAAAACGAAGAGATAACGGTCCAGCAGTCTTCGGGAGTGATGCCTTCGGCATAATCCTCTCCGTAGTTCTCGTAGTCGTAGTCATTCTCGTAATCGGCCATGGTTACTGATTAGTGGGCAGCAGAATAGCTGCGCCTGTTTCGTTTCGAGTCGGGGGGTATAGATGTATTCGGACGGTTGGCGAGAAGATCCAAAATCGCAAGGGGCGATCGAAAAGCAAGGCTGGTCAGAACCGGGCCACGCACCTGATCACCGCGTGAGCATCGGGCGAAGACCTTAAAGAAACCAATGACTCCGACCTCTGGCGGCGCAGATCGCACAAGATGCAAGTGAACCTGGCCGATCAAGTACCTACGGTGAAGTAACTTGGAGGGGTGGTTGGAGAGTGAGGTGGATGATGAAAGTTGCAGAAACGCGCTGACCCAAAAGAATTGCGACGGGCGTTTGAGACAGCGAAATCAAGCTCACTCAATGCAAGGAGAAAGGTTCGGCCTAGTCCTAATTAGGCCTGGTCCCCCAAACTTCTGCCTGCTCTTTGTGTTGGCTGAATAAGCGCGGGTTCTGCGGAGTTCGCTATCTACCCTATACCGCAATCCGATATTGAGGATGCGGCACTTCAATTATCTCGACTGAGGCTAAGCGAACAGATAAACATCTTCAACTAGGTTTAGTAAGTCTACCTGTATATTTCGACCCCATTAGGAAATCTACTGTCAATCACGGGCGATTTCTGCGCTCTGTTCTTCCATTCTCTGCTTACGAATCCGACACTTCCCGGGCAACTGGTCACCATATACCCAAAATGATCATTTGATTGAAGAACAGAATACTCAATGTTCACTAAGGTACTGCTGGCTACAAAGAAAATGGGCATTACAAGTACAAGCCTAATATTGGCATATACCACCGACTTCATCATCCATTGTCCAGGAACCAGCTAGCCCCTTGACCTCCACATCCTCTGACTGGAGAGAGAGTCCATCATCCCCCTTCCCCATGAAGAAGTCACCCTGGCCTTCGGCTCTAATTTGTCGCTTCATGAAACGCCTGGCCCAGTCCTCGACTGCGGGCTCACCGGTCTCATCACGTGCTTGCTTTAAGAATGGAATCAGGGCTGTGCCGCCAGTCCCTTTCTGGTCACCGCGGTTCGATTCCTTGCGCGAAGCGACTGCGAGATTGAGACGCTGTCTCGTAACCTCAGGACTGCGGGATCGACTACGGGCGCGGACTTCCCGTGATGGGGTAATGATGTATCTTGTGACGATGGCGATGTGCTTATCGCGGAATGAGCTCAACATGGAGAGGCAGGCATCGTATGCAAGGCTGAGTTGAGAATCCTGCTGGTTATCGTGCACGAACTCTCTGATGTTTGACACTAAAGACACATCGTTTAGGAACCGAGCATGAGGGCCGGGCATATACTGCCTCATTTCGCGGATGAAGTTGTGCCTCTGAGACGGTTCACGAGCAGCAGCGGGAGACGAGTCCTGTTGCTTGCCTGTGGGGCGGTGCTCAATACCCAGTGCGACATCGAAGAACTGGATCAAGCTACTCTGCGCATTACTCCCACCACTGTACTGTTGATAGATCTCGTTGCCACTTCCATCTTCATAGATAACCCCGTGGGGTAGACCAGCTTCACCCATGTTCTTGCTCCCAGCAAGAAAAGGCCGGATGCGATGGTAAAATACTGTTGGGTCACAACTTTCATGCATTCTTTGCAGTAAAGTGGTGAGATCTGTTAGCCGCTCAGCAAAGGCCCGCAGACATCGAGTAACAGTAGGGGCATCGTTGTGGCGCGCGGCGGCCATGGCAGTGAGCATAAGGGGAATGATGGGCGCGCCACGGGCTTCGATTGCCACGGACACGAGATAGAACCACGACTCATCGGTAGAGCCGGTAAAGGTGTTGAGGGTGGCAAGGTTTTCCAAGTTATCAATGTCCTCATCCACAAACAGAGGCTTGAAGTTCCAGAGACACAAGGCTGAGTATGTAGCAACCGGAGGAAGCTCAAGGGCGTTGGAAATCTCAAGCAAGGGAATGGAGATTGACGGAGGCACCCGGTCGGCAGGTGAGTCGCCGCCCCAGATGTATCCATGGAGCATGAAGCAAAGCAGAGAGTAGGCGCGCCGCCACTCGGCGTCGTGTTCAAGACCCTCTGTAGTCAGAACCGGGAGACGATCGACAACGCCTCGCAACCGGCGACTCAGGACTAGCGCCTGAAGATTCGCGACAATGGCCTCCCATTTGTTGTAGTAAGGATCCGGGAGTCGTGTTAGTGGTAATCTCTGAGGCAAAAACCCGCGAGTAGGACTGATGCCGTAGTCGGCAAGAACGGGAATGGGTGGTAGCATCACGGCAACTTGAGTTTGCCGTTGACGGGGGATAGGAACGACGGCAACTGCCTTCTGGTAGAAGAAATGCTTGTGAGAGTGAGATCTCAGCTTGTTCTTAACAGAGTGAAGACGGAAAAACACGGATCTTGCGACGAAAACAAAACCGGTTTGCCAACACACGTAAAATGGTTTAGGTAATGCTGGGTTTTTTTCGCTCACCTGATGGTGAGCCAATAAACGGCTACTAGTGGTTCTGTAGATGGCTCGAATGGACGTTGCAAATAAATGAAAAAAAAGGAAAAAGGAGGAGAAAAGGAAGTTCTGGGCTGAATGGGTTGACGGGGTACGGATTGAAGGAAGGGAAATCCAAATAGGTCCCTGGGGCAGTAGTTTTAGGCCGAGTTGACAAACTCGTCGGAGTAAAGGATATTTGTCATTGGCAAAATAATCGAGGAGACGAAGGTTTCATTGTCGATTTATAAGGTCTAACTTGAAGAATAGAGCTGGTTGTGGGTACTTACTACCTATGCACCACACCCGTTACGTGTGTGCCAGAGTCATACGATTAATAAATGTAATGAGAGAACATAGTTTTCTTACCTCCTTCACACAGCGAGGTCGGAGCGGGAAGAGCATGCTAAAATCGAGGCTACCTGTAGAGTAACTCAGTTGCGGAAGGGCAATAAAGTCTTACTAAGGACCGGTAGAATCGCGTAGTCGAGTTTTAGAGGACTTGACAAGCCACGGTCTCCGGTGGCACTCTGTTATAGCTACCATATAATAAGCGATGAGATAGTTGAAGGACCAGTTGTCTCTTGAATGGGCGAACTCTCACACCTGTTGTTCTAGCACCTTTCAACATGAGCACTGGTCGGGGACTTGCTGGTCAAAGAGTTTACATGTAGGAGGTAGACAATTGACAAGTGGCGAATCACCTTGGTTCGAGTGGGCTCAAGTACCGGGTACCTACTAATGTTCTGCATCTTAGCGGCAGGCAAGAGGTACCTTACCTACATTGGCTCTGCTCCACTGCGCTACCGGGTAGTTGGGTGTATGAAGCTTGTCATGGCCACTGACTGATGGGGCGCTGCTCAACCACCCTCCAATTACGTAGTGCCCGTCGGGTGGTGGTGTCAATAGCTTCATCTACTCCGACCTCTGCCTATCTTTATCCCATCCTGCGCACAGCTCCGAGCTCGCCCTTCCCCGATCTGTCGCCTTGCCAAGGACCACCTTTCGGGCTCACCAACGAGAACAGATTAAAATTCTCTACTGGAATCTCAACTTGCAGAGCAGAGCATCCATCGTTTTGGCGTGCGGCGATTGAGTCCCGTGCCAAACTGTGGTGATGCCTGTTCCGCAACATGTGTTGAACTGGCTGTATAGCGTCCTTACAAGTGTTAGACTACCCTTCGCATGATACCTCTGCTTTATCCTTCCCTATCTGCTACCCCGACGCACCTATATCTACCTAATTCAGGCTAACCTGCCCCTCACAGGAATACCACGATGTAAACCGCACCTACAACGACGTCGCTCATGCGCTCTCTCGCTACTCCACCCTCTCCCCTCGAACCGATGTGCACAGTAATATACGCCCTATAGCTATTGACTCTCAAGTTAGAAGGAATTATGATTGATCTGGTGCAACAGCCTTCCCTAATGGCGCGAGCGCCCTCTTACTTCACCTCTCGGGTACCCTCCCCGTCGACTTCCGCGGCAGTACTTATAGATTCCCCGTCTCGATATGGGTTCCTCATGCCTATCCCAAGGAACCACCTACGGTATATGTCACGCCTACAGATAAGATGGTGGTCCGACCAGGCCAGCATGTCGACCCTCAAGGACAAGTATATCACCCATATCTAGTGAGATGGGCCGAATTTTGGGATGTATGTCTTGTAGTTATGCCGACCCTTCAAACGAGAAGAACTTGTATAATGACTCTTTTACCTTGGGTTAGAAATCAACACTTCATGATTTCCTTGCGATATTATCAGACATATTTGCCAAGGAGCCACCCGTCGTCTCGCGCCAGCAGGTATCGCCGGCGCATGCTCAACCATCGCCAGTACAATCTCCGCCACCGGTCCCGCCACTTCCTCCAGAGATGGCCCCAAGACCCTCAAATGTCCAGCAGTATCATATACAACAGCAAGAACAGCATGATCGGCCTCCCCCGCCCCCTCCCCCACCAAAGACATCGCAAGGAGCCCCGATCGCCTACTCTTCTCCCTCATCTTCTCACGAGAGTGGACCTCCATTGCCTCCGATCCCCCAGTCCTCCTCGCCTGTAAACCGGAAACCCTCACGATATGATTCAGCCCCTCCACTGCCGCCTCAGATACAGAGCCCACCTGTTGGTACTATGAATGTGAATGCTGAGTATCAGCATGCTGTGCAATCTCGACAGCAATCTATGAGCCTACCTCCTGGGCCTAGTATAGGATCAAATCAGGGTCTTCCTATGCCTATGAATCCGCCACACCTCCAGCCAGGAACCCAACAGCCTATCCCCCAAGAGTATGTACAAGGCCAATGGGGTTTACCACCGGCTTCGAGCCAGCAGCAAGTGCCACAACCGCCCTGGCAGGGATACAGGCAACCACAACAAGCACAGCCAAATCCCGAGCAGCCTCCTCCCCCGGATCTGATTGATGAACCTGTGACGTTGAACGTATCGGCCCAGTCTTCAGTTGCACCGCCGCCCATACCTCCCAACCCTGAGAAGGATGCTTTGTTGGTGCAAGCGGCACACACACTAGCGTCTATGAGGCAGCAGAGTCGACAGAAGGATGAATCCACCATGGCTGGACTTCAGGCCCAGCGGAACGCCATGTTGGCTGTGCTACCTACACTCCAGTCCGAGATGGGGCAACTGGCGCAACTATCTAATCTCCTGACATCCAACTCGTCGATCCTGCATGATGCACTGCATAAAGCGGATGGGGTGATTGAAGGATCCCGGAGGCACCCGGCACCGGATATCGATGAGCTCCTTGTTGCGCCCACTGTGGTATCTAATCAGCTCTACACACTTGTCGCTGAAGAGAGGGCGCTGGGGGATGCCATTTTTATGCTGGGCAGGGCTGTTGAAAGGGGCCGCATCTCGCCGGCAGTATTTGCCAAGATGACGCGGTCTCTAGCACGAGAGTGGTATCTGAAGAAGGCCTTGGTACGAAAGATTGGCGTTGGGATGGGCCTGACATTGTGATAGAGCGTGGCTTGCAGCGAACTCCCTAGTGATTTGGATGACAAGGTTGGGCAAACTGAGCGAGAGGAAGGGGGGGTGTCTAGAGTTTCGTTCGTGTGTGATATGTGATGAGTCTGAGACCAACCAGGGGATTTGAGAGCAAGTATTAAGGTTACGACAGTGGCTACCATGCTAGCGAGCTGAACTTGCACACACTTGTACTTGGCAAAGATTTATACATGACCATGATTGTTTTCAAGTGGTTTCTTGGGGCCACATTATGATAAGGCGAGGTTGGAATGGAACCGTGTTCCTCCACAACGGTGATATATGGTTGGTAGTGATTCCACACTGACGGATGAGGGTACTAATCGTCTTGACCAATTCTAAGGGCATTGGCTGGACAGACAATCCTTGGTTAGCTAGAGAAGTACGAAATTATGGCAGAGAGAACAAGAGGCCAAGATTGGTCCAGCATTATGGTGACCGATTCTCAGGACATTTGGCTATCACACTTCCGCCTGGAAGTGAGGAACACGTAACGGCTGAGGCGTGGAGGTCTCACAACTACCCCCAAACTATCACCATCAGCTGCAAATTAAACGATTATCACACATAGATGAATGCACGGACTAAGGAAGTCAAGTGGAGCCAATTGGCGGTAGACAGATGGGTGATAATTCGGAGGCAAAAGAACAATACTAAGCTGCCCGCCATCACCCCACAGGAACAATACTAAGACCCAGCCGCCATAAGCCCCAGAAACAAAAACCCTGCTGTCCCGGAAACTCAGGCAGGCCATGGCGGTTCAGCTTTCTGATAGTACCTGGCAGGTGAATCGTCATTTGTCTCCCTCACTCGCTTCGTCTTGTGCATGGGCTGAACTCTGAATACCCGAGGTGTGTCTAGAGTAGAGCACCACAGAGAGCAACAGACTGACTGGCAAGACTGCCCATGAGCTACCAGATCCGTTTGTGTCATTAGTAACACCCATAAAAGAGTCTGATGACTGGTGGTTCATTTGGATGCTGGTCCAGGTCGTGGTGTCTCTAGAGACACCTCCTGTATATCACAAAACGCCTACCTGGGTTTGAAGCCAGGGGGCTAGACAGCAATGGGGCGTGATGGAGCAGAACCCAAAAGAAATATGATCCAAGCCTCTAAAACTCAGTAGCTGGTTGTGAGAAAGTTCAATGAATTTCTTCAAATAGGTCCTGTCCTGCTCCAGCCTGGGCTTCGTATTGTGGACCTCCAAACTCGCCCCCCCCATTCTACGAATGATCCAGGCAACCTTCACATTGTCACAGATTTCTCCCCATTGAGAGCCTCTTCCGGCGTTTTACCTTGTATTGGATTATATTGTTTGTGTCGCTGTTTGAATTCGCGTTGTCGGCGTGTATTTGTGAGCCTCCCGAGCCTCCTTCGATCTCCGACTTTTCTTCTCTACATCGCCTACATCGCCTACATCATCTACCAAACATCATTTCATCTCCAGTGGCCATAGGAGAAATCCTCTTATTCATTGACTTCCAAGGTTCTATCCAGAGCGTTCAAACCAAAAAAGATCCCACTGTCTATATCAGTGTCAACTGCCCGCGAACCGTTCACGATGGACGGCTTCGATCCTTATATGCAGAATGTCACCTTTCTGCTCGCCGATGGCATGACTCCCATCAACGCTACGGTATTCATGATCGATGCCTTCAACTCTTATTCAATCAGTGTCAGCATCAACTATGGCGCCCAGCTGGGTGCCGCCATGCTCATGCTCATCGCCATGCTGGTCATGACGCCGTCCGCAAAGCTCCGCCGGCCCTCTGGCATCCTCCATGTCACCATACTCGTCCTCTGCATCATCCGCATGGCCCTCCTTGCCACCGCGTTCCTGTCTCCTTTCAATGAATTCTACAACCACTGGGCCGTCGACTACTCTACCATCGAGCGCCAGCACTACAACGCCAGTGTTGCCGCAACCACGTTCTCTCTTCTCCTCGTGATATTCACCGAGTTCGCCCTCATCTACCAAGCATGGACCATGGTAACACTGTGGCCCAGTGTAGCCAAATATGTCCTCTGCGCCCTTTCACTGTGTGTTACCCTCCTTACCATAAGCTGGCGTATCGCAGCCACTGTCGTCCAGAACCGGGCCACGATGACCCTCACTTCGGCAGCAGATTCGTTGTGGATCATGAAGGCCGCAGTCATAACCAATGCCATATCAATCTGCTGGTTTTGTGCCGTTTTCAATATGAAGCTCGTGATCCATCTGGTCACAAACCGCGGAGTACTCCCCTCCAGTCGAGTCCTCTCTCCCATGGAAGTCCTCGTCATGACCAACGGCATCTTGATGGTGGTACCAGGTTTGTTCTCTCCCTCCCAGATGAATTTACGTCGGTCCATTTGCTAACGAACAACCTTCCTTCGCAGTCATTTTCTCCGGATTGGAATGGGGCCACTTCGTTAACTTCGAATCCGCCTCATTGACGTTGACCTCTGTCGCCATCATCCTACCCCTTGGAACTCTCGCCGCTCAGCGTGTCTCCCAATCCTACGGAATAGCATCAGCTCAGGAAGGATCCAGCTACCGCGGCGATACCCTGCTTCCCGCAACTTCCAATTCCAACACACCGCTCAAGGGTTTCTCCAGCTTCCTCTCCAGCAACCGAACCAATTCTACACCAGGTGTCTCCATCTCATCTCGTTGTGAGGCTAGTCACCCTCATCGCGAGAGGCTAGACCCCGTCGATGTTGAGCTTGGTCGGATTGACGGTACTGTCCACTTACACAAAGGTCAGGTCAGGATCGATCATGGTATCGAGCAGCGCGAAGAGCGGCTTTAGCTTGCTTGCGTTATGGCTCGTTATCTAGAAGTTACCGAGCTACTTCTCTTGTCATCATCTTATCTTCTACATGGAATTCGAAAGCAATGAAAAACATTTCGGAGCAAGTGTTCACTTTAGCTACAACAAGAGCGCGAAAGAAGGCGTGCAATTATTTCCCTTTTTTTCTTTACCACATCACTACGAGCATGGTGCAACTAGCGAATGGTGGTGCGATCATGGACATTGAACATGATGGCCCTAGGATTTCTTCTCCTTTTATTCTTATATCAATGTACTCTATCTCAAGGCTCCTTCAAGACGGTTCTCTTTGTCACTCGATCAAGGATTAGGAGATAGACTCACTATTATACCTTTTAATAAACCTTTGATCTGGACCAGATCTACCCTCACCAACGATCCATCCATTTAAGAATGAAATACGACGGGGATTGCTTACCTCGTACCCCATGTGTTAACTCCGTCCAGCTTTTGATTGACCCTTTCATCAAACAAGTCCAATTTCTACCTTCTTTTCACTCCTAATATCTACCAATGGAACCCTCAATATGATTACCATCAGACTATGACGGGTACGAAAGGTCAACCTCCATTTCGCCGTAGGCCTTGTAAGATAGTATTTACCAGTGGCCGTCTTGGGTTCCATCAATGAGCTTGGTGCTCAAGATTGACTGTATCCCTCGTTATGATTTGGCTTCCTGCGCTTGCGATTACGGCATGCTTCACCTCAGTGGGTGAGTAGAGCTTTTGTATCTGAGAGAAGTTCCTTATGCCTGCTGTGTAATTTCTAAGACGAGATATCTAACTGACAATGGGCTGGTGTTCCATTCTTTTATCATTTCCGTCCCGACATCTTGTCCTTGCACAAACTAACCAATCGCCTCATATCAGTACCCAAGATAGGCCTTGGCTGCCTCAGCTCACACAAAGCTTCAGCCACCCTCGGTTCCCAGCTTTGACTTGATCGCCTCTCCTTATGAGACCTTGAACCGTCGTAGTGGTGAGGACGGGGGGTTCGAGGTGAGGGACCGCCTCCCACTCCAGAATGGACTGGATCAGAGTAGCGGTAATTCCGTTCGATTGAGCTGGAAGAATGGCCTGCATCATATAATCCGCGCGTGCTATCATTGATGCTAACAAACGGTCCATCCCTTGGGGAACGACCATCGACACCTCGTCTAGAATCTCGGTTGGTCGACAAATCAGGATAGAATGAACGCTTTATTCTATGTGAGCTCTCTCGGAGTAGTGATTTGTCTGAACCGCTAGACTTTGTATCAAGATAGGCAGTTGATTGCCCTTGGCTCCGATCCGGCGTCTTGGTCCTGCCCAAACTTGATGGTTGTAGTGTGCGGCTTCTTTCCCAAGAGGAGGACAATCGACGAATCGTGTCCCTTAACTTCACGCCCCTGTACTTATAGAACGATTTGGGTTGTCTCCTTGAATTCGAACTTTGAATCTTCTTTTCCTCTTCTGGTGCTTGTAGTGTCTCCCTATCGAACGATATTTGAGACACACTGCCCTGTTGGCTGAGTGATTCGAAAAGATTGATCTTGTCTTTTAGAGGAGAATGCGACTGTTTCATTGCCCAAATTCCAGAATTGTTTTTGATCGGGAGTGTAGACATACTCGTATGTGCTAGTGCTAGGGGTTTATGAGCATAGCGAGAAAAGTTTGGTACCTTGCGTTCGCTGGAAGTTCCTATGTATCTGGGCTCCTCATCTCTATTCAAGCTCATAGTTGGTGAGGGGGTTGAAGAAGTTTCTTGAGATTCAACGTCATTACCATCCTCGTCCTCCAATCTTGTATCCCCAGGCTGTTGGTGCTTTGGAGATTGAGCAGCCATCTCATTTCGGGTTAAAGTGGCTGTGATCGGCTCTTCAGAATCAAGCGTTCGTTGCCGATATTTGGATTGACTGTGGCTTGACGCAACAAGCAAAGGCGCTGGCATGTCTGAAAAGGATGCCTCGACCTCTTGCATCAGTGTCTTCCCGGGAGAATTATACGATTCGTTTATTTGTTTATCGTCAAATCCAACTACTATCGGTATACTTTCCTGCTCCATGATGCGTGCTTGTTCGCTCGGCCTGGCCCCACTACCCTGAAGTGATGTGTTGCTGTTTGGCTTGGCTTGGGGCATTGTATGGCGTTTTTGGGTAACTGGGAATGGCGATTGTTCTGATATCTCACGTCTTTCACGAGCCGAAATAGTTGACACATGCTTCGGGTGCTTCGAGGGTTCCTAACCTGCGCCCAGCCGGGCTTTCCCTGTAACCTTCCACATTCGACCCGAGGATTTGATATCGAACCCGGATTGAGGCCCTGGATCGTAATCTTGGGCTGGCACCGTGCTTGGGGATAGGTCCGTCCTTACCAACGTTTGCTGATCCTTCGGAAGTGTATGCTCTATACCCGTTCCTGGTAGTGAGTGCCATGTGTTCGACTTGGATATTGGTTTGAACAATCGTCTATTTTCCGTTTGAGGCTGGGATTCTATGGCTGTTGAGCTGTTAGAGACTCATGGCTGTAGTCTTCAATGTCCATCCGCGGCGGATAAATGAATGTAGAGAACCCTTACAGCTAGAACTACCGGGTTCTTCGAATAACTTTCTTTTCTCTGCCACCGATAGGCGATGGAGGCTAGACTTTTGCGATTGCGTGTTTTGATGCTCGGATATTTTCCGCTTGGAATGGACATTGGTGGGCGAAGTTCCGACTGAGATTGCTTCGAGTGCTCCAGAAGACTTTCCTCGAGTGCTTCTCCCAGATTGTGGACTTGAATGCGAAGTTGGCGAGTTGCGAGCTGGGCGTCGCACTCCCGGGTCTGTCCTTCGCCGAGAATCTTGACCGTTGTTGTTGATTGAGACAGAGCCATCCTCAAATCTGGCTACGAGATCAGCCAAGCCCCTACCAAGCCGACGGGTAGATGCGGCAGGCTTAGGTTCTTGTGTTGTAGGTAGAGGAGCGGTGGCCGCGAAAAGGGCCGCATTAGCAGACATCGCGCATTGAAACTCTGCTCGAAGCTGACTTGGAGTTGAATAGATGATAGAACTGGCCCATATCAATGGGGATAAAGAGTCTTAGGGGGCCCAGCAATGTATTGATGTGCGGTACTAGATGCATAGGTGATAATTAGACCATTATTCGTTCACCCTCTGGTCATTCCGGCCAACGCAACTGCTATATCTTGTAAAGAAAGAGATACCAAGTGCTAGTGAGTTCTGCCTTCCTTCTAAAGTTATGGATTTCCTGAAGTATGTGCAAGACCCGTGGTCCCTGGCGCTTGCCAACAGATAAGAGAGAGCATGCTGGCTTGTTGTGCAGCTTGGAATTGGGCGGCTAAGCTTAGGCAGTCTCTATTCCTGCTTCTTGCGGAGTTAAGCGAGAAAGATCTGGGCTGGTACTCTAAATCTTGAATGAAAGAATACAGAATCATCTTCATTGTGCACGCGGTTTTTAGAGAGGAAAGTTGGACGCCATCGTTCGCAGTTATCGTAAAAGTTCCTAGGCCGACATATGCCGCGCCGTGCCTCATTATCTATCAATGATTTTTTTGGAGAATCAACCCCCGTCATCAGAACCGAGCCTAGAGTACAAAACCGTCCCCGGTGTAATAGTGTACAAGTATTACGTCCTTTATTGTTGATACGGCCATCTCGCTGATGGCGTGCAGTTCACTTGAGGACTCAATCGTTTCGCAGTAGCTTATGTTTTCGATTTAGTTACTAGATGGCAAGATTAGTCTCATGGATCGAAATTTGGATGAGGAGGGCAGACTAGACATACGGTGGCAGCAAAACCTCGCCCCAGGAGCTGGCCAGGAAAGCGACTGCAAGCTTGAAAAACGTTAGCATACGGAAAAGAGACATATTTGATTGCATGCATGCGATCAAAGGCAAGGCTAGGAATTATCTTACTCCAAAGACACCAATGCTGCGAACGACGGCAGCATTGTCTGATGAGGTCAATGTATCGTAGGTCGAGGCAAGAAAGCCCTTGGAGGCACCGCGGGAGCCCGATCGATCGACGGCAATTCGCTTGGGAGGCATTTTGAGAACACGGTGAACCTGGTTGGATAGATGGAGTAGGCGCGGTTAACTTGCTTGGTCTCGTAGCAGATGGAACTTGTAGATAAGCCGCTGGTGATTCAAGCTCCCATCGACAAATTTTCGGCAGTCGGCGCGTCTAAACCCGGCGCTTGAGTCACATGATCGGCGCTTAACCGCCAGATCAAATCGGTGACAAATCAAGATACAGTGCTGATTCTCGTTGATCCTCGCTTATGGCGCACTGTACACCACACACTGTAATCAGCATCTCGTGGCTACGGCGAGAACTTGCTCTTCAACCAATATATTCGAATAAATATACGTCTCTTGAAAGGCTATAGCCATTTTAGACAACTGAGAACCATGTCAGAGTCATCAGAAACACAGCCTGGAGGGTTTATCCGCCCGTGGCAGGGCACAGGCCTTGCCTCCCCAGCCCCATCAACTGCTTCCAGCCAACATGGTCTAAGTTTACTGCCTCACCCCCGAGGGAAATCCCTCCAGCCTGGCTCGAACAAGGAGGAAATGGTACGGAGATATGTTGAAGATAAACTTCTGCACACATCTCGGCGGTACGTCAAGAAGTTCGGTGACCCAGACGTCGGCGATAGTGTTGTTGGCTATAAGAGCTTCAGCGAGGTCTGCCGCGATCTGGACGGTATTGTTAATGTACTTTGGCTTTCCGGCACGCGTGGGTTCCATTTGTCCCCTTTCCGTGTTTCATTTATCTACCTATTTATAAACGTTCCCTTGCTAACTATTTCGGATTTGCTGCCCAGCGGGCTTGCAAATTCCATTTCTGCTCAAATTGGCAAGTGATTTCACGCAATATGTCCGGTCCTTCCCTGCGTCGCCAAGAGCTTCCTTTGAAATCCTGGGGAAGTTGGATCATTGTTTTTCCAGTCTCTTGACGGGGCAGGATATCATCTCCAAGGAACCCTTGCCCGGATTCGAAAATGGCTTACGAGCTGGGCTGAGTACTACCGACATGGTTCGTTGTCGAAGCCTTGTTGAGCAGACTCGGGTTCTTATGGTTGAAGTCATGAGTAACGGTGAAGATATTGAGGAGGAGGAGGAGGAGGAGGAGGAGGAAGAGGGAGAACATGACACGACCGATGACGACCTTGACCAGTCAAGAGTATCTGACAGTGGCATCCACACCGCCTCGTGGAACATCGATGATGACAGGCTTCACCTGGACGCAGCCAGAATCTATGAGCACACCATTGTGCAGCTGGGCGAGCGGCTGGGCGACCCGCTGGCAGCCAGGAACATGTCCGAGAATTAACACAAGAGGGATATTTTTATGGTGAGATGGGTGGACAGGTAGCTCAAAGGATCTGCGACACGTACGTTGTGCCGGTGATGCTCGGCGGTGCCTAAATTAACCACACCTTCGCATGCATTCGGCCTCAGCTCTTTACGGCCAACCATCAATCCTAAAAGAGACGAAAGCATGCCCGAAGAGGGGCCGTTATACGTGCATGGATAACGCATGGTGATTTGTTCCCTGGCCTGCAGCCCGCCTGCAATATAGAGTGCTGGCATGGCATGTTGGCCAGATACTGCGCACGCTCTTCATTGGCTGGTGCCTGGATGAGATGGCTTGGTTCCATTGGAAAAAGCAATCCGTGGAATCCGGCGGGCCATTCCCCCTGGGTAGATGCATAGGGTGCCGGCATCCTCAAACATCGGGCCTGCTAGATCGACAATGCCCCTCCTCCATCGACTGTTCTCGTCACTTATTTCCCGCTTGCATTGATGCACCCGGTCTGTCAGTTGGCACCATGCAGGACAGAACGGCGGTGCGTGCGCCCGCAGGCTCTGGATGACTGCATGTGCTCGTGCTTTGTGCTGGCTTACATATAAGCAGTGTTTGGGGTTGATGACTTTGGTTCGGGCTGGACGCAAACCCACAAATATGTCAATAGCCGCTTCATACCAGCAGAGATTTGGGCGTTTGAGAAAGTGCCTTTTGTTTCCCTCATTGGCCCTCTCTTCCTACGCACTATTGGCGTGGCACGCTCCTTTAATGAGTGTTTCCACCTCGTACCCGGACAAGCCTTTAAGCGCGCATGATTCCGCGTCCCTTGGCTTCCGATAACATCCTGTGGGACCAGATGAAAGGTAAAAAGTGATGGGAACCACCTGCCCGAAACTTGACTTGGCAATCAGGGGTTCCCGAACGAGAGAAAATGTGCCTGTCTATCCAGACGACCCACCGCCGGCCCCCGTGCCAAGGCCAGGATATGGACCCTGGTCGTTTCATCGCCGGCCCTCTCGATGCCGGCTTTCCAATCAACGGCCAACACGCATGGGCCTTGATCGTGGCTTGTGCCCGTCTTGGCCTGGGTAGCTGTCTATGCGATGCGGTGCAACAGGTTGCATTGCTTGTTAGCTCAGGTGGCTACCGCCGAGTGAACGTACCCAGGGCAATATTATAAGAACCAAGTCGTCTCTGGAGGCTGAGCCGCTCTCGATCTCTTCAACTTTTCCATCATTCCCTCTCTCTTTCTCCTGCTGTTCGCCGGTTGGCTTGTCGGTTGATCTCGACCATTCCTTTCCTTCACAGTATCAACTGGTATTGACCTTCATTATCAAGCCCGGGAGGCTCGTCTTTCTATTCATACATTCATTGCTACTGAACCGGCAGCACTCATACAGCACACAAGCACACATAAATCAACACACACGAACCAACACTTACATACATAACCACGTCACATTGTTCGCTTGTTCTCTCCATTTTTGAAAATGAAGCCTTCAACTTTTTACGGCGTCATTGCCACCGCATCCTTGGCCCAGGCCATCCAGCCTCCAGCTCTCAACGGCTTCAAACTTACATGGGGTGAGGATTTCAAAGGCGCTGCTGGCGCTCCACCCGACTCGACCGCTTGGACCATTGCTTTGGACATCCAAGTAAACAACGAGCTCCAGACGTACACGACCTCCAACAAGAACCTCCAGCTTTCTGGCGGCGAAACTCTGCAGATCGTCCCTGTGAAGGACAGCAACGGCGCTTGGTCATCTGGTCGTATCGAGTCCAAGGCATCTTACACCCCCCAGCCCGGCAAGAAGATGCAATGGCAGGCTGGAATCCGCATGGGCACAGCTGCAAATCGCAAGGGTCTTTGGCCTGCCTGGTGGATGCTGGGCGACGCCATGAGACACGGTACCGGCTGGCCCATGTGCGGCGAGTTGGACATCTTCGAGCAGATCAACGGTCTTATGGAGGGCTTTGGCACCATCCACTGTGGACAGAAAGAGGGTGGAGTTTGCAATGAGCCCAAGGGACGTGGCGTCACCACGACCATCCCAGACAACGAATTCCACAACTGGGCTCTTGTAGTTGATCGTACCTCCAACAACTGGCAGACGGAGACAATTCAGTGGCTCAGGGACGGAACCCCCTTTTCTACCGTGACTGGCGCTGAGATCGGCGACCAAGGTATCTGGTCCACGCTCGCTCACTCCCCTTTCTACATGCTTCTCAACGTTGCCGTTGGTGGAAAATTGCCCGGAGACCCAGACGCTTCTACCGAGAGCGGCTACGGCAACATGATGGAGGTTTCTTATGTTGGTGTTTATGAGAGCGTATAGACTTCTTGAGATCTTTGGTGTCGGATGTTTTGATTACTTCTTCTATATACGGTGTTTGATACCCCAACTTTGATACGTCTTACTGTTTCATGTATATATTTTTACTTGCTTTGACGGGTTGAGTGTTAGCTGTTTCTCATAGATGAGAAACGTAAAGGAAAAAAAAAAAACAAAAATTCCCGTCATATTTTGGTTGATTCATTCCTTGGTGAATGGTGACTTTGAAGACTGAATACCACTCACTCTCTCGCTCATATTTAGCTTGGTTCCTCTGCGTTCTTGCAACCCACGACCGACGCAACCACATATTCACGAGTCTGCTTACACACAATCTTCACGTTGGGACAAGTTAAGAGTATATTCTAATGTGTTGGACATTTGTAAACATCGCTAATCCATCAATTACTGAACACACCATGGTATTTGTAATTTTTTCAACCATCGTCAAACAAAACAACAAACGAGCTTACATAAAAAATCGGGTTGTGCTTCCTCTTGAGTATTTTCACCTCCTCGAAACTGAAGACAGCAGACAGAGCCTTGGGGAAAAAAGGGAAATCAATAAGGAATAGGGGAGGGGAGGAAGAAACAAAGGGAAAGGGTAGAAAAGAGATAGAAAGCAAGTGGTGAGCAAGGATAAACAAGTGAGTAAGCAAGCACATAGGCACAGGTGACATCAACTCTTTTCCTCCCATTGCAAACAAAAGCCACCACCACTTGCGAGAATAGCAGCGTATTCTTCACACCCAGAAACCTGATCGCCTCATGACCATGATATAGACCCGTACCGAACGCCGTGACAAATGATGCCAGATTAAATATAGTCCAAGCCCAGAAAGAATAAAAATGATTGGGGTACATAGGGTCTTCGAGGAGATCTCATTCTGCTCCAATCTCTCCTTCCATGCCGGTGAAGGCGCCGTTAAAGTCGAATGGTTGATTATCTCCATCACCATCGTGGAGGAATGAATCAAAGTCGAAGTCGTTGAGGACATCCCCGGTGTGGATTCCATCACCTCCCATCAGAGGGCCACCGAAATCCTGCAATGTGTTAGTATTGGGGCTTTGGAAGGGTGGCTGAAAAGAAACGTGTGTGGAACTTACCATTGGGAAGCTGTCCATGTTGATGCTGTTAGGGTCAGGGCCTTGTGGAGGTGCAATAGGAGCCTGGGGAGCAGGAACAGGAGCGGGAGCCGTGGTAGTTGTCGTATTCTGGCCCGGCTTGAAACCAGCGGTAGTGACTGGAGTAATGGGTGTTGCGGGTGCTGCCTGCTCTGAGTCACCATTATTATCAGCCGCGGGCGTTGCGCCTGAACCGTTGATGTTGGAGTTTGGCTTGTTCTTTTGAGCCGTGTTCTGTTGGGAAAGGTTAGAATTCGCAGTAAATGTATGGGTATTGCTGTAGCTTACCTTGTTTTTGGCAGCCTGAGTTTCCTTCTTCTTCTTGGGGGCAGCCTTATTAGACTGGTTCGGGGTAGGGGGAGCAGCGGCTGTCTGCTGAGGTGAAGCCGTTGTGCGATTGTTGGCATTGGCAGCAGCGGCGACTGGAGCTGATGGCGGTGGCATAGAACGCTGAACAGGAGTTCCCTGAACCTGCTGATTCTGTTGCATGCCTTGAGGAACCATCTGGTTATTTTGGCCCTGCCACTGCTGTGGGTTCTGACCTGCCTGTCCCTGGGCTTGGCGAGCAGCCATCATTTGCGGAGTCATCTGGCCGTTGAATGGCTGGCCAGGGTGCGAACTAGGTGGTCGCATACCGTTCATAGGCTGACCACCGGCCATGTTGCCATCTGCACCCTTAAAGAAGTGTGGTGCCATGTTAGGATCAGCGTTGCCCATGAAGTTCATGGCGGGGTTGGGGGAGCCACGAGACTGTGGGCCACCCTCAGGAGCAGGTGATGGGATGCCGGGATTGTTCATCTGAGGGGTACCTCGCTTCATCTGCTCTGTGGGGTTGGGAGATGCGCCAGTTCTCATAGTTTGAGGAGATGCATCAGGGAATGGTTGGCCATTTGGCACACCGGGACCACCAGGTGCGCCGGGGCCAGGAGGCTGGCCTTCCCTAGGAACTCCACCAATGTTGTCTTGCTCCTGGCGAGCCATCATGAGCCTTTTCTTATTTTGCTGTTCAAGCAACATCAGTTGCATTTGGTAATCTTGAAGGGCGTGGTTGCTACTGCCGCCTGCAGCCTGTCCATTTCCAGGAGCTTGGGCTCGGAGTCCGTTGGGGGTTGGGATCTCGCCGTTGGTATTATAGGTATAATTCATCGTAGAGCCGTCCGGGCCTGGCGCCATCATCGGGGAGCCTTGACCTTGAGGACCAGCGGCGTTGGGCTGCTTAGTGCCCATCTGGTTACCGTGGTGGTGCTGTAGGTGCTGCGAGTAAGCTGCAATGGATTTCTGCTGGGCGGTCGGAGGGATATTTACAAAGTTCTGGAACTGGGGTCCTGCCAGTTGCGCAGGGTTTATGTTATGCGCCGTGAGCATCTGGGTAGCTACAGCACCTGGTCCGCCGAGCATTTGCTGCGAGGGCATGCCCTGGGCTGGGCGACCATTTGGCATCATACCAACGGCAGCGGGGTTCGGGTTAAAGTCGTTGGGGCGTTGCCTCTTTGAGGGGGATGGCGCGTTCTCGCCCGAGGCTGGTGATGATTGGCGCTCGCGATTAGGGTCCATCTGGGAAGGATCCCTCTGCATTTGATTTGGCTTTGCTGGATGCATCATCATTCCTGGGCTAGTAAGAGGTTGGGATGTTAGTGATGGACGGCTCCCAAGGAAGAGTTCTTGTTACTGAGTGGAGAGGACTCACTTCTGATTGTTGGCCATCGCGGTGCGGACAAGAGTCCCGGGCTTCATCGGCATGCCCATTGCGGCGCCGCTCTGCATTCGAATCATCTGCTGATATTGTTGCTGCGTTAAACCTTCGGGCCGCATCGTACGGAGGAGTTCTTGCTGTTTTAATTGCTGCTAAGTGGTGGGAGGTGGAGTTAGTCAACCCAGACTAATCAGGGGATTGACAGAAGGTGTACATGTGCTGTGACAATGAAGGAGGGATGATTGACGAGAGTTTCTTACCTGAGTGTGGGCAACATATTGGTTTACGTTACCATTGGCGGCCTTAGTGCGCTGGGCATTGTAGATATCCCAGAAGAGACAAAACCATTCATATAAGAAGGAGGAATCGGACGCTGGCATGGGAAGCTTGGGAGGAGGAAGGTCATCGGGATGCTTTGAGTCGGGATCATCCTTCATATCAGTGTCCATGCCATCCTCAGATACGCCATTGACATTGTTCCCGCCCTTGGGACCGTCTTTTTGAACATTGACGGGCTGGCCGCTCTGAATGACTGAACGAGCGCATTCATACATGCCGTAGCGGAGGAAGTACTCATAGATGTAAGTATTGAGCACGCCTCGCTGGCTGTCGTTGACTTGTTGTTGCCGAGCGAGGTTTGCAGCATTTGCGGCGTTTGCAGCAGCAGCAGCAGCAGCGGCCTGTGGGTTAACCGCACCATTGTTCATCATTGGGATTGGCGCACCACCCACGGGCCCCCCCATTGGGTTGATGTTCGCCATGTTGACGTTTGGATTCATTGTATAGATTTGAATCAGGTGAGAAATTTGCAAGATCCGCAACACAAAAGGGATGAATTAGGAGGATGTATTGAGGCCAAAGCCTCACAACGGTGAGTGACCAAGACAGCCCGCACTGCCACACTGGAAGGACTTGCGAGACCCCAGGTAGTGGACGTGACGGGAATGTGTCACGAGGGGTTAAAAGGCCGTTGGCCTAGTAGGCGCAACGAGATTCAATATTGGATGAGACCTAGTTGGTCGTTCCGCGAATAAAAAAAAGTATTCCGAGCAGAGCGTGTCGGGGTGTGGTGCTTGGGTAATTGCGACAAGCGACACTCGTCTCGTTGAGCCGTTGCGTGGTGTCGTGACGATCCAACTCGCCGGAATTTGAGTTGCGGTCAATCTAGGGCCGGGCGCTCAGATTGAAAGAGCCGGGGAGCAAGTGCAAGACGAAATGAATCGAGTTGCGGGCGAGCGAGTTAAATAGGCTGGGGGAAAGTTTAGCTAATGTGGCTGCGGTACGCGGTCACGTAAATGACGGGACGTCAAGTACGGGAAATGAACTTACAAATCCAAGCTGGACTTGCAAAAATGACCGCCTCAACAGTCAAAGAGATTTGCAAAGGCGATGCGAATGGAAGGTGTTGATTCGGCGAGCCCTCCGCTGTCCAAAACCAACGACCGTCGTGAGAATGTCTTGGTCGGTCAATCGCCCCCGACCCAACACGGTCTGGCTCGAGCTGCACGTTGGGGTGTTGGGTTTGCCCTTTGGATCGCTCGGTGGCGTGGAGTGCCGAACTCCAAAATCTGGTATCGCGATAGTTGGGCGAAAGGATGGCCAGACGGACGTGGTGATGGGAGATGAAAGGGGATTGCAAATCCAGAGCGAGGTGGGATCGAATTGGGAAATGGAAATGGAAGAAGGGAATCAAACTGAGGAGGGTGGGTGTCCGCTGCCTGCCAGACAGCGAGGGTGCCACAGTGAGTTCGCCAGCGCTGCACAGTGCTGATAGCCGGACAAGCCGGTGTCTGCACGGTACCTCATGCGCTGGGCTGGGCCGGTTTTAGGTGGCATGATGCACAGTGCGGGTGGAAAACCCGGCGGCAGCAAAGTACATAGGTACGCTCACTCATACGTCTGATTTTAGCTCACGCGCCTCGCTACGGTCGCAACCTAGAACTGGCCGTGGTGGCAACTGCGCCAAAACTGTATAAAAGACGACCTCTGTTTCTCCTATTTCACTATCTACGTAACCAGGCTCATTCAGACCACTGCAAATGGCATCTCCCGACTTGGGTTGGTCTGACACGCAATTTATCATTTATTCATGCTCCGCGTTTGATGATGGATGATTGTTCTGCTGTTCCTTTTATGCCCAACTTTTCAAGGTAACGGGCCCCTGTATCGAGCCTGCTACACCTATTTTTCGAGGTGGGTGATCTGCCTCGCCGACAGGCTGCGTAAGCCTCAGCATGGCTGCGTACTTTTGAGCCCGCTATCGCCTGATTGGGCCTTCTGCCTTAGGCACAAACAGAGCAAACACCAACTTGCTGAGAAGATACCCAACCACCATTAGATAATAGGACTGATCTTTGAAAGGGGCATATTGCCTACCTAAGTCGATGAGTGTCAGTGGAAGCTGATGGCACATGCTAAGCAAGCCATGAACTTTTGATCTCATTTGGCGCGAGACCCTTTCGATGTTGGCGATCTTCTAAGGCACCCCACGCACTAGTAGTTTGATAGATAATACTAAATTAAGCGTACTTGATAATTGATATGCTGTTTCGATAAACAAGGTAGGTGGATAATTTGGCAGGCGGGTATTGGAGCTTCCACGGATCTATCATCACTTATTTAGGTGAAGAATATGTGCAATTGCATCATCGTAGGACCAGGGAGACACCAGATCAGTTGCTTCGATCTTTTAGGCTGCCTATGAAGCAGTTGTTCATTGAGTTCCTGCAGATATAATTCCTCTTGTTGGCTACTCTGCCCCTTGCGATGGGGTTCTCACACCAGGACTTCACATGTTGAAAGCAACTGAAGGTCATATGTAGACTTGCGGAGTCCGTCTTTAGTTCTAGTCTGGTGGCCCGAATATAGGAGACCACTACCAATGTCTGACACTTCATTCGCACACCAGCTGAAATGACTAACGTTCGCCTCGAATACAGTGCCTGCCCCTCCTCTGTATATAGTTGGCGATTTGGCATGCATTGCCTCTCTTGCAGCTACTAACCCGGTCGCATCTTATTTGTGGGCTATGATCTTGGACCTGCCAGAAAAGCGCACAAACCGGCCTCGGGCATCTAATTTGCACTGTATGTCGGGCTTGCAGAATACGGCCGCTGCAGTGCATATATTCCGGCTTTCTAGATGTGAAGCCCGCCCCGGTTGATATTGACATTTCGAAATATTGTTCAGTCATCCTCAGGTGGTAGTTCGTCGTCAAGATACCGTACCAAAGACACCCTCATCTCTGTCGTATCATTGCCTCGTAGGATATCGCTGATGAAATGCGCCTCGACTTGCATCTGGACCATCTCCAAAGCACCTCTTAACACACCACACAGGATATTGGAGAACCAAAGCTCGTCTTGCGCTCTACCATCGTCGGGGAGTTCCACGAAATCGGCCAATGGATTTTCGTCGAATACGAGGGAGAACTGGTTATTTTCACTGGTCCAATTGGTCACTTGTGGAGTAATGTTCAAGAAGATCTTGAATCCCACCTGGAAGTTCCGTTTGCGTTAGATACCACGAATTTTCTCTCGGTATAAGAAATATGAGGAAAGAAAGGGCAAAATACTTTTGCAATCATCTCGGCAGTCTCGCGGAAGTTGGAGCATCTTTTCATCGTGTTTGATTTGGCCAGATAATCTTCGATAAGGCGTAATCCGATATTGTATCCCATCTTGTCAAGCTGCTTATTCACCTCGATGTAGTCGTTGTCAAAGTCTTTACAGAGCTGAACCACTATCGTGCCGTACGTAAGGGTCACAAGCTCGGCATTGACCTTGTCGATGCGTGTCCTGGAGGCAGAATGGTTAGCTTCCTCCCCGCAGGGGGACCGTGTATGGGAGAGCCTCACTTCCATATTCTGGAGCATACAGTTAGCACAGCAAATAGTACTGGAAGAAGTTGGTTGACCTACTCTTCGCCTATTCTTGACGCCTTGTTGGCAGCCATTGTGGCGGGGTTGGTATGTGGTGGTGCGCTCAGCTCGGCACAATAATGAAAATCTAGAGAAGAGTCGGCTCAATAGGATCGCAGGTTCTCTTCGTAGGGATCGCAGGAGTTGGAGTATGAGGTGATCGCTTCGTTTCGGCTGGACATGTGCTTGGTTGGTGTCGTAACTATGCCATACCGCCTCCCCAATTTGGCCGATGATAGGGACCTACCTGCGGTGCTGGCACAGGGCAGCCAATCAAAAGCCCCAGCGCCCTAGCTATATCCCCATACTACAACAAATCTCCTCTTCGCGTTGCGATGGCCGGTTCAAGCTTGCATCTCAACATAAGCGAAGAAATTACAACGCAACAAAAAAGATAAAAAAGAAAGCTACTCCCATCAAACCCCGAAGCTACATATTGAAAGCGGCTAGCTATTTCCTTCAATCATTACCACCACTACGAACATGTCCGCCGAAAAGAGACCCGCCGACGATGATCCTGGCGCGAGCCAGACGCTCGTGAAGCGACAAAACGTGAGCAATTCAACCGGCGCGCTTGCTCGATTGAATGCGTCTAGCAACGCACTTGTGCAGGGAGGAGTAAGTTGAGTCTCGACTGCTTGGCTTCCATAGATTGCTGATTGATATTCAGGCTCCCCGAACAAGCGCCCTTCAAGCTCCTGTAATGGAGTTGTCGGGACACTCTGGGGAGATTTTCACAGCTAAGTTTGATCTCACGGGCAACTTGATCGCTTCCGGCTCCATGGACAGGAGTGTTTGTATGGACCCCCCCCTCTCTATCATGCTTGTGAAGACGACATCGCTAACTGTACTAGTACTCTGGAGGACATACGGCGATTGCGAAAACTACGGTGTGCTAAATGGACACAAAGGCGCAATTCTCGACCTCCAATGGTCTCGCGACTCGGAGATCTTGTACACAGCATCCGCCGATATGCACCTCGCAAGCTGGGACTTGACGTCGGGTACGAGAATCAGGCGATATATCGGGCACGAAGAGGTGATCAATGCCGTGGATATCAGTCGACGTGGTGAAGAACTTCTTGTTAGCGGTAGCGACGACTCGACGATTGGTATCTGGGATCCGAGGACGAAGAATGCTGCAGATTACATTGAGACCGACTTCCCAATAACGGCACTGGCTTTATCGCAAGCAGGAAACGAGATATACACGGGCGGTATCGACAATGACATTCGAGTGTGGGATTTAAGGAAGAAGGCCGTGATATACTCGATGCCAGGTCATTCCGATACCATCACCTCACTGCGTGTTTCTCCAGATTCGCAATCCTTGCTGTCGTATGCCATGGACTCGACAGTGCGGACGTGGGACATTCGGCCGTTTGCCCCAGCCCAACGACAAATTCGAACCTTTGATGGTGCAACTAAGGGTATCGAGAACAATCTCCTGGGAGCCAGCTGGGATTCTGATGGAAAGAAGATTGCTGCTGCGTCGGGCGATGGCACCGTCATGGTATGGTCCAGCGCGAGCGGCAAGCTTCTGTATAAACTCCCTGGTCATAAGGGCACAGTAAACTGCGCCGAATTCTCGCCTGGCCAAGATCCGATCCGTAAGTCGACCTCAGATCTACCTCTTGTTTCAGAGTGCTAACATTTCTCTTCCTCTTTAGTACTATCTGCTTCATCCGATCGGACTATGTTGCTCGGCGAGCTCAAGTGAAGCTGTCACAGCCAACCACGATGTTAATGGCAGGCTAAGCATTATTCCTCGGCTATGGACCGGGGTCTATGGAGATTATGATAGCTGTGTATGAAACGGCTTCCAGGTTGAAAATAAGCGAGGCACGGTACTTGGTCTCCGTATCGTATCTTGATTCTTGTTACACCTTGTGGTGGGGAGTGGCTGATCTCTGGGCTGGAATAATTGCATTCAGCCCTGAGCAGACGTACGGATCGACCTGGTGGGGGCACCGGAGTTGGCGAGCCCTTGCCCAATTATTGAGTGGGCAAAAGCCCCTTGTAGAAGTTTGAGAACCATCATGTATCAGATGAAGGGACAGGTACAGCTTAGAAGAGTGTTTAGACGCCCTGAAGACGGGCAGGCCGCGCCCCGATGCGACCCTGAATCGTCCGGTCTGTCCAACGATCTCTGCCAGGCTCTGACACGCTGCAACAGCCGTCGCCCATAAAGCAACAAGTAATATCGCTCGTATTGTCTGTGTCGCCATGCCTGATCATGTCTGGTCCTTGTTCATTTTCGGATTCCCAGGTCTGCGCGCCTAACTGCCGCCCTGAGCCACTAAAACACCAAGATGATAGCCAACGTGAAACCGTAGATCCCTGCACTTCTCACAGGATTGGCGCTCCTGCAGCCCACAGAATGGGGGCGGGACGCACTGTTCGTCTCCTGAATCCAGGCTACTGTCGCAGGTGACCCCTGTTTTCCTGCGATTTGATCCATGCACCGCGACGACTGGCATGCAATTACAGCACACAGCATGTGCTCATACTGCCGGTTCTCTGAAGAACGCCATGCTTCCCATCGGGTTCATGGACAGCTCGTAGATTCCATTCGAGTGGCCTGTGTTTGCACTTGGCGCCGTGGCGCGAGTTTGATCTGCAGCACCAACAGCTTCTTCCACTCTTTCTTCCCACACTCGTTTTGTCCAACTGTTGATTGCCTGGAGCGAAGCAGATCTTGCCCTTGTTCCGCAGTCCCTTCTTCCGCCAAACTTGTTTTTGTTCAGTCTATTTTGTTCCAGTTCCTATTCCATCTTTGTTTCAAGAAAACATTTCTATCCCTTCTTCCCGCACTTGCGTGAGCACTGTACTGTGCTTTCTTCAAGCATCGTCTGCTTGGGCCTAAAAGAAGCCGTGCTTCTCCTCTAGCTGGATCATCGATTCATTCACTTTGCATCAAATACAGAGCTGGTCTCTCTATCCCTTCGTTTCGTTATTTACCACGTCCCTTCTTTCCTCCCCCTTGTATTGTTATGTACTACCTACAGTTACGGGAATGAGCATATAAGATGAGAGCCACATCACCAATCATGACTGCGGACGGCAACCTGGAGAGAATCCGGGAGGATCTAATTCGGCGCGCACGAATGGAGAGAGGTCTTGACCTGGAGCAGGGTCTCCCGCATGGGAACTCTCCCGAAGAACGGGGCGAGGATGAGGAGCGAGCTCGCGGAGGCCTGGCAGGCCTGTTCACCCGCATGAACGAGCGCAGGCAGCAACGGCAGCAAATGCCCGAGGTCGAGGTTGTCGAGGAGCCCAAATCACCAGTTGTCGCTCAGCAGGGAGCTGGCCATCGGTTCACCCTCCCCAGGTTCAGCCGCTTCTGGGCCAGCGGCGCCAACGGGCCAGGATCTCCAGCACCATCGCACTCCGAGTGGCCATCTGCTCTTCCGACTTTTAATACAGACTACCAAGCGGGGGGGCTTTCCCCCCCGCCACAGCTAGCCACGCATGCTCGGTCGACGATCCGGGCACCCTCGAGCTTCTACTCAAGCATGGAGGATGTGTCTACCAGCCAGGATACATCCTCCTCACGGCCAAGGCATGAGCGTCGGCATGGTCGCCGCCGGCATAAACACAAGAAGAGAGGCCATCGTGGGAGTCGGAAGCGATCGAAGAAGCAGCCGAAGAGGTTTCTAGGTTGCTTCCCCTGGGTCAAGTCGCGAGAGATGCGTGCCCAAATCCTACGATGCTTCGTCACCGGTTTATTCTTGGTCTCTCTTCTATCAGTTTGTAAGTGCTTCCTTGGTGGCAATGATTCGGTCTCAGATACTAATTATTGCAATGCGTGTGTTAGATCTCGCTCTATCGTTAACAAAGAACATTCAAATGGGAGACTTCACTATTGTTCTGATCGTCATCATTGTCTTGGGCACACTGGTATTCTGCTATGGTCTGGTCCGTCTGTGCGTCTTGGTTCTACGACGAGATCGTGAGCGGGTGCGGGCGACAAGCCGACCGGAACCGTGGACACCCGGCGTATACACGATTCCCGAGCAACCGATCCAGGTTCGACTGGCCAGCGACGAGGAGGCGGTGGGTGCTGTCAAGGACAAAAAGAAAGTCACTCCACCCGCATATGGCATGTGGAGGGAGAGTGTGGTAAGTCCTATTCATGATCGTCTTGGCCTATGGAAGAGGGATCGACTAACAAACACTTTCGTAGCGGGCTGACCCCGATCGGTTATATTGGAAGCGCAACGAGGAGACAGTTCCAAGTATGCCAGAACCGACGGCGGCGAGAGCTGGTCCTCGGCCGCCGTCTTATGCTTCGGACGATGGTGTATCATATGTGGTCGAGGCTGTTCCTCGATCGGTTGCACCATCATCCACAGAATCAATGCCACCTCATCCCTCTGAAGTTGATAGAATTGGCCACGACAGAGCGGCCTGGTAGGATGGAGGGAGACTCCGGCATCGATAGATACATTCATTTCCACATTCCCTATTATTATGTATATATGGGCCACGCAAGGCGTTTGGCAGGAGGGCGGATCGTCATCCAAGCCCTTGATTTCGGCTCAGCTATGAGAATCACGGATATCGCATTTCGGAAAAGCGTCAATTTCATTTGGATAATATAATGCCGTATGTAGCGTATTGTCAATTAACATGCTGTCGATTAACATGTCATCCTCTTCTGCCAATTGGTGACGAGTTCTTGTAGTCTACTGGTCGAGGCAATGAATAAGCAGACCACCACCCGATGTAACTCTACCTCGCCCCAAAGAATTCGTATTGAATGCGTACGCTTCTGGGTGAATAGATGGACGAGGAGGGAGGTAAGTGGGTGACAGGAGAGATGAGACACCCCATGGAAGAGTGGTTTTCACTTTCCAAGATAGATCAAGAAATTCAGTAGTATAAATCCATGGGAAGTGACAATATTTGCAGTATTATCTCTCAAGCATACATTATTGGCACTCAATAATTTGATAATACCGGCTGCAGACTCGAGAACAAGCAGCTTCATGTTTGAGTGTCTCAATTCAATGTCACCCACTTGGGAGGGAGTAGAGTCTGACAAGCTCAGTGCTTGGCGTTGGGCAGGATGTGATATAAGGCCAGGTCCACGGTGCAGAATAGACCGAAACGGACCTTGAATGGCTGCGCAGGGCTAGTTGGACTGACCAAAGGGGCAACCAGGCAATGCCTGCCTGCTTTCTCCCGTCTCATGCAGTGCTCCCACCAGCTTGTTGGGGCTTGCATCCTGCAGGTGCGTCTGGTGAGAGGCAAATGCGAGCATGCATTGAACGGACATTCGTGGAGTCCCCACAAGCAAATTAACGCTACCTGCATGAGAGCGGCGCCTCTTCAGGGCCCCTTCAGGGCATGGCTCCGGTAGTGGGGTACTTATCGCACAGCGTCTAGTCCAGAACAAGCAGGCGGGCGACATTGACTGTACACGTGGACCCCGCTGAGCCGGTGGGCAGAGCACGCCAGCAGGAGCCCGAGCCAGGTACCGCAAAGTACAGATGTGACGCTGCGTGGAGCAGATGCAGGGTGCGCAAGTACCGCTTCCCCTCCAGGTCGGTGGCTAGCGCACTGACCTATTGGCTGCTGCTCCCTCTGCAGTAACCTAAAGGCCAGGCCCTAAGAGCGATATGGTGATGTCTGGCATTGGCCTCGGTGGCTGCGACCCCTCGCTGCCGGCACTTCTCGTCTGCTCGATTCGCGAACTCGAGCAGGGCCATGGCTGTAAAGAGCGCAACTTGCAAGCGAGGGCCGTGAGGCACAGCAGCGCGCGACAGTTGGGTCGGTCTCTGCATTATCTCACAGGCCAATATGCGCAAGGCATGCAGGGTGATGCGCCGAGTCCCCTCCATCCCGTCGCGAATGCCAATGACAGCGCAGGACACGGCATGACCACTCTCGTGGCCACCAACCGCCAGCAGTGTGCGCTAGGAGTCGCTTGTGCGCAGGGTAATTAAAATAGCACGTCCTCTGGCCATGGTGGTGCAGGTGGTGGGCGCTGGTACCCCTACCTGAGGTGCATATGGGCATCCATCTGTTCTCCATCCAGCTACACATGTTAATTACAGACTACCTGACTAGTCGTATCGCCTCAATCCAGAGGCGACTCGTCCGAGCTGCTAGGGACTAAAGTAGGCATGCTCGAGGCATTCCGGCCAGGCCAATCCCCCTCGTAGGTTCCAGTCGCTGTTAGTTGCAACTCCACTCCACCCGCCGACTCTCTCGCTGTGCTCCTTCCTCCACCCCTCCTCCCTCCCAATAAATATTTCTCCTCAGTAAAAATTTTCTCCCTCTTCCTGCTGTCTATCCATCATCGCGAATTTCCTATCCACCGAAAACTCGCTCCATCCGCCGGACGTCCGTTTGGTGCCACCATTGCTCTCCGACCAAGTGTCTAACACGCCGTTGTACCGTCTGCGAAACGAGGAAATACCTTACCTAGGTGCGTACCAACCACGATGACTCGCGAGCGCTTGTTTTGCCCGCCCTGCCTTCCCCGAACACTGTCCTGCCTGTCGCGCCGCCGCCGCAAACACGTTGCTTCTGCCCTGCCTCCGCATTGCACTTGGATCCTCGACAATTGCCGTTCTGATCTGCCGGGCGCACCTCACCCAAGCCAACCCAGGTACCGAAGATATGGGTAGTATCCGCCGTGTGCGACGCTGCCATCCAGCTGTGCGACCTCGATGCGGCGCATCCGATTACCTACTTCACTCCACAGGTCCCTTTCTATGCGCATAATCCGGTACCAATCTTCGATTCGTCGTTTGTCGCCTACTTGCAATACCCCGAAATAATCGCACACCTCCTCCTCGCCCCTCCTCCCACCGACGAGGACTGCGCGACAGCCCATCCGAACAGCGACACTTTGTCGCAAACAATATGGAGGTGCACAATCAGGTAGTTCATGATGTTGATTGTCATTGACAATATTGGCTTTAATGCCGCTATATCTTGATACTACCTGCGCGAGGCCGTACTGCCAGCGACGTGTCGATCGAGTTGGAGATCGTGTCTTTTGGGCTCTTGCAATAACGTCTTGGTCTATAATGACGCAGCAACCCCTCGGTCCGGACGGTCAGACATACCAGGAATCAGGCAACCACCCGTGGCATGACTTAACTTACCGGGACTCTGAAAGCCGACAACCCGATTCTATCACGACAGGCGGCGCGAACAGGATGGCCTTGATCTCTTGGGCTCTGTGCACCCATGCATAACCAATCATCAATCGATGTCCGGTTTCACTAATAAGTTTTTGCGCACTGCAGGTTCGATTCCATTTAAACATATCTTATCACCACCAAAATGTCTTCCCTCTCTCGTCGAGCTTGCTACAAGTGTGGCAACGTTGGCCACTACGCCGAGGTCTGTTCTTCTGCTGAGCGTCTTTGCTACAACTGTATGTATATAACCATCCTAGTGCGATGGAACTTCATTTGCTAACTCTTCTCCTCATAGGCAAGCAGCCTGGTACGTTGAATTAGCATGCTTCTCCCAGAATGTGTTCTTGTCTGACTCTTATCCTTCAGGCCACGAGTCCAACGGCTGCCCTCTTCCCCGCACCACCGAGGCCAAGCAGTGCTACCACTGCCAGGGTCTTGGCCACGTCCAGGCTGACTGCCCAACTCTGAGGCTCAGTGGAACCGGCGCCAGTGGACGCTGCTATAACTGCGGCCAGCCCGGCCACTTGGCTGTAAGAAGACGAACCCGAACAGCACAGCATCTGAACTTGAACTGACGTATCCTCCTAGCGCGCCTGCCCCAACCCTGTTGGTCCTGGTGCTCTGGGCCGAGGTGCTCCCATCCCTCGCGGCGGTGGCTACCCTGGTGCCTATGGCGGCCGTGGTGGTTTCGCCGGCGGCCCTCGCCCTGCCACTTGCTACAAGTGCGGTGGTCCTAACCACTTTGCCCGCGATTGCCAGGCTCAAGCCATGAAGTGCTACGCCTGTGGCAAGCTCGGTCACATTTCTCGCGACTGCACCGCCCCCAACGGGGGCCCCCTGAACACCGCTGGAAAGACTTGCTACCAGTGTGGTGAGGCTGGTCACATCTCCCGTGACTGCCCGCAGAAGGCTGCCAGCGGCGAGATCAACACCGAGGTTGACATCAACAACGTCGCAGCTCCCGTGGCTCCTATCGCTCCTGTCGCCTAAGCGACAGTATATGAGCGCCCGCATCTCCTCCTTGGCTCACTACAGGCATGATCCATTACCGCGGGAGCTCCATTCGTGCGAGTAATTGACCCTCCTCGACTAGGCGGGAGATCACTTCACTTGCAGCACTTTCTTTCTTGCCTGCATCGGTACTTTTTCACTTGCATCATTTTCCATGTGACTATATGACACTAGCTTCTTTGCACCTCTACGAAATGATTTCCTTTATCGGGAGAGCCTCTTTCCTTTTTCTTCACTGGCTCTCCTTTGTCTGCACGGCTCGTTAACGTTTTCTTGATGATCCTGGATTTTCTTAACAATGGCGCAATCGGTCTCATTTTTATCACACCTCTATTTTTTCGCTTCAGTCATCTCTTATCGATCGGGTTTACCGGAATCAAGTCCCAGCGAGCATTGGCTTTTGCTCGTCTGGAGAGCTTGACGGCGGGCAGTTCGAAGGGAAAAGGGGGACGGTGTTTGACCCGGCTCACACGCGTGTGACGAGATGCCGGCGCAGTCGTAGCCCCTTTTCCCCTGTTTGCTTGGCCCCGCCCATCAGATATGGTGGACTTGACACGACATTTATCGATATGACTTTGGATCACACCCATGACTTCCTTTCACGACGCAGACGAAAGGTTATTTATCACGTGACTCTTAACGACCTGAAACAAGTTCAGGCACCGGCGATGGATATACCCAGCAGTACTCTGAGTGTGTTATAGTGTTGGTGAGCTTGGAAATTGTCTTGGGGCAACCTCACAATCCGAGAGGACGACATATTAATCGTGCTGGGCGCAAGGCAAGGCATCGGGTGCCTGCGCAATCTACTGTGCCAACAAATCCAACAGCGGCGTCCTCGCTGAGACGCTCGCTGTTGGAAGTGGGAAATGAGTCGCTCAATGATTAGTTAAAAAGAACGGCACAGCAGATATCAATGGGGGAAAGAGAGAAACGAGAGAAGTCGGTGAGGGGGGGGGCAGGCAAGGGACGCAAAGGGGGGACGCGATGCAGGCTTTTGGGTTGTGCAACAACCCAGCTGTGGCTTCCCTCCTCCCCCTTTGCTCCGGTGCAGGCTGGCGGGAAGAAGTGTTGGAGAGCAGGGGGTGGCAAACGTGGATGACGCAGTTGACAATGGTGTAAAAGAGGAGAGTGCGAGCGACCAAGAATCAGTCACGAGTTCATTTGAGAGATGAAACTGTTGAAGTAGATGATGAGATGTTGAGGTAAGTCTCGTGTGCGTTGTAAGAAGCTGTCGTCGTCTGCCGTAGGGGAGCCTGCCGCACAGCAAGACGTCGCTGGCTAAGAGAGAGCTCCTGTCTGATTGCCAAAGGGTAGGTAGACTGGTAAGTCAGGAGGCAAGTCAGGAGTACGATCCACCTGGAACGACCCAAAAGCACAGGTCAATGAGGAGAGCCAGGTAGGTCAGACTGTAGACATACCCGATACGTAATGTAATAATAGGATGATGGCTAGACACTTTTCCTAGTGTTGCCTATCCGCAACTAGAAGACAAACACTTTACTACTTGTCTAAGGTCTGGCTTTTGTTGGAAACAGAAAAGATATGTCTAGGATTGGGTAGAAGTAGGTCATCATACAGTAAGGAGAGGAGTAATATATTATCTTAAGGTGTAACATCCTGCATGAAGCAAGCACAGTTGATTGCCCTCAAAAACCATGCTTTCTGTCAAAGTTGCTCTTTGTCCTTGCGGACACTTCGCACCTCTTCACCAATGATGCTTTTCTTCCTTGCCGCTATACCCCCTTCTAGCGTGGCATCCTTCGAGCTGTCGTCTATGTCCAGGCCCTGGCTTTTCTGGCATTCCTCCATCTCGTCCTTGCTCACACCTTCGAGAAGCTGTGGCCGGACTACCTTCAGCTTCACGACTTGGGGATTCTCGTCGGTATCTGATATTTTGTAGTACACTCGGAGGCCGACAACTACAACCGCATTCCACGGGTCTTTTTCAAACTCATCCAGTTCCTCCTGGTCAGCTCCGGGAGGGCATCCTTCTTTCACGGGCTCCCTGCTCTCCTTGAGGTGGGCATCAATCTCCAAATCCAGTTCCCGCCTAGACAGATCTGACAGGGACTCCGAATCTTCAGAGCTAGCTGGATCTTCCTTTCGGCTGACTTGTCGGTGGTCTTTTGAGGCTTCATCGGTAGGAGAGACTCTTCCCATTCCTTGTGCTACCTTGAGGTCAGAATTGGAAGCTGTTAGGTTGTCCCTCTTTTCGACCCTGGACTGCATTCTACCCTTGTTCTTCGCCCTCCTCTTCTCTCGGCGCAGCTGCTTTCGTCGCATATAATGTGACTCTTCCCGGGCGCACAGGATCCTGTGCTTTACCTCCTCCCTTTTAGCTTGCCTTTTTGTCCTGTCTCTCGATTCCTTGGCCGCCTTTTCTTCTGGCAATTCCACAAACTTGCCTTTTCTATGTGCAAGATCATAGGCCAAGCCGACTCGAATAAGTTTGTCCCGCCTCTTTTTGGCGTTGTTCCGAATGACTTGATCAAGAGGAAGCACTTGTTCACGACGACTTGCAATGATCTTCAGCCTCACTTGATAACTGCCTTGCTCAAGTTCGACCTCAACATTGACTGATCGCCGCATGCGATATTGACTTTGGCTGCGGACGATATATTCCTCATGGCCTGTCTTATGTAGACGAAAAGCAAGCTGGAAATGATACTGGCCCTGCAAGCCTCTGAAATACCGGTCGTCAAGCTGGGAGAGAACAATCACCACAGGCCCCGGTTTTGAAATAGTGAAGCAAAAAGAGGTGTCGTGGTAACTCGTCGTCCAAGGAACTGTGAGGGTTGTCCAAGTTTGCGCCACGCCCCAATCCGGCCCAAACAGTTGTGTCCTTTCAAATGCTTGAAATTTTCGCAGAAGATCGCTGTATGTCATCCAAAAATCTCCATCCTCTCCAAATCTATGACCCAGCTTCTGTAGCCACTCTGAAGTCCACTCTTTCGAGCCGTCGCCTAGAACACGTTGTCAGCCGCTCTATCTTGTGCTGAAGAAAAAGTAACGCCCTACTCCATGCCCCTTTCCACTCCCCCTTTCCCCAGGGATTTTTCAGGCGCAACAGCCTCTGTCCGTCGATTTCCACGGCTTTCTGGACAGAATAGGCGTGAAGCTCGACAATTCCTTTGTTATCACTTCGATTTAGGCCCCAAACACCTGTGCTACAACCGAAAAGAAACTCGTCATTTACTCGGAGGAGCTCACCCTAGAAACGCTCCTATGTCATTTGTTATTATATGTCTGCCTTCTCCCGCGCCGCCAAATGCATTCGCTCTTACCTTATCGAGAATATCACTGGTAAAGAGCTCAGATGTGATGCCACCGGTGAGGTCTTCAATGCCTTCGCCGCCAAAGCCACCCTCGATGGAAGCAAAGTCTCCATGTGCTTTTGCATAGCACTTTTCTAGAAGCGGTAGCCATGTCTTCTGAGGGTGCTGGCACTGGGCAAAATAGAGGGCACTGCTGTTGGACTGATATACCCGACGATACGCTTCCTCGGGGTTAGCTCTCTCCAGTTCATCAAACAGCACACGATCCAAGTAGCTCTCGTCGTAATCTGGCTTGGTGAGATAGAGCTATGTGGCCCGTCAGCTTCTGTGTTTTCCAACAGGGAGAGGAAAAGGGTGGTGGTGACAAACATAATCGTCAATGATCTCAGAGATCCATTCACCATCTCGATAGAAAACAAACCCATAAACACCAACATCCTGATCGTGGGCCACACAAATCTTCTCAATAAGGCCAGGCTTGTTGCTCAATGTGCACAGAGCCGCCATGAGCCAGCAGTCTCCATCTCTGCCCTGCTTGACATCGTTGGCCGAAGGTGCGTCAACAAAGAACTGCGGCTTGTCAAATATATCAACCACTCGTTTCGCACTTTGGGGCTTGAACGTGTGCCCCGGCGGCTTCCCTTCTTGGAAGCTTGGGAGCGACTCCAAGCAATCCCGTCGTCCCAACTTGAGGTCCGCCTCAAGGTCGAAATGCGGATCTCGATATCTTATATTGATCCGACGACATTCCTTGACAATTTTCTCCACCTTGGCTCTGCATATCGCGACAGCATCATCGTACGAGACGTAGGTAATTTCTGAAGGGGGCTGTTGCCCACCGTAAACGGCGTTTGGGAGTCTCGCCGCATGTGGGCTTTGCGGGATGACCGATGTAGCTAAGGCGAGAGACACAATATTGTTAGTTGTGAGACAGGACCGAACATATAGACTCCTAATTCTACCTTTTCCAGGTGTTTTTGAGGTGAATTTCGCCTAAAACTTATCGATAGTGTCTTGCGGTCCGAGCAATTTGGAGTCCTTCGCAGAAGGCTGCGGCTGGTTATCTGACTCTGGCATCGTGTATAAAGATATGAATAGAAGAAGAAATAGGGATACTGCCGAAAAGATGAATGATAAAATTCCAAATCGAACAGCGATCGTTAAACTAGTAGGATAGGATGTCTTGTGAACCTGGGCAGCTGGAGACGAAACAAGGAAAGGAGAGCGTGCAAGATCAACATAAGATTTTCATCAGAGGGGCAAGCAATACAACCCAAAATCAGACACGTGCCCGCTGATTTGGCCTCACTGAATGTGGGAAGGAAGGACCGGACTTGGGAACTCGGATATACTTGAGGAAGGAACGAGTGAATCAGAGACAATCACCGTCATTTCCGAGCCAGAAGATACTACAGATACCGGATTCCAGTCAGTATCACTTCACTTATCAGCGTTATTGTCAATCAAGGATATCATGAACAAGTCTATTCGTTATGGACATGATGTCAAAGTCCAGGTCTATGCAATGGTAATCATCAAGTGTGTATATATGCTAAAAGCGCCAAACTCCGAGTATAAACCCCCTCCCGTACTCCTTTTTCCGTTTCGTAAGACGCCGGGGTATCCGTGAAGAAGAAGAACAAAATGCTATTAAACACCTAGAAATTCCAATCCCTTGATGAGCTCAAGCGTTTGTAGCTAGACTGCGGTCTAAGGTGGCGAGGGTTAGCCCCCGTGGTCACACCCTCGTCGACCTTGATGTATTTCGCCTTGGGCCTGTCGGCAGCCTCTTCGAAGAAGTAGTGGTTCGCACTGGGCGCATAAGCAACACGCCAGGGGACGACGACGTCCCTCTTCTCGGGACCACCGCCGCAGCTGCCCGTGAGCTGGGCGCTGGGAGGGCTGTTGATGGCGAGGGCGAACAGATTCTGGGGTTCGGTATAGTCGGTGACGAGCCCAGAGCGGAGAAAGAGGTAGAGAAGACAGAATAGATTGATGGCAAAGACGAGGGCGAGGACAGCGTAGAAGATGGCCTGCCAGTCATTGACGTGGCCAGATGTGTATTGCTGAGAGCGAATAGAGGCATTGAAGGCCTGGAGCTGACCTGGGTCTTCAAGGACGGCCTGGGGGCTATCCCAATAATGGCGGAAAGGGGTCTTGATGGAGCTGGTGACAAGCGTAGAGCCGATGTACACAGCAAGCGCCTCGGCCATGCTGGGAAGTTGGGTTGGCATCTTTGGTTCAGAGAGGACGAGCTGCGTAAGCAGTCTTGCATTGGAAGCATTGTTGTTGTACACTCCGCCGCTGACGTCCATTGAAAGTCTCCATGCATCCGCCTGTGAGCTGCCTGTTAGTCTCAGGTAATTACAGGTAAGTAGCAGTCGGGTAGACTTACGACCCATTTCCAGTCGGGGGCAGGAGTAGAAGCAATCTCATCACCAGGGTACGAACGCATAAAGCTATCTTTATCCTCTGGGTCTTCGCAGTAAGAAGATGCCCTGGCCCCCGACGTACCAGAAATTTCAAAGCGCGTGGAGCACTTGGGAGATACCCATGAGCGAAGCTCGCAGAGAGTGTAGTCCGAGAAATCCGGCTTTTTACCCAGAAGGTATATGGCTTCGGACCCTATCATCGTGGAGTTGGTGATGGTATTGTAGTCAGAGGGATACTATAGAACGGTAAGTAAGCCAGCTGCAACCAAGTCTGCCGCAGAATCTTCGGGAAGCCTACAAGTTGGAAGTACGGGGGGCGGCGCTGGTACTTGGGGCCCCATCTGAAGATATCATCCACCTTGGTTCTGTTGAGGAAATCCTTATCGTCGTCGATGTTTGGGAAGTCGTTGGTCCAATCAACAGCCCCAATCAACTGATCGCCAACACCCGTGCTGTTAGTTCGAGCGTCGGGCCAAGCGGTATAAATCAACGGCTCCAGTTCCTCCTTGTTCATATTGACACACATAACATTTACCGTTGGAGATACGACGCCAGCACGGATAGAATATGATCCTACACCGCCAAGATCATCTGGCTGCAGAATCCCGTTGAATTCCTCCTTGGCAGCAGACTGAACTCCTGGATGAGGCATGGCCATGGTGATGTTGTTGATGATGCGGTTGTGTTGCTTGAACGAAGCCTCGACATCGCTGTTATCGGTTTCGATCCAAGAAGCGACCATGGTCGTGTTTTCATAGAGACTAGTGCCCAGTGGGCGGTCAACCTGAGCGACCGCCGCGTTCACATTGTTGTCCAAGTAGGTGTTTTGCCATTGATCCATGAAGTTGAGCAAGTCACGGTATGACTGACCGGAGGATTGAATGTTCATGCAAGCTTCGGAGCCGTGGAGTGTGTCGGTTTTTGAAATGAGGGACGGGCAGGTTTTCGAGATGTATAGTGCGTTACCGTAGGAGGCCATGATGTGACCTTCCATGACCGTCTGGTCCCAGCTACCGAATTTGAGCTTTGGAGCGACCATGGCATCAGAGGCGGTGGTGTAGAAGGTAGCGGCCAGGGTAGCAGTCAGACTCAAAAGACCGAGAATGGTCAACCCAGCTTCGGGCAAGGTCTCGCCGTGAGTGATGAGAGAACCCGGCTGGATGACCCAATTGCGCATGGTAATCTCAGCAAGAGTCATGCCCTTGGAGTTGCGGAGAAGAGAACGGCGGGTCAGAACCTGACCGAGGAACGAGATGAAGACGGTGACGAAGCTCATTTCGATAGACTTGGCGGCGAGAGCAGCCAGAGTTGTGGCTGTCGAGGGGCTCAAACCTTTGCGGGATGAGATATCACGACCCCACCGGGGCTGGAGGATGGCGGTGACGAGCCAGAGTCCGCTCATGATTGTTGAATAAACGGAGAGAATGTAGATGATGATGGAAAGCCAATTCGACCTCTTGATATGAATATCCTTTCGTGAATCGCAGGCAGGGGGTGCACCGAAACCACTGTAGAACTTTCCATCATCAAACTCCTCCTCATCGTCACTACTGTTGTTCAGTTTGCGACTTTTTGCGCCAAGTTTTCTTGGGCTGCCTGGGGCCGAGTTTGTCTGTGATGGGGTTGCGGATGGGGAGTTCTCGCCAGGGGGCATTAACCACGCTTGGTGGTTTGGGTTCTCTCCGGCTTCCTGAGCGGCCTGCTGAGCGCTTCCACCCATATCTGATGGAAAGGCCGGCGACCTGCTTCGGATGTTGGAAGGGGTCGAAGCGGCGGAGCTTCCAGGTGTACCACCAAAAAAGGCCCGTACCGATTTCGCGCCGCCTACGCTGGGGTTGTGAGCAGCGGGGACTTGGTGGACATTGCTGTTGTCAAAGACCGTGATTCCCAAATCCGATGCCCCGACGCGCTCCCCTGGTACTTGCGTCATCTTTGGTGATGCAGAAGCAGAGTCATGGCCCTGGGCGACTTCGAGGAGCTCCATGTCCCGGCTCTGATCGTGGCCCCCATCGAGGGGCGAATAGCCGACCGGGCTGAAGAGGCTGACTGACGTGAAGTTGTTCAAGGGTGAGACGACACCAATGTGACCAGCAGAAGCAGGCGAAACTGCTGAAACGGGTTCATCCCCTCCGTCATTATATTGCTGCTTCCCATGCTGCCGGTGGTAACTGGAAGGGTTAGAGTCCGCCATGATGAAAATGACGGCTCGACCAAAGCCAATTGATCTGGAATCAGGGTCGGATTGAACAATTGATCAAAGACTCGAGACGACTGGAATATATACAGCGGTCCTTGTTTGCGAAGCGTGTCGTGGGAATATTACAAGCAACCGCCAAGAGATTGAATGTCTCTTGGCAGGGTCCCGATTATTGGATCAGCATGAAGAACCTGAACTGTACGATCATTAGAGGACAAAAAGAAGCAAAGAGAAAACAACTTCGAGCGACGCCGGTAGAAATTAAGGAATTATGAGAGGGTGAGCGCGAGGTGAGAGGGTGAAGAGGAAGAAAGAATGAGGGACCTTCCACGAGTGTTCTAGATGGAAGCCAGCACTACTTGAGAGCGAAAGGACGTGCGCTCGATGGAAGGCGACCAGGGAAGCAACTGGTACTAAAACAATGCCGACACGGGTCCTTGCAAAACAAAACAAAAAAGGTGTGTGGCAGGGTAGCACAGCTCCAAGGCCTTATGCATGTGGGGGGCAGAGATGAGGTTCTCCCCCACCAACAAATGTAGAGCGATGGAGACGGTCAAATAGAGTGATAACGGACCAACATGGCCGGCGGGGTGGGAGGACAGCGAAGGAGAAAGAAAGAGAAGCTCCTTACAGCAATTTTAATTCGGTGCAGAGGAGTACCGGGGTTAGCGAGGTGCTGACAGAAGTCGGACCAGAGCCGCCAAGGGTCGATCGGCTGTCTACGCAACTCAAGGCTGGGTTGAGGAGCTGAGCAGATCTTGTCTCCCGAAGCAGAGAACGAGGGAGCGAGGCAAGGAGATTTGAAGGCCGAGCGGCTGAATAGGCGGTGGTGGGTAAGTGGACAATATAATTGATTCTCTCAAACAATGAATCAATGGAGAACTGGACAACTACCAACAACGCAATGCAGACATGCAGTACAGTATATGCGCAATCATTACTCTCCCGTCAATACAGTAATAAATTCATTGTCAATACCATGCCTGGGCTGGGTAGATCTCCGATATTTACAGCTACATGGCTGCATGGTTGGCACCTCGCTCTGCCCTGCGTGCTTATGGCCAAGATGACTATTATTACGACAAACACAGCGCACAGCCTTGAGCAGATGAGGAACGGCCTTGCCCGAAGAGGCATGGGGGACAACCATGCACGCCATAAGGGAGTGAGAGGCGAGCGAGAGAGCAAGACCTGAGGAAGATTGATTCAAGGACTATGTAAACCTGCGGGGCGGATCTGCACCCCGGCAGCCTCCATCTGTGCTTACTCTGGCACTACCTGCTGCGATGATACAATGCTACCCACATGGCATGGCCCCTATTTCCGACACCAAAATCACTCTCTGGCAAGGAGGATCCGTCTCAACTTGTTGCTGTAATGACAAGTGCTGTGATGATTGTGTGGAGAGCACTGGAGGGGGCAAATGTGCGCTAAGATAGCACATGATTACAGTGAGGTGCCCGAGCGCAGCGCAAGGAGGTCAGTGTCCAGAATAGAGACTGAGAACAATAACACCAACACAGTTGAAGCTGATGCCTCCTCCGGCGTATAGAATCAGCCTTCATCTTCCCAGAATGACTGTCGGCATCAACAAGCTTAGGCCAAGACAAGGAACCACGGGTGTTGAGCAAGGTTGTTTTCTGGGTGGTCTCCGCTTGTCAGACAGCGAGACCCACTAAGCGTAGTGGAAATACAGTCGATAGCCCATTCTGCACTGTGTGCCGTTCCACTTAGGGGAGTCAGATCTTCTTCCCGATTGGAAACCTCATATGTGCACAATGTCACAGGTGAATAGGTATTCAGTCTCGGATATTTAATGGATTCGCTACCTGGCCGGTGCTCTTTCTTCACTCTCATGAGACCCGTTACCAAGCAACAAGATAGGGCGATATGTGACCACCATTGATGACCAGCTAGGAAAAACGCACTGAGAAGAAAACACAGTGTCCACAGACACTGTGGGTAAGGACCCATCGTGGGTTTTAGCAGCTCTAAGCCCCTGGAGCCATTGTGATCCATGGTTCCTTAGGTCGTGCAGTACCTAAAAATAGCCCTGCGTCTGTGTGGCTGGTTGTGCCTGCAAGCCACTACAACGAACCTCTTCCCACAAGCCTCTCCCGTCCCACCAGTTTGGTTATTCTTCTCTCCGCCGTTCCACTGCATGCTCTCCAAAACACTATCAAACCAGATCAGGCGAGGACTCACGTGGCGGCGAGGCGCATTTCCCTAAGCATCCGTGTTTGAACCTGTCCCTGACCAATAGAGATGCCCGATCCTCACGGCTCCCTTTCCCCTGCTTGACGTGGCAACGATCTAGCGACGCATATCAGACGAAGAATAGCCATGTGGATGTGACTACCTCATCAATCAGACACTGCCTCACTTACAAGGTCCACATATGAGTGCCCAAATGCGTCCCCGGCAACAGTAGCCCCAACTATTTCTAATCATACCTACGCTATGGTAAGCCCACACTCGGGTCAAGTTACCCGTTCCGCAGGCTATTGCCCAACTGTTTTTCAGCCACCAGCCTCTGGCGTAATTCTTGGTCGTGAATACATACCGGGAGCTCTATGCTTATTTCTTTGCAGCATATTCCAACATACTTGTTGTCCCTAGGCCCCGATCATCCGGACCCTCCTTTCATAGGCCACTAACCCAACCCAATTGGGCAGATGATATCATACAACTGAGCGTGGCGATGGCCACCTCATCATTCATCAATAAGCAGAAGGTCAGTTTATTGTTGTTCAGCAGCTCCTCCTCAGCCTCAAGGTGGCAAGACAGTAAGTAAAGCAGGCTACTAAGTGTGGGTCAAGGCCACCGACACTGTGTTCCAACCACAATATCAAAGCAACAACTACAAATTAAGCAACGGAATATTAAGGCAACATGCAATAGCAAATAACATAGAAACATGGATAAAGAACAGTTGAGTGCGAAAGATACGTGTCAAAGGCCGATTGCGGAGTTCTTTGTCATGTTGTATGTCACCTCTCAGCTGCTCCCATACACCTGCTTGTAGCATCCTCCATGCCTGTGAGATACTTCACTACGCCTTCTATGTTAATCAGACTCCCACTCTGATTGGACATTTATGCAACTACCATTGAAATTTATGACCCCAACTATGATCTATGCTTGAAAAATGTCTTCCTGTTCATGAATCCCAGCATGGCCGAGAGAAAGCATAGACCTAGGCCGACCTGCTGGCACATATCGGTCTTTAATGGTATCTATGCCCTTGACAGGAAACAAACTAAAATACTGAGATACTTCTGCCTCGGGGTTCCCCCAAGAATACTAACCAGCTACCCCTGAGAAGATGATTCAACTCACCCCCAAGCATACGTCTCAAACGTCCTTTTGTTATGAAATCTATCCTTACACCAGAGTAACTGTGATGTCAGACAGTCTGTTGAAGTTGACGTATATGGCGAGCTCTTTGGGGTTTCAATGTCGTAGCCTTAAACCCCGAATAATGCCAGCCTTGATAGACATAAAGCAGGGCCAGCCTCAGAATGTGATAGCAAACTGGAGACAAGGTTACACAGCAACATTGAGGTCTCTATTCACTTGGCAGCAGGCAAGAAATTACTCACAATGCAGCCCTACTACGTCTCTTAACACATTGCCTTAATTCTCTCAGGATACATGACCTATTCCTCCATTACGGAGAGGAGACCCAGCGTTGGTCGATAAGAGACAAATTCAAAGGCTCTTCAACCTCTGGTGACTGAAATACGTCCGAGTGCCTTTAATATTGGCATGGATCAAATGATTTGAGAACGGTACTCAGTTGCGATACATAAGCCAATAGCTCATTGTGATGACGACTTCCCTCAACTCTTTGACGAATGAAGTCAGTTTGAGAAATCTTCTTGAAAGGTTGATCCATGGGTCCTGAATATTTTTGCCATGTCAAATAATCCGCTTCCTAAGAAATCTCCACGGAGTTTTTGGCACCAAAGCAATCGAGAATGCCCTCGTGACAACCTAGGAGCATATATCAATATTAAAGTGAAGGGTTTCTTGTCTATGAGCATACTCCTACGTACCATGAATCTTGCTATGGGTATTTTGAGGGTCTCGGAGAATCAAATAGTATGAGAGTCGTCAGCGATGCCCGAATATGTCAAGCTCTAATGTGTAGTTCTTGGAAACGACTATTTGCAATGTTTAGTTCTTGGAAACGGCTATTTGCCCTCATTTAGTTGGATACGAGCCAGGGATCGCAAGGCTAACTGCTAGTTACTTGTCAGATGGTTACCTCTACGCGGTCTCTCTCACGCTGGTAATAGCTAAAAGAAGATCTTTCTCAAATTGAGACCTACCGGATTCCACGAGACCAGTATTCCCATACATTCGGGTGCCATCTAAAACAGAAAATCGGGGCAGAATATATCTTTTCCGGGAGATCTCCCATGTAGCATATGTGAAGTAACGGGCAACATCGACGTACGTTAGTAGAAGATGCATCCTAAACAATAATGCAAGCGCAGATGAAATCTAGCAGAAATACAGGCCATATAAGCGAGAGAAGTCTTCTCGTGAAATTCCTCCAAGTCGATCCATCGGACAAGTCGAGACGTAATGAAAGGAAGTTGAGAAAAGTGCGGGCAATTCGACTGCGAAATAGGCAAGAGGGGAGATCCCTCGTTTATCGATCGTACGATATCTCCCGAGTTTCCCTTATTTTTTCCGACGTGAGTCTCCCTCATTGATGCAGTAATAATCGCTACTGTCGTTTGGTAGAGCTTGGCAAACGATCTACCTGGCATCACTCTGACCGCATTCGGGGCGAATTAGAGGACAGCATCAGTCACGCCAATCTCGCCATCTCTCTCAAATGGCCGGATTGCTCGTTGGCGTTAATCACAAGCAAGTGCCAGGGCAAGCGGCGGATAACTATACCCTCTTTGAGTAGGCGAGACGAGACAAATCATTGTATGCTAGATGTCACAAAGGTGTAACACCGTCCAAAATCGATTCCGGAGCAATTGAATGACCAAATACAGATCCTCTAGTACCAACCTTCCAGATGAGCCTGCATCTTTGGGCATGGTCGACCTATTTGGGTCTGGACATCATCATTTCATTAACGCCTAAGCTCCGCGATTTGACCTATAAACCGAGGCCACATACAGGTTTCAGAATTATACGAACGCTAGCGATGGCTAACTACAGTCGTTCCCTAGACTCCTTTATTGCAGAAAGCATGGGGCAATATCAGGTTAGCCGTCTTCGACCGTCGCAGTGTCCACTTCGATTGAACCTCACTGGCTATGTTCATGATACGTGTGACATTTGATGTCCGTCTCTCCGTTCTGAGGACTGTGTAATTAAAGCATGAGATCAATACTTGCCTAACCTTTCGCCGTCATTGGTAGCTCGAGCCGAACAATCAAGACACCCAAAGGCCTCACTCTCTATAATATCCAGAGCTCTTCAATCAAGTAATTGACCAACTCTTTAGAAGCTAAGTAAATATACGCACGTAGCATATTACAAGATTAGAAATATGGTGGGCTCGTTTGCGTATGGCGTTCGAAACTTCAGCATAGGAGATGAACAACTCAATCCAAACCAGCCTTTGTATGCCAAATACTCTTGTTCCCAGCCCCTTTGTAGTGCTCTTTTACGACACAAGCTCCCGCCGACTCTTTCTGGTAAGTATGAATATAGTTAGCATAATGCAAAACACTCTCTGAAAGGCCACACATCTAACACTGGCGAGTCTGTGGGTTATAAATGTTCATTTTTTTAGGGCACCTCGCTCCTCCAGTCGTCGTAGCACTTTCATCTCTCTTTACACTTTAAATTCAATGACTAACATAAAGAGTATCGCGTAGCAGCCCTCAGGGGTCCCAGAGGCATGGGTTCTTGTATCAGCTTCAAGGAGTGCGTCGAATGGAGCGTTGCGATTGTACAGATAACATGTCTCTTAATTCACTGGGGTTAATTTGGTGCAAGTTGCAGGCTTCTACGAAGTAGGAAGCCAAGACGAGCCCTTGTGCAAGGGAACAAAGTCTCGCTTAACCATACTTTACGCCCAACATATAAAGATACCCATATATCGAGTTCACACATTACAGATAAACATGAAACACAACATCTCTCGTTCTGTACAATTTACTATTCACACCCTTTCTCATTAAATGCCCTCGATCACGACAAGGGGCGGAAACTGTCTTCCCAGTGTAGGGTAAGAATTCTTCACAGCCTCACCGTCAGTAATAAATAAGAAAAGGCAAACATACAAGCATGGACAACCACCATCCATGCTGCCAAGGTAGGCCAATTAACGCCCTGCAGATAAGCACGAGATATCCCAACTCCTTGGGTTCTTGGACGGATGCTATTCAAGGAAACAAGGCTCAAATCGGAGCTGGGTGGACTCGAGGGCTGACGGGAGGATGGCGCGCCAACCAACCGACACGCCAACCGCTGGCTCAGGCTGGGGAAATAATAGACTAACGATATCCCTTCCAAGCGCTAGCAAGCGTGCCGGCGAGAATTCCTGCTGGGATAGGATGGGCGTGGGCGTGCGTACAGAGGAGTTCGCAGCTGACAGGAGAGCCCCGGCCCGTAGTGAGCCAAGATGCATTAGCCTTTCCGGTAAACATGCTGTGACGGCTGATGCAAGTGCATGAAGAATGGGCTGATACAGCCAAGCACGAGGGGAAGGGAATGTGCAGCCGTTCCATCTGCATGTTGGTCAGGCTTATCTGGGACTGACCTCGGGCTGCCAATGCAGGCAGGGGTCAGACCTGGCCGGGCTCGAAGGGGGAGAAGGTAGGGGACTGCAGGTGGGAGGGCAAAAAGCAAAGAAAGTTCGTTGCCTGGATTTCTGAGCCACACCGGAGAAGATGCGGCTGGAAGGGTGGTATCCTTGCAGCAAAAGGACGGGTCTCTCTTCCTCTGTCTGTGAGGAATTGTGTTCACTGCATCAGCAATGTCGCCCTGGCTAGTCTCGGTCAGAAGGGCCAAGGGTAAGATGGCACAGGTACTACGTCCCTAACATGTTTTGGGCGGGATGAAGAAGGCGTTTGCGAGCCTAATCTGTATTTCTCTCGGTGCTCGTTGTTGCTGCTATGCAGTAAACTCCGGCCAACTTCGTGTTTCACGGGGTCGATTCGGTAGCGGCCAAGGGCCGACCTCAAATCTCAGTCCAGCCAGCTAGCCACCCCTCGGGGCAAGTTGGCACCCAATTGGACGAGGAAACGAGCTGCCTGCGTTCCTGTCATCGCTCGGTCTGGGCACGGTGGACGGTGTACCGATCCCCTCCACTCCAAAGGGACCCCAATGCAGATCTAGGCTCCCTTGCTGGCCAGCTCCATTAAAAGACGTACGATTCAATCTATCGGAGGATCGCTCACGAGCCCAAGCTCCGCAGCGGCATAAACGGAGTGCTCTCCCCTAGTGTGTGAGAGTGGTTCTGACTACGGCCATGGCCAGGACCAGGAGGTCATACCAAACATCCATCTCACCATCTGGTTGAACTCACGCCCAGAGCACGCTCCTCCTTCGATGTTGGCGTTTCTGGTGTAAGGCTAGTAGGGTTGCCCAGGGCGGCAGTTGAGCGCACAATGTAATCTATCAGAGAGCTGTTCTCCCGTAGAATGGTAAATCCAACCAGCAGACGGACATCCGGCGAGAACCGACCCAGCATCTCTCTCTGATCCCTGAGTACAGCATCTCCGGCCAATATTCCAACATGGCACATGGCCCGAGGCCAGGAACCACAAGTGGCATCCAGGGGCCCTCTACGTCCAGCTGTGAGGGGTTGAGCTAGAAGCGGCATAGGTAGATACCGAAGATATCGCCCTGCAGGTATCTACACAACATCCCAGCTTGTTGATCTCATTATCCTTCTTCGGCGTTCTCCCCGCACGAAGTGACTGGTTAGTCGGCATCTTGCCATGTGTACATGGGTGGGCAAATGCGTTTCGTTTCAGCAGCCGATCCTAGTGACAGTACGGATTCGAGGTCGAGCATCGGCTACTAGCCACTTGTACCATGATCAAGCCAGGGTGCTGAGAGTTAGCCTGGCAGCCTGCTGACTGGATGTTTTACATGGGACGAATCGCCTTTCTCGGGTCCCACACAGAACACTATAGCTGAAGGTTTAGCCTCTTGATAGCTCAGAGGAACCCGGCCTAGCCTGCGGTGCCAAGGGTCGCGTTACGTACAATGTAGAATTGCAGAGTAGCACAAGGCCTGCAGTAGTACGGAACGGAATTAAGAGGGGGAAGGTGGTTGTGTATGTGCGTGGTGTAACTCCATCCCAAGCTCAGAGCCGTAATCGACTCCGACCAACAACTCCAACCACAAAACACTAGGGCAGTGACATCCACTCACACGAGCAGTGCGTACATAGGGATATGGGGATATGCAGGACTGAACAGGCGCTGTGGCGAGCACATGGCTATCCGCCGCTGCCGATGCATTTTCGCCGCCCCTGCGCTAGCCATGATGACTGTCCAGGTACATGTAGATTCGTTTCTTCTGCGCCACCGATATCTCGTCTGCGGACCGGAGAAACATGAGGAGAAACCAGAAGTCTAAAATGTGGCCGGTCAGTACTTTGGCCTCGCTTGGGTGTATGGGAAGGGGAGGGGGTGGTTGAGGCCCAACGGACGGTGATCACCAAAAGGCTGCGCTTGCAAGACGTCTCAGCCGCTGGAACGGCTGGAATAGGAAAGAAAGACCGCCGTTCCAGAATCGATGACAAGGAGGTTGAGGCGTGAGGGCTTTCGTGCCGGGCTGCCACACCTTGGGGATATGAGTTCGGGTTCGCGGTTCCGTGGATGTTTCTAGCGCCAAAGTCTATCCTGCTCTATTACTGCCCAAGCGCGTTGTGCCACAGCGTAGATGGAAGCATGGATCCGGTAAAATTCCTCCTGCTCTGGATCGACGCCTCATCCATCCCCTCAATCCACTGACCCGTTTGCTGGAATTTTCGCCCTCCTTCGCCGCGGACGATACGTCATGAGAGCAGGCGAAAACGTTAATATTGCAAACGAGAAATCATTACGTATCGATGAGTCGACAATGACACAGTGACAGGCTTCTGACTTCCTTCTAGCGCCAACATCAAGGTGTTCTGCACCCTACAGTGATGTAAGGCTGTATCTACAGGGTAGTGCAAGATTAGTTGTGTGTGCGAAAATCACAAGCTGGCTAAAGGGTGAGCTGGTCCCCTGCCACACTGCAAATCACCACTCACTACAGAGGTGGCTAGCGACTGGTAGCCCTTCTAGCTCTTCTAGCCCTTGCTAGAACAATGGCTAGATGGATGATGAAGATCGCCCAAAAAGGATCCTGATGGCGCCGTGCACATTCTCTCTATGCACACACTCCCTCACAACCTCACTTCGCGCTTATGTAGGTAGATGTGTATGGATGCGCTGCAACCACGAGCTAGCAACATTACTCGAGAATGCACACACCGCCAACCGTCATCTCTCGTAGGCGGTGATGGTGTGCACAAGTCCCAGGAAAAGGGGTGACCAAAGTGGCGGTCATCGTCCGATCAATAGCAGGGTGGAAGAAGTTGAAGCCATACGCAGTTGGCAACGAGGTTGAATGGCTCGAAGCTAAAGCAGCCAGTCATCATTCTATAGGCTCTTCCGCTCAATATTACTATGATCCGGTCTTCATTGGAGGGACGGAAGGTTAATTGTAGTCACGCTTCCGTCCGGGCCAAGGAGCACCCCTGTAGCATAGCATATGCGCGTCCGCATTTGCATCTTTCCACGTGCCACAGAAGAGGGATGCGTTCAAGGCGGAATGTCTCAGCAAGGACGAAAGGATGGGTGGTGGGTGAATACGCCGTCTGCTCGGATCTTCAACGGAAGCAAATATGCAGGCTATCAATACCGTCTGACTCGGGGCAGGGAAGAAAAGACCCAATGCACACGTGTGGTGTGTCTACTACACCTAATGTACTTGGACGTGCATATACATGAAACACAAAATCTGGAGTAATCAATCAACGCTCGCCTACGAAGGCCCGATCGACCGCACATGATATCCACACACATAGAAACTGGCAGAGTGGCAGTCGACAGACAGGGACGTGTTGAGCTAGAAGAAAAAGCAAACAATAAAAGAAACCAGGGACCTGAACAATGAAGATTCTGACCAGGACCCATGCCACGTGGATCGGCCGGGGCGACGCGTGCCAAGAGAAGGCGGTCCCTCCCATACGGTGAACTCAGTCTAATCGGGGTGCATCCAGACATGGATCCACGGCGCAGATGGATGGATGGGTGGATGATGCTGTGATGATGAAGTCGAGAAGAAGGGGGTTTGCATATTGCAGCTCGTGGGTGTCTTGGGGGTTGGCCCAGTTGCCAATTCTACGCCCATTGGAAATGTACCGATGTTGGTTGAATCGATTTCTGCTTGTACAAGTATTATAGGCAGGTATCTCAACTGATAACTGGATTGATGTGCCAAAGTCCAGATCCGCCGGTTTGTGCTGCCAATGAGCCCGCAAAAGCCCTCCGCCATTTCATCACCTGACAGAGCCCAGCTTATGCCGCTGCCATCACATGCCTGTGCTTGCAGCAAATGGCGGTATCCAGCCGGCCACAAATTCTTTAGATCAGTACATACGTATTCACTGACCAATGACTGCCCGGATATGCGAGGCACCTGTGATCTGCTGTATCCCTGCTGGAGATGCAGCCTCTCTCTACACACACGCACCACCACCAGCTCTAACTCACACACTCACACTCACACATTCACACACTCACACACGGCGCAGCCAACCAGACAATACCATTATCCGAATGTCTCATTTCTCTTGCCTTCTTCGCTCGTGCGTTATCCGGAACCAAAAGGGGTCTTCCGAATTTTTTTTTTCTTTATCCTCTTCTCTAGTAGAAGTAGCAGGGGTGGGGATCTTCGTGATCGATCCTTCATCCATGCTACTTTCTTTATTTACAGTTACATGCAGCCCTACACTTTGATAGAGAGATGCCTTACTCTAGACTGATATGCTACATGGGTGTAGCCCGTCTCAACCCTCTCGCTCTCGCTTCTCCCAAGAGCAGGCTAGACAGCCTTGAAGGCGTTGATCCGTCTTTTCAGCCATATGCTCTACTGTGCCTCGACTGCATTAGTGAACCACAACAAATACTAGAATTAGATGGATGGATGGCTGGAGCTTCTCCTCAAACCTGTTTCCACATCCCACTAGCCTCTCTTGACGCAGTTGAGGTGCCTCTCAGCGAGCGGAGCCCTGCACGGTGCCTCTCGCCAATTTGCCCGCTGCTGCTTCAACATCACCTCTGGCTGGGGGGGGTGACCCTGATGTGTATCAAGCCGAAGAAGAGGTCCAGTCCAGGGGAGAAAGAGGTCGTGGGAGCAGGGGGGGCCAGGAGGGGCGTGTGCAGTAGTGCAGTGGGCTCCCCGACCTTGGCAGAGGCCAGTCCTGCAGCCAGCATTTTGCTTGGTTTGCCCTCATCCAATTCAACTCAACCTCGAGAGCGAGCTCACCGTCGGCGTTATGGGTGGACGCAGACGGAAGTCCCAGCCCCCCGCCCTCGCCGGTCCCCCTCTTCCTCATGCATGCATGCAAGTGAGAGATATTCCGATAGATCTTCACCGTCTCACCAGGGCCTGGGACATTCGTATCCAGCCCGAGCGGAGTCGTCAGAGAAACGAAGCGCGGCGCCCAGTTCTGGCTGGCGAATCCTCACCAGCCCGTCAAAGGGATAGCCCCAATGCCTAAACCCCGCTAATAATAGTAAAAATGGTAGGGACCTGAAATTCAATCAAGTAATTAGCATTCTACCCTGCGGGCGAGGGGCCTGGCCAAGCTGCGCCCGCCGGGACAGGGAATGGTGCTTGATCATCCAGCCGTTAATCATCCCTTCGTTTGCATCTTTCCCTCTAACCGTTACTCGCCTATCTTACCGGAAACCAACTTCCCCAGGCTCATTCCCCCCCTTCGAGGTAAGCTTGCGAGTATGCCAGTTGGTGACGACTCTCCCTTCCAGCCGCATGCCCATCACCCACACCGTAACCAACGAGAAACCCCAGCTAGAGCCAACAGGCTTGCCATGCATCTGCGAGGCTTCGAGTTCTAGTATGCCACCACCACGCAGCAGCGCTACTGCTACAGGTCTGTATGTACATAGGATGGGAGGGCGTGTGGATGGGGGGGAGTACGACACCAACCGCCGCCAGAACAGGGCATAACGCGACATGCGCCCAAGAGTAGATACAGTAGTGGGCAGGCCCTCGGGGAGCTAGCAGGCGATGGAAATTCTACCTCGTGGGCGTTGACCGTTTGTCGGCCCTGGCGGCAGCGCGTTGTACATGCCACGCGCGCCAAGCCAACGCCAGCCGCTGCAGACATACCACGCAGCTAGCATCTAGTATGAGCCAGGAGGTGGTGGACGAGGGAAGTGAGGGGGAAGTGGATGATGATGGGCGTGCTCTACTGCTCTGATGCTTTTGATGCTCTAGGTACCTACCTACTTACTCTGCCTCGCTGCGCTGTGACGATAACGCACTTCTCGTACATGGACGCCTCGTCCATGTGCATAGCAGGTCGGCCTACGAGCGTCGGCGGTAGCAGAACCTGCAGTGCCAGCCAGCAGCTACCTTAGTCCGCATGTACATACATCACATCCTATCCCATACCTGCATGTATACAGACAATCCCCTTGATAGTAGCGCGCGCGCTTTCCTTCCAGCACATCCCATCCAGCGCCTCCAATCGACAATCAGCCAGCGATTACCCGGAACCCAACGCCTCTTCGGTTCGGAAACGTGCCGGTTCCATTCTCCCGCCCCCTCGTGTCGACTTTCCCCCAGCAATTTCTAGAAGCTGGCCTGGAACGAAACCTTGCTGCTGGCGCCAAACTCTATCTGAGGAACTCACACTCCAGCGAAAAACCGCCCGCCACAAAAACAAGAAACCTCGCCTCTGCGCACCACGAATGGAGACAAGGCCGACGGAGCCAAATCTGTGGGGATTTTCCGCAAGCTCTTCCTTCTTCCATCTCTTTCCCGTTCGTGGCTGGCGCCCGGATGATGGGTGGGAGAAGGAGGCGCGAGCACTTGGAAGCTTAGCTGGGGGGTGTAGGGGCGAGAAGGGACCCTCCCATCCATCGTAGATTTCCCACGTTTTTTTTACTTTGGCACTGGGCCTCTCACCTGTCCTGCCCCCTAGGATACTTGTCCCGTCGCAATGTAGCTGCCTCGTCGTCTTGATTCTTCATGGTGCTAGTGGTTTCTAGTTGGAAGTCGGACCCCTTAGGGACTGAGCAGGCCCCCCCCTCCCTCCCTTCGAATATACGCCAGAACAGCTCTAACCCTCTGAGCGACAAGCCGGGAAGGGGTAGAAGTAGAGGGGGGAAACACGCCTGCTAGTGATGATGCAAGGAGGGCAGCCTTCTTCAAGGTAGGTCGCAGGGGGCGGTATGATGGAGGCTCAATGCATCCAAGAGTAGAACTCTCCCAGAGGATCCCGAATGACGAGGTCCCGGAGGAACAACAGCGAGAGATATCCGGGTGACAACGAGAGATCTATGCCGTAGCATCGCTTGACAAGGCTCACGCTTGATGCCGATGGCACCCAAATACCGCTTGGGCGACGAGGGTAGGGGGTTGGGAACCGTAGAGATCTGCAAATGGAAGCGGCAGAAGGCATGTCAGTATGTACAGACGAACCTTGGACTGCCAGATCGAGATGGAGGAGTGATTTTCGTCCAGCCTGTCACTACCCATGGCCAGGGGGGGCATTGACTTATTCATGTCATGCTATGTCATGCTATGTCACTGGCAGAGGCTCGTGTGGCATGGGACTTTGATGTACCAGTGAAGGTGGATGGAATTGCAGGTCTATTTACTCCGTACCAGAAGATGATGATTGATTTGTCAAAATAATAGGAATGTGGAAACAACATGTGGTGGGAAATCTCTCTTCTCATCTTCTTTGCTTTGTGCCTAAAAAAAGTAAACGCCTCAGTGTGATCAACATCTAGTGCGATGCAACAACAAACAGCCCAGTCAAAACCGTCATTTTGCTCCCTTCTCCAATGCACATGCAATGATACCAACCTGCCCAGCGGTACTGTGTTTTCCCGAAGATACACCCCAACCATATCCGCAGTCATATCATCGATAAAAAAACTCAAGCAAGCAAGAAAGTACAGTAGCAAGCATGAATGTATCATATAAGAAAAAGAATAAAAACAAGTGTCCAGCGCCCCTCCTCTGCCAGTCCCGACCATGGGCAGAAGGAAATAAGATATGCGATCGTAACAACACGTGGGGATCATCAAAAATGCCCACCCTCCACGCGGGCATTACAAGAGAAGGATGAAAAAGATGGTGAAAAGGAAATATAGGCGGTGAAAAAAATGGAATAGTAATAGAAAAACCATTGACGCGACGACCAAGCCGCATAAGATCGGATGGACGAAAGAAGATGGAGGGTGGGATTTGGGTATGGGTGGATGGGTGTGGCGGCCATGTCCTCGCCAGTCCACGACCAATGCAAAGAGACTCTGCTGCAGCCGAATCTGCGAAGCTGGTTCGCTCGACGCATGATTGCGGATCTATCTGCATGCCGCGATAATGTCCGATGCGGGCGCGGACAGTCATCGGTCAGGCCGCCACTTTTTTGCTGTGTTTTTTTTTCGTCCTTTTTTTTCCAGAAGCCTTAGATCCGTTTCTCTGGAAGTAGCATTCGTCTCCAGAAAAAGATCTTTGGGGGTAGAGCGGCGTCATTGCCCCTTTGGACCCCGGAATATCCGATGCTTAATCTGCAGCTGCGGATTTTGTGACGTGATCCGATGATCTCCCTGCCTCCGTGTAGATGCCGTTCAGTGGACCGGAGACTGTACTGGGTTGTAGTACATTGCGTACATGTTGTTCCATGAGGCAGCTTGTTGGTGAGGGTGGATGAATGCTGAGGGGCCTAGAGTAGGAATAGGCGGGGTTCCAGTGGCGCTGCGGCTACCAAGATGGAATCCATGGTCTAGCAACTACAAATCAGCTTCATTCAGTCCCTTCTATTCATAAAGGATACGGTTGAGCCCGCCTTCATTCTTTTGAATGAAGCAAGGGATGATGTACATACCATTGCCATCCTCGTACTCCATCTTGATCTCTTGGCCTCCTCGGTGGCCGTTTCCAGTGGGTGAGATGAGGCCCGCGGGCGCGCTGGTTGGGAGATAGGGTGTGACGTACTCGTCAGGTGTTCCTGACGAGGCAGGGCTGGAGACGGTTGAAGGCACAGAGTTGGTTACGCCGGATGCCCAGCTCTCTGTGTTGTTGGGAAAGGGCACGTATCCTGGGGCGTACTCTGGTAATTGACCGCTCGAGCCAAAGTCGCTGGTAGGAAAGGGAGATGTGCGAGGGCTGGTGATGGGGCCGCTTGCAGTGCTCAGGTTGTCATCGTAGACTGCGAAAACTACATGTTAGACATAAAACACGGGACAGTAGACTATCGCTCTGGAGGACGTACCAGGAGTTGAATAAGGCGAGGAGGTTAGAGAGACACCCATGGTCTCTCGAAGGCGGCGAAGCTCCTCTTCAAGAGCCTTGTTCCTGCGGAGCAATTCCTGGAGGGTCTTGTCACGACTTTGCTGGCTTCGAAGTTCTTCGAGCTCAGACTCTAGACGCTCAATGTGCTCCTTGGTGCGAGCACGAATAGCTCGCTGTGCTTCTCTATCGTTGGCGCGCTTCCGTGCGAGCTGTGCTGGTGTCAGGGTCGAGACACTGCGGGTACCTAATGACAAGCAAGGACTCGGTCAGTGGGAGGTGTTTGTGCGGGGGAAGGGGAGCTTACCCTTGCGCTTGGATACCTTGGCCTGGTCTGCTGATGATGATCGAACCATGGTTGGAGAAGGAGAGTCGTTTGAGGGAGCTGAGGTAGGCCGGCTGCGGCGATTGTCGGGAGTTGTGGTCATTTTGGCGGTTGTGAGGTGGTGTGTTGAAGAGAGAGTTGTATGAATCCGGGTGATTCAGATTGCTGCCACAAAGGTAGGCAGGAAAGCAAGGATGCGTTTGTGTTTTATAGCCCGTGAATTGTTGTTGTTATTGTTTTGGGAGGAGAAGAAGGGTCCAGTTGGATGTTGCTTCAAGACGTGGGTCGAGGGTCGAGGGTCGAGGAAGGTGAAGGCCAAGGGGTGGCTGCTATGTATATGTATGTTTGACTTGGACGAGGGCTGCAGGGTTTATCAAATGCGGAGCTGGTTCTAGTTCGTCGTCATCCAAAGGCAGGTTGTTTGCATGGGAAGATCTGCTGTTATAGCTTCATCTGGCACGTTGACTGGGATGAGGACTGGGTGGAGGATAACGCATGCTATATAGGTAATGCATCTCTTGCTTAGGCTTGGGCTCACGGTAAAGCCAAGGAGACCAGGTTGGGATAGAAGCTGCATCTCGGTACCCGGGGCGTGAGGGCGTGCGAGAGGCGTGGATGGATGGTGGTGGCGTATGCTGCAGAGTCGATGGATGGTGGAGAAGTCAAGGGGTGTGGAGCGGAGGGTGTGTACATTCTGATACTAGGTAGTTTGTTGGGAGATGCCGGACCACCCCCATGTTGCTCTTACTTCTGCCTCACCCCCCTCCCCGGCCGGCCCAAGTCCGACCAGCCCTAGCCTCAGCATAGGAAGCTGCTCTGTTGGTAACTCCGCTGCTCCTCGATTCACCATGCCTATGGGGGAAATCCAGTCAGTTTCTTGCCCACTCCGGATCCCAGCCGGCACCAACGCTACTGACTGTTTCCTGTATTGGCTGTTAGCGCACTAGCTCTTCAACTCTCACCCAGCCTTCGACTAGAGAGGAGGTACACATCTACATCTATACATGCATACATAGGTAGCTCCAGTAGTCATCAATGGGAATTTGTGGCGTCGTCCCAATCATGTGGCCACTATCCTTGCCGGCGGCATTGAGCATCTGGCACTCCAACGTCTGTCCAATTATACTCTTCCTGTGCCCGACAAACAAACATTGGTGTTGGCTAGCTGCAAAGCTGGATTGGGAGGTATTCGCGGTCCTACCAGCAGCTATCGAATGCCCGCATAATCGACGATCCGGGGCTTGCTACTTGCTGCTTGCTGCTGCTAGGCGTAAACTTGTGCCCGCCCATCCTGCCGCGTGATAACAATGGTGGCCATGGGGGTGCAACTTGTATAGACCTGATCAAACAACGACCACCAGCCCCATCATGCTCTCCTAGCAGAATCAATTAACAAAGGGACTATACTGGATGATAGGCCTGGACCCAAACGGGGGGATCGACTTGAACCAGATTCCCGAAAGTAAGTGCTTGTCCGCACCGTCCCCGTCCCGAAGAGTTGGTCCAGCCCGCCTTGGTGGAGTCGCCAGCAAAATCAGGTTGCGGGCTTCTAGAAAGTGGCCTCCACTGCGCAGCCTAGGGCAGGACGGTGAGCAGAGCTGGCCCAAGACACAGAGCTGGCCGTAACCGGCACCGAGACGGACTGTCCATATCCGGCGGCAAGTTGCAATCCGCGACAACGGTGTCGAGCTTATCTAGCCCAGCCGGACAGACGCTCGTACCCAATATGGCTGAGTCTGGAGCACGTACAAACATGGAACTATTAGATCCGTAGCCCAGCCTTATATCAGCTCAGGCTAGCAAGCCAAAGACAGTTTCCGGTCCGCCCGTTTTCTTTTCCGTCTAAAAGCCTGCCCGTTTGCTAAGGGCACGGTTCTTCTTATGAAAGGGATTTCACCTGTGTGGGCGAAACTGTGCGGATGCGTATTCCAGGCAATTGAAACCCAGGCATGTCCGAGCACCTTCTCGGGGCGTCACCTGGTTTGGGCAGCTCGAAAGGGATGGCCAGCATCGATGTTTGACATGGCAAGCGATGGTCGGCCTTCTTTCCGAGGACAAGGATCGAGCGCTGTCAATCAGCGAATGAATAGAGGGCATTAAGGTTTGGAAGCAGGCGTCACTTACCCGACGCAGGCTGGATGTACCGTAGCAATAAGATCAGTCAAATTGGCTTCATTCGATGCCATTCCAAAAAGTGACAGGTCGGATCTCGGGGTCTCTCGGTCGAGCGAAACGCGTTGATTGGTGAGGGAAGGCAGGGGAGCCCCGTTCGCCCACATGGCTCGCTTGGGGACGAGGGGCTTGGGGGATCTCCACGGACGGTCGAAAAGGTGGCGAGAAGGTCTCAGGCCAACCAGGGGACGGATGACTGACCGTCGCCGGATCAAGTGCTCTACCGATCGGTCGGGCAGTGACGGACTCGACATCACATACGTCGTCCAGCGTTTCGCCTCTCCGTTAGGTGCGTTTCGCCGCGAGACGCGACGAGTGCCTCTTTTTAAGGTTCTGTCCGGCACTTTCTGAAGAGGACGAACTGGTCCAAGGACGTGTCGCGTGGCAACATACCTTGTCCCTAGAAGGTGCTTTAGTGCTCATTCGAAGGAGCCAGCCTGAGCCAGGCGGCCACTTCACACATGGCATGACAGCAGCAGTGACATGTCGAGGTTTGGGGGTGGGTGCGGGAAGCCACGCGTTCTGGTGCGCTATCACCAAGCGCAACAGCTATGGAGCAAAAACAACCCTGATCAGCCAGTCAAGCTGTCGAGCTGGCACCGGCCCTGCATCACCAATGCGTGTTCGACGTTGGCGCGGTGGAAATGTAGAGAAAGGAGAGCAAAAGTGTGTGTGGGGAGGCGGCAGGATCCCGATGAGCGCTTTTTTTTTCTTTTGCTTTGCTTTTGCCCAAGTTGTATGGACAGTTCAAAAGCAGAAGTAGAAACGCAGCTTCTTTGCATGGCTGATTAGCCCTGGGCGTTTGGGTTGGGTAATTCCTGGGGGGCTTCCATTTCCACTTCCCTTGATCCTTCCTTCTTTGTACATAGAACACCTTAATAATGAACAGGGCGGACGGACCATACCACACCGCATTTAGCAGCACAAGCGGATGTAGACGCTCAAGTAGACTCGCACCCTCCCACCACCACGGCTGGAATTAGCACGGCAGCCCTTCGTAATGTGGCTCCCCATGTGGCTTCTCGGAGACGGAAACACCTCACACCTCCTCACCGTACCTATCTGTCTAGCACATGGCCCTAACGTGGCCAGCTGGCAGCAGTCAGCCAGCGACGGACCAGCACCAGGTACTTGGTAAGTCCAATGGCGCTCTGTCAGCGCCTAAGCTGCCCTTTCCTCCTGTAATAGCCGGGTAGTGTGGCGAGGCTTTCAGGGCGGTACAGGAATTAGGTCGGTAAGGTGGGCCAGGCAATCCTCCGAACCAACTCCTCGGAGCTGTGCTGCCCCTGCAAGAGCCGAGCGCAACATGGTCTCCTAGCACCTTGGACCCTGGTGTTAATTACCTGGGCGCACATCTGGCTGTTCTGACGGACTGTTACGTGCGGAGGGTCAGGAACCTGCAGCAATAGGCACCGGGGGCCCCTGTAGTTCTAAGCATAGGTCTCCCCCACAGGGACTGAGGCAGGCTGAAGGATGGCATTCAGTGGAATTCGTCGCTGCTTAGGTCCTGGATTTGGGGCTACCTGCTATAGCGCGGTTGCACGCCGCAGACCGCCACAGCAGGTAAGGTAGCACTAACAGCGATCCTCTCCACCTAACAGCCTACCTGCATACCTGGAGCGCTGCCACAGACCCAACCTCAGCCGCTGAGGCCTGCTGGGCGGTGCGCGATTCAATTGCGAGGCAGCAAGGTGCTGGGTACGGCTCCGCTGCTGCATTAGTACTGCCACAGCGCAACACAGCGTCGCATCCACAGAGGTACCTGGCGATCGACCATCCACCACCACCCATCATGGTCGCTCTTGCCAACAACCTGCCTGCCTTAGCCAAACCACCATCTCACTCTCTCGCTCACCCTTTTCCTCACCTTCACTTAGGCAGCAGGAAAAGTCTCTACCCACACCATCGCCACAGGTTTAACCAATACCAACCGCCGCAATCCCATCCACCTTCTCCCGCTAGCTGACCTGGGGCTGCTCGTCATCTTGTTTGTGTGTGTGAGGATCCGTCCTATTTGGGTTGTGCTCTAGAAAAATTCGATTGCATGAAGCTGCTGCACGGCGACGCAATGGCCAATCTCGCCGCTGCCTCCCATTTGCCAGGATGCCGACATGGTGCCTGGGTGTCTGTGTGTCTCATACCTTGACCGCGCAGACCCGAGACATTGACCATATCTCAGACGTGCTGTCCGAAGCGGAGCACTCTACATACGTTCCTACATACCTTACCTTACCTACTGCTACCTCGACTACACGCACGCACACACATGTGAAAACGCACGCACATACATCCTCGTAACTGATATACCACTCCCCTACCTATACCTGGCCGCCGTATTGGTCTCCCTTGGCCCGGCGGACGGTTCTCCGACCGCCATTGCCGCCTTCGCCGCACGCTGTCTCACATTCTACATTTCAAGGCCGGCCCTGCTACGACAACGGTCGCGGCCGATGACAGCATCACGGGCCTGCTGGTGTCGCAGAGAACCAATAGGGCTAGCATCAAGGCATCGGATTAGTGCCCTCCGACGAACGCAATTTGCTTTTTCGCCTGATGGCGCCGCTTTTCCCCTCCGTTTTCTCCGTCTTGTCCTGGCCTTGGACGCCGGGGATGGGATTGGCCTTATGCCGCGATGATTAGCGACTCCGCTGCCCCATCAGATTGATCGCTTTCCACATATTTGGCCTTCACCAGGTTGCACGCTTCAGACAATGATCCTAGCGCAAGGAGGAGAGGTCCATCTCGGATTTCGTCATACCGACTCACGCCAGGATCTCCCCTAGAGGTCCGTCAACACCTCCGTGGACGGCATCGTATTCCCTTGCCTTGTTGAGCTGGCCTTGCTCGTTGCAACGGGCATGATCCCGGAGTGTCCGCATCTGCCAAGTCCCTCGCCCTGCTTCCTGCAGTAGCGGCTGCGTCGGCTCATCTGCAACTCACTTTTGCTAATAAGCAATAAAATTGATTCCCTTTCATGCCCTGAGCTTGACATTTTACCTAACAGCCTGCCAACCAGCCGCCCGTGACCGTTGGAGGAGGCAGCTCAGATGACAGGCGGTGAAGTATAGCCAATCATTATTTTTTTAATAGCCCCATTCCTCGCTTACACGATGACATTGACTCAATGGAGACATCCCATTTCCTTCGTGTCCCTTTCGAGATCTTTTTGCGAAGCCAACACACCTCACTCATCTCACCTCCCTTAGACCTAGAGAGGATCATGATAGAGGGTAATCAACATCCACTCCATACCACTAGCTACTCATTACACCGCCAGCAACCGACAAGATTTGTTTTGCCCTGTTTTGGCTCGTTTTCACCGGTCGAACTTAGATCGTCCTGGCTCATTAGTCTGTATGTTGCATTCCTGTTTCATTGCCGTGGGGCCCAAGTCCGAATTCTTTCTTGCAACACGTAGATTCACCCAAGGGTAGCCGCGTCTTGCGCCTTGCATCTTGTTAGTCGTTTAAGCAAATATGGGCCAAGACTTTACGAGCTGTGTGATGGACATTGCAAGTCGCAGTTGATCTTCATGCAAGCCAGCATAGAGCTGGCTTGTATGGCCCAATGAACAAGCTGCTGCAGTCCCCCCAATCTTCTAACAGTACCCATTTATTGCACTTGTCCCCTACCCCTCGGTCCTCCGAGTAAGCCAACGTAGATCCTACCAATGGCCCGCTAAACCACACATCAAAATCAAAACATGCATACTCTTGATAGACCAGTGCAGTGTGGGGAGGGCCCGCTGGGTCCTACGATGGAACCTCCTTTCGCTCTCTCCCGAGCAAATGCCATCCAGGCCATCCAGGCATGTTCCCAGCTTGACCAGGACCTAAAAAGGCCCGGATGGATTCCCACAACCCCCATCTGCTTCACCTCACTGCCGAACCGCGTACACTGAAACTATTTCCTCGGCACTGTCATCTGCTTTGCCACAGAAGCCTACGATGAGAAGGGAGCAACCCTGCTGTGCTGAAAAAACGGGTTTTGTGTTATATAAGTGGGCAAGAGAAGCCCACTGTGGGTTTTTTTTTCGTTTGTCCCTTGAGTAGGACCCTCCTCACGCCTTACTAAGTTGTTTTTTCTTTGACGGGTGCTAGCCTGTGGCCTGTGCCATCTAATTAATAACCTACGATCCATAGACTAAAACGCCCACGCACAAGCAGCAATCTTGCTGAGATTGATCGGTATGTGGTTGCTGGAACCAGAGCGTTATCCTGTTTCAGCTCTGGCTCTTCCTTCACTCGTCCCGTCCCGGCACTTTGCAGGACGTACGTCCGCCGGGTTTCCCAAAACAACGGCCATCGTGGGGCCCACGATCTTCTCTGGCTTACACGGCGGAGGGTCTTGGCTAAGTCATCTACTTTGGCATTTCATTTCGTTTCATTTCTTTTTGGATTGCTTCGTTCTAGGATCATTTCACTGCTGTTATGACGCCGGCGCTATCTCTGGGTTCTCATCCTTGACCACTTGCACCATCTCCTCCATCCCACCGACCGTCGTCGGCCCGCTCATGCCCTTTGGCGGCAGAGCCCACTTGGGCAGGGGGCTGATGTACGCCCACTCGCCGCCAGCGTCCTCGTAGCGGAGACTGTGAAGCCACAGCGACAGCTCGTGGCTGCCCGGGTCCGAGTACAGCGGCGTATCGCAGACCTCGCACAGCTCGCCCGTCATCTTCTCCGCCCGCCGCTTCTCGTAGTCGTCCACCATCTCGTCGTAGTAGACCACCGCCTGCGCCACCTCCTCCTTGCCCATCTTCGATAGCCGCGTGATCACGTCCTCGTCCGAGGTGCCCGTCCCGTCGGCGTCGTTCTCGCCCAGGTCGAACCCCCACACCCGCTGGTTGGCATAGATGGGGTCGTTCTGGATCGGGTGCCCCAGGTACTGGAGGTGCACCCGCAGCTGATGCGTGCGGCCCGTGACGGGCATACACCTCACGATAGAGTACCCTTGCTTCGACTTCCAGGGCATGCCCCCTCTCTTCTCCTCCTCGGCCGCCGCGCCGGGCTCTGCTGCCGGCTCCTGCTCCTGAGCCCCATCGCGACGAGGTGGGTAGTACGCCAGCCTCTTGAACACGGTCCGCGCCGACTTGCCGTTGGCGCGCACGCGGTTGAGGCCCAGCTTGGGCGAGATGGACAGGATGGGCTGGTCGCAGACGACCTCGCCGTCCGGGAACATGCCCGTCACGCGCGCGAGGTACTCCTTCCTCACCGTCCTCGACTTGATCTGCACGCCGAGCGCCTCGGCCCGTTTTGGCGTCTTGCCGATGAACATGATGCCGCTGGTCAGGCGGTCCAGCCTGTTGCAGGGGTGCGGAGTGAAGGCGGGCCCCCTCTCCGACTTCATGATCTCAATCACCGAGTTGAAATTGTAGCGGCCCGCGGGGTGGACGGGGACGCCCGCGGGCTTGTTGATGACGATCATGTCGTCGTCCTCGTGGATGATGCCAATTGGCTCCGCCGTCACGGGCGGCTCGTGACGGTGCAGCGTGTGGGAGATCTTGTCGCCGTTGCGGACGATGTAGTCGGGTCCGACGGGGTGGCCGTTGACGTAGATGGAGCCGCTCTCCATCGCCCGCTTGTAGTACGCAAGAGGCCGATCCCGGAACTCAGACTCGAAGATCTCGATCAAGGGCCGGTTGCGCCATCTCTCCTTGCACCATGTGTTGTACGTGAAGTGGTACGGCGCGACACGTCGGAGGTCGTCATCAATGATGTACGGCCTCGGCCACATGTCCCCAATGGGTGTGCTCAGCGTCACTTGCTTGGCTGCATGGGCCGAAGGTCCCTGGACTGGTTTACCCTCGGACGTGTCGGGGTCTGCGGCCACGGTGACTTTGGGAGCCTCCATGGTGAATGGTCTGGTAAGAAATCGTCCTATGCCTCTCCGGATGACCCTTAAAGGCATGAGCAGCCCGCCCACCTAACAGGGCGAGGGGGTATGGAGGGGTAAGGTAGGGGCGTTCAGCCTGTCACGCGACTGAATACGGTTTTCGCCAGCTCTCCGAACCACAGTGGCGGTATCGGTAAGGGGCCCGCCTCGTAAAAAAAGAAACTATGTCGTCAAATCCGTACCAGGGAGTGTGGTCTTTTTTTCCGGGCTTAGATATGCAACTATCAATATTGCTGCCCTAACAAAAATGACATGGCAAATCATGCATATTGACAATGGGGAAAATTTTGGCGGTGACGGGCGGCAGAAGCACCAGGAATAGCCTCCTTCTAGCTCCATTCGTCACAGGGTGTGCGCCACGTCGATCAGGGCTGCTGCGCCGCAGCGTGGACGATAAACTTCCGGCCGGTGTGGCGCAATGCATGCATACCTCGGCTTCTCCGCTCTTCGGAGATGTACCCAGATGCGCTTCTCTTCCTTCATGGCAACCATGGGCATTCCGAAGTTGGTCCTGTCAAGCGAGTAGTTGAAAATTCTTTTTTTTTTTCCAACCAACATCGTCCCTGGTAGCCTGCGGAGAAACGTAAGCTGAAACTACGCAAACTCGCCTCCTACCAGATCCATTATGACGTCCCTCGACCAGCTGAGGACGCGGCAGCGTGGGGACTACAGGTACTTCCTCGACTATAGGACGAGATGGTAAGTGGTGCGAGCATCAAGGGTGACTACCCAATCAGCCATCCCATCACAAGAGGCGTGTATATAGGCATGCAGCATCCGCGGTCTGAGCTTGCGCCACGACGGAGAGGAAGCATGGACCCCCTTCTGAAATCTCTGATTACCATGGGAGGCGTGTGCATCGTGAGTGGTTGCCGGTACGCAGGAGCAGCAACTGACCTTGATGCCTGGCGCTCCGAATAGGAATGACAACGACATGTACCATCACGTGAACAACTCGGTCTACAACTTCCTGTGAGTGATGTGATAGGTCGTGCTCTTGGCAGAGGACCTCTACTTGCCACGCTGAAACACCCTTGCATGAAATACACTAACACCCAGACTTGGGAAAAGAATCGACTCCATCGTCAACGACTACTTGCTAAAGTTCTGTGGCCTTGATCCATCAAAGTCGGAACAGCACCCACTGGCGGCCCACCTGCACACAGACTTCTTTGCCTCCCTTGCTTACCCAGCCGTCGCCGAGCTGGCCCTCCGCGTCAACAAGCTTGGGAAGTCGAGCGTGACCTATGAGGTAGGCGTCTTCGAGAAGGGGGTGGACGCCGTCAAGGCCGTCGGCGAGTTTGTCCACGTCTTCGTCGAGCGAGCCACAGCCAGGCCGGCCAAGACAGGCATGAATGACCAACTTAGGGAGGGCCTGCAGAAGATCTACGTTGGGGTCGAATCAAGCAAGCTCTAATCAAGTAAGATGAGCTCTCGTGGGAGGACAGCCCAATAACGGCGGTCGGCGTTGTGACTACCGCCTTTTCTTGTTACAATATTACATTACTCTGTTTCCAGGCTTGAGCCTTACGCGTCTCGCGCTAGTTGCCCAGCCTAATTGACATTGGCTCCTGAGAATCGCCTATGCTCACAGGTGTGTTAATTCGTTAGATGAATTGATGCTAAGCCAGCTGCCAAGATTACTGAAACTTGTACACCTTCTCTGACCCCTTCTCCTCCCCGCTACGGAACATATTCTCCATGAATTCAAGATCCGCAAGAGCCTCCTCAGGCGACTGCAACGGGTTCTGCTTCCCCTCAATGAGACTCTGCGCCCACGCCGCAACCTCCTCGGACACACCGCTGGTGCGCGCGAACTCCTTCGTAATCTTTTCCCCGTTGACAGGTGTCACAATGACTGTGTCACCAACCAGTTCGACAGTGCCCTTCTCATAAGCAAACCGCCACTCATACGCCGAGAGGTGCGTCCCCGCCGACTGCTGGAAGGTGCCACTTGCCCCGGACTTTGTCTGTATAAGGGCATTCACCGTGTCGATGGGGGGGAGGTGGCTCTGCACCAGGTCGGTGAAGGCCCGCACCGAGTCTGGTCTGTTGGCGTCCCCAGGCAGGAAGAGCCGCGACGAGGCCGCGTGGTGCACGCCCCCGTCCAGGAGGAAGCCGCCCTGGTATCCGGGGGTCTTGCGCCACTCAGTGTTGTACCACATGCTGTCGGTCTTCATGTGAGAGAAGACCCTGATGCTGAAGTGGGTTGCTCGACCCAGCTGGCGGGCCTGCTCGTTGGCGTAGGACAAGGCGGGCTTGAACCGCACATTCTCAGCGATGGAAAGGGTCACGTTCTTCTCCGGTGCCACCTTGGTGTAGTAGTCGATGAGGTCCCGAGCACCAGCAACATCGGCCGCTATTGGCTTCTCCGCCAGTACGTGCTTCCCCGCTGCTAGTGCGGCCTTGATATACTCGGGCTGGGTCAGGATGGGAAGTGCAATGATGACCGCCTGGATATCCTGCTGGCTGAGGAGATCCTGGTACTCCCTGCCAGAGCCAGCGTCAGCCGCATACAGTTGGGGCTTGGGCTGGCCCTCAGGGACCAGTTCCGCCGTCTTCTGAGCTGAACTCAGGGATCGCGAGAAGATTGCTTTGAGAGATAGATCGGCGCACTTGAACACAGCAGGCTAGGAGCAGGTGGATGTCAGGTCAGTGGATCAAATACGCGAGTGATACGGAGCGGCTGGTGTTGCAATATCCGCGTAGGTGCTATCTACGTCCAGGTAAGACGTAGTGGCAGACTATAGCTGACGGCTGCAAAGGGGATGATGGGATCAGGGACATGGGTAAATGGATGGTGGATGGATCAGACTAGTTGCGGGGGCGGGTCAGACGCACGAGATGCTCCTCCTTGACAAAGATGCCGCTGCCTATGATGGCCACGCCAATGGGAGCCATGATGGTGGACGGAGGGGGAGATGCAGATGGCCTGAACGGGTGGTCTGCTGACTGCGGCGATATGTGCGTGAAAGGGTGATCTTGCGAGGTCGAGGCACAGCTTCCAGTCTAGACCGGCGATCTGGGCTCGCTGCCTTATGTAGCTGGACGGGGCTGTCGAGGAAGACGCCGTGGTGGGCTAATATCAGGGCCAAGGAGTAGTCGGTGGTGCTAGATCTGGTGGCTAGCCCGGACTGGCCAAGTTCTCCTGGCGGTCCCTTGCGATCGGAGGCTGGTCCCAGCAAGTTTGACAGACGAGTGGCGAGAGCGTGAGGGGAGGGGAGAGTTGAGAGAGAGAGCCTCACCGTCCGAGTGCGAATGAGTGGTCCGGTGCAAATCACTTGCGATGGAGCGGGGCTTCTCCCAAGCGCTGCCCCGCCCTCAATTTCCCCATTCATCTCACTGCCTTGATTCAGGATGAGGGCAGCGGCGATGGGTACGCACTCGTATTTTGATTGCCAGTCCTCATGGTCAATATTACCCATTAGCTCGTAGCTTATATGAGCTGCAGCCGGTCTCCCACCAACCGACACCCGTCCTGGCCATCTGCCAATGCACATGTACGTGCTAGGCATGTGCGTGCGAGCCGCCGGTCGATCACACATGCAGCCTCATCTCCATCTTTTCATTAGTCTTCTCACCCATGACCTTGTCCATAACGCCAATGCTAATCTCCGCCACAGACTCCAGAGCCAGCAGTAGATCCATGATTGGGCACGCTCTCGCTTGACTACAGACTATTGCCCGCCAGAGGCCCCTCTCGGGGACCGTCTTTACCGGCTGTCTGTTCCAGTCGTCTTGACTAAACCAATTCATAATAACGTCCCTTCATTAGCCACCCCCCCTCTGCCCCTCTCAGCTTCCACGGCGTCAACCTTGTCCTTGGGCGCTAGTATCACCGTTCGTTGGCCAATGGAGCCAGCCTTAGACATTCAATTCGTCTCTTAACGTACATTCATGTCGCCCTTTCCCATAACCCCATGCTGCCTATCCACCATATGAAACCGCCAAAGAAACCCCAATATATCCACCTGTCGAGACCCATTGCGGCGGCACGCGTGTACCTACCTCCATGATACGTATGTTTCTATGCATATACACGTAGGCAAGCATCGCGTAGCCAACCAAGCCAGTATCTAAACCCAGGCTCCCAAACCCATGCCGCTGATCTCAGACCTGGTCCTGGACCTGGTCACCAACTCTAACTACACACTCCTCCCTTGCCAACCGTCATCGTGGATCACTCTTGCTCAATGATATCGATGGGTCCCCTCTCCATCCATTTTCATCCATAACCCTCCCAACAACGACGATCCCAGCCCAGCGTCACCGGCCGCCAAGGGTCCTCAGAAGAAGCCTTCTCCCTGCATCTTATGTGTCCCCGACCATAAGGCCTCAACGCGCGCCCGCAACTCGTCCATTTTTTGCCCGCCTAGATGATCATCTCCGAGCCAGGAGCACTTCCTCCCGGCCAATCGAAAGCCTCGTCTCCTGTTTCCCGCCTTGTTGCTACTTGCGACGAGCAGCTTAAACAGACAGGCCCTTCCTTCACCCTCAGGTATGCTCTTCGTATCGGTACAGCTGCTCGACATATGTCCGTCTGGAGCTCCAATCCCTCCGCCGTCGGAGCTGCCGGGCCATTGATTCGTCAACCAGCAGCCCCGTGGCGCCGCACCGCCGCGCCGAATGCCTTGTTCTCCTTCTCGTGCCCTCCAGCTCCTCGTCCGAGTCCTGAGCGAGGCTGGCACGCCGACGGGGGCGGTATTTCGGCGACATCATGCGTCGGCCGGCCGCGTAGTTTGAATGTATTAAATAATATAGGTTAGGTGAGGTTCCGCTCTGAGGATCAATCCGGTATCCCCAGAACCATCTTCCAACCGCAGGTAAAATGCGAATGTTTGGATGTGGGAAATGGCCCTGTTGCACCATGCACCGGCGGTCTCACCGTTCTTGAAATGCCACGACTCTCCACTGGGACCCGACCATCATCCTCCCCCCGCGCAGGAAAAGCTGGCCACGGGGGGGACGTCATTGGCCCAGTCGACGTGGCCATGCATGAGGCGACCCCTCCCAGCGGGCTCTCTGTGCACACCGAAGCCTGCATGCTGTGGCTCGTCCAGGCGAATAGGAATGCGTGGGATCTGAGTGACGCTCTCGGATTGGTGTAAATCGTCATGGCCCTTGAGCTATCACCAGCCATGCACCTCTCTGTCTGACGGTATTGGTGCTGCCTGCAAAGGAGGGGTAAGAGTCACGACCATATCGGATCAGAATTACCTATACTGACAGTCGATTCTCGACCTCAGGCTTTGACGTATTGGAAAGGATACTCGGTTAATCGAATTTACCTGCGTGAGTAATACTTAGCTTGTGTTATTGCGAGCATCGTGTCTAGGTGAAAGGAGAATACGAGTCTGCCCATTGCCTGTCCTGTCAACGACCCCTGCGCATATCACTTGTTACATGTTTGATGGAGTACTTTTGTTTCTAGGTTCAAACGAATGCATCCTTCTACTTTCGGCCATCTAGACATCGAGTTACGGCTGATATAGGAGTCCATGTTGTTTAACCATCGCTGTTTGGCCGCTGATCTTGGTTGGTATAGGGTATCATTATTCGACAAGCCCCAGTCAGGACAACAACTGTCTGAGTCACTCCTCGGATGTTTCTCTTGGTAGCATCTAAAGCCTGTTAAATACGGGAATTCATCCATGATTGCCCGGTAGCACTTGTTTGGGGGAAAATCAATTGCCTTGCTCCTCTATAGCGACTATTGCTGTCTATATATGGGGTATCAGTGCTAGATATAGAACATTCTAATATTTCAGCTAACAAAGACATTAGCACACTGTTTCTGATGTGTCAAGCATATTATCTGATGTAGAACATATGCGATTTTCGCAAGTAATGGCGACATCATCTGATTAAAAGCCAACCTATCAAGTGACGCTCGGGGTCTATTCCTCCATATGCATTCCTAATTGCGCATGACGTGATCCTCCCCATTATTTTGGTCCTTGTCCTCGTCCTCGTCCTCTTCCTCCATACTACGGTTGCTAGCTTTGTGAATAGTCGCTATATTTTCCAATACCTCCTTTTGTGCCCACCCGTATCTCTCAATCGTGCCCTCGCCACCAATTATAAGTCCTCCAGTTGCCGAGGAGCCTCTTAGCCACCTCTGCAGGTTCAGGGCTGCATTCGCGGCCTCGATTCCCAGATGCCAATTTTCAACTGCAATAGTCAGGTATGAGTTGGTGATCAATGTTCTGATAAAGCGTGCCGGTGCCTTCGTATGGCAACTTGGGGCAATGGCGATGAGCGCCCAAAGAAAGATTCCGACAATTGATCTTCGTGCAGCCACCGGTATCTGATGAATTAAATTAGCAAAACCATCACGCTTGAGGGGTGTAATCGAGGTTTACTGACACGCCAAATAAGTAGCCAAAGCCTTGTGAATTCATCGTCACTGCAAACCTCGCTTGTAGGTGCACGGTTGATGATGGCCCGGCAGTAAATGGAAGCTGTCAGACGTACTAGCCTGTACATCTGATCGGGGTTTGCCAGTTCTGGGGTTTCCCTTTCAATAGCTTCAACACCCGATGAACTCGACGACTGCTTCGGTGACTGCCCGCTTTTTGTGAACCCTGAACTATCAGGACTGTCTGCCGTCTCACTAGCAGTTCCGGACATGCTTTTGTGAGATTTCAAAACCGTGGATCCTGTGGGCTTGTTCAGATTGTAAACCTGGTTGAGAGACACGTTCTCGGGCAGCTCGCCGATTCTCTGATTTACCCAGTGAGCAGCATGGACTGCTTCTGATATTTGTTCCGCGGTCGCATCAATCGGTAGATACGTTATAGCACGTATCATCGTGCGAACCTCGTCTAAAATGATTGCCGTACACGGGTGTAGATGCAGTTTCCCCGTGGAGCTGGCAAATGATGGGCCTTCGGCCATGAGAGGAGAATTCAGAGATGTCTCGAATGGTACCAGGACAGGGTCATCAAACTCATAACCAGGCAGCCCGTACATTTCTGGAAGGGTATCATGGGCAATGGCCATAACATAATCATGCCTGCCCACAGAATGTTAGAAGGGCTGAAAAGCTAAAGGAAATTTGGGCGAGTACTCACACTAAGATCATCTTGCTCAAATAACCATGCATTCCCAGTCCCCGAAGCCCTCCCCTCATTTGTATCATAACTCTCAGGCCGGTCATGTGCGCATGAAGCTGTTCTGTGGCGCCCCAGAACCACTCATCCATCACCATTTCGCAAACCGCGAGAATGGTAGCATCGCTGATCTGATCCCTTCTCGACGCGAGCTGTTCGTTGAGGGATGTATAAATTATTCCCCGAAGAGCAATAACAACAGATTTAGGTATAAAACCTATCTCGTTGAGAAAACATGCTGAGGTGAAGAGAGTAACCTTCATGAGAAGAGGATCTTGTATCATGACGTTTGTCCAACGGTTTCTCAGCTGATTATCATCAAGTGTTCCACTGACCGATCCCTTGAATCGGCAAAGTAATCGGAGAACTATACAGTTTGTTTCGAGTTTAGTATAGTGACGGAATACGTCCCCAAGCTTGAGGGGCGAAAAGGGGGATGGGGGTTGTACTCACATGTTCGAACAAGCTCTTTGTTTAATTTTGTTGAGGCCATTGGTAGAAGATTCAACTCATTCTCTTCGCGAGAGAGACAGTATGAAGGCGCCTTGGACCCTCGAGCTGTCTGAACAAGCTTTATAGCGTCTGCTAGTAGGTCGTCCTCAGCACTGATTCGTGTGCCGTTATCTCCATTCCCGGTTACAGCCCTTACTGCGTCCGAGATCAATACATTCTCCGGCTGGCCAGCTCGATCTCTTACAATGAGCCGGAAAGGGAGCCAGTTGCGGTAGTGCCCTATGAATTCCTCGGAGGGAATCGGGGATGCAGTGAAGGGTTGCGAAGGGTCAGGGAATTGACTATAAGGGATGAGGCTAAATGTATCTTCATCCTCACGGCCGAAACGAGCCTTGATTCTGTGCTCCTCGACCTGGACAATAGCATCATGCATACCATCCAGCTTCAGGTGAGCATATGGTCCTTCTCTGGTAAAGACCTGGGTTCCAGCTGTCTGGATGGCATGGGTGGTTGGATTACGGCTGCAGGGCAAGATCAGTTAGACCCCACCGTCGTGAAATGCCAAGATTCTGCGAGTACGATATAAACTTACGCCTTGACGCGACCCTCATATTCACAGATCGGTTGTGGAAATCGCCGAGCACAGTTCGTGCAGGGCTGTCCTTGTGAGCACTAGTTTACCGAACAATCCGCCAGTGTTAGCTGGAACTCATTCCAAGGGAGGTAAAGAAGGATGGTACGGTCTGGGGCTAGAAGCCAGGAATCTTTCCAAGGAGGGATATACACCAAGGGTTACCGTAGTAAAGCCCAGGGCGATGGCCAGTCGAAGCGTGATATATGGGAAACAGACGAATGAGGCATCTTGAAAAGGCTAGTGTGGACTTGGATATGGTGGTGCATCCCCATCAGGGGACACCCGAATGACGCGCACGGGTGAATGTAGGAACAACTGCGTCGATCGCGAGAACCAATTGGGCAAAATAGCAAGGATGGGGAGAAAGATTGGGTACCTTCTGCTTGCGACGACGGCATTCCGAGCACGAGGACGCTTGTCGAGGTTCGGCGGCGCGACGTCTGGAGGTTGTTGATGAGGATCCCTGCCGGCGCTGCTGCAAGTTATCGGACATGATGACACGGCCACCAGGGTGGAGGGCAAATGGGCGTATACGCGCGAATGGTGCGGAGCTGGTCAAATCGAGCAGAACAACCCGGCAGTTCGTTAGGATAATTCGATAGGGGAAAGCTCCAGACTAGGCTCAGATGTCTGATCAGATCTGATGCGGATCAATCGGGGCCAGGAACCGGAGGCCCGGCCGGATTGAGCCTTCCTCTTGGTGATGCCAAAGTGGCAGGATAATCTTAGTTGGGGGTTCGGAGCTGGGCCGGGTCAGAGCCAGCGTCTCTGGACGTGCGATGCTCAGCCTTACGAGGGGTCTGGGTCCTTAGGTGATTGACGGTCTCTCCATCTGTAGCATTGCTGCACGTCGAGCTCGGTTCGAGCCTGGAAGCAGAGACAGACAGAGGGAAGCAAGAGCTCGCGCGACAGGACGAGAGGGAGGCAGATGGAGGAGGGTCAAGCAAGCAGGGATAGAAAAGCTGGAAGTGGTGGCAATGCGACTTTGATGGAATTATTGGGGTAATCTGCTTTGTACCTGTGTGTAGCATTGGTAGCGGCAGGTAATGCTTGGGAAGGCATGGATGGGACTGCTACGCTCCTGCCGGTGAACGGAAGACACGCCTAAGGTAAGGTATGCACCTGTCACCTGTCTCCTGCCTCATCCTGCCGTCTGTACCGTGTGTCGCACCTGCAGCTGTCGCTAGCACTGGCCTGACGTGGACAAGGCGCCGCACTGGGTCTCTTTGGCGCCTTTGTGCTCCTCTCTTTTGCCTAATACCCTGCTCTTTTGCCCTCCCCTTTCTCGTTGGTTCCTACATCCTGCTCGAGGTCTTGCCCTACCTTTAGCCCTGCCCTGCGTGCCCATGCGGTGCGGTAATTTCATGAGGCTCCGGATGCGTCCTACGGTGCTGATCTCTCGAAACAATGGCATTGGGTAGTTGCGAAGCATTCCAGTCTAAACAAAGAGCGAGGCTGGTTCTGGGGCAAAGAGGGGTTCTAGCTTGCGTGCCTAGGTAAGTGGGAGAGTTCTACCGGCCCAGATAGGGCTGAGGCAAAGTCGTCAACGGGACTTATTAGCGGAAATGTACCTGAAAAGTACTGCTCTCGGTCGAGGTTTACACAGTGCGGTCTGGCCTCTCATAGTCGGTATCAGGATGTACTATGTGTGCTGTTCAACCGGTTACAACATCGGGCTAATTGCTGTGGTATCAACCCCTTTTTCGCCCGCTAGTTTTATGTCATTAAAGTTTATTGATGATCGACGTGTAATTTTAGCATGGCGTTTCGGTGTGCCTGTGAGATTGTTCCCTTAGCACGCGCTGGAGCTAAACCTTGGCCTGCTTCCGTGGAAAATTCCCTGTGACTACCCCACCTTTGGTGAGGAGCCACTGTGTAAATGCCGTGGGAATCGACAGAAACATTGCGTTGCAGGCTACGATTTGACCGGGTAATATCAGCAGCTCTTATTGATGGGTACTGCCCATTCCCCGGCGAGGATGCGGCAAACGCCAGATAAGCTGGATACTTATAGATACTTGATCCTATAACATGGGATGCTAAGGTTAGCATTTGCATCGTCTGTTTTCAACCCGGCTTTACTCTATTTTAGGATTAGTATCGCCAACTTAGGTGCCATGTCTATTCAGCTTCCCCTCTCCATACAACTTTAACATCGAAGCTCTAGCTAATTGCGCTGATCACAAACGAGCTCATGTTGACCGGTAAGTGAACGACAGGGGATACGAGGCACTAGATCGAGGCCCCTCAAATGCCGGACTGGCGGCAATGGCGGGAACCATGAAACAACAACCCTAGCAGTGAATAGGGAGCTCGCATGTCACTCTGGGTAGACTGCGAGTCCCGTGGACGGTGGTGTATACGGAATGTTACATTGCACAATACGAAATGGATCTGCCATTATTCAGGCCTTCTATTTGTATATTCTCCCATGTACAACCAACCGGGTATCGACGCTACGCCGACGAAACATCGTCCCTCAAATCTCTAAATAGACTATTGTCCTGAAAAACAAAAAAGGCTGTCCTTCCAAAAAACCTAAACGGGAGGTCGGAAGCCAATGATATCGAATGCTAAAAATGGATCGAAGGAACTAAATATCAAGCCACGTTAAGTCCAACGCCTCGCAGGTATTCCTTGGCCTGCTGAGAAGAAAAACAAAAACCTGCTTGGAGAGCAAAAGAAAGTCGTCCAATCATTGAATATAGTTTATATATTGTGCGAGTACATGACGCTCATAATGGTCACAGGACCTAGGAGGAGTGGCTGAAGTTGTTCGCCCTGTAATCTGGTTTTCGTGCCATATTAACAGGAGGTGGCGGGGCTTCGTCATCTATCGGATAAGGGGGTGCCGGTCCTTGCGGCGGCGGCCTTCGCGTGGCCTGCTGATGGCCTGGAATGGGTGTCTTTGGTGGCAGAGGCGGAGGTTCAATGCGTAGAGGAGGGATAGTATTTGGCGATGCAGGAGGAGGTTTTGGGTATTCGTCAGGACTCATGATGGCAATCTTGTCCGCGCCAGAAGAATCCCAGTACTGGGCCGGTGTCGGCGATTCTACCATGAGCTTGTCTGGACCATCTCCACGTGGAGTTAGCCTTGCGGCAGTCATAGGCGGCGACGAGGCTGTATGAGGACGATTGGGGTGGAGATCATTAGACGAGCGCGGGGAAACCGACAAAATCGAGTCCACCCGTAAACTATCCCTCCCAGATTCGAAAGACTCTCGGCCATGAGGGCTGAGAGGCGAGGGCGTCGAAGGCATATCCCCTGGGAGCTCGGCCTCCATGGGGATATCCAATTGTGGCGGCGGCGGTCGAATCTGGTCAGGTACTTCGCCCCTCAAGGCCCGTTCCCATCTGGCCTTGGCTCTGGTTACTTTGGCCAGTTTGCTGCTAATCCCAAGCACCATTTTCTGCTCCTCAGGCTTGGCCATATATCTTCGAGTTCCCGTGCTGATCTCCCCTAGACGGGAGAACTCATTCATCCCAAACTCACCCACCCCGACTTCCACGTTGAGTCTGTAGTAATTCTCCGGGTTGACGCCCCGCCTTGATAAATGCTCACGCATCATGAACTCGTGGATATTTTCGCATGCCTCAATCTTGGATATCAACCTTCTTCGAGCTTCGGCAAATTCCCCGAGAAAGCCTTCGTACCACATTTGCGGGTTTGCGTCGCTAGTTCGGGGCCTCCTGCCGGTACCAACACTGACGAACACACCGACGTCTCTCCCTGGCCATTCGTTGACAACGGCCTCATCCAAGGCTTCTGGGGCCGGGTTGAAAGTTCCTACTCCATCATCGTGAAACTCTGACTGACCTATACGGATGGGCTTGAAGGCCAGGCCGATGGCGCAGGTGGCTCGCCCTGCCTGCCAGATCTTGCAATCGAATTCAGGGGGTGGCTCCTTTCTCGAGTCGTAGGAGCGAAGCATGACGGGAGGGGCGCCCTTCGGTGAGTTCTTGTACATTGCCGTGACCGCACTATTCGCTCGTGAATTAGCATCATTTTGCGATTTAGGAGGAAAGTCAGCAAGACCTACGTCTTCGTTCGGTTGCTGCGCGTATCGTATAACCTTGCGTCTGGGTCGCCCCCAAACCTGCTGCTCATGACAAAAGGGCGACTCTGCGCGGCATTGCTGCGCGCACTGAAGCTCACCGTGCTTGCGTTGCTTGCAAGCCGGCGAGGACTTGATGCTGCGCTCGAGAACTGGGCGGCGTTGAGCGGGTTGACAAGCTCACCGTCTCGGCTGCCATCGTTGCCCTCTGCCTCATTACTTGTATGTTCACGCACGCTGGCTCGGATAGCTTCTTCGAGTTTGCTGGCTTTGAAAAGTGTCGAGCGGTAGGGGATGCCTGCGATCGTCTTGTCCGTTTGGAACACCATCCGAGTCATCCTAACATAGAGTTCCTTGCACGTTTCCAGGTCGAGGCGCAAGCGGCCGAGCATGATCGCAATGAGACCGCCGGTGCCGGTCCCGACGATAAGGTCGAAGTGATCGCATGGCTTGGGAATTTCGGAGCGGCGGGGTGCTCGCCCCTCCATCTCGACAAATGTGCGGTGCATGAGCTCTTGGACGATGATGAGCATCGAGTACCCACGCACACCACCGCCATCTACATGGTTAATGTCAGCTTCTAGAATTCTCGAAGAACAGAATGGGGGATAGTAGAGCGCCTGTCTGGGGTCAAAGATGCACAGGGTACATACCGAGAGATAGGACACGCAACGGCGGGCCTTTGGTCGTGTCCCTCCTCCTCACCCCGTACGAGTCCATGACCGGGTCGGGGGCGCTGGGCGAGGAACGATACGGCTGCAGTCTGGTGACAAAGAGGAATAACAGCCAACAGCAAACAACTCGGCAAGCAGGCAAACGGGTATACGGGGTAACGCTGAGAGCAAGTATCGATAGGAATAGCGATGTGGGGGAGTTGGCGGGCGTCGCGGAAGATTGGTCCTGTTAGCAACGGTAACGGCCAGCTGGATATTAGATACTTTGGGAGGGTGTGTGTTTGGTGGAAAATGCGTGAAGAAGGATGCGCGGCGAACTGAATATCCGTAACGGCGTGGCGAAGGTAATGCCGTCCTGTCCTGTCTGGTCCTGTCGTCTCCGCCAGCCAGAGCTTGACAGTGCGCTCCACTAAGAAGCGAGAAAAAAACCCAGGAGCGAAAAGGCTGGGCCAGGAGGATGCACTACGTCAACAGGCACTATTCTGGATGTTGTAATTACAGTAGATCCATACTTGTAACGTGCGACCCCTCCTGGTGTTGCTCCCTGCTCATCTCCACACTTTAGCCTCCTAGACGCCACGGCAGCCAACAGCGGAGGAGAGGGCCCTGTGAGCCATGATGGCAGCCTGTAGGGCACCAGTGAAGCCCAACGCGTACCTCCCAGCCTGGCAGTCCAGTGAGGTTCGAGCTCACAGAAGCCCCGCAGCCTAGAACCAAGGCTATTGGCAGCCGGGAGAGCCGAGCATATTGTGGGCACGGGCACAAGCCACACTGCCATCCTCGTTGCCACTGCTTGATCTAGGTATTCATCTGAGCATGTATATCCTACGTAAGTTTTTATCAATATCCCGTTGTAGTAGCTCGGACTGCTAGCTGCTTGCAATCCTTCATGTAAACATACCTACCTTGTATGGTAGGTTGGCCCAGATAGAAGGCCGGCCTGGGTACACCCTACCCAGCTTCCGCCGTCCATGATCAAGATTCCCCTGCCGAACAGCCAAGACCTGGCCCAAGCGACGGTGATGCGACCTTGCCTTGCCTCCCTCAGGTCTATCAGGCAGCCGCAATAGTGGCAGAAGCAACTGTAGCAGTACCAGAAGCACCGGCAGCGGCGGCCCCCGTTCGCTCATGATGTCCGTCCCATGGATATTGCTTGTCTAAGCGCTCGTATTGTGATCGCGTCCGCGTGCGCCTAGTGAAACATTTCCACTGCCGAACCCAAACCTACTGAGCGTTACGTGGGACACGGGGCTGTGCAGCCAGCAGCCCTCCAATGACGGGTCATGGCTGCGCCCAAGTGATGGTGGCTACCAATGGTCACTCGAGATGACGACCCCAGGCCAAGCAATCGGACTGCGCACATGGCTTCTGTTTTCTCACGGCGAAATCCAACCACTGGCAGAATGAGGCAAAACAAACGTGCATGACTGCCATTGAATGCAAAGTATGCCTTACCTATCAGTCCCAGGTCCCGCCATTGTACATAAAGACTAGCAAGTAAGCGAGGACCCTGATTTCTATCCTATGTATTTCTTTTTCTATTTTTACGCTCCCATTGGTCGGGATTTGCTGGCAAAAGCTAGCCTGGTGCTGGTAGAACCTCCACCAGGGCTCGTGAAACCCGTGGGGAATCAGTACACAGTCATCATCCTATGTAAGATAGTCCTGGACCCAGTATCTGATAAATTGGAAGGACCGAGAGAACAATGGATGTATCCTTGCCTGCCGGATACCAAGCTGTTCGGCCGCCAGTGAGACTCTCAATGCCACGATAGAGAGGGCGCGAAGGAAGACCGGTCACTAACTTAGCTGGTGAAACTAAAAGAGGGTGGCCCTGCTACCTTGCCATCGAACAAGAGGCGGTCAGGTGGCATTGTGCGGGGACGGCCGTCATTCTCCTTCGCCAGGGTACGTGATTATTCATCGATGGCTCGTTACCGCCTGTGGTGATTTTTACTTCGGCTTGGGTTGACCAGTCCAGCCCAAAGAAGCAGTTGTATTGAATTCTGGAGCGATATTGGGAAACCCGTGAGAGGGGAAGAGAGATGTCAATTCCGAACTAGCGTATCCAGCACGTGCGAAGACACAGATAGCAGGTATGTGTGCTTTGTAGGCATCATTACTGCACTTGGCTTGCCTTGCAGGCCCTAGCACGGAAAAAAACTTAATCAGGCATTGAAGCAGATGATGGGCTTGGCCCAAAGGATCCGGAGGAGATGCGCAGTACTGAGATGTGACCATGTGCTTGGCTGCCGACGTGAGCTCCATCATCCTGCCGACTGAGACGAGCTCGCCAAAACACATGGACATACATAAGGCACAGAGACAGACACCCTCTTGTTCGTCCACACAAAATGATGTACATGGACGCACCTCATTGTTTCGGGCTGCCTGTCTCTCTTGGGCTGCAGCCAGGTGAGAGCTGCCGTCAGACGCTTACAGGAAGCCGATAGGACAGCGAGACCGCACCATTGGCCGGCCAAGGTAATTGGCTGCGCCTTGCGCAAATGGGTACACGACGTGTACAATCCGGACTTGGTGGTTATACTACATTGTATGTGAAGTGATCAGGCCATCACAATGGTTGGGTGGCTGGCGTGGCTCGCTCCTGGCGAAGAGGAGACGGCGCCCTGGACTCTCGGCGGGTGTATGTAGGAAGACGGAGTGCTACCTCAAGGAACTATTGGGAATTGCCAGCCTGGCCAATTCAACGGGCGCGAGTGAAACAGCAATGTGGTGGTCGGCAAGGTAGGTGAGCGAGCTGCATGCTAAAAAGTCTAGCCTGGGCTTCGTTCCAAGCATCACAGCCCAATGGGTCCGGCTCCTCAGCCTCGGGTTTGCATGGTGCCCTCGTGCCCTACCTCCCATGCGCCATTGCCCACAAGGAATGAATCACTGGATGACTTCAGTAGCTGCGAACTTTACTGTCAGGGTAAGTTGTCAATCGCTGTGTCCAATTCCAATCAGAGTGTGAAAATGCGTGAGCCAGCAACCGAGATGGACGCGGCTGCCCAGAGGCCGAGTGGGCGGACGTTTGGGTATCAAGGGAAGCGAGGGTCATCACAACAGTGTGCATATGGAGAGGAGGTATGTGGTGGAGGCTGCAGATCGTGGATGTATCATGTATGTGATGGAGGTGGAGGCGGGCCATTTGCATTTGGACGGGGAGAGAGCGAGCACTGCAGGCGCAGCAGCAGCACAGCACGCACGCACTTTCCAGTGCATCTGCTGCTCAGCATCTGTCTGCCCGTCTACTGCTGTCTGTCCGTGTCCGTCTCGCTCAGACCTCCCGCCTGATGGTCGGCTGTATGTCTCTTGTCCGTCCGCCTTAGCTCTGTCTCGCCGTGCTGTCTTGTCTCGCTCTTATCTGCAAGGTGCTGTAACGGGCTGCTGTTCCCGCCCACCCACCTCCCTCTCAGTCTGGCTGACTGGGGATGTCATTGACGTGACGGGACGGTGAGTGGCTGGCAGACGTGCCGTCTCCTCTTCCCTTCTTCTGTCAATGGTCTGGTCTGGCCCCGCCCCATACGCAGCAGGTGCTTGGAATCTGCTTTGCCAGCAGAGCAGCTTGACTCTGGAGCATGCCCCCCAGGGCCAATCACAGGCGCACCCTCCCCCACATTTGGTCGCTCAGAGGCCGCTCGGAGGGGCAGGCTCCTGCAGCCTCGCCCTCCTCAGTGCCCCCAGTGGTGTGTGCGGCCCTGCTGCTGCCCTGCCGCTGCCGCTGCCCTGCCTCCGCCCTCCGGCCAGCACTGGCGAACCCTCGGGGCCTCTCATCTCCAGCCTTATTACTGGCTGGCTTCCCTGCCCATACCGTATAGTCCAAGCCAGGCCATTCACCTCCCCGACCTTACCTTGCCTGACCATTCGGCACCATGCCCAGTCACCCCCTTCCTGACCTTAATCCCTCTCTCTCGCTCTCCATTGCATTGTCCGTCCCTCATCCAAGCTCTCCTCCTCCCTCCCTCCCCTTCTCTGGCCCTCACTGCCCGCCGTGCCTGCCTTCGTTCTCCCAGGTCGACTGGCTGACCTCCTCGCCCTTTTGACCTGCACGTCCACACCGTCCGCTTGCTTGTTTTCCTCCCCTCCCGCTCGCTCCCTCGTCTGATTTGTCCATGGAACCGTCTACCAAGAAACGAAAGCTGGCCCCCAAGGTCACCCATATTCCAGCCGACCCAGCTGCCGTCCAGCCTTCACAGCACCCCTCTGAATTGGTGAGCCTTCCAGATAAGCTTCCACCTGAGCGATGACCACCCCCGCCAAATGTGTCTCCCACAATCTTCCCCACCAGGCACCCTGCCCATCTCGACCGCAATCTGTCTTGCCCATACGCCAACATGTCCATCCGTTTCTCTGCGAAATAATTGCGTTTCCGCCGCTGACCACGTAACAATTGCTTGTAGCACCATCACATCCTTCAGCCACAGGAACCGCCACCCGAACGCCATGACTTCGAGACGTACGCCCGCCATCTCCAAGATGCCGCCATGCTCATCCAGCGACAGACCGAGCGCCCATCGTCCTCGTATAAGGAAGTTTCTGTCCTCATGCTGAGATGGGAGGACGATGACAGTGTCGAACAAGACTTGATTGCTCTTAGCCGTGTCTTTGAGTCTCGATATCACTATCGCACACAGCGATGGCTTATCCCGACTGTGGCCAATCCAAGCATCAAGCTCGGTGTTCAGATGGCCCAATTCCTGGAACATGCAAGACCCGATCACTTGCTTGTCATATATTACGCGGGCCATGGCTATGTTGGGTCCGATTCACACCTCTACTGGGCATGGTAAGTCTTGTTTGTATTTTTTTGGGCGGCGCTCTACATATGTATCAATTCGGGAATTTGCTCGGCCTGACATGTCGCCTTCTTCTTTAGCAAACCTGGACCTGATGCAGCAAGGCTGAAGTGGGATGGCGTTCGTTGTCTCTTCGAAGACGCCCAGGCCGATATACTCTTTCTGCTGGATACCTGCGCGATCCCCGACTCACCAAGCTCGGGAAGCAATGGGCTTAAGCAAGCAATTGCCGCCGGTATTCCTGGAAAGGACAAGCGAAGTGACACCGATTCTTCATTTACCGTCAATCTCGTGGAAGCTCTCCAGAAGATGAGTACTGGAAGGCAATTCAGCGCACAGAGGCTCTTTGAGGAAGTCAAATTTCTCCAGCAGCAGCGCCAGTCTCACCCGCCTCGCTTCGTGAATGGTTCTGGGGGCACCCATCTCCCCAAACCGCAGCAACTGCCAGTATTCTTCACCGTGACGCCCGGGAAATCTCAGGGACTGACATTGTCCCCCGTATCTGTATCTGGGGGAACACAGCTGCCTACATCGGGCGAATCCGATCAGTCGCCTGTGCGTGGACTTGAGGAGCGCCTCATAGATCCTGTTGCGGCGACTGATATCCGATTTGATGAGCATCGTATCTTGGCATGTACAACATTCGTCGGTGACGCTAGCCCAGACATGTCCTTTTTTCACCAGTGGTTGCAAAATACTCCGCCTTTGGGCGCCAAAATTGCCGTAGAGGGGATGTTCCTTGGACCCCCGACGATGCTTCTCATTTCGATGCCCCATTCCGTCTGGAACATAGTTCAGCACGATAAGGTCTGCTGCTTCCTAGGCTACATCAGCTCGCACAACATGCTCCATCTCTACGAGAAGCTCGTCGGGCCCACACCGGCCAAGCCATCTATAAACGAGGCTGACGGAGGGCGAATCTTGTTGGAAGCGAAAGAATACCCCCCCAGGCCACCGGTGCAAAGCCAAGAGCACGAGAGGCGAGAGCATGAGAGGAGAGAGCACGAGTTGAGAGAGCACGAGAGGAGAGAGCACGAGAGGAGAGAACACGAGAGGCGTGAGCACGAGCGGCATGAGCAGAATGTGCACGCTACTCCCCCATCTGCAGCTCGGAGCACACCTGCTTCTAAATATCGGACCCGTGAGAGCTTGACCCCAGGCCAGTTTCCTTCAGGCCCTGGCGCTACGCCAACCAAACCAAAAGACGAAAACGAGGGGTCGGCGGAGATGCGGGAAGCTGCAGAACAGCTCAAAGCTCTGAGTCATATGAGGCACCGGAGTGATGACAGCACCCAAGGGTCGGAGAAGCCACGAACAACGTTACCCAACGGCACATCCGATTCGAGGCACAAAGTGCGTAGGTCCTCTAATGATGATCACGAAGGATCCAACGACTCTGGAGATGTGCGAACCAGCCCCCAGCGTGTCAAAGTTCCGAGGCGTGCTCAGCCAAAGCATGAGACCCGGTGCCACCATTGTACTCACGCGCCATTCCGTGATTCCTCGTCTCTGCGAAAACATATCGCTGCGGCCCACACACGACCATTCCCCTGTGCCTTTTCATTTGCAGGCTGCAGCAGCACGTTTGGATCAAAAAACGAATGGAAACGGCACATCACTTCTCAGCACCTTTGTTTGCAGTATTACCGCTGCTCTTCCTGCCCGAAAGGTAATGGTGAAGGCAGGGGTAATGAGTTCAATCGGAAGGATTTGTTCACCCAACACCTTCGTCGGATGCACGCTCCCACGCAGATAAAAAAGCCCCTCACAAAGAGCGATACGAAAATCCAGACTGAGTGGGAGTCACATGTCAAGCTTATGCAAGAGAAATGCTTGGTAAATCGGCGGCATCCACCACAGAAGTCGGCATGCCCAAACCCAGACTGCCTGACGGTGTTCGAGGGAGCAGGCTCTTGGGATGAATGGACCGAACATGTTGGCCGGCACATGGAGAAGGGCGAGGGTAACAAGGCCTGGGTTGATAAACACCTGATCAATTGGGCTCTCGACGAGAATATCATTGAGTCACAAGGCGGTGGATACCGCCTTCTGTCTGGTGCAAATGGAAATTCTTCACCCAACGGTGAGAGCAATTCCACTGGCGAGGTCAAAGACTCAATCTCTATTCAACCGCCGACAAGATCAAGCGCAGAGTCTCTGAAACCAGACGAAGACTCGCCCGGAAAAGAGCCAGACTCCGCAATTGATTGCATGGAGGTTGATTGACGAGAAGATTCTGTGTGCGGCCAAAGAACTTAGGCCCTGACAACGTTCAACGTCTCTGGTCGTTGTCCTCTTCCCATGCTTCTGTTTCCTTATTCATAATTCCTCTTATCCCTTTTTGTTTTTCTGGCTTCCTTTTATTCCAATTGTTAGATTTTCATCTAATTTCCTTTATGATGCAATGACGTTCATTGCATAGCCTATCCCACGACTTTTAACGGATAACGAGTGGTTAACGACATTTTCATGAGCTTTACGACACGACAGTTGATGAACCGCCCCGCAGCGATTCACGGTAACACGAACCAACAGCAAAAATTATTTCCAACCTTTGAAATGGAATTATGACATCAACTTACGACTTTTTATGTATCGGCGGCGTTGCCAGTATGCGACTCTATTATTAGCGACGGTGTTTTGTATTTTGGGGGGCATTCTGCAAAAACAAAAGTCTGAATGGTACGCCCTACTCTGCTTTCTTCCACCAGTTTGGTCCTCTGGAACCCAGAGCGATGATGATTACGTGATAGAGCAAATGACAAAAGATATGAACTGTCTGTTTTGATATTTTACTAGCTTGATCAATATTGATGATGAATGAATACTGAATGAACATTTCCTCGAGTATACAAACACGTGAGACTTGAAACCTATAAATCCTTTTGTTGGTTGCCAGCTTGTATTCCTACATATGAACCATTCCCTTCCAAACTTACAAGGGAACACTATATACGAGAACTCTATACACGGAGCGATCCCGGCTCATTCAGCGACAGCTTCACATCAGCTGTTCGTTTGGACGCCGCGCTGTCGACTGTGGCGTTCCCTGCGCACGCTTTGCTGCCCTCAAGAAGAGTAATCTTGGAGATGGACACGGGCACCGGGTAGTTGAACTGTCCTTCGATCCGCAGCTCCCCGTCCTTGAAGGACAAGTTGATCCAGCTCACGCCTCCGTTGTTCGCCGGGTCGATTGACTCGCCATCGTCAAAGTACAAGTCACCCGCTGCCTCGCCGTTCTTGTCCAGCGGGAGGACCAGCTCAAAGTCTTGCTCCCTCAGGCTGGTGGTTGTGTTCGCGGACGACACCCGGAGGGGCAGGATGACGCCGGAGCGGATGAGGATGGGGATCGACGTCGTGTCGACGTCGGAGAAGGTGTGGTTCGCGCCCCTGCCGCAGACCAGCTCGTGGGTGTGCCAGTCGTAGAATGCGTCGTTGGGGAGGTAGGCGTCCACGCTCGTCGCGCCCTCCTCGAGGACGGGGGCGACGAGAACGCCCTTGCCGTAGAAGAACTGGTTCTCCAAGGCCCAGGTCTTGCGGTCCTCCGGGTACAGGTAGAAGACGGGGTACAGGACGGGGGTGCCGTCTTTCGAGGCGCGGGCCATGGCCGTGTACATGTAGTCGAGCAGGCGGTACCTGACGTCGATGGCCTTGCGGGCGCTCTCGGCGACGGTGTCCCAGAGGTAGAACTCCTGGTCGACCATGTCGAGCTGGTTGTGGTTGCGGTAGAAGGTGTTGAAGGCCCCCAGGGAGGCCCAGCGGGCGCAGAGCTCCTCGGTGGTGTTGTCACCGAAGCCGCAGGTGTCGGAGCCCGTCATGGGGAACTGGAAGAGCGAGGTGAAGGCGAGCATGGTGCGGATGGAGGCGCGGTAGTGCCCCCAGGTGGACAGGTTGTCACCGAGCCAGTGCCCAACCTTGGAGCCGGAGCCGGCGAAGGTGCTGCGGGTGATGATGAGGGGCCGCTTGTCCGGGCGGCGGGCGCGCATGGCGTCGTACGAGGCCGAGCCCATGAGCGTGCCGTAGAGGTTGTGGGTGTCGTACATGGCCAGGCCGTTCTGGGAGAGGATGTTCGTGTCGACCGTCCGGTTGGAGAGGCCGCCGTCGGCTGCGTTGGACCACGGCTGGTAGGCGGCCTTGTTGCGAATGGAGTACTTGGGGTACAGGAGATCACGGCCGGGCAGACCGCTCTGGTCACCTGCCTGCTCTTGGCGAGGGACGATCTGGGGGGTGCTCACTTCCATTGGAAGGAGGCTTCTCACCTTTTCGACTTGCTTGGTTGAGTTGCTGCTGCAGCCTCCTTGGTCAGGTGGCTGGAACTCGCAAGGGAAACCAGGGAGAGGTCTGGGGTTCTCTCGCACCGCGGGAGGCTCAGGAGGGAAACCCTCAGTTGAGCCGTATGGGTCCTCACTGGGTTCTGTCAGTAATGAAAATTAGGGGAAATCAGTGACGAGTTTCTTACCAGGGGAAGTAGCAGCCAATGTTTGCAGGCTCGTTCATGTCGATCCACAGACCGTCAATGTCGATGCCGTCTTCAGGATTGAAGAAGAGATCAAACTCGTTGTTCCAGTACGTCGTGATGTTCTCGGCAAACCAGTCAGGGAAGACTGTCACTCCAGGCCAGACAACACCGAGGAATACAGAGCCATTTGAGCGCAAGAGGAAGATGTTGTCCTCGAGACCTCGCGTGACAGTTGGGTATTCCTTGTATCCCGCTGCGGGATCTACCATGACGATGTAGTGCTGGTTGCGCTCATGGAGGTATGAGACGATACTGCGCAGCTTTCCAACGGGGTATCGCTCAGGGTCAGTTGTGAAGATGGTGCGGCCGTCCATGTAGTCAATGTCAGTCCACATGGTTTCGAGGGGGATGTTGGCCTGGCTGTAGTTGTAGATGACCTCGGCCACGGCGAATGCATCTTGATAGCCATAACGGCATTGGTGGAAGCCTAGACCCCAGTAGGGGGCAAATGTAGGCAGTCCAGCCACCTCGGCATACTGCTTGGTCACCTCTGAGGGGCTGGGTCCAGCAAAGAACCAGAAGTCGAGAACTCCTCCCAGGGTGTTGTATTCAAGAAACTGGCCGTCTTCTTTGTTGTTGTCAATCATGACGTCCATACCATTGGAGTTGAGCAGAAAGACACCGTGGGAGCCAGACTCGCGATGCTCGAGATACAAAGGCTGGCTTCCGTACAGGTTGGAATCTTCAGGTATTCCGTAGCTGTCCTGGTTCCAGAGAGTGCGGCTGTAATTAGTGGTGCTCAGACGGAAGTCGTCGGTATGCTCGCCCAGTCCATAGAGATAGGGATCCTCGGGAAGCTTGGTGCGCAGGCGGACATATTGCGACTCAAAGATGAGAGATGCCGCTGAAGTGTCGAACAAGACTTCTTCGCTGTCTCGTCTGGAGACGCGGAATGAGAAGGGGCTCTCCTCGTAGTCGAACTTGAGGGCATTGGAGTCGGGAGAGCTCTTGCTGTCTGGACGAGGGAACACAGATTCTGGGATCTGGTAGACCTGGTTTGCCTTGTCCTGGATCTTGACATGAAGTCTTTGGTCTATATTTCCGGCCATGTTAGTCTCGTCATCTCCTCTTCTTGTGACTCTTCTTTTGCTTACCAGCCTCGTAGGTGACCTCCAGAATCAGATCTTTGAGATCATCTCCGTAAGCATTGCATGCATCACCGGCAAGAGACAAGTCGGCAGTCAATCCATAGTCTGTTGTCTGCACATTGGAGGCAGTGTACCCAGGGCATTTGGCCAGCAGGCTGTAGTCGGGGTATTGCTGGTCCTGTGCCGTGCCAAACGAGACGAACAGGGCCGTCTGGAGGAAGGCAGCCGACGGTTTGATGAACCTCATCTTCACTCTTCTGGGTAAGCTCCCAATTGCAAGTGAAGTAGCTATTTGGAATTGAGGCTTGGGGGAAGGAGAGTGAGCGGGTGGAAGGGAGAGTGAAACCCAAGCCCGACATTATATTCTCACCACAAGCTGGGAATCTACACATTTCGGGCAATTCGAATTCATCGGTGAGGGTCAAGATGCACAGGAACCCGCACTCCGCACTCGCACCAATTGGTTTTCCCTGAAACATGCTTAAACGGAAGCTCCTGTCATGACTTCATTCTAGCGCACATCCTCCACAGCTCCTCCACACGCTCAACCCTGGGGCCCCGGTTCTGCTACAACATCACGGATACATGGGGAAATTCACGGTGAAATGAGTCGGTGCCATCCCTCTATTGTGATCTTCGGCGCCTCCACACACCGACAGTGCATGCTGATCCTTGTCACCCGGCCGTATGCCGGTCATTCGCCGGCGAAACCATACATATCTTGCAGTCGCCGCTATTTAGCTTGCAGGAATCAAAACCCGGTCGACATCGGGACCGTACTGGCCATTCAGCCCGGTGATCTGAAAGGTGTTCCCGCTGCCCGAATTCAAGTTCACATGCACAGCGCTGGTGCCTGCGCTCTGGCCGCTGCTTGTCGGGAGGAAGGCGATGCTCTGGCTCACCCCGTTGACATTGACGCTGCCGTACCGCTCCCCGCTGTCGCCGTTTGCATATCTCACCTTGAGCGTCGCTCGAGAAGTCGCGCCGCTGCTCAAACCGCTCAGTCTGAGCGTTCCCCCGCTGCTTCCGCCGATGTAGCCCACCGCTGTGCCACCGCTACATCCGGAGCAACTGACTGTAACAGCACCGTTGGACAGGGTCCCGGCCTCTGCCTCGTAGGCCGATTCGCTTGGTGCAGCAGACCATCGCCTTGATGCGACATCGGGGACCCAACTCTCCCGGTTCCTCAGCCACACGCTGGTGGTACCGGAGAGCTCGAGCGGCAGCCAGATGTAGGTGCTTCGCTTCAGATTCGTCGAATGCCAACGGTCGCCCATGTATATCGCCGTCGTAGCGTTCCACGGGAGTATGTATGACGTTTGCGAGCTATAGGTGTTCGAGCCCGAGTCGGCGAAATTGGCCCAGGATGACCAGGGTCCGGACAGAGATGTGGCATAGCTGTATACCTATTGGGAGAAACTTGTCAACTCGGCTGTGTTGATAAGAAGAAAGAAAAGGCCCGAAATTCACCGGCGAGAGCTTCGGCTAGTTAACTTACATTATCATTTGGGTCCCATCCTGTAAGATGAGAGCCAAACATGAAGTAGCGGCCGTTTGTCTTCCAAATCGCTGGAGATTCAATCTTCTCACTCCAGGTATAGACGTTTCTTGTCACCGACAGGTAGTCGGAGCTCAAGGCATCAATACGAAGGCCGTTGGCCCGCTTAACACCATCCGCAATATAAGGTTAGCAGATTGTCTTTTGGGCATTAAGCTTAATGGGAAGCATACGTCCTCGGTCAGGAGATAGGCGGAGCCATCATCATCCTTGAAGAGCCCCATGTCTCTAGATTGGAAACCCAGCGGCTGAAAGCTACCTCGGTACTCGTATTTGCCGCATACTGTGTTGGAAACGGCCACGCCAACCTTTGCTTCGCCATAGTTGCTGCTATCGATGTGCATATACATGACATATTTGCCGGTCGAAGCGTTGCGGATGACTTTGGGTCGCTCAACCACACGGCTCGGTCCCAGATCGCCGGAGGATTGCTGCGTGAGCAGCGCATTCTCAAACGTCCACTCAACCAGGTTCGAGGAGGAGTAGCAGTTGATATTTTGGAACGCGGAGCCATTGGTCTTGTCTTCTCCGATCATGTAGAACTTGCCTCCGTCTTCTATTATTCCGGCGCCATGTGCTTGTACATGGCGTCCTGTGTTTGACTTGGTAATAGTTAGTTGATGATCAAATAGAAAAACGCCCCAAGCAAGTTTTTGGGTTCACAAACTGCAGTCCACGTCGCCCCAGGAACAACCTGCAACGCTGCCTGGCTAGCCGGGACGGCGCCGAGAAGAAATGCTGCCGTTATCGGCTTCATTACTTCGAGTATATTACAGAAAGAACTAACAGACCAGAGTTGGCTCAAAATAAGTTGAGGATAGTTCCGTTCTAAGTCAAAAGATAGCAGTGGGAACCCAGCTGAGGTCGTGACGACTAACACTGATCGCCTTATATGCTAATTCAATCGCACATAATATTCTAGAACACTGTGATGTTTGGTGATCGGTGGACACAGCCTGAGATGTCACCTTCTGGACTAAGGGGATTGGCCGCGTGATGAACTCGTATTTCTGCCGAGGGCATGGTTCCGCGCGAATCATAGAGTCAAAGGCCCAACTCCACAGTTGAAATCGTGACAATATAGCAGCGAGGGGTCCTAAACAACGAATTAGGACATGGAACACGCTGGTTCCGGGACCCAAACCAATCAGGTCGCACTGGCCGAAGCCTCCGCACGGGAATGTTTGGAGTTGCAATATGGAGAATAGCCAAATATATGGCCTTTTAGCCCCCGCTTGAATATTGCCGGTGACATCTATCATCTAAGAGGTGCGGGTGAGAATGGGGTTTCGGCAGCCCTTTGCCGATGCCTGCCTTACTTGTGATAGCCTCAGGGAACGTGTTGGTAGAAGTCGATTTACATCGTAGAACTAGAGCGAGCATCACTTGCAGAGTATCTTCATAAGGTAGAGGAGTGTTGATTACTCAATGTTTAGGTGGGGAAGAGTGTTTCTCTGCCTGTACGAAAAAGGGTTTACTACCATATCTTTAGATTCATAATTCATTGCGATTGAACTCACAAGAAAAAAAGAAGAAAAGCAAAGAAAAAAGGTGTTAGAGGAATCAAAGAATGATTGTTCAAGTAAGACAATTGCATATTCAAAGAAAATGGACTACCCTGGACCAGGCAGACGGTGAGCACTGGCATCACGACCTCCACTGAAGCCAAACCAGTCTAGCTTCATCCCCCGAATTCTGCTTGGAACCAGCCCACCTTCAATCAAGCCTTTAGCGCCCCATCCGTCCTGAGCCCCATCAAGCTTCCCACACTCGCGGCCAACCGCCCACATAGGCCGTGCTGCTAATTAATCAGTCTCGTTATCTCGCCCGAATAGCTCGTTTTTCCTCCCAAGCCTGTTAGCATGAACTTTAACGCGTCTCAGGCCATCCACGACCAACCCCAGCAACAACCTCAGCATCGGCCCCCCCAGCCTCGCCAATCCGCCAACCCTGCCAGTCCTGGAAACAGCCCCCAGCTCCAGCAGCAGCAGCACCAGCAGCACATTGCCCAACTACAACAACAGCAGCAGCAGCAACAGCAGCAACAGCCGCATCCCCAGGGCCACGTCGCTATGAACGGCATGAACGGCGCAGGTATGCCAGGTGGCGGCGGCATGTCCATGCCAACGCCCGCTGGCCACCAGGCAGAACTCAACTACATCTACAGCATGGTGGAGGAGCTGAGCAAGCAGCTCGCCGACAACCGCAAAGTCACAGAGGACATCGTCAACGGCCTCGGCAAGGTCCGCACCAAAGCGAAAACCAACGGCATATCCAATGGCGAGCTCATTGATGCTGCTGCTGACGAGCTCCAAAGTGCGCTCTCCCTCTAACGTCTTATCTTCTCGCTTTTCCTGACCAAGCTGACCAAGTCACTTTGCGCAGGCCAAGAGGAAAACCTCGACGCCCAGATATCCCTCCTCACCGAGTCGCTCGAGAAGGCCAAGCACAGCCGCGACCAGAATGCGACGCTCCTCACCCAGTACGCCAACGCCCTCGCTGTGATGCTCAAGCAGTTCCACGAGTACAAGACCAAGCACGTTGCGGATGTCGCCGCGTGGCATCGGTCCTACCGCGTACAGCTCGACGAGGCCCGCCGGGAGAACTCCCGGCTGCGCGAGCAGATCTGGGAGATGCAGACGCACGCCGCGACGGCCAACGAGAGCCTGAGGAAGTTTCGGAGCAAGTACGACGAGGATGAGAAGCGCTGGGACGGGCGTGTCGCCAGCGTTGCGGCGAAGCAGGAGATCCGGTTCTGGAAGCGGATGGCCATGCCTGAGCTCGAGGATGATGACACCTACTGGAGCGGCGACGACGATCTGATTGACCCGGCCGAGAAGGAGAGGCTGCGCGAATTGGAACAGCGAGCTGCGCAGGAGCAGATGATGGCCGAAAGCCAGGCTGAAGATAGCGACGGAGGTCCACAACAATCACCGTTTCAACACATGGGCGTAATGGGGGGGATCGCCATGCAGAGGGAGGATACGAGTCTTCAGCCAGTTCCACCGCCACGGCCACTGAGTGCCGCATCGAGCACAGGCTCGACGGGGCACTAGTCATGTCTGCTTTGATCTTTGATACTTTGGTTTGTTGGGTTTGGATATTGCATGTAAAGCATGGGACTGTATGGTAATGAGGTACTTGACTATATAAACATACGGCATAGCGCTGGGTTACGGAGTTGGGCAAAAGAAGAATACAATGAAAGAATATTACACTAATCCAGTTCAATGCGGTTCAGTTTGTGCATTGTGGTATCAAAACTTTGGTTGCTGTAGCCATCAACGGCCGCGACAACACAACTAACCCAACTCCATATCCCCAACCCAGAGGTGACCTGATAAGGTACCAGCTACTATTAGTTGCAAACAAATACATCTCAACCCTCGCTCGTTTGCGCCAATCTCCCAACTTCATTAGTAGCCGCTCTGCTCACGGCGACTGCCATCGCCCCCACCCTGCTCATCCTTGGACGAGGCAGCAGCTTCACCCGCCTGCTTGATCCCCTCCTCATCACCGCGGAGCTTCGCAAAGTAGGTCTTGATATCCTCTGCTCCAATCGCCTGTCCGCTGTCTGCAAACTGCTGGAAGAAGGGCTTGAGCTTCTCCTTGAGGTGGTTGTAGGCCATGACGCCCTCAATGGCGCGCACCCGGTCAACATTTCGCAGGGCGCTCTCCCCACGCTCCAGTAGACTGCCACTTCCCTTGGTCGAGCCGCCATGTTGCGACTCGCCATCTTCTGACAGGGGTGGTTCGTACACTTCCTCTTCCTCGAGGAGTTGCGGGTGGTCGTTCAGCTTCCGGTAGCAGCTGGAGCAGCGGCAGAACTGATCGCGGAAACCTTCTTTGAAGAAGAGTGAAAAGGGTTCGGAGGGTGGTGTTGGCAGGTTGACACGCTTGCAGCCAGAGGGAACTGTGCCCTTCTCGGTGGCATCTGTGGTAACCTGCTGTGTAGGGTTGGCGTCTGCCGAGACATCTGAGCTAGGTTCTTCGGTTTTGGCTCGCTTCACCGGTTCTTCATCACCTAGCGTCTCGTCATCTGCCTTGCGTTTCTTGGAGGTGCCTTCCTCCTCAGGCGTTTCCGCCGGAGTGGGTTGATTAAGAAATACAGGAGGCAGAAACCCTGATGTGCCAACATATGATTTGACCCAAGGGTTGGCAGCGACGCATTTATAGCACAAGAATCCCTCGAACTCGTCCTCTTCAGGGAATCCGGGAGGGTTGGGGGGCTCGTCATCCTCATTCTCCGCATCGCCTTGCTGGTCTGCATTGGCTGTCTCGCCATCTGGCTTGTTCTCGACATCCTCTTTGATAGTAGTAAGGGGAGCGCCGGGTGCTTCAGTGGAGGGTTTAACATCTTTCTTGGAAGATGGCATCTTTTCAAACCAGTTTGGTCCCATGCCAACTAGACAGCCTGGGTGATACCAATCCTCGCCACATCCTCCGGTCTCCGCAGTTCCCAATCCCAGGCATTGGAACATGGTTCCCTTCTGCTGGAATGGGTCATAGTCGCACTCGCAACCACAGAAGCGATTCTGGAAGTTCTGATTGTATTTGTTGTTTGCGTCGGGCTCCTCTGAGTGAACCCCACCCTTGGTATTGGTCTCGTTGTTTGTACGAAGGCTGCATGGTGTCGACGATGGAATTCTGGTTGTTCCGCAATCGCAGGTGAAGTTTCGCTTTTGGAAGATCTCGACAAGTGTGTGTTCACCGTGGCAGCTGATGGAGCAGGCGTAGCAGACGCCAGCTGGAACCCATTTTTGCGCTGAGGATGCCGGGGCCGGGTTGCAGGTGAGGCACGCGAAGACGTTTTGTCGGAGGGATCCGAGAATTTTGGTACAGGACTCGATGCTCTGTCGGGCTTGTTAGAAACGGCAAAACGATTTTGATAACCAGGTGATGATTGGGGTGTCAGGGCATACGTATGGAAGGGCTTCGCGCGCGTCTGCTTCAAGAAGCTCCTGGTCCCGAATGAACCTAAGATGAGATTGTTAGAATGTTACTGCTTGGGGTAGATAGCAAAGAGGGAATTTGTTGAATTGTCAATTGAACTTACTCTGCCGCGGTCTGTGATGCCTCTGACTGCTGGGAGACGCTGTTCTTGCGTTCAGCGGGCTGAGAGACAGCAGGTGCGTTCTCAGCACCGTTGGGAGGATCTGCCGACATTTTCGAGATGATTCTATGTGCCTCTGATGCGTGCGACTTCAACAAAAAGGAGTGTTTGATGAGATAGAGAGGAGAAATCTCAGCATGCAAGGCGATAACCAAGGCGAATCTGAAGTGCGACACAGCGTTTGCTCAGCTCAGCCGGCTGCACGTCACTGGCCAGCCTGAAATAACTCCACCACTCTTACGCTAATACCTGCAGGAGACGTGCTGTATTATTTCTGGCAGCTCCCTAAGCTCCCGCCCCACATATATCAATCAATTCTGGACCCACTGGCCACTTTACGCGTCCCTACCTGAAAGCTACGCGTGAAGTCGCGTCTTTGTCGCGCGCCAGCTAAATTGATTCCCATTTGTCTCTCCTCGAGACATCCACTTCCCCCTCAAAGATTTGCGAAGCCCCCCTAGCTACGGTTTCCCTCACACATACCCTGCACTGCACTTTTCACACATCGCTCTTCTGGCATCTTTTCCTTCATCGCTCATACGAATTGGTTTATTATATCTCCTTTTGAAGCCGAAGACCTAGATTCCCAACCACAGCGGGGTAGCAAACATGAGGTGAGAGTACCCGAACCCGTTTCCCTGAATGCATGACGCTGACCGCCCATCAGTTCACCTCTTCGCGACAACCCCTCCTCTGCCAATCGGGGAATACAGGCACGAGGGAACCGAAAGCGCTCAAGGACTGCCGATGGCGATGCTTCCTCAGTTGGGCTAGGGTCCAGCCCCATGCCCTCGTCACCACCAGCCGAGTTCAACATTGCCCATGGAGGTGATGATAACGATGATGATGATCTTGACGAAGAGCGCGAGATTCAAGATGACATTGATGACATTGACGAAATGGCCGACGATGATGTCGACCTGTTCCGTGAAGGCTTCGAGGCTGACTACAATGACCGAGAAGGCGACAGATATGAGGACATCGACCTCGATGATGATGGAGACTTTGCAGAGATGGACCCAGCCGCCAGACGACAGCTTGAGGCTCAGCTCAACAGGAGAGATCGAGAAGTAGCTCGACGACAAAGAATTCCTGCTGCATTCCTCCCGGGTGAGGATGATGATGGAGAGATCGATCTAACGGCTCAGCCCCGCCGACGCCGCCACCACTACGATGAGGACCCAGATGACCTCATGGATGCTGATATCATGGAAGAGGAGCTGTCCCTTGAGGCCCTTGGCGATGTAAAGGCCTCCAACCTCACAGAATGGGTATCCCAACAATCAGTCCAGCGAACAATCAAGAGAGAGTTCCGAGCGTTCCTCACATCCTACACTGATGCCTCTGGCTCGTCCGTCTACGGAAACCGCATCCGTAGTCTGGGTGAAATCAACGCCGAGTCTTTGGAAGTTTCCTACGAGCACCTGTCAGAAAGCAAGGCAATTCTTGCCTACTTTTTAGCGAACGCTCCTTCCGAGATGATCAAGCTCTTTGATCAGGTTGCTATGGATGTCGTTCTTCTGCACTATCCCGACTACGAACGCATCCACTCCGAGATCCATGTGCGCATCTTTGATCTGCCAGTTCATTACACCCTGCGCCAGCTCCGCCAGTCCCACCTCAACTGCTTGGTCCGTGTGAGCGGAGTCGTCACACGCCGTTCAGGTGTCTTCCCCCAGCTCAAATACGTCAAGTTTGACTGTGGCAAGTGCGGTATCACTCTCGGGCCTTTCCAACAAGAGTCGAATGTGGAGGTGAAGATCACATACTGCCAGAGCTGTCAGTCTCGTGGGCCCTTCACTCTCAACTCGGAGAAGACTGTCTACCGTAACTACCAGAAGCTTACCCTTCAAGAATCCCCTGGCACTGTGCCTGCTGGTCGTCTCCCTCGCCACAGAGATGTTATCCTCCTGTGGGATCTTATCGACAAGGCCAAGCCTGGAGAGGAAATTGAAGTGACCGGTATCTACCGAAACAACTACGATGCTCAACTCAACAACCGCAATGGATTCCCTGTCTTTGCAACAATTTTGGAAGCCAACAACGTCGTGAAGTCCCATGACCAGCTGGCTGGTTTCAGGCTGACCGAGGAAGACGAGCATGAGATCCGCAAGCTCTCTCGTGATCCCAACGTTATTGAGAAGGTGATCAATTCAATTGCACCTAGCATCTACGGCCACACAGACATCAAAACGGCTGTTGCGCTGTCTCTTTTCGGTGGTGTGGCCAAGACAACCAGGGGTTCCCATCATGTCCGTGGAGATATCAATGTTCTTCTACTTGGTGATCCTGGAACTGCCAAGTCTCAGGTGCTTAAATATGTCGAAAAGACTGCCCACAGAGCCGTTTTTGCAACTGGTCAAGGTGCCAGTGCGGTCGGTCTGACGGCTAGTGTCCGTCGAGACCCTCTGACAAGCGAATGGACTCTGGAGGGAGGTGCTCTGGTCCTTGCGGATCAGGGAACTTGTCTCATTGACGAATTCGACAAGATGAATGATCAGGATCGAACTTCGATTCACGAAGCCATGGAACAACAGACCATTTCTATTTCCAAGGCTGGTATTGTTACTACTCTCCAGGCCCGCTGCGGCATCATCGCAGCAGCCAACCCTATTGGAGGTCGATACAACTCGACTGCACCCTTCTCCGCCAACGTGGAACTTACAGAGCCCATTTTGTCTCGTTTCGACATTCTGTGTGTCGTGCGAGACACGGTCGAGCCAGCTGAGGACGAACGTCTTGCTCGCTTCATCGTCGGATCCCACAGCCGTAGCCATCCCGAGTCTCAGTCCAAGATGACCCAGGACTCGATGGAAGTTGAGCATGACTCGGAGCAAGCAGAGACTCAGGGGACAAACGGGGCGGCAGCACGCAACAAGGAGGGTGAGATCCCGCAACAACTTCTGAGAAAGTACATCCTGTATGCCAGAGAGCGATGCCACCCTAAGCTGTACCACCTGGATGAGGACAAGATCGCACGCCTTTTCTCTGACATGAGAAGAGAGTCCCTGGCGACGGGCGCCTACCCCATTACCGTAAGTTACCCTCTTCTCCCGATTTTCGGACCGGCCCTTTCGCTCGTGGACTTGCCGAAACATATACCGGTTGCTAACACATGTTCTTAGGTGCGTCACTTGGAAGCCATCATCCGTATTAGCGAGTCCTTCTGCAAAATGAGACTATCGGAGTACTGCTCGGCCCAAGACATCGACCGAGCGATCGCCGTCACGGTGGACAGCTTCGTCGGCAGCCAGAAGCTGAGCTGCAAGAAGGCGCTTGCTCGGGCATTTGCCAAGTACACACTAAGCAGGCCCGGCAAGGGAGCAAACAGCCAAAGCCAGCGTAGGCCAACAGCCGTGATGAGTTAAAGGATTTGTGCTGTCTCACTTGACGTGGCTGGTTTCGGTTGGTGATTTGAGTGCGTGTTTTGTCTCCTGGCTTTCAAATGGTATCTATCACGTACATGGATGCATGTGGGATGTGCTGGCGCATAGGGAGTGAGTGTTATTTATTACGTACTTTTTAGATGGGATGAATATTCGACATGGATACGACATGAAGAGATGATGGGCATGTAGGTAGAAGAATCTCGGTACTTCCGACTATAATTGGTACCTAATGTTTGAATGAAGGAATCAGGTGTCCTTGTTTCGAGTTCTCTCCTTCTCCTTCCCCCCCTTGAAGCTAGATGATAATTCAGAAGCTTGCGCGTCCCCAAGTCTTGGCTGCGACACTCAAGGAGTCTAGCCCTCCGGTTGGTTCATCTGGCTCATGTGCGTTGACTCACAATTAGAACCCAAGAAACTTTCTCACATGTCTTATCCTCTCACCCAATGCAAGTGATGAATGTGCCCATCATCTACGCGGCCAGCATTGTCGATGCCCTCCTTAATTCAGTCCACTCTACGTTTTTCAATGCTGACTCAGCTAACACGCGCACAGGATAGCTGAGTCAGCAGCCACTGCACTTTCGTAGCCAAATTCGCATTATGAAATTGTATCTCGATGCGTTTTCAACTGAGTGGGCAGACTTGATTGAATGGCCACTGTCGTGGCTACTGACTACTACCAAACGCTCTCGCTGAAAGTTGCAATACTTATTCTGGTACCGGTCAGATCTATTCCCTTTGGGTCTCGCACCAAGCTAGGCCTGTGAATGGTGATGATGGACAAAGCCTTGATCAGAGGTAAGAAGGGCGTCTTAAGATTCTAAAATGCCAGATCCAGGGCGGCAATTCGTTGATGGACCGGCAGTTGATCAACCCACTGCTGCATTCAAAACTATGCAGCTGAGCTTGGCGTGAGACTCTAGATCTATTGATATCCAGTAGCTCAAGCCTACACACATCAGCCGTACCAACATCCAGATATCTCATTTCTCTTGGGCTAGGAGGCCCGGCAAGCTATATCGATGACTACTTAAGCTTTTGAGACTAGTCTGTAGAGCAACTATGACTTAACCTCTCGGTTGAATTGGCCTGGCAATTTGGGACATCTAGACCTCTCGTTCGACAAGGTTCAGCTACTAAGGCTTTAAGGTGGCTTTTATGGTTAATTAAACTAGCTTCCGCCTCTATCTCCAGCCATCTCCCAACTCAATGCTTGAACTTCTCGTCACCACTTGGACGTCTGCCCCTGACGCCGGCGTATATCGTGAGCTTGCGCGTCCAATAGTCTTGGCTGCGACATGCAGGGAGTCCAGCCCTCCGGTGGGTCAGTCCATCGACGTGTAGCAATGTGCTTTGACTCACAAGCGCAAAAGTGCCCTGCACGCCAAGGCGAAGCGGTGCATATGCTATCGGGTAGGGCTGTCGGGGTCCCGGGATGAGGATCGCCAGGCAGATTTGCATCTGCTATTGCCTCAATCTACTGTCAGCTTCGGCCCCTGATATGTGGCCCCGGGGCCTGGACTGACGGGCCGCGCGGCTGGTGGAATTGGCTGCTTGTCGCGACAGGCCGCGGCGTATAATCAGACTCGGGCCATTGATGTGGTTGGTGATGATGCATTCCAAGCCGGTTCTCGGCAACATCGCCAACTTCGTCTACCCGCCCAATTTGATTTCAGACGCCTGCTTACTGTTGGACAGCTGGAGGAATGCGCCTCACACTGTGGCGGGCTATCAGATGTGGCTGGCCAACTGGTGCCAGGTCGTGCATCGCTCGGGGGATTGTTGGCTCGTACGTAATTCACCGTCTGCCATGTATTCCGTCTTGGCATGACTTGGAATGAGATTGACACAAGAGCCCAGGGCTGGGCAGTAAGACCGTGCCGGCTCTTGCTGGTCGATATGAGACTTGCCAGGCTGATGGCGCAGAATAGCTTGGATCATGCCGTCACTGTTTAGATATCTACCATCGTCTTTCCCTTCCCTACCCTCTCTTCTTTCACTAGACCAGCTTCATGCCTCTCATTGAATCTACCAGCATTAAAGCAAGATCCGTATCCTTGAATCGACAACCGACTCCCTGGTGGTAGCTCCACATCCATGTCGCCCACATCCGTCGAGTTCAGGCCACTCATAGATGGTCCTGCATCAGGATGGACGGAAAGTAAGTGACCGGACAAACTGAATTATTGGGTTGATTCTTTTCTTTTGATGGACAGAATGAACCTACCGGTCGGAGATGCAACTATACTGACCAGTCTCCATTCTCAGATCAGGGCGGTGCCATTCCCCTCGAAAAGGGAGCGCAGAAGTACCAATTCCGTGGTCTTGCAGCTAGGCGTCGCTCTCGAAAGCGAGTATGGATAAACCTCATCGCCAGATGGCTGGTTACTGTCTTATTCGTTGCCGTCGTCTACATCCTTCTGATCGGATACTCAAAGCCCGACCTCATTACTAGATCGGAGAAGCGGTACTTCTACGCGCTCTTTGTCGGGTTCACTCTCTCCCTCGGTATAGTTACCGTCAGCCAGCTGAATAACGTGGTCAACGATGTCCGGTGGTGGATTCTATCTCGACGATATCGGTCAGCTCACAAGGCAAGTACAGCAACAGAGTTATCTGGCTTTTATGCTAACACCATGATAGGTTGAGGCGATAATGAATGCAACCAGCATGTCAACTATTTTTCTTCTCGCTTTCAGGTCCAAGAGAATTTCAATTCACATTTCGGTTTTGATCTGGCTTCTTCTCATTGTGGTATGTCATCAGTGAAACAACCATCGATTCATAATATGCTAACACGAAGTTATACTACAGGGATCGCAGGTTGCATACAGTAAGTTTACCAGTCATCAAGCAGAAACAAATCAGCGTCTTACATATCTCGGGGCCATTCACTGACTTTTTCTATTCAGGTGCTGTCGGTTTGACTTTTGGCGTGGAGAAGACCGAGGATAAAGCCATGTTAGTCAAGGGGCAAATCCTGATCCCCGACATGTCCAAGTTGGAAACAGACCGAATCGTCAAATCATCGGATTCCCTGAGCGCACAACAGTATACAGCAAATACGTAAGATTCACGGCCCTCTCATCTACGCGTGGTATATGCCATGTTCCTCTTACAGGATACTAATCCTATATATCTACTAGCTATGGGACAATGGCTCTCGCGTATAGCCAGGCAACACTCGATCAAATCCCCAGCAAGGGCTATCTCTGGTTCCAAGACCACCCCATTGTCTTCTGCGACGACAACTCCCCATCATGCACCTACATCTTCCATGAGAAAAACGCCCAGCTCGCCGCCGACCCCGGGGCCATTCCCGTCCAATCGACCACCAACCGCAGCGTGGAAATCACCAGCCGGTGCAACAGCTACCCTGTCACCCGCGGAGCAAATGGCACCATGACAAACATCACAATCACTGCCGAGTCCAAGGACACCGTCATCACCCTCCCCACCACCCCCGGGTCAGACCAATCCACCTTCATGACAAGGTACGACCAAGAGTGCGGGCCCAACTGCCGGATCATGTCGGTGTTCGAGGTCTCTGCCGATGCCTCCTGGTACTACAGCTGCACCACCTGGCAGGGTCCCGTGAAGAACGCAACTCTCCCGCAGCATGAGATCGCCGAGAACGTGACCTACCTTGCCACTACGGCCATTGGCCTCCAGGGCTTCGCGAGCCCGCCATCCGGCAACACAGAACGGGAGATGGATCCCATGAAGAGCCTGCAATACAAGGTATATCCGTCCGCCACCGTGCCCGGCAAGCCGGCCAACGGTTCGACCCGGGCCATGGAAGGGTTGCTATCGCGGTTCGCCATCGGCGTGATCGCCATGGCCGCGGAGTCCAGCTCGGGCGTCACGCTGGAAGGCAGAGCGCCGCAGATTGGGCAGAAGCTGGGCGTGGAGCACTGGAACCTGATACACATGACTTTCGCACTCACCGCCGGCCTGCAGTTGATCTTGGCCATCGGCGTGACGTTGGTCGCCGAGCGTGTGATCGTGCCTGATGGAGGACCGATAAGCGAGGCTCAGATCTTCCGAGCGATGACGAGCGATCGAGGAGTACATGCCGTCGGGTCCGGCTGGAGATACAGATTTGATCCTGTCGGAAGTGACGGCCTCTATGATTTGTACATGGAGGAAAAGGGGGCCAAAGGCTCGCAGTCAGACAGTGAGGAGGGCCCGTCGCCATCTAGAGTCATGGAGGCCACTCCTTCGGAGCCACCACGATCAAGGGGCAACACCAACATTGGGCATTAGGTTCGTTTGGCATGATAAAATGGTGGCCTATCTAGGCGTTTTGGAGGATATTGCCGAGCTGGAAATACGGGTTTTGAGTATTGTACCAATAGAATGTGGAATAAAAGGGCGGGAATGATAATCGAGGATACTAGGAAAATAAACTATCTATGTCAAAAACAATTTGCAAGGATCAAAGTCTCCAAAACTACAAAATGAAACTCAAATGAACGGCTTGTACTGCTCCTCGCACCAATTCCAGAACTTCTTACAGTAACCCAGGCCACCCTCCTCCTCAGGGGTAATGGCCTTGACAATGTCCTGTCTAGGACACTCCTTGTCTGTACGAATCCTTCCAAACGGAATCACATAATCCCCATTCTTGACATCTGGAGATAGCCCTGCGAACAATTCAGTGTAGGCTCCTGACTTGGTCTCAGAGAGCAGTCTTTTGAGGACGAACATGACCCTGTTAGGGGCGCCCGTATAGCCATTAGACTTGACGTTCCCAGGGTTGAGGCAAGCGATGGTTATGCCATCAGCTCCCCATCTTCGAGCCATCTCACGGGCCAGGATCCAGGATCCAGCCTTGGAAGCGCCGTAGTTCCGGGTAGGATCCTTACCCCCCGTCTCAAGCAGGTCAAACTCGATCCCATTGGGCGGAGAGGACCCGTCAAGTGAGATGCTTGCCGTCCAGAGGACACGCACAGAGCCGGGCGACCCCGGTGAAGCTTTCACAGCAGCCTGCAGCTGGGGTTTGAGAAGCTGGGTGAACAGCAGAGTGGCGATGCAGTGCATGCCCATCATGGGTTCGAATCCCTGGGTGGTTCTTGCATCAGACGCGAACCGAAATGCAGAAAGACCTGCATTGTTCCACAGCACATCTAACTTGGATTCCTGGGCGGCGAAGGCTGCGGCTGCAGCTTTGACGGTATTCAGATCATCAAGATCAAGGTGGATGAATTTGAGGGTACCCTCTGACGAAGGTGCCGATCGAGTGATGGTTTGAATAGCTTCCGCGGCTCGTTGCTTTGTAATTTTAGTTAGTTATTGGTCGAGAGAGGGCTTCTGATTTTATGGGAACTTACCTCTGATCGAGTTGCCATGTAGACCGTCGCCCCTGAGCCATAGAGAATCTTACACAACTCATATCCGATGCCCGAGTTGCCGCCTGTTACCATGAAAACCTTTCCTTTCTGGGAGGGGAGATTCTCCTCCGTGAATGTTGGCTTTGGAGGGAAAAACTGTGTGTAGGTCGTGTAAATCATCGTGTCTTGGAGTTGCCAGGGGACTAATTAGAAGTCACAATTTGGAAGGTTAGAATGAGTGCAGAATGCTGTGCATTTCGAATCTCTAGCTGTTCCTATTCTATACGTCCTTCTTATGCTTTTATAGTTCCAGAAGGACGTTATCTTGCCAATGGCGAAATGTCTACATGCTGGATAGAGCGGAATTATCATCAAGTACCCAGGCGGAAGTCCGCCTACTACTAAGCATCGAGGCTCATAAATAGGTAGGCGGCGGAGATTTCTGAAATTACCAACTGGAAGCCTAGACAGTAACGGTCATTCTTGTCTTCTTAGAGGCCATGATACGCGGTGATGTATCTAGGTGCCTTGGTGGGAGTGTAAGCGGAAATGAAAAGGTTGGTGAGCACCGCCATTTGCAGCCCACCCTGTACCAAAGCGGTCACTCCTCGCTGGGGTATAACTGTATGCGTAATACTTCTTGACGCATCTTGGCAATTTTATTACGAAATGCGAAGGTAGAAAAAGTAATCCGTGTGCACTAAGCAGCTAGAACCACCAGCTGAAAGAGCGCGGAGAGACTGACGAGAAGAACGCCGACTCAAAGCTCCGCTATTCGAGGCCTGGTGATGCTGCAAGCTTCAGCCCGGACCAGAAACCCTCCGCGACTACGGGAGGAATCGGAGGTTTTGTAAGACGCGCTCTCCCGATACCATATTTGCTTTTAAAGATCCATCAGCGTCAGAGTCATAATCATCAATTCCTCTATCAATTGATCTCATCCAGCTGACATCACTATCCATCATGGCACGCAGTATTTCCAGTAAATTGCTCGCTACATCACTTGCCACGGCCATCGCGCTGGGAGGCACTTATGGATTTCTCGTCCATCAGCGTGTCAAGGCAGTTGATCGCAAGCGAATAACGATACGAGACACCGCCCCGGACGCATTCCGACAGTCCAAATCAATCAAGGATATTGTCAACATCAAAGGCCACCGGGACCAGGGTGACTCGCGGCACATTACTGTCGAGATTCCCGCACATCTGCAAAATGAGCCTGACGAGGCCCTGCTGGCTAGATTCGTCAAGGGGTTTTTCGGAGGCATTGTCATTGGGCCTGAACGACTGACGCTGCAAACCTTGGGGTTGAATTTGGTCAAATTCACCAGTAAGTGAGAGGCCCTTGCTACGGGCAGGAACATGAAGCTGATGACACGAACCAGGTGCGCATGCTCCCTCAACGGGACAGCGACTATGGTCAACCAAAGACCTGCAGGACAATAAGCTCCCTCCCCTGCACTCGGTCTTGTTTGGTGTGTTCCAGGTCACTGACAAGAACCTGGCCGAGCGCAGCGGCAGCGAGCCAAGCGAAAGCTATGTTGACTTCGCCTTTGGCAGCGATGAGACCGTCTTTGCCGGCGCTCACCGTTTCGCAGTAGTGAGATATCCTCGCTCAAGTCAGCAACCGGCTGATGAACCGACGACGGTCCAAATCCACAGCCAGTCAATTGTCTGCAACCCCTTGTATGACAGGCCGCTCCGGCCACAGTTCATGTTCACCTTTCATCTGGCATATGCCGATCTGCTGTTCAGGGACGCAATCGCAGAGGTGACCCAGTGGTTACAGGGATAACACCAATGCCCACTCAAGAAGGTAATGAACAACTCCACTCACAAAGTCCGTCCATGGGGAGAGAACACGGTATCTCCTGTCCTTTGGTCTGGGCATAGGCATTCCACGCCGGAACTCCACTCCCTGATGTTCCAAGAGAAGATCCCCCACACGCCGCCCCTGTCATAGCTAATCTGCCTCTGCCTCTCGCATGCTCATAGGGTGTGCGAAGGCCATCTCGCCGGAGTATCGTCCCGACACCACGAAACCTGTGGAGAGGCAGACGAGCTGTCCAGCGAGATGATTCGCTGCCAATACGGATGGCTCTCGGTAAAGCTCTGGATATGCCGGTTGAATCTCGGACTCTTGGCCTACATCGGCTGAAGTGCGGTTAACAGGAGAGTGGCTCGCAGAGGATCTCCGGGCCGAAGAATCGACATGAGCCTGGTTCCTCATTCGCTTGTGGCACCATCGCATGAGCTCTCCACGGGCTGAGCTATTGGTGAGCACGTATTTATGTTGCTTCCGGCCCCTCTCCTCGCTCATGCAGGCGATGTTTGTTAGATGATTGAGAATATAATATACTAGCGTTCCGTGGTCGCCCCCCTTCTTTCCTGCTTCCAGACAGTGATCATCCCAGCATTAGAGAATATATACTACCAGTGCTCTTCAGAATGGCCGACTTCGATGTGGATGAGGTGCTCAAGAAGCTGGCCATCAACGAGAAGATTGACCTGCTGGCAGGTTTGTTCTTACCATGTCCTAATCTCAACGAATCGGCCCATTAACAAACACCTTCTAGGAATCGACTTTTGGCATACCAAAGCACTGCCAGACCATGGCGTCCCCTCAATTCGGGTGACGGATGGTCCTAATGGCGTCCGAGGAACTAGATTCTTCAACGGTATCCCAGCCGCCTGCTTCCCCTGCGGCACGGCCTTGGGCGCCACCTTCAACCAATCCCTCCTCGAGGAGGCTGGCGAGACCATGGGCGAAGAAGCCAAGGCCAAGAGTGCGCACGTAATTCTGGGCCCTACAATCAACATGCAGCGTTCTCCCCTGGGCGGACGCGGATTTGAATCAATTGGCGAAGACCCTTTCCTCGCCGGCCTGGGCGCCGCAGCCCTGGTCCGAGGAATCCAAAAGACGGGCGTCCAAGCTACCGTCAAGCACTTCCTCTGCAACGACCAGGAGGACAAGCGGATGGGGGTCCAGGCTATCGTCACCGAGCGTGCTGTCCGTGAGATCTACGCCCTGCCCTTCCAGCTTGCTGTGCGGGACTCGCAGCCAGGTGCCTTCATGACAGCGTACAACGCCGTCAATGGAACGTTTTGCAGCGAAAACCCCAAGTATCTGCAGGAATTGCTGCGTGGGGAATGGGGCTGGGAGGGCCTGATTATGAGTGACTGGTACGGTACCTACAGCACCATCGATGCTGTCAAGGCCGGCCTAGACCTTGAAATGCCCGGACCTCCGCGGTTCCGAGGCGAGCCCCTCAAGTTCAGTGTTTCCACCGGGAAGCCCTTCCACCACGTCATTGATGCCCGTGCTCGCGAGGTGCTCAACTTTGTCAAGAAGTGTGCCGCCTCGGGGGTCAAGGAGAATGGCCCGGAGAATCCGCGTGATACTCCAGAGACAGCTGCTCTTCTGCGGAGGATCGGCAACGAAAGTATCGTCTTGCTCAAGAATGAGAACAACGTCTTGCCCCTGAAGAAGGACAAAAAGACTCTTGTCATCGGTCCAAACGCTAAAGTCGCTACATACCATGGTGGTGGCTCTGCCTCGCTCGCTGCATACTATGCCGTGACCCCGTACGATGGAATTAAAGAGAAGTTGGGCTCAGACCCTATTTACACCGTGGGAGCCCAGACGCATCGATTCCTCCCCATTCTTGGTACCCAGACTACGAAGCCAGATGGCAACACTGGCATGACTTGGAAGGTATACAACGAGCCTCCCGAGGCCGAGCATCGAAAACTCATTGATGAACTGTCTATTACCAAGACAGAAATGCACCTGGTGGATTACTACAACGAAGAGTTGAATGATTTGTGGTACGCCGACCTCGAGGGCTCCCTCACCCCTGATGAGGATCAGAAGTTCGAGTTTGGCGTCGTCGTCAGCGGCACTGCTAAGCTCTTCGTCAATGATCAGCTTGTCGTCGATAACGCCACCAAGCAGTACCCCGGAGAAGCTTTCTTTGGTTCTGCCACACGTGAAGAAAAAGGCACCTTCACCTTCAAAAAGGGGGAGACATACCATGTCAAGGTCCAGTTCGCCTCCGCGCCTTCCTTCACCCTCAAGCTCGGCACCGTGGTAACCGGCCATGGCTCTCTTCGTGTTGGTGGCACAAGGATCATCGACGCGTTCGACGAGATCAACAAGTCTGTACAGCTGGCAAAGGAGCATGACCAGATCATCATCTGCGCTGGCTTGAATTCCGACTGGGAAACAGAGGGCAATGACAGGGCCAGCATGAAGCTCCCCGGTGCTCTCGACCAACTCATCGCCGATGTCGTCAAGGCAAACCCCAACACTGCCGTCGTCATGCAGACGGGAACCCCAGAGGAAATGCCGTGGTTGGACAAGACCCCCGCTGTGATCCAGGCCTGGTACGGTGGCAACGAGACGGGCAACTCTATTGCCGACGTGCTGTTTGGTGATTACAACCCATCTGGAAAGCTCTCTCTCAGCTTCCCCAAGCGTCTCCAAGACGTGCCCTCGTTCCTGAACTTCCGCACTGAAGCTGGCCGCACCCTGTATGGTGAAGATATCTACGTCGGTTACCGTTACTACGAGTTTGCCGACCGCGATGTCAACTTCCACTTCGGCCACGGCCTCTCATACACCACCTTCGCCTTCTCTGATCTCCAAATCACTTCGACGGAAGGCAAGCTGAAGTTCAGCCTCAAAGTGAAGAACACGGGCCCCATCAAAGGAGCAGAGGTCGCACAACTCTACATCAAGCCCAAGCAACCTGCCAAGGTGAATCGTCCCGTCAAAGAGCTCAAGGGGTTCGCCAAGGTTGAACTCGAAGCTGGAGAAACTAAGACAGTTTCCATCGAGGAGCTGGAGAAGTATGCAGCCTCGTACTTTGACGAGGAGAGAAACCAGTGGTGCGTGGAGGAAGGCAAGTATGAGGTGATTGTAAGCAATAGCAGCGTCGTAAAGGAGGGCGAGGCGCTGAAGGGCTCCTTCTCGGTGGCAGAGACATACTGGTGGTCTGGCCTTTAAATCGTTGTTTTGAATATGAGTGAAATGACTGGCGATGATGGGATCAAGGGCAGAGCATGAAGCAGAGGATAAATCTTGAAGATTTCAGAAATTTTATTCTATCCTACAGTCTACAAGTTGCAAAATATTTGTAGCAACGACTCCTTGTATTATTTGCTTCATTAATTTTGCACTCTCTTTGTATACCCAATGAATGTGATTCTCACACCATTCAGTATCATTTCAATTACACAAACCCGGAATACATTACGCTCCTTAGCCTGGCCAAGTATCAGTTATTCATCATCCGACACACCAAGTACTTTGTCATGCTGTCGACATCCCCAACCCTCGCCACGGCCCATCAAGCCACCCTTCTCAACGGAAACAATAGCAGCGCACGTGCAATCTCCCTCCTTGACCATCCCCGCCTCGAGTTGCCGCTTGTAGCTCAACCTCCGCAGCCGCTCAGTTTCTCCCGGCGTGAGCTGGACGTACGTCTCGATGACGATGCAGTGGACCAGCAAACCGAGCCAGGCAGCCGCGCCGAACGTGACATTGAGCCCGGCGGCGACTTTATCTGGCCGACCTGACATGATATCCGCGGAGATGAGAACTCGCTGGTCGGGCGAGACTCCGGAGTAGAAATCGGTGCAGTCTGGGTACATGGACATAACCAGATCCGAGTCGTGTTTGAAGATGTAGTCGATGACGGCGCAAGGACGATAGTCGTAGTAATGGTTCAAAGGCGAGTGGGTAAACACAACCATGAGATATGCGATGAGTCGCATAGTAATGACATGAGTCGCCTACATGAAACCAGTTAGTATTGAGGCAATATACTTGGCTTCTAGGTAGTTCTTCGACTTACAACAGCCCATGCCCTCATCATCCACGCGCGGTGGAGGTCAATCCTGAGCCTCTTCACATAATAGAGGGCAAATGCCAAAGACAAAAGAAACATGGACGTTGCCGCGCCCGAAACCGTCTGAGGAACCAGCCCGCCTCCGAAATGATGTCGTGAGATCATGAGAACGCCGAGGGAGCTGAGCACGACAAGCGCCAGGACAGCATAGCCAATGTACTGATGGAGTGAGATGGATCGCTTGCGCACAGCAGGAGTGAACTGCAAAACAGCCAGTAAGCCCGCAGGGAAGATTGTTGCCAGGTGTAGGAAGAGACCGATCCTGCCGACACCCCGGGAGAAGTAGTAGCATTCGCCGGGCATGGCGACGCGGGGCTTCCCGCAAAAGTAGCCATCGATATCGAGGTATCGAAGATGGGTTAGGATGAAGGCTGCGAAGGGGCCACAGAGGACTAGCCAGAGCGCGAAGTTGTGAGCCCGAGAAAAGCCAAAGGCGCGAGAGACGTGTTGGAATAGAGCTGTCAAGCCACTGACGGCGTCGTCAATATGCGTCGCCATCATCGCAAGCGGGGTAACAAGCCAGGGCCAACGATTTAATCTGAGAAATATATGGCTCAGTTTCTCACGATGATGTGGTGTTGGCCAGGCCGTTTCTTTATCCCATAAATGGGTTGAAAAGGGGGAAGAGGAGGAAATATGATGAGGAAAGGAAGAAAGTGCAAATACAAAAAGGCCCAGCTGCGAGTTAAGAAGCAAGTTATATACGATGAGCCTCTTCGGAGAAGAGTCCCATCACATTCAAGTGAATGGGCAGTTCCCCATTCACAAACAAAGAGATCATGTCAAAGTCCCAGACACACCGTGCAAGCCACTCGGTTACTTGCTCTTAGCAACGCGAGATGATTCAGTGAAGCGGCCCTGTGGACGAAGCAAAGACGTTTACCAGTACACACGAGATCAGGTGAAGTGAGCAGAGTGGCAATCTCGAGAAATATATAACCTATGTCATGCTCGGATCCCACGTCGAATCAGAGACATATCGCCGTAGGCACAACATACGCGCACCAAGTTACAGGGAAGCCCGGAGTAGCTTGAGAGGGGTGGGAAGAAGAAATCATGCCACATCGTTACCGCCATGCTGCCGTTGGGCGTCCATCGGCTTCCACAAGAACGATGACCAATAGTTGAGATTCTGGAAGTGAGAAATCCCATCACGGTAGCCCTCCAGTGAATATTCGCTTCCGTCGTTGCACCGCCATTCGTGAATAGGATCGGGGATGGGCGTCGTAGCCGAAGAGAAACAACGGCACTGAGACACTTTCACGGCATTGCTTCCATGAGTGACAACCCTCCGATGCAGTATTCACCCTGTTTGGACGTGTCTGCCCATTCCGCCAATCCTTTTGGGAAATCTATTTCAACACGAGCTCAAACCCAAGGCTTCCTCAACTCGGGATCAGAGGACAAAAGATGCGGTATGCAACCACCGTCCTGTTTGTGCGACAAGAGTTACTTTTTCTCCTCCCTAATCATCCAAGTATGCCTTATGATAATTAAAGCAAGTGCTACGTTACGCGAGAAATACCCCGAGGCCATTGGCTATGAGGTAGGGCTATTCCTTGTGTTGTTGATGCCAAGACAACTCATACGATGGATCAAATACGGTGAGGGAGCTCGGCAGCGGGTCTCGACGATCAAATTACTCTCATCTCTTAGTCTTTTCCGGCTGACAGAAATTGAGACGGAAAACTGTGAATCAGCCAATATCAATAAAGGCAAGGCTGGATTGAAAGATTGACTGGGCGCACTGGTGAAGTCATTAATTGAGCGCCATGTCTCTCGCACTTGGAAATAGAGAATAATGACGATATTATTCAATAGGATTCGCTAAGATAGCACTACCAAACTAAAATAAGCTCTTCAAGAGTAGAAAGTTGCTAGAAAAATGCAGCATGACATTGTGTGAAATTCGAACCCAGCAGCACAGACAGCGCCAGATTGATGAGACGAAATCTAAACAGAGACCGGTGCATGAATTCCGTGGAAGCCCAGGCCGATGGGAAACTCCAATTCTGCCCTACCGACCTCCTCCATGGTCTTGGCGTCGAGACACACTAAGTAGCTCACCTGAGCGGTCCCGTCGAGGACGACACTCAGCAAGACACCGTCGTCCTCGTCAGTGGCGCCGGGACGAGGCACGAAGATAGCCTCACCGGGCGTGTGAGACTGTGGCGGCGCCCATATGGTAGCCGCACGGCTGCTGACATCCGTCTTGACCAGGCAGTCCATCATGGTGCTCAGCCCTCGCGACGAGACACTGTAGACGAACCGGTAGGGTCTCGTTGCATAGAGTGGATTAATCGTCGGTAACTCCCCAACATGAGGTGCTGGTATTGCGAATACTTCTTCTGCTGATGGTAGGGGAGAGAGACCCTGAGCGCTGCTCCCAGAAGACGAAGGGGAAGCGGGAATGCGGAAACGTTGACGTCTAAGATGGGGTACTAGATCGCTCCCTTCAGGTCCGTCTATCCAGTACTTTCGAGCGGCTTCTTCCCGATCGAGGATGACATCCAGGTAAAACCCCTGAATAATAGCAGTTGATTCGTATCCGACATAGTCAAAGGTAAGGTTCACCCACTCAGCTTGAGACCCTTGATCCTCCACGACCGCCTCCTCAAAAGCATTGACCGAGTGGAAAAAGAATCCCGCTGGCGTTGTGAAGCGAGCCACCACACCGTTTCCGTAGCGCCTGTCAACAACTACCCATTGGGTGAGTTTGGACTTATCAAAGGGAGCCATGCCATCGACCAAATTTCTCACAAATGGGATCTTCATCCCGGACAGGGAGAAATGGGAGGATGGCACACACAAAACGACATAGTTCCTGGTCAAGAACATGCTGTGTATATATGCAGGCGAGAGATCTGCTACCGTGAGAGTAGCGAGAATGTCCACATTTCCAGTCGAGGCGTTGGTGCGGTAGATCCGATACGTTGGACGAGACCCAAACTCGAGATTGTAATTGAACATGTCACCCGATTCAGGATCTCGCTGCGGGTGTGCGCATGCGAGAGGACCCCTGAGGCTCTGATGCAGCTTGGAAGTCGCAATAAACTCAAGAGGCTCCAAGGTGTCGGGGTCGACCTTGTGAAGAAGGCTATTGTCGGTCAAGACGAACAAGTCCCCTGTTCCGGTACGATGGCCAGCTTGGGCTGCTCTGGACTTTTCTGACCAAGGTCCAGGCAAGTTGCGCTCGACGACAACAGCATTGTTGGCTTGTATGGGGTGAAAGAGGCTCATGAACTTGGAGAATATGCCGACGCAAGGGTCTGCTCTCTGGCCAAACGAGATGCCGGATCTCCAACCTCTTCGTTTGATATCGTCAACGAATGTTTCTGCCTGAAGACGCGAAGAATAGCGGACGACTGTAGCATTCCCATCACCCGAGACACTCGATGGGATGATGTCGAACTTGTGCATTTGTGCAAAACCGTCGAACCAGTGGGAGACGTGGTGAGTGCTGCCATTGTCAGTGTCGACGGCGTTCTGGCCCGGACCAGTGCGGTAGAGCGACCCAGCCGCCCATGATGGGATCTGGCCCACGATCTTGAGATCTATCGGTCCACGGTGCTCTTCGAGTCCCTCAAACTAAATTGGTCGAAGAGATGTCAATGGTCCAGGTTTGGCGAAACGTAGGCAGGACTTGTCACTCACCCCAGCCTCGTTTGGCCAGTCCTTCCACGACTCAGCGTGGAAATTCTCCATCGTAGCCTTTGCGTCTTGCTCTTCATCGCTGGCCAGCCGGTGAAAAGTGCCTGAGCTGGATAATGAGGGTAGTGCTGTGGGCGCAGCCATCTTGACGCTGGTAGTCGACGTCGCCTTTCGTGGATTGACACTTTTCGATAGAGAACAGTGAAAATACGGAGCGGCAATTTCGGTCTGGTCTGTGGACCGTGATTGCGGCGTCGTTACACAACATGATGACTATTTGTCCAGCTCATGTAACTTATCAGTGTAAGTGAGAGGATGAACGAGTGAATGAATCATCACTCTTTGACAGACCTGCACTAGCCAATTCCGATGAGTGCCACTCCGCCAAGGACCAGATTATGCGAACAAAAAGAGAAGCATAAACCAGTACCTTGTATAAGCCATAGGCTATTCTAAGCCTTATTTGAAAAACACTACGAGCTTTTTTTTCCGTTGGCCGCTGAGCACCGTTGCTGTTCGTATCAATCTGTGCGCATTACTCACCACTTTCAACGGCCTACCCTACACACACCATCTGGCCAGCGAGTCTCTTCTACGCGCTCACTGCCTTATTATATAGCCAGTGGCCTAAGAAGGACGCAATTAGTATATTTCTTGGGTTGGTTTGTCCCTTAGTGTTATACTGATATTATACAATTTAGGGGTATTCGGGAATAATTTATCGATTTCTTCATCGGGGGCAATTATTGTGCTCATTTGGGATCTCTTGTACATTGATACTACAACGGATACATAATTAATCAGTGACTATTGTAGAGTGATTGCTGTTTCCTTTCTATACATGTATCCCGGCGTCGTCCCCGGGCCGTCTTCAGTCTTGGTAGTCTTCTCCCGCGGATCGGATATGGATACCCGCCTCTCGCTCGTCGTTTCCCTTGAGATCTTGATTCAAACAATCAACTTCCGCCAATTACTATTGCGGGGTACATCACAGGATACAGTGTGGAATTGGAAATAGATTGTGAGCCTTAGCGGGAAAGGCAGTCTCATATTTATCATGGCTCTGTGGTGGTGGCCTAGTTAGATTAGGGCAATACACCTCGAGGTCAGCACACCTGGCAACTGGGTATATCAACCCGATTCGATGATCGAATCGAAGTTGAGAGGGGACAGTGTTTTATTCTTGCTTCTAAAGATTGAAGATTGTGTTCCATTCACATAGTGCATTCACCATGGGAGTTGTTGAGTTGCTCCTTTCCAATGTCAAAATCGCGGCATTGGGCGTGACTTTTCTGGTATGAATTTAACCTCTTTTGTTCTTCATCCCTTCAATTGACCTCTGGTCTCATTAACCTTGCCTTCCCTAATTTCTAGTCGTTCGCGTACGTCTTCGGAGTTGTCATATACAACCTATACTTCCATCCGCTTGCCAAGTATCCCGGCCCATTCCTCGCCAAGATCTCTCCAGTAAGTCCGAATCCATCCCCCTCTCCACCTCCCTATGCACTAGTCAATGGCATAGAAGCTTATATCTTCACTCGTTGGTAGATCTATAGTATCTGGGGTCTCTTCCGTGGTAGATGGCCTTTTGACGTCCACCAACTCCATTTGAAATATGGCCCTATCCTCCGGACCATGCCGAATGAACTCACATTCACAGATCCCCAAGCATGGAAGGATATATATGGCCATCGTCAAGGTCATCCTCAATTCCACAAGGATCGTAAGTTACCCAATGATGATACGATAGACTAACACGGCATGGCTTTACTAGACAGTGCTAACAGGCTTTCCAGCTATCCAGTAAGGAATAATCACTAGGATTGTATCAGCGGCATGAGTTGCGCCTGCTAACAATACCCAGCGTTGGATCCGTTCAAGACATCCCAGGCTCGACCACCTTGACCATGGCTGATGATGCCAACCACTCCCGCCAGCGACGAACCCTATCTCATGCGTTCAGCCAGAAAGCTCTGCTCGAGCAAGAGAGTATCATCAGAGGCTACGTCGACCTCCTCATCCAAAAGCTCCGGCCCTTTGCAGAAACTGGCCAGCCTATCAACATGTGTGACTGGTTTAGTATGTTTATTTCCTCCAACTTGAACGCGTCATCCCTAAAGCTGACAGCTTTGTAAGACTTCACTACGTTTGACATCATTGGCGACATGGCCTTCGGAGAACCCTTTGGCTGCCTCAAGGACGGAGTCTTCCATTCCTGGGTGTCTCTCATCACGCAGACAATAAAGGCAGGCGCCTATGAGCAGGCTACTCGTCGCATGTTCAAGTCAGGGGGTTTCATGCAAAAGTTCCTGTGCAAGTTCATCCCGAGCGACCTGCGGGAGAAACGATATCGTCACCTCGAGCTGAGTCGCGAAAAGTGTCTCAAGTGAGTTGATACAATTGGAGATCATTTATAAGATGTATTTGCCCCGTTCTAACATATTCAACATGTAGACGAATCGATGAAGGCCTTCGCCGAGAGCACCGTGACTTCTTGTACTACATTCTCCGGCAGAACGAAAAAGGAGGTGTGTCTCAAGACGAGATTATCCTCAACTCTGCCCTGTTCATCGTTGCTGGCTCCGAGACAACCGCATCTCTCCTCTCCGGTCTTCTCATGTGGCTTCTGCGAACTCCCAGCGCCTACAAGCGGCTGACCGATGAGATCCGAACTGCCTTCCCCACTGCCTCCGATATGCATTTCACAGATCTTCAGAACCTCCCCTTCATGAATGCATGCATCGACGAGGGACTCCGCATCTTCCCACCGGTGCCGACAGGTCTTACGAGAACTGTCCCCGCCGGCGGAGACACGGTTGCTGGCGAATACCTCCCTGGCGGCATCACTGTTTCATGCCACAGCTGGGCAGCAACACATTCGCCCCACAACTTCTACCGACCGGACGAGTTTGTTCCTGAGCGCTGGCTTGAGCCGGATGGCGTGGCCTACGCAGGCGAGAACAAGGACGCGAGCCAGCCCTTCTCTCTGGGCCCACGCGGATGCATTGGCAAGCACCTGAGCTACTTGGAGCTCAGGCTCATCCTTGGCAGTCTGCTTCTGCATTATGACATCGAGAGGGCCGACCTTGATGGCCCAGGTACTGAGGACATTTGGGACCCTTCTGGGGATTTGCGGCATGTCAAGGCCTTCAATACCTGGAACAAGCCTCCTTTGATGTGTAGACTGAGGCTCGCAAGGCGATAAATATCGGGCTCAAGGATATGACAAATCGCATCTAACACCCAAGCCGAGTAGCGGATAGATAGATAGGCCAATAAGGCAACCTTCTAGAGGTTGAATAACATATCGTTGTAGATTTTGCACATCCCTTCGAGAAGTGATTATCTCTTGTTCGGAAACACCTTGGGATCAGCCAGGAACTCTTCAACCGTTCTCTTCCGAAGCACGTTAGTAGGGACACTCTCCTTCTGCATCTCGCGCCCCGGTCCTTCACCCGAATCAGAGAGCCGCTCCACGCGACCGGCTACACGCAGAAGCAACATCCGGGTCCGCTCCAGCTCCTTCTCGAGGGCGCCGTTGCGGGTTGCCAGATTCTCCTGCACGCCGGCACCACCGTCTTGCGTCTGCAGCGGCGCAATCAAGGCCTTGAGGCGGCGAAGACGTTCAACGCGCAGTTTCACCTCCTTGCGCTGCGCATTGAGGTCCGTTAAGCTTTGTACTCCGTCGCTGTATCGCTTGGCCTCTGCTGGTTGTTTATTGGCTTCCTTCTCAGAACTCCATGTCGCGGGGAGAGACTCAATCACCTCTGGATCGGCTATTACAGTTATTTCCCCTTGTTAGCAAACCCGTTTAATCATCTCGGGAAGTGAAAACACGAACAGAGATCCAACTCTTTCCCGACTCCATCTTCATCATCCTGTTCCCGCTGCAGCTTCCGCTCCGCCTCCTTTGTATAGCTGTCGTTGATTTGCTCGGAGACCGCGCGGGTGGCCTGCGGCACGAAAATGCGGCGGCAGTGCTCCTGGACCGTGCTGTCTACATATGCGACGGCTGCTTCGAGGAGTCGCGGCTCCAATGGCTTGTCGGCGCGGTTGTTCGCTGTGCGGAAGGCTGCCGAGACGTCAACGGGGCTGCTGAGCAGGTGAATCTGGCGGGAGATGAAGCGCTCTTTCAATTGCGTGATGGTAGGTGGGGGCGGCGCTGTAGACATGGCGCCGGGAGTCGCTTCGTGCCAGACACAGCTTTTGGTTGGGTATTGGGAGGACGCGTCGTGTTGTCGTACGATGGTGTTTGAAGCTGCTCTAAACCGTGAATTGTTTTGTTGGTTTACTGAATCTGGGGCACCTACGTCAGAGATAAGATAAGCGACAGCACCTTGTTGCGGCGCCAGACCCTCATGCCTTTGTACATTGAGCTTCGGCTGGAAATACGTGAATGGAGATTGGTAGCGAATTGGGTGAATATCTAGTGAGTATTGGAATTATTCTATTAATTAAAAGACCTCGCGCTCGCCCTAGAAGAGCAGCGCTTGCATTGATGTGGGATGTGGGCACATGAGATCCCACTGCTCCCAGATTCATGGACCTCATTCTACCATAGGGCTTGATCCATGTTCTAGCACGTCGCCTTAGACTGGTACACAGCCAATGACCATCTCTCTTTACTAAGTGAATTGAAAGGATATACATACGCATAAGGACGTGGAAATCGATAACCCACAGATCCGCAGTGTCTTGTTGATCCGGTGGGCCTGAGATAACGGTGAAGGCGATAGAGAACCATCGTTTCCGCGGAGTTTCCAGATCTCGCCCCTCACTATCAAATGGACAACGAGCTCTTTAGGCATACGCTCATATTATTCATATTATTGTCTCACTCTTGCTAGCTGTACCCTTGAACTTAGGTGATTTTCTCTGGTCATGTGCCAGAGCGCTTCTGGCACATTGCCGGGCCCAATAGCAAAGGAGGAGGGTGTTTGGCGGCGAAGTGATCAGTTGATATGACGTTATGAGGAACGATGTGTTGTACTAGACGACCTAGGCAGAGACATTCACCTATTGCTTGGATGCTAGTCATGGGTGGATGAGATGGAAATTGATCGATGGAAAGTCAGGTTGAAAAACCGTGCCATCAAAACTAAAAACAATGAACAAGACCGGTTATAGATATAAAACTCCTCTTTCCTCACCATGCCACGCCAAACTGCCATGTACAAAAGTCTGGGACGGCGAGTCCCATCTTTGGTTGGTATATAATTCACACGACACAAGAAACGCAGTCTTCCACAGGCGCTGTCTGCAGTTGCGCCTTCACCCTCTTAGGATCCCGTAAATCAACCCAGGTACATAGATAAACACTGGACACTCCGTAAATATCGCGAAGTTGGACCCTGTTCCCTGCATATGTTGAAGGAGCACTGTGGTCCAGGATTTTGTTGCGAATGTTGTTTTTTCGTTGTGCTTTTTGGTCCATAAGTTTGCGACCGTAACCTTTTTTTCATTTTACTTTTTTCTTTCTTTTTTTTTTTATTCATGAGCTTAAGCGGCAGCGGCCTCCGGCATGACATCGGCAACGGGGATCTTCATCTCAGTGCCGCCCAGGTTGGTCGACCGGGCCTTTGGGTTCTTGGTGTAGTAGTCAGAGATGGCAGACTTGATGGCGTCCTCCGCAAGCATGGAGCAGTGCACTATTTCATTGAATGTTAGCGCCGGATTGATAGCCGAAGTGGCTCGGGCCAAGTATATGTGAGGGGAAATACGTACGCTTGACAGGTGGCAGGCAGAGCTCCTTGGCAATCTCAGTGTTCTTGACCTTGCTGGCATCGTCCAGGCTCATGCCCCGGACAAGCTCCGTCAGGTAGCTGCTGCTGGCGATGGCGGAACCGCATCCGAAGGTCTTGAACTTGACATCGGAGATCTTGTTGGTCTCGGGGTCAACCCGAATCTGCAGCTTCATCACGTCGCCGCATGCTGGGGCGCCGACAAGTCCAGTGCCGACATCGAGATCCTTCTTGTTCATGGAACCGACATTACGGGGGCGTGAGTAGTGGTCCAAGACCTTCTCGTGATAGAGGCGCTTAGCCGAGGGAGCCGTGGCGATGGCGAGCTGGCGAGGGGCGATAATAGTTGGGCGGACGGCCTGAGCGATGGGCGCAGCCCGTCGAGAGACTGCCCGAAGACCTCTGGAAAGCATTGTGTGTGGAAAGAATTGGAATATATGGATGTGGGAGAATCGGTGTCAGAGCGCTGCTTTGGCCACAGAAATTGTACCAAAGGGATATCTGGCGAGTCGGATGGACAGCTAAAAAGTCACCAGGGCCAAGCGATAATGGTCTTGGTGATGCAGGAATTGTCGAGTCTTGGGTTTCGATTGGTGTTGTAGGTGGCTGTGGATGGAAAGGAGGAGGATGTAGAATTGGAATGAGGAGAACCCATGGACGGATCAAAAGTAAATGCTTGGGAAAAGATGCGGGACTTGGCGATGGCGACTGTGGAGTAGCTCCAAACGTTATCGGCCAATGATGATGCAACTTTTCAGTCATTACGTGAGTGAGAAGCTCGGCTGCTCGGAGACACGGCTGATTAAGCAGCCATTTGCGCCGATCATTGGATCTGATAAGATTGCCAGGGTGCTTTTCATATCACCGAGGCCGGACTTTTCAGGCTTGAGGAATGCGCACAGCCGGATATTCTTCAAATGAGACTTTCATGCAGCCTCGCATTTACTATGAGTGCTTATATACCGTCGCTGTATTTTTCCTTATTCTGTATTACTGTGTTGCTGCTTATTCGCAGTGCAGTGCGTGGCTCTGAAAATAAACTGTGTGAATTATTCCCTAACAATTTTTTTCCTAAAAAGAATTGCGACTGGAAAAAAAAATGGGAACGTGCTAGACTAGAGTTCCTTTGGCCTAATGCGGGTGAGAGACTGGCGAACTGGGGATTGTGCACAAGGAACAGCGAGAATGACCGAACATCTCCGACCCTCGGAGTTGCGATTGCGGAGGAACGGGCCAATCAGCAAGCAATGATCGGTCATGTTGCGCCCCCGAGGTTCAAGAACCTTGCAGCTCAACCTCGTGAAATAGCTTGGAAGTTGGCGAGAGCCTGGGACCGGTGAGAAGTACTTCGGACTCATCTGGGAAATCGGCAAATTCAATATCCCGTGCGCGTACGTCCAGAAGACGGACATAACAGCGTTCCCTCAGACGGTGATAGCGCAGCAATGTACATCCCAAATGCCGTCTATACGCAGGGGGGCAAGATGCGCGGGGAAGTTGGGCCGTCGCCTCGAGTAGCTCTGCTTCCACCGCAAAGAGTCACATCAACGGCAGAGCATCGGCAAATCGCCACCTGCATACATGACGTTGAGATGACCAGCGGACAGGTGAGTGGGCGATGGGCTGTCTCGCCAATCGGCACTAGCCACACTGGCACAAGCCACACTGGCACAAGCCTCCACTAGCCACATGCTGCCGCCCCGCCCCCGCCGTCTGCGTCAGACGAAGCTGTGACTGCCTGCGTACGTGCCTAGATACCAACAGCATTGAGGTGAGCACTGGAAGCTCCTCGAACAACAACAAAATAAGCACTTTTGGCTGCCTGGGTGCGATACTGACATCTTCGGCAAACCCACCAGCTTCCCACCCCCACGGCCGTCACCTTTTAACTTCTAGCCTATGCAACACCTTTGTTCCAATCCTTTGCAAAGCTGTTCGTTGTTGCACGCTTGGTAGAGCGCCCACCATGAGCTGCCCTCATCTCGACTCGATTTGTAGGTCACCACGCACTTCGCAAAACAAACCAAAATTTCCCATAGATATTAATGATCAAGCAGCATCGCTCCCTCCGCCTCTGTTGTCTCAATCGGTTTATCGAGAAGATTGCACCCAGTGTTTCGATTCCATTGTACGTACAGAAGCCGAGCCTGAGAGACACCGTGTATCATGCTCTTTTGTTTCCCTCCGTCTGACCTGGCTGCGTTAGGATGGACCTGGTGGCCTCGATGTATGCCTCCAATGCTTTAACGGCGGCTGTACCGGCGACCGACACCATGCGAATCTTCACAACGTTCTCTGGTCCCACCCTCTGGCCCTGAATATTACACGAACCCGAAAGATCGTCGTCCGAGATGAGCCCCCCGCCAAGATGTCTAAGCTGGCTATTGCGGCCGAGACCGAAGCAGACAAATACGATACCGCTCTCCAAGTCAAATGCCACGAGTGCGACGTTAAGCTTGATATCCAGCACCCGAAGGTGGCACCTGTCGTCGCAGGAATCATGAGCGCCAACACATTTGCACGAAAGGAAGAAGTCAAGGCATGGGAGCAGGAGCTGACAAGCTGCGAGCACATTCTGATGCTTCAGCAGCAGGCCTCCCGCAAGATTGAGCAGGGTGATTTGAGCCACTGCTATGCTTGTGATCTCAAGGAGAATCTCTGGCTCTGTGTCGAATGTGGAAATCTTGGATGCGGGCGCAAGCAAATGGGCGGCGTTGATGGCAACTCTCACGCTCTAGCCCATAGCCAGGAGTCCGGTCACGGAGTCGCTGTGAAGCTTGGCTCAATCACTCCCGAGGGTACCGCTGATGTGTACTGCTACAGGTGCGACGATGAGCGTCTGGACGACAACCTTGGCGAGCATCTGGCCCACTGGGGTATTGTGTTAGCCGAGAGACAAAAGACTGAGAAGAGCCTGACAGAAATGCAAATCGAGCAGAATCTCAAATGGGACTTTAGCATGACAACCGAGGATGGCAAGGAACTCAAGCCTGTCTTTGGCTCGGAACTGACGGGTCTGAAAAATTTGGGCAACAGCTGTTATCTCGCCAGCATCATACAATGTCTCTTTGACCTCCCGTCCTTCAAGGAGCGATACTACTTGCCAAAGGAGGATCTTCCTTTGGTGGAAGACCCTGCTGGTGATCTCGAAACCCAGCTTCGTAAGATTGCAGATGGTCTGTTGTCAGGTCGATACTCTGTCCCCGACTCCGACGTCGCCTCTGATTCTGAGGTCAAGTACCAGAAGGGCCTGGCACCAGCTATGCTCAAGTATCTGGTCGGTCGAGACCATGAAGAATTTTCCACAATGCGACAGCAGGATGCGGCTGAATTCCTTCAACACATTTTCAAACTCATCACACGATCCCAACACTCTGGTAGTCTCAAGGACCCTACCAATACATTCAAGTTCGAGCTGGAGCAACGCCTGCAGTGTCTAGGATGCAGAAAGGTTAGGTACAGCACAACCACACAGGACAACATCTTTATTGATGTTCCCCTGGAGAAGGTCACCCAAGTCGGAGAGTCTGGAGACACTACTGATGCTTACAAACCTGTCACTCTGGAGGAGTGCCTTGACAACTTTACAGGCGCAGAAAAGGTCGAGCTGACCTGTTCAGCCTGCGGAAGCAAAGATGGTTTCACCAAGCAATCGCTTTTCAAGACATTCCCCGACACCCTTGCCGTTAATGCTAGAAAGATGACGGTGGTGAATTGGGTGCCCATCAAGGTTGATGTCCCTGTTCTAGTCCCCGACGGGTCTTTTCTGCTTGACAAATACCTCTCAAAGGGTTTGCAGCCTTCGGAAGAGGTACTCCCAGACGAACCTGAACCCCAGGCTGCCGCATTTGTACCCGAGCCAAATGCTTTGACCCAGCTTGAGGCCATGGGCTTTCCCACGGCGCGATGCGAGAAGGCTTTGCACGCTACCGGCAACTCGGATGCCAACTCTGCGATGGAGTGGCTCTTTGCACACATGGAGGACCCCGACATCGATGAGCCGTTGGTCCTGACCGCTTCTTCTGGTGCCGGCGCAAGCACGGCTGATCCCGAAAAGATTGAAATGCTGGGTGCTATGGGCTTCGGTGCTCCACAGGCAAAGAAGGCACTAAAGGAGACTGGGGGAGATGTCGAGCGTGCGGTTGAATGGCTGTTCAGCCATCCCGACGACCAGGGACTTATGGAGGACGACTCAGCAGGCGAGTCTGCTGCGGCCGCTCCCAAGGCGCCGGCTGGGAACGCCACGCTACCGGCAAGTTTCCAGTTGCAGTCTATCGTCTGCCACAAAGGAACTAGCATTCATACAGGGTATGTTTTTCCTTCGCTAGTAACGGCCAACTTTCATGTTCAAATGCTGATCTTGTATAGACACTATGTTGCTTTCATCCGCAAGACCCTGGCGGATGGAACACCCCATTGGGTTCTCTTCAACGACGAGAAGGTCGTAGAAGCATACGACGTGGAAGAAATGCGTAAGTTTGCGTATGTGTACTTTTTCAGGAGAGTTTGAGAGTTTGAAAGGGAGTTTTGGTGGGCATTGAAGGAGAAAAAGAATTCCACAAGACCAATCTTGCATCTATCCGGTTGGCTGAGCGTTTAGTGTGAGGGGTCCAGGCGATTTTAGAAAAACAAAGGCGTCATGAAAGAGGGTTATTGGGTTGAAGATGGGAGTAGAGACATATAGAGATAAGAGGACTTGCGAAGGCTATTGCGAAATCCCGAAAGCTTCGCAAGCAGGAGAATAGGCGTAGATGATTGTTTTCTTCCCCGTCAGAACTCCCCATCCCGTTGTGCCCGTGCCCATCCTAAAAGCCTGCATCTGTGATCATTCATACACTGAGAAAGCAGTTCTGAATCATTAATTTTTCTCTTTTGATGCGTTCGTTGGAAAACCCCAATACCGTGCTACGCTATAAACAAAGAAAGCACTCGCATCTTCTTGGCCCCCTCGCCCCCTTTTACTCTCCAAGCCGATAGCTCACAAGCGTATCGACCCTGTGGTTCGCCGTGCTGAAACCCCTCAGCTGCACCCTCTCCCCGTTCTCAATCTCCTTGGCGTCCGAGTCCCCCCACTCGACGGGCACGTCCGAGTCCGCGTCGGCGTACACCAGCACGTTGAACGTACAGTCCCCGCTGAGCTGGGGCAGGAAGGTGACGGAGGCGGTGATCTGGCGGAAGATGGCGGCGATCTCGGCCTGGATCTCCTGCTCCGTCTTGTCTGGCGCTGCGGCGGCGGCGGCTCCGCCCTGCGCCGAGTTCTCCTGGTCGGTCGCGGGCGTTTTTGATTTCGACTTGGACTTTGTGGGCTGGAAGATCTGGACCTGTTTTGGGGTGGTTTTGGTTAGGATTGGGCTCGTTTTCAGATGAGAATGGGAGAGGGAAAGGGAGAGTGCGTACATCGAACTGCCATCGCTCGACGTGCTCGCCTGTGTCCTTGTCGGTGATGACGATGACGAGCTTGGAGATCTTGCCGCCGACCATCCACTTGTCCAGCTGCGACATTATCCTCTTGATGTAGGCTTTGACTTGATCATCGGACGAGACTGGAGGGAGAGAGTGGGTTAGCGAAAAAAGGAGTTCAGCGCATGATGGGGGGTGGGACATGTAGGTACCCAGCATGTTGAGGCCATATTTCTTGACGCTAGAGGTTTAGGGTTAGCAACAGGATGCTGCATTATGACGGAGGTAGATGTAATCGGGGAGATGGGGACGGACGCGGCGAAGTCTTCAGCGGGATAGACGCCTCGCTGGAACCTGGAGCAAGCCTGATGTTAGCTTCGTCTCGGGATATAGCTCGGTTAGAGGGGGATTTCGGCCAATCGTACAGAATTGAATGGATGGAGTATTGGAACTAAAGGCGAGAAGAAAGATTGACAGTTAGCCATCATGCGGCATCAATCTCCAAGCCCAATCGTCGTGCGCTGGGGTGGAAGGGTGCGATCATACAAATTCGGCGACCAGTCTGGCACTTCCCTTGAGGGAGAGCTTGTGGGTTTTCGACTTGTCTTTTTCCTTTGATGGGTCCTTGGACGAGGATTTGGACGTAGGTTTCGACGACATTATTCCAGTTGGTGGTTGCACGATCGCGAGACTTGGTGCTGTATCGGACAAGGGCTGAAGTGGTTGCAGATGCAGTTCAGCTAGGTCTGTCTGTTGCTTTGGTCTGGATGGAATCGATAAGCTGTTGGTGCTATCGATACCGCCACTGTTTACTCGCGGTTGCGGGGCACTGAAACGGTGCACACTAACCCTGCTATAGGCCTAGTGCAGCGGGACCGTCCTCTAGCCAATCGGATGAGCTTCAGGTCAGCAAGGAGCTCAAATGTAGTAGAACACCGAGTACATCAAGGACACGACGACATTCACTCAATCGCAAAAGCAGGCCTAGCAACCCAAGTCCCGGGGTTTCTAAGAGAAACCTTGCAGTGTCTCCAGACATATCCGACAAGACGCTAATGCAGCCCAGAGAGAATCCAGCTCTTCTACCACAGATCAAGGTACAGCCTGGCTAAATCTTGCTAGAAGAAGTTCGGGTTGGGAGCAGGGCATTGATGCCATTACTCATCACTCTAGATGGGACGAGGGCTTGTCTTATTGAGACCGACGAGGGCTCTGAGGGTACATTTATAAGAGAATGCTAAACGCTACGATGGCAGGGTTCACGCTCATGCTTGGTCTTGTTGCCCCGCCGTCGCTGATATTCTCCACGATAGGTATAGGTCTTCTTCGTGCTATGATTGCTTATGCTGGACTTATTCCGATCCGGGATGAGACTTGACACTCTTTATCAAGACTACTCTTCCGAGATTGGCCTTGATCTCACACAGGGACCTAACATATAAGGTTAATCTTAAGTCGAGACTGAGGAGGGAAATCGATCTTGAAATTTGTTCTCCTACACCGAGTGTCGCAGTGTCGCCCACGGCCCTCGAGTTTCTTGAGCGACGAGGGTGAGCCCGGTCCAACATTGAGATTGGTCTCACTCAATTATAGACACTGCCCATTAGAGGATAGAGAAGATTACTGGGCACAGCAGAATTTCTTTCTGCGCAACCGAAGTTCGAGGCCCAACTCAATGCACTGACCATAGTTAATCCAGGTTCATTCCCTCGAGTGGGAACCTGAAAATGCGTTCTAAATTTGATATCTAATCAGAAGGTCCTGCTACTGTCACTAAACTCGACAACCCCTCACTATGCAGGTTGTTGTTTCACAAGGCCGGTGAGCATTGCTTGGCAAGAAGTACTCGCTCTTCAAGCCTCTAATAAACGAGCCGCCGGACAGAAGTTCAATATTCAATTCCAACATCGAATGATCATAATTACTGACCCTGCATACACAAGTAGCTTTTTCATGCGACCTCATTGGCAGAGAAACTGCGTAGCATTGAGTGATAAAAGCGGACGTTACACCGCCCACCAGCCGCGCATGCAGGTGAGACTAGTGAATGCGAGTGCGAGTCCAAGCAGAGCAGAACTACTCCGCTCATATCAGGAATTCCTACAAGATGTGCCTCGATACTCCAAAGCAGGCCAACGTATTCACTATTCCATGGCGGATAGTCTTCCCGGGACTTGTAGCCGGCCTTCGTCAGCAAGCAAGCAACGACCACATCATCCCCCCATCAAAGTTGTCACTCCTGCCCGCAAATTGTTCCTAATAATACGGCAATGCATTAGCCTAGCCTTTCTATCCCGAAGAGGGATAGAAACTGCGAAGAGAATGAGGGTTTGGTGTTATTAGCGGCGATCCGTATCATAGACTGGTAGGGCTACTACTCCGCCCCCCGAATCGTTTCTTATAGTGCGGTAATACATAAGCTTCATAATGACTTTCTTTTCGAAAGGTGCCAGAAACCGCGAACGACAGCAAGGGTTTTAATAATAACCAGTGGTGGGCTGTATCAGGTAGAACTCTGGGTTGCTCCTTACAATAAGGTAATGCATGAGCTTGACTATATGACCCCAAAGAGGGCCAGAAACAGCGAACGAGAATAATATATTTAGCGTTATCAGCGGCGATCCGATCATTACGGACCGTTAGCCTCAATGAGGGTGACCAATCTGCACTGCCGAGTTGTCATGGCCGACCCCACCTGGTTGTTTTCCTCGATCCGAGTGCGAAAGACAATGTCGATCCCCTGCTAGAGCTTCAGCGTGAGATGCGGCTTGGGCGTCGAAACATCGAATACGCAATGGATAGAGGGGCAGGGGAGTCTTACCATCCACAACAGAGGAGGGAGTATCACGGCGGGCGCTGGCATCACGGACATGGGGTTTGATGGCCGAGTGAGCACTATAAAGAAACATGTCCGGACGCACAAGTTCGAGGTCGAAAGCTTCCTGTGTCAGTTCAACTCCAAGAAGCCATTTGACTCTCTCCTTATACATATCCTTTTACATCTGGCGTTACTCCTGGTCCCCTCTCTATACTTCTACCCAGCTCTGCTATTCGCAACAATGCCTTTCTACTACAAGTCCCACGGCAAGGAGGCCCCGAATAAGTTCGTGGCCTTTGTCCGTCGCATCTACAACCCCCTAGGGTTCAAGAAAGGCTATGCCTTTCCTCTCTGGTTCATCCTAGGAGGCGGCAGCCTGGGCTTCTGCGCCTCCAGGGCCATGTACCTCAACCTCGACAACACCTACAAGAACGAGAAATGGGTGACCGGCGACTGGGAGTGGCAGAGAGCAGGCCGGCACCGTGTCGCGATCCTCATGCACCTCATCTGCGTCATCCCTATCGGCTTCCTCCTCCTCTGGCAGTTCCTCCCCATCGTCCGCCACAAGTTCATGCTCTTCCACCGCCTTAACGGCTACCTCCTCCTGACCCTCCTCCTCGGCAGCAACGCGAGCGCCATCCTCATGGCAGACAGGGCCCTGGGCGGCAGCCTCGACACCCGCATGGCCATCGGCTTCCTCGCCGTCCTCTCTGTCTCCTGCGCCGTGCTGGCCTACGTCAGCATTAAGCGGCTCCAGATCGACCAGCACAGGGCGTGGATGCTCCGCTGCTGGGTCATCTCCTTCGTCATCGTCACCCAGCGCCTCATCCAGCTGGCCGCCCTGCCCATCGTCTCCGGCCTCACGGACATGTACGTCCCCATGACCTGCCGCTCCGTCGACACCATCGACAGCCTCGTCCAACCCGGGCTCGCGCCCCTGTTCTACCCGTCCTGCGCCAACAACTCGGACGGCTGGGTCGCCGTGCGCGCAGACAGCAACGCCCAGCCTACGCCGCAGGGAATCCCGAAGCTGCATGAGATCGGCGCCGCGGTGCAGGCCACGTTCGCCTTCTCCCTCCTCCTCGCCATGTTCATCCACATCGTCGGGGTGGAGGTATACCTGCACCTGACGCCGGCCGAGGCCAGCAGGCTGAAGCGGGTGAGCTACGAGAGGCAGCTGAAGAGGGGCTGGAAGATGCCCGGCGATGCGAGCTGGCTGACCGCGCAGGCGCTGGGGGACGCCGAGGAGTTCGACTATAAGCTCGGCCGCGAACTGGAGGCTCCGGGGAAGGATAGTCACAGCGAGGGGGAGTTGTCTGTTCGGAACGCTGGAGGAGTTGTCGCGCCTGAACCTTAGAGAGTCCGTCGCACTAGAGAACTACAAACCAGGGCCCAAGGGGGAACACCATCGGGCCTTTTCAGCCAAGCATGCCTACATAAGTAGCTAGAGATAGAGGAAGTCAAATAGCCGGAGGAGATGAACAATTTGAAGCTTATTTGAGGGTTGGGGATAGGGTTAGAGATGGAGAGGTCGGATATCACACATATACTTCTATATTTTCAAGTCAGCAGTTTCACTTCACCATACCAAGGATATTGATAAATGAATTCACAACCTGACAATCAAAAAAATGCCTACCCGTTCTTTACCGTGAAACTCAAAATCCTTCACCGTTCCATCGGCACCGGCGAAACAGCCAACAGAAACCGCCCGGGACAACCGACCCGTTAGGCGGAATCTCCCACGAAACCGATTGGCGGGAGCCTGCCATGTATCGCCTACCTTCCACGGCAGATTAGGTTTCCTCCGGGCTGGTATTTGCACTGTGCATATACATAGCGCAAGAGCGTTTAACAAGTCCCAAAGCATAAATCATCATTCACACATAACTCGCCAGAGTGGAGCTGGCAGATCAGAGCGGGCTGTGTCAGTTTTTCCACGTAGGGCCTGACGCGGACTTGCGGCTGGTGCTGAGGGCAGCCTCCAGTCTGATATCTGCGCGCACCAATCACACCCGATGCTTTTTTCTTTTTGTTGAGTGTACATGTACATGAGCAGCATGTATGTGGGTGGGGGAGGGCGAGCATCGCTTACCAGTGGCCGCCACATGCCGAGTGCCATGGCGGCATTGATCTGGTTTATGGCTTGATGGCCAGGCGTAGCTCAGCAGGTGACGACGTCAGAGCAGCGGGATGGATGGAGGGCGGAAGGACGGTAACGGACGAACGGTGCGGTTGGACAAGGACGACAACGAGAACATGGTAGGGCATCTTTGCCACCACAGAAGGTCAGATGGCGGTTGATTCAATCTTCACTCGCACTACCAGACACGGGATCGGGATGGGCGGCAGGGTTCTCAATTTAGCAGCACCAAGTAATGGAAATCGGCAGCTATAATTAGGACTCATCAGTAATTCATTCCTCATGTGCTGCCTGCCGCCTGGTCATCCGTGGAGTTGTTGGCTGTATGCCTCTTACTGACTACCTTGCCATGTATTACCTGTCGATGAATATCTACTCAGTTGGAAGCAGAGTTACTGCCGGACAGGGCAACAAAACGACGTAATACAGCTCCCAGCAAGACGCATATTACGTGCATGACAGGGGAGCCTTGGAGATGTGAGCCTTGCCAGCACTAAGATCAGGCAAGGGTACGGCGGAAGAAGACCCTGGAAGCCTCGGCCAAGTTACAGATCAGACAGGACCCAGCCGTTTCCAATCCTGCAGGATGTCGTGGAAAATCCTCATCATCTCCCAGCCAATAGCCCGTCACCGAGCAGTTCTTATTCACGCACACCAGGGGCCAGAGAAGCTTAGATGGGATAGTCGTAGGAGTGGTGGCCGTGTGCCCAAGTTAAATTAGCAAATACCAATAAACCCCATCGCCACCATGTATTAAGTACAATACAATATGTCATGTCATAGGTGTACGCAATAAGACGTAGCGCAGCCACCAAGATAACCAAGTCCGAGAGAACAGGAATAAATAAAAATATGAAGAAGAAAAAGAGCCAGCAAATGTAGATGGGAATATGCCCAATATCGCACAACCACTCGCGTCCAAATTGCCAGTAGGGCTGCCCAGTAGATTCGCCATTCTAATAATAAGTAAATATTGAGAAATATGATTGAAATGTTGTCATTCTTTGGTCGTTGCAGAATGTTTTGTGCTTTAAATGGAAAAAAGTCGTATCGGAGAATAGGAAATCAAACCATACTCCGATTTCCTTCCTGAGATGGTTCTTAACGTCTGGCGAAGCAGCACATGAGACCAGTCTTGGCCAAGAACCAGAGGAAACCGAGGAAACGGACGATGGAGAGACCGGCCGTGAAGTACAGAAGCGTTCGGAAGAACATGGGTGTTCGGCTCTCTGAAGCTTTCTGTTGAACAAGTTAGTTAGCATGCTGTGCCTATCGCATCTGCTACCATGCGAGCGATGGTCGGATGTAGAATTGTTCCTTACCTGTACGCCGACCGCCTCAAACTCGTCACTCGTTACACCAACAATGAGGATCAAATTCGACAGGAGCCAAGACACGACTAGGCCGGTACGGAAAGACTTGTACGAATCCTCTGGGTCCGTCTTCTCGACCTCCTCTTCTTCCACGAAGGGCGTCAACGCGCGGTAGACAGTCTTCTTGAACTGACTGTCGATATCCTCCTGCTCACGGTCCACTTCTTCAACGATTACGTTACCAACTTTGTCCTTCTTCACTTCAGCCGAAGGAAGTGTGTCGGCCTTGTCAGAACCCTTCGTTCCCCAAGACACGTCGTGCCAGTTGTTGAATGCGTAGACCATGAGAATATTGATGTAGGTTGACATGAGCACCAAGTAGTAAGGGAACGAGTGGAACATGTGCCATGGATCCATGTAGAGGAAGGAAGCGAGGTAGTTCAATCCGTAGATGGTGATGATGGCGAGCAAAATGACTCCTGCAATACCGTCATTACTGAAGAAACTCCGGAAGAACGCAATACCAGATGAGGTGTCGATCGAGTTGCTGATTGGATCGCGCAGAGCACGGTACACCAGGTAGAAGGACAGAATCAAGATATAGAACTGGATAAGGCCGAAGACGACAAACGAAGCCACATAGGTGAATCTAGAGCCCTTTGGTCGATTACCGAGCGCAAGAATGAACTGGATGAGTAAGAAAACAATGTACAGGTAGCGGATCAGAGTGTTGAGGATTGGAGTCGCCGTATCACCAAAGGGCCAGCCATGGTATGCCGAAAGAATTGACGGGCTGCCGACCAAATTCATAATGATAGCCGTCGTCAGGTAGAAAGAAGCCAGGGAGAACCAAGAGAAGATGACGTTGAGAGAGCTGTAGATCAGTTGGATATGCAAGAAGAACATGCGGATGATGCTATGGCCGGATCGATAGATACGACCGAAATGCATGAGCGAATACAACGAGGCAGCGAAGGAACCGTTCAGCCAACGACGTCGCTGGCTCAGGAATTCCGCCGCGCCCTCAGGAACGTCGGTCTCGCCCTTGGCAGCCTTGATGTAGCTCAAATGCCACTTTTGACCAGCCTTGGCGACCAGTTCGAAACACAAAATTCGGTCCTCTGCCAAAAACATGTTCTTCTTGAAAATATTCATACCGTCGATACCCTTCTTGCCCAAACGCTTCGAGAGCGTGTGGTCGCCGTGGAAATACTGCTCCAAAGGTCGGCCCATGATGGCGCGGAATCGATAAGCTGAGAAGGCGCCTGGCAAGACAGTAACATAACCAAAGGAGCTTTCCAGGGGCTTATCGAGAATATTGGAGATCTTATACTCGAAGTTTTGCACCGCAACGAGCGGGTTAAACAACTTTCTACCGTTCTTTCCCAACATGGCGTGGATCTCGCCACAGGCACCGCCGAGGTCCTTGTCATTGTAGAATCCCTCCCATAGCGAAAGCAGAGATCCCGGGCTAGGTTTCGTTCCGGCATCGATCAAGATCGTGACTTCTGGGTTCAGAATGCGACCAAAAGCGTTAAACAACCATCGATGCGAGTTGATCTTCTTACTGTTCTTCTGCTTCAGACAGAAGATGAATTGCGCAGGTGGAAGGTTATGCGAGGCTTTGCCCTCGGCGGAGGGTCGGATAAGTTGCTGGTCGGGAGTAATGGAGAGTTGACTGGTGTACTCGAAGATGTGGGCAACCGTTTCCTTGCCCTGAACGTCCTTCTTGACCACACCATCCTGGTAAATACCGATTGTTGCGAGGACGTCGAGGACGTTCTTGTCGGCCTTCTCGATACCATCGAAAACCAAGCAGACGACGATCTTCTGCCACGCCGGGCCGCCCTTGTTCCAGAACTTCGATTTCTTCAGGTTGACGATATCTCGAATGTTCTGCATTACACCATGGAGGGTACGAGCAAGAAGCACCTTGTCTTCGTTGTAATAGGTAATGGCGATGAGAAGCTCGGTTTGACGGTTGTACATACGGGGACGCAAATCATAGCCGTTCTTGAGGGTGAAGTCGTTAGGATCGCAAGTAGCAGCAGTGTATCGCATCTTCATGAACTCCTCATCGGCGCCTTCAACATCACGGTATCGAGGCTCGACAGCATTCTTGACGGCACTAGGAACGGGGTAGTCAATGCTCAGGACGGAGCCCTGGACCAGCTTGATCTTTCGGGTGTCACGTCGTCTCAGACCTGATTCCACGGCAGGCTGGTGCTGTCTCTCTGCCCAACTCTCCTCCGGGTCACTGTAGGTCGACATGGGACGGCCGTAGCCATACTGGTAGTGATCAAAACCGAAGGCGGACTCTGGACGAGGAAGGTAGTCTGGCTGGTGACCAGTGGGGAGCGGAGGTGTCGGGTCGTCATCGAAGCTGAATCCCGAAGCTGCGCTGCCGGGGCGACGCTCTGGTATGTAGCCTCCAGGGCCACCCGGCGGGTATGGGTTCTCTGGTGGTGCTTGTTCATGTGTTGGGAGGTGCGTCTGTGTATGATATCCGTGCTGATTAGAGAAAGGGTTATTTCGCCGTGTATATGACATTCGCACAGGCATCTACTGACCGTTGAGTCTATGGGGATATCCTGCAGTTGGTAGACTCTATTGTAGTCCCCTGGGCCGCCAGCCCCGTGGCCGTTGCGGTCCATTTTGTGCTAATTAGTGTAGACGTTGTAGTCTGCTTCCGATGTAAGTCGTTCGATGTACTACGGGGGATGTATCCTGGGCGATGGTGTATCGCGAGCCCAATGCAGCACCTGATGTGCGCCGTTCCGCCGGATGGAAGCTGGGTCAGGCAGTGATATAGCAGAGCGAGTCAAGACCACTGTGTCGCCGGCAATGGCGGGATGTAGTCAAACACACGTGAAGAAAGCCGTGTGGATTTGGCGTGTATGGAAGGGGAGCGAGAGTATAAACTAAGCGAGCGACGGGCGGGAAGAAGACAAAAGCTAGATCGCCTGGATGGGCCAGCACAAGCCAAGAAGAGGAGATGTAACAAACAGCGAGCGAACACGATCCGCGAGGAAGGAAAAAACCTTTGAAGAGAATGGTTGTGGAGGGGGATGGAACCGGGACTCCACAGCCCAGCAGCAAAAGGCCCGCGTAGAGGTACTCCAGCAGCAGGTTCCTGGATCAGATGGACGTAATTAGTGGCGGTCCTTGCTGCTCAGGCTGGTGCGCTCCCTAGTCCCTGGCAGAGTTGCACGTCCAGGGGCCGGCAGGCCATTACACCATGCTCGGTAAGGCATGTACGGGTACGTCGTGGAGGGACTGCTGAGCCACGGCAACACATTTACTCGTATTGGCCCCACCGGTCTACGCGAAGGACTCTGCTTCATGCTGCATCAAGCCAGACAGCACTATTGGCCCCGTGGGATTGGCCGTTCCCTCAGCCTAAGGTAGGTACTGCGTGCGTGCCCCATCCGGCGAGCCAGGAAATGGCTGCCCGCGCGCCACAGAAAACTGGGGTCCGCCAGCCAATACGAGCCTAAATGACGCCAGGCAGCTCGTAGCGGTACCTGTACCGTGCCATTACTGGGTGGATGCGGGCACAGCACCACCTGAGAGGCCTGAGGAGGGCCTGAGAAGGGCCTGAGGAGGTACCCAGCCAGTGCCGCTTGTACGGACAGCAGGGCTGGAGGTACCCGATACTAGCTACGCCGTCGATCTCCACCATGGTTGTTTGAAGCCATTACCTATTTTTAGTCAGGACCGTCCAGCGCATGTGCATCCATTGTGATGCCAGCAGATTAAGTACTGAGCCAGAGGCAGGGAGCGTCATGGGAATTTCCCGGGGCGGAGACGGCGAGACACACATTGCGCTCAGGTCGTGGGAAAAACCCTGAGATTGCCGATCCAAATCACCAGAACCTGTGTGCGCTACAAGATGAGGGACAAACACTGAAAAGCCGCATAACTCTGCCATCAAACGCCGAGGTCCGTTCAACAATACTAATACTAGTTGGCCCTTCGGTGTTTTATGAGAGCGCCTCCGTCAGGTACCTACCACAGGTACCCAGGTTAGGGTGATGGCACGAGTTGGGGGGTGGTTCTGTGACGCAACCCAGGTTTTTTTCTGGGAGCGGGTGCTTCCTCTCTTCCCCTGAATGCCAACACGCCAATGTACAGGGTACAGTGCCGACCGTTACTGTGCAAGTTACATCCACCCAACCACTAGCTCGGCCAAGTGTCGTCATAATGTCCTGCGGATCGGCAGCCCAAAACCAGAAAGCCACCCGGAGCGCCTGGCCTCTGTGGTGAGAGGGCGGTTTCAGCACCCGGAGCAGTGTCAAGCGTTCGCTGATGCCTGTCAGTATCGACGTTTCGTCCTCTCGGTAGCATGCCTGTTGGTTGTTTGTGATTGTTTGTTTGTTGTCAGCCAGCTTTGACCACCGGGCGACGGAAGAAAGAGAGACATACGCTAACAAAAACCATGCATGTGCTTTCAATTGCCTGTCTCGGATTATTGCAGTGTGAGCACTCACAAAGCCTCCTTCCCTACCGCCCCAGCACATGCCCAGTGATCAAAGTGCCGGACAACAAGTGCATGTGGTTACACTGACATTGATCACAGACCTCCAAGCAGGGCTTGTGATGGCTTGACGAGAACTGCAGGGAAGCCATAGCGTGATCCCCCCTCTTGACATGCAAAGATCTTTTTCCCAACCGAGCAAAAAGTTTGCCGCTGCGCAGGACGTCAATGACTAGCAGCAGGTATTTGGTACGTCGGAGGTCGCGGAGATCAGGTGTTATTTTCTGACATAAACTTCCTTGAAAGCACAATGCACTGGAGCTAGCCTAGATTATTCATCTACCTAATTACTGTCGGGAGGAACTTTGAGCGTCTTACGATGGCTGTTATTTTCTTTTTCTTTTTCTGGGCGGCGTAATAATAAACGAGCTGGTTGGTGCTGTTTCAATTCTGCAGATCTGACAACTTCATACATCCAGCGCTCTGATCGCTTCCACCAAAGCCCTGAAGGCGCGTTAGTGTGTGCCAGCGAAGCTGTTAGTGGGAACACCACCCTGCCCGCCAGGTGTGATCAAACCAGCCAGAGCCATGCAGGTAGGTGACATAAGCATGGCACATCACAGCCGCACGAACTCAATTTCTGATATATCGGTTGTGGCCTTCGTATTCCCTAATTACAGTAATGATTACAGTCATGAGTGAATAATAATACATTTTAGTGATACTTGACGGCTCGATATGCTGAGTAGCCAAGGCCTTTCGGGCATGCCATTTTTATGGCATGCGTATAGGCTGCTCAGGCCGAAGCAGGCGCCGGAGCTCGCAAAAACGAAATTCCATCGCTGTGTTGACATCCCACCGTTGCATAGACTTCGGTGAATTTACCGTTCGACTGGGTGGAACAAGCAACTCTATTGGAGGCACCACTTAACAATTTTCAGCTTCCTTGTTTGTTCAATTACGGCAAGCCAGGGCAATCGCGCCTAAGTCCATCCTGGCTCAACGCTATCGCAACTGCCTTGGGCTTCTCCCGTCTTCTGGCCCCGCCCTCCGACATTTCGGTCCTCGAATCCACCACCGCCCATCCTTTCTTAGACAATCCAACCATCTAAACCCCAAGAGTTACACCACAATGTCTCTTCCGACCGACGCCCGCCCCATCGTCATCTCCGGCCCCAGCGGCGTTGGCAAGGGAACTCTGTACAAGCTGCTCTTCGACAAGCACCCCGAGACCTTCACTCTCTCCGTCTCCCACACCACTCGCAAGCCCCGCCCCGGTGAGCAGGATGGCGTCGACTACTTCTACGTATCCATGGAGGAATTCGAGTCCCTGATCGAGGCCAAGGGTTTCGTTGAGCACGCTAAGTTCGGCTCCAACCGCTACGGCACAAGCAAGAAGACCATCCAGGAACAGAGCGCCAAGGGCAAGGTTGTTGTTCTGGATATCGAGATCGAGGGCGTCAAGCAGGTGCGCCAGTCCGACATCGACGCGCGGTACGTCTTTATCCTTCCTCCCTCCGTCGAGGAGCTAGAGAAGCGTCTCCGCGGACGAGGCACCGAGACCGAGGACAGCGTTCAGCAGAGACTCAAGAGGGCTAAGGAGGAAATCGCGTTTGCCGAGGAGGGCGGCTTCGACAAGACCATCACCAACGACGACTTGGAGAAGGCATACAAGGAGCTGGATGAGTGGGTTTATGCCCAGAAACAGTAATGATGCCACAACGGACACATAAAGTTCATACACATAGATACATGACGTTCCAGCCATCCAAATAGAATAAAATCACAGGTTTTGGACAGAACCGGGCCTGTCCAGGCCAGTTTAATCACCGCCCTGGGAGAACTAGAGGTTGGTAGCCCCGCCAATGGGAACAAATCAGGATGCCACAGAGCCACGGTTACCGAACAATTATATACGAAGAAAAAAAATTCAAATAAATAATTTCCCATCATGAAATAAAGTCCAGTTACCAACAACACTTTCAAATGGCCAACCAGGCATATATGATTATCAACTTAAGACCATGGCCGCTGATTAGACCGGTGTTTGGTGGGGTGATATCGGCGCCGTTCTTTATCGATAAGCGATACGCAAGTTTTTGGCCCAATTGATTTTTTTTTTCTGCCGTCCAACGGTTCCACGCCGCCTTTTCTTATCAACTTGCGACGGTCACCTTGATATCCTCTTGTACAGTATATCGTATACTTTACAATTCAAAATGGCTGCCACCAAGCATAAGTTGCCTGAAAATGAGGCCAATGGCGCCGAGGATGCCGTGCGACCGAGCAAGAAGTCCAAGGTCCAGAATGGCGACATTGAGACTGAGAAGCAGAAGTTGAAGAGGGAGAAGAAGGAGAGAAAGGAGAAGAAGAAGGAGAAGAAGAGCAAGGCTGTCGAGTCCGAGGAGACTACCCCCGCCGCCGAAGAAGATGCCGATTCCGAAGCAGAGCGCAAAGCCGAGAAGGAGCGAAAGAAGGCCAAGAAGCTGGCCAAGAAGGAGAAGAAGTCCAAGGAGGCTGCGCAATCAGAGTCCGCTGAGCCAGAGGCAACCAACGGCGAGAAGAAGGACAAGAAGGAGAAGAAGAGCAAGAAGAGCAATGGCGCCGAATCGAGCGCCGACTCCGAGTCGAAATACGTTCAGACCATCAGCCTCTCCGACGTGCCTCAATCCGAGATCGACGCCTTCCTCTCCACCAACCAGATCACAATCACCGACCCCAAGACCGACAAGGTCACTCTCCGCCCTGTTCTTCAATTCCATCACCTCCCCTCCACCAACCTCCTCGAGAAGACCCCCTCCCCCTTTGCCAACTACAAGGCCCCGACGCCTATTCAGTCCGCATCCTGGCCCTTCACACTTTCCGGCCGCGATGCCATCGGTGTTGCCGAGACTGGCTCCGGAAAGACCATGGCATTCGCCATTCCCTGCGTCGAGACTGTCGCCGCTGTTGGCGGCAAGAGCGTCAAGGCTGTCATTGTCTCGCCCACCCGTGAGCTCGCAATGCAGACACACGCTCAGATGGAGGCTGTTGCCTCTCTCCTACGGCTCAAGTGCGTCTGCCTCTTCGGTGGCGCATCCAAGGACGACCAGCGCGCCCTCATGAACCGCGGCGCCGACATCATTGTCGCTACCCCCGGCCGTCTCAAGGATTTCATGTCTGACGGCACCGTCGATCTAAGCTCCGTCAAGTTTGCCGTTCTCGATGAGGCTGATCGCATGCTGGACAAGGGTTTCGAGGACGACATCAAGGAGATCCTCGGTGCCTGCCCCCCACGCGAAAAGCGCCAGACCCTCATGTTCACAGCTACATGGCCACAGACTGTCCAGGCGCTCGCTTCCACCTTCATGGTCAGCCCCGTCAAAATCACCATCGGATCCAGCGGAAAGGAGACATCCAGTGGAGCTGTGGAGCTCCAGGCCAACACCCGTATCACCCAGCAGGTCGAGGTTATTGACCCCAAGGACAAGGAGTTCCGCCTTCTACAGATCCTCAAGAAGTACCAGCAGGGCAAGGCCCGCAATGACCGTATCCTCGTCTTCTGCTTGTACAAGAAGGAGGCCACACGCGTGGAGGGTTTCCTCCAGCGCAAAGGTATCAACGTCGGAGGTATTCACGGCGACCTGAAACAGGAGCAGCGAACCAGGAGTCTCGAGGCTTTCAAGTCCGGCCAGACCCCTGTTCTCGTCGCGACTGATGTCGCCGCCCGAGGTCTTGATATCCCCGAAGTCAAGCTCGTCGTCAACGTCACGGTATGTGTAGCCATTACGACATTTTCATGCTCGCTCGTATTCTAACCTGCTTCCGCAGTTCCCCCTAACCATCGAGGACTACGTTCACCGTATCGGACGTACCGGACGTGCCGGGAAGACTGGTGAAGCCATCACTTTTTTCACCGTACAAGATAAGGCCCACTCTGGATCGTAAGTGCTTCCGACCCTCAAACTACGCACGCGCTCTTGATCTAACTTTCTCCTCGCAGTCTGATCAACATCCTCAAGGGTGCGAACCAGGCCGTGCCCGAGGACCTTCTCAAGTTCGGCACCACCGTCAAGAAGAAGACCCATGACATGTACGGCGCATTCTTCAAGGATGTTGACATGAACCAAAAAGCGACCAAGGTCACTTTTGACGACGACGACTGAGCAACACACTGAAGATGAAAAAAGTTTATTTTATTTTGCATTTAGTTTCATAAAGACTTGTAACTGGCGCTCACTTCTTCCCGGGTTTTCTATTACGGATGGTTTGAAGACATGTTTGTAAGAATCGTCGTTCAGCGAATCCGCTGAAATTGTTGGAATTCATGGTCAGCGTATAAAATAGACTTGACAGACAGACAGACAGACAGATAAATTAAATCATTAGAAAGCGTTTCACTTACAAGGCTATCAGAAGGGGAACGGCGAATGACACGACGCGGGCCAGCTTGAGAATGGGTTGCTGCTCTGGATCCTCGGCGATCTGGAGCTTCCACATGACCAAGGACGTGGTGGCGGAGAGAAGCAGCGCGGTCCCGGGGACGAGTTCCCGGAACCCGAAGGTGACGTTGTGAGACTGGAAGTACCTCTTAATGAAGAGCCCGCTCCACACGATACGACAGAGCATGTTGATGGCGTTGGCGAAGACGAGCCCGATGGCGCCAAGCTCGAGCACGCGCATCAGCAGGAAGGCAGCCGCCGCAAAGGTCACGGTGAAGACACCCATCCAGAATGACTGCTTGTGCACCTCCCTCTCCGAAGCGACGGACGCAACAAACGATTCTGCGATGCCATTCAGCGCCAGGAAGGGGATGTAGAAGCAGTACGCCGCCAGCACCTCGCCAGCCCCTGAGCCGACCCACCGTCTGCCTGCGACGATGGCGAGCAGGGAGGGCGCGGCGAACGGACCCAGGCTGAGCACAAGCACGGATAGGAGAACGTAGAAGCGGAGGAGCGTGTGTAGGCCCTGCCTCGCGTCCGTGACTGGCTTGGGTGCCTGCTTTCCCGACGGCGTGACAGAGGCGAGCTGGCGAGAGAAGTAGCTACGGCTGCTCTCCTCGATCGGTTGGAAAAGGAGTCGGGCGAGGAGACCGCCGTAGTTGTTTGCGAGGGCATACACGCCTTGGACACTCGGAGTCGAGAGGAAGGAGACGAGCAGGGTGTCCCCCTGAGTGAGGAGATGCTTGACGACGCTCTGTGCCATCATGCTCCCCGCCAAGCTAAGAGTCGGCCTGTAAAAGTACGAGCCCAGGAATTCGGGATTCTTCTTCTCGCCGCGGACCGCCGGGGTCGGTAGCAGCGAGAACCCGATGGAGGAGGCGAGCCTGTAGCCCGAAACGAGGTACACTAGCACGAGAACGACTCCGTAGCAGACCTGGCCGAGAGCAAATGGCAGGACACCAAGGTCGAGCCCTTTCCGAGACGCCCACACCGCCGAACCAAACACGACAATACAGCGTAGGAAGGTGGCTGACGATTCGGCGAGGGCTCGGGTCCCGAACTGTAGCCTGGTTTGCATGAGCACGAAGCAGGGCTCGGAGAGGAGCTCGATCATGGCGGCGACGCCGTACAGCCACACCGCGGTGACGAGGTGCGGGGGGCTCAGCGCATCGTCATCGCTGGCCGATCCCAGGTACATCTTTCCCAGGGCGAGGCTGACGACAGCACCGAGGACGACGGCGATGTAGCCCAGGTTGACGACCGCCTGGCTCTCCCGTCGCACGGCATCTTTGCTGTTCTCGTCAGCTGAGACAGCGGGGCCCTGGCGCTGGATGGCGACACGTAGACTTTCGCGTGCGAAGAAGAGGACGGACAGATAGTAGACCTCGAGCTGTGCTGAAAATCCGAGCAGGGGTGCGGTGAGGAGACGCAGGAGGAGCTGGTTGGCCGCGAAGGTGATGAGGCGGGATGTTAGCTGGAGGATGATGAGCAGTGACGCGCCCTTGATGATGGAGGGCCGCGGGGCATTGGCGGTGCTGGGCTGCTTGGAGCTTTCTTCCTCCTTTCTCTGGGCTGCCGACGCATCTTCCGGCTGCACCTTGCCGGCTTTGCCTGCCATCTTGGCTGAGAGGCGGATGGAATCTAGTAAGGTTGAAGCTGCTGAGCTAGAAGGACAACTTGAAATTGAGCACAGCTGTCACTTAATGGATGGTGGACACATTGCCCCTAAATGAAGCGGCCTTTCAGTGAGTGGTGGCCTATCAGTTGAGCGCATCAGCAGGTTGGATCCCCTACAGTCCAGCGGGTCAGCAATTAATTCGCACTGAACCACATCATGATGGATCCTGAACAATACAACAACCTCAGCAAGCTTATCCATCAGATATGCCTTTTCAACAACGGCCCATTGGCGCTTTTGATTTCTTCTCCTTTTCCATGTCTTCCCTATTTGACAAATACGATGCCCGTGTAAGCCCTTCAACCTTTGCAATATGTCCTTCTCCCCAACACCAATCGCCAGCATCTTCTCATGGTAATTATCAATATCTGGTCAGGGAAGGCGATCCAGGTGCCTGAGGGGCTGAATGCCTGGTCTCAACAAACACCTTTTGCATCCCATCCTCCCGTGCCTCGAACTTGTAGTAGACCTTGTCCAGATCCTCCAGCCTGACACGGTGGGAGAGCATCTGCAATGGATCCAGCTGGTCCTTCTGGATCTGGTCGAGAAGCTCTTCCCAGTACTTGTGGACAGGGGCCTGGCCGTTTCCAATGAGCCGGATGCCTCTCTCCATCAGAGACCCGATGTTGAAATGGTTTGTCTGCTTTGCGTCAGCATAATGATTTCCTTCCAGCGCTAGAAAGAAGGGAGACCACTCACATATCCAACGTAGACACCAGTGATACCACATCGCCCGAAATTACGCACACCCTCTATCATCTCGTTGAGTATCTCGCTCGTATCAGTCTCAGCTCCAACAGCCATCTCCAGCCAGTGAAGCCAACCCTTGCTATACTCGCCAGCAGCACACTCCAGGGCAACATCAGGCCCTCGCCCACCGCACAATTCCTTAAGCCGGCTCACCACGGTCTCCTTGTTTGTAACGCCAAACGATAGCTTTTTGTAGTCAACCAATACAATTTTATCAAGGTGCGAAACGGGCCAACGCTCCTTGACGAAATCGAGACGCGGTTGCGTATCGACAAATATGATCTTCTTCGCACCCTCCCCGAGAGCGAAGATGCCAGCCATCTGGCCGATAGGGCCGGCTCCAAAAATGGCAACCTCATCGCCCTCATACACGGCTGTGTCTTTAACACAGTTGTATGAGGTGGCGAGAACATCAGACAGGTACAGTGCTTTTTCATCCACCACATCGTCGGGGATTTCGAGCAGGTTCACATCCCCAAGCGGCACGCGGACGTACTCAGCCTGCCCGCCCGCGAACCCTCCAGTAAAGTGCGAGTAACCAAAAATCCCAGCCGTCGTGTCTCCATACATTGCCTTTGCAATGGTATTGGAATTCGTCTTCTCACACTGGCTCGAAAGTTTCTGTTTGCAGAAGAAGCAGTCGCCACATGCAATCTGGAAAGATGCAACGTATCGCTTCCCAGGCTTGATCTTCTCTTTGTCGACGCCAGGTCCTATTTCATCAACGATCCCGCAAAACTCATGACCGAGAATATCCCCCTTTGCCAACTCAATGATAGCGCCATGTAAGAGATGGAGATCAGAGCCGCATATGGTACTTCCTGTGACTTTGAGAATTACGTCGCGGTCTTCCAGAATTCTAGGTCTGGGTACATCAGCTAGGGCGAAGAGTCAGTATGAGACATATTTTTTACTTGCGGCAAGGCCAAGGGATTATACATATGGCGACTTTGTTCTTGCTCTGCCATGTCAAAGCCTTCATGGTACCGCCAGAGCCATCCTCTTTGGGTGGGTAGCTAGCCACATCTTGTTGGGTGATGGAGTCACCGGTATGGCCGAGGGTTTTCTCGAGTTGGTAAGCAGCTTGTGAAGCCATTATGATATTTACGTAGTGTTGTGAAGTTTGTTGTTACATGGACACCTCTATCCTGAACCTGCTAAAGCCAGAGAATTTATACGACAGGAAACCAACAGAACCTCGACATGCGCACATAGGTTGCCTCCCATTCAAATCGTCATAACAAACAATTTTCAAAAGCAAATGATCAACTATGACGATTTACCATAACCTATATGACGATGTTGTACTGTAATCGCTGTGGCCGACGTCATGGATCAGTGATCAATTGATGTCTATTGGCAACCTTGTACGCGTGTGTAGGGTAGCTATTAGGAGAGCTAGCAGTAGAGAGATCCGGGAATGGAGACCTCTCGGTGAGAATTAGAAGAATAGGCAGGGACAAATACTTGCCATACCAATAAGAAGAAACCATTACTTCTAATTATTATGTTAAAAAGAAACTGAAAAATTGGTCCTGTTGTAAGTTTTGTCGGGCAAACAGAGTTTCGCCTGCACGATTTGGCCGGAGAATGGACTGGCATTCCACGTGACTCATCCCCACAATCTGCGGTCCCAGTTAAAACTTCACTTCGCTCGCGCCAGAATCTCAGTTTCTTTCCTTCCCCAAGCCATCGCCCTCTTCAACGCTGCGTTTCCATGCTACACACAGAGACCCCTCGCTCTTCATTGACGAGCGAGGGCTCTCCCATTTTGCATGTGGGAAATTCGGAGAATGCTTCAAACTATCCTCCCTCTCGTCCTCCCCGACGATGCATAGGTCTGCCAGTGATGGCCTCGCGTCAATCGACGCCTGCAGTTGACATCAGAAATCTCAGAGCCGGCGGCCCTGGAGCCTGGCTCCTCGGTTCGACGTGCCTCTATGGGAAGTCTCTGCGAAGCTTGTTGCCTCAACTTGAGTGCGATACGCGGCGTGTTGCTTCGCGCTCTTCGGAGTCAGCGAGCTTCATAACTCAATTCCGGTCATTCTCTAGAGGGCGATGGCTTCACCTTTTTTCTCCTAGGTAAGTCTGCTATTTCATACTCCCAGATTACAAAGTCATTTACTAACTTGTTGAACATGGCTGCCCAAAACTACAAAACTACAAGATTGCAACAAAGCTGCGCCCGCCTGCAGTGATCTCCCACTGCCCAGCACGGAAAAAGAAAGACAACTCTGGCATCGTACATCCACCCCAACCTAGACTGATATCTGATTGCTCGTAAATGATCCTCCCTTGACTTCCCCTCGTACATAACCTTGGCCAATAATTCTCGACTCGCTATCGCGGTCGGACGCAGCAACGCCCAGAGCAAGCTCACCGGACCTTCTTCAGATTGCAAATGATCCCATATTGACGCAAGAACCAGCCGCAGTGGATCTTCCACTCGCGATCCGGGTGGTCTAGTTCAATATCGTAGTTTGAAATGAGTGTAGCCACGAGCTTGTACGTCTTGATGACAGCCACATGACGTCCGAGGCAGATCCTAGGCCCAGCACCAAATGTGAAATCGTACTTGAGGTAGACCTTCAGACGTTGCTGGTAAGCCTCTTCCGACTCGCCCGCAGCCCGCAGCCAGCGCTCAGGCTTGTACTCGTCCGCATCAGGACCGTAGATGTCCTTGTTACGATGCGTGACATAGGCATTAAGCCCGACAGATGTCTGGGGCGGGACGAGGCTGCCATCGGGGAGCTTCAGACCTCCCACCGGGACGTAACGTTCCAGCAACATGGACACGCCGGGATGTAGGCGCATCGTCTCACGGATAACAGCCTCAAGATCTGATGACATGTCAATATAATCAAACACCTCGACGGGGCTGAGAGTTTCTGGCTGGTGACTCACATGGCAGGGCTTTGGCCTCATGGTACTTCGCGACCCGTCCAAGCTTCGCGCCTCGAATCTCTTTCTTGACCCTCTCGTACGCCCTGGGGTTCTTGAGCAAGAAGTAGATGACGGCCCGTATCGAGAGCGCAGTGGTATCAGCGCCGGCGACGAGGTTGATGAAGAGATAGCCGAGGAGCATGCCGTCGTCCACGAGCTCCGGGTTCTCCCTCCTGGCCTCGAGGAAATGATGGAGGTAATCCGGCACGGCTGGGTTGTAGTCGCGATCCTTGCCCTGGACACGGGTGGCGATGCGCTCCAGAGCGACGCGTTGGATGTTGCCTAGACTTGGAGGGCCCAACCTGTAGATGGGGTTCTTGTCGAGGAGGAAGTCGAGGAAGGGCATTTGTCCAACAGCCGCGAAGCTTTAGTTATCGCTGGTTAGCCACACCCTGACCAAACATTTTGGGGGTTCTCTCACTAGTCCAATGCCTTGTCGGCGATGCCAATGGTTCCATCAAAGTCGGCTCCATGTGCCATGAATCCGAAGTCCTTGCTGAAGGAAGCGGCGCCAATCAAGTCCCAAATGCCTGGCATACGTGGTCAGTTACATAGACACCAAAGAGCTCTCCAAGAGCGGGTGTATACAGGAAGCAGACAGACTTACAGTATGCGATCCAGGCACCCAAGTCACAGGGTTTCGAACCAGTGGGAGTTTTTACAAAGCGTTGATCGAGCTCGTCGCAAAGCTGCCCCATGACACCATCCAGGAGCGGCTCAAGGGCGAGTACGGCTCCAGGCGAGTAGTGCTTCGCGATGGGTCGCTTCATGATCTGGTTCTCCTCATTGCTTGGGATGCTGAACATGGTGTACACAATCTTGCCGTTGACCTTGATGCTGTTGCCATGATAGAAGTCGGTCTTTCACCAGTCAGCGATATTGAACTCTGAATAATTTGACGGAGAGAACTCGTAGCACACCTTCAACCAGCTGTCATCTATACTGTATATCGTCTTGGTGAGCTCTGGATAGTCCAGGTCCAAGGTATTGGGGCCGATACGGACGACCGGGCCATATTTCTCATGGAACTCCTTTATCTTCAGGTGATACCTGCCAGTGAGTACGAGATAGAAGCGGTACCAGTTGGTCCATGCTACGAACATCATCCGAGGTCAGTTTCACTGCTCACTGGTGCCGCGCGTTACTAGCACATGGGGAAGGGCAAGGACCGTAGAAGATCGCCATACTCACCCGCAAGCAGAGGACCAGGGTACTTGTTCAGCGGCGATGCGAGCTGGCGGACGAACCAGACACAGACAACGGAGATGACGCTAATAAGCAGCACAGGGCGGATGTGGACCTTCCAGTCCCTGAGGAAGATGTGTAGCAGATCGGCATGGGACGCCATCTTGGGATCGAGGAGCAGGTGGTTTGAGAGAAGGGCTAAGAAGATTTGTACGGACTAGAGCAGCTCTGGCACACGGCAAGTTTGCATAGGGGCTAGTTTCTTTTAAACCGATTCCCCAACCTTGATTACCTTCTCCCTCTTGTTGGTTCGCCGAACCGGTGAGACACGAGCTAACTAAGTACTGTTCCGTTCCTCCTCCCCCCCTCCCCGCCGGCTGAGGCAGGATGGGGTGGACGGCTGGACGCACACGTTTGCCTCATTGGTCTTGGGCTGTGTGATCCGCGAATTGGGATCAAGAGTTTCCATAGACGGGGGGCGTTTGGCCGTCACAACCAAGGATATACGCCACCCTCTGCCGTCAGGCTGACAAGGCGCATCATCCTAAAAGCATCTTAAACCACATTGGGAGCCAATAAATGCAAGCACCCGCGTGGGGAGGCCCCCTTATGGCTAAATCTAGCACACGAACGAGTCCTGGCGGGCTATCCGTATCACACCTGTCCCGAGGGAACTACGACAGCTGGTCGTCGAAGTCACATGGGAGAAGGGGGACAGAGAGATAAAACAAGGCCCAACGACGAGGCTGCTATGCTATATGAGCCATTGGAAGCGGATCGGTTTAGCCCTTGCCCTCCCCCCCTGTGGGATGAGATCCCCCTCCATGTTAGTCCCCCCCTGGAAAGATTTCCCTCCCCTATCTTGCAAGCTAGCAGCGGGAGCCAAGGCACGAAAGATTATTCTCCGGCTATTGCGTTCTAGAAAACAACCCTCCGAGCTGGGGTAAGGAGTATGGGGCCCGTTGGTAGGGCCCTGTAGGATCAGCCCGTTGGTCATTTCTCACATTGTTCCCTGACCCTATCGGCTGATATTTGGCGCATCCCGATCAACTCCCCGATTGATGGACAGTAGCATTGCCGGGGCTCATTTTGATGCTCATTCCGGGCGCATAGAGCTGTTTCAAGCAAAAAGAGAGGCCGGATACGGTCAAATTCCACCACGTCCCGCCGCATTGTCGACGCATATGCGAGGGGGAATGATGGCTAATCAGACAAGCCAGATCTCAACGCAGAGGGACGGCTGCGTGGCCCTCGGCTATATCATCACCTCTGTTAAGAGGGCGTGATAGAGTGGCATGCAGCTGGTCCAATGGGTGGATAAGGGTAGCCGCCAACGTCGTGCCAGAACACTGCATGAAGCAGGGATCAGTCTTGTAATTCTTCCCGGTCAGAACTTCTGCCTGCTTCGTTTTTCTGAAACGGGCATTAAGTGGCCACGACCAACATGAAGGAAAACTGGAACAATTGGCAGCAAGCACACCCGTTTGCGACTCTGTGTATTATGTGCCTCCCATCCGAACAAGGGTTGTGAGGTAGAAGGGTGGATGGCGTTGCAGTCGGTTGCGGACACCTCATTTCTCTCGCACCAGCTGGTCTTTTATATCCGCTCATCCATTTGGCCGCACCGTTTCAATGACCTGCATGTGTCAGGATAATGGGCCAAATCCCTGGCCGTGTGTGTCAAGCAGCACCAGTCGTGCCCTGGTTGATCCTGGCCCGGGTCCATTCACCTGTGATATCGCCTGCTTGCTGTATGCGAAGCATTATTATGCCGCTGGAGACGGGGAGGATGGAACGTTGACACAAGAAAACGACGAGAGCATGGCTTTCGAAACAAGGAATGCTTGGAGATCCTACGTAAAATATGTGCTCGCTTATCTTTTTTGCCTCATGGCATCAACATCACCCACAAGGCCCAAGGATGACGCTGGTTTCTTGCTTTTTCCCCCTTGCGTTGCTTTCTTCTGGAAATCTACGGATATGCTTGATTGATAGATCGATCTGAAGGATTCGAGGGAACCATACTTTGCTGCATTATGGATCATGGCCAGTGGCAAAGCCCTTCTCGCTTAGGAGGTAACTCGTAAACATGACTCTTCCCCTGGACACTCGCGGACAATCTCCGGTGCGAAGTACCAACAAGCGACCAAATAAGCCTCAGCGTGTTCCTCTTTCCTGTACAGCCGTTTAACGTACAGATCTTGGCATTCAGTTGGCAGATGGTGCGGGAAATCACGTCCGAGATCGCCCACAAAGGACGTGGTTGTCGAACACACCCTATCCCTGTCACTCTACCACACATGAGCCTACTGCGATGCACCTGTCACTCAAAGAGCATTGTACAGCACCGGCCTGCATCGGGTCCAGCTGTCGGTGTTAGCAAGCGGGAAATGCTGCAACCTACGCTTCACCCCTGGCCGGGGGAGGCTGGCAGAGACGGCCAGTGTTATGACGGTCAAGAAGAGAAAAAGGTCAGGAATCCCAGGCTCAGAACTTTGGTTCTGAGACGGCATGAACCTCTTTCAACATACAGCACATACGACACTGAAAAGAAAGGCGAGAGAGAAAAAGCAAACATGGCCATCAAGGACGACGCCGTCTGGTCGATTGCTGTCATGTGGGTCATGACCGTCATCGTCTTGGCCTTCACGGTGCTTCGAGTGTACACTCGTGCCTTTGTCGTCAAGTCTTTCGGCGGTGATGATTGGGTCTACGTCTTTGCATTCGTAAGTTGGATTCTATTCATCATGAACAAGGGCAAGGAGGAGACTTGACGGTCTAACCATCGCCAGTTTTGTTTTCTTATGTACGCAACCTTTGTCAGTGTCGCCGGGGTACATGGATACGGCCAGGACATGATCATTGTCCAAGAGAAACCAGATGAGATGAAGAAGGCTATCATATATCTGGCCGTGGGACAGACATTCGCCATGGTCGGCATGACGGTCGCCAAGTGGTCTCTTGGGCTTTTCCTCCTCCGCCTGGTCGAGTCTGCCTGGCACAAAACCTCGATCTGGATGACACTCGTCCTCCTGGCCATCGCCTCGCTCCTCTCCACCTTCGTTTTCTGGTTTCAATGCTCACCACCCCGTGCCATGTGGGATCGAACGCTGCCCGGTGCGAAATGCGAGGTCCCCCAGCTGCCCTTCTTTTACTTTCTCGGAGGCATGTGAACATTCCCGATAAATTACGCCCCCTACTTTATCACAGTTTGAGGAAAAGTCGACAGAGTCTAACAAACACACAGCCACCTGTGCCTTTGCAGATCTCTTCTTTGCGCTAGTACCCTGGTGGTTCATGTGGAATCTGCAAATGAATAAACGCGAGAAGCTCATCATTCTCTTCAGCCTCAGTCTCGGCGTCATGTATGGCACAACCACTTACCTCCCCCTTCCACCATGACACTAGAACAACAGACTAACTATGCCTCCAGTGCCGCCGCGTTCGGTTTCAAACGCTGCACCGAGATTTACAAGCTCGTCGGGCAGAACTTCCTAAAGGACGTGGTATCAATCATCATCTGGGCCGCCGCCGAAATCGCCGTCACGATGGTCTGCATAGGCATCCCCATCTGCCGACCACTCTACAAAGACTACCTGAGCCGCCTTAGTTCCCGAGACACGAGCAAATACAAAGGTCTTTCGGGGGAGCGAAGAGGAGGGGGAGGCAAGGGGGGAGCGACCGCCAGTGGGGGATCTGTGCCCCTGCGCACCATCGGGGGCAGCGTGAGCGCCAAGCGAGCCGACTCAGGGCTGGCAGGAGGCACAACTACCACTGTGTCGAAGGTCTTTTACATTGGGGAGGGAGGCAGTGACGAGGAGATTCTGGATCCCGCGTACAGGCCTGGGAAATACAGTCCGCCAAACCCTGAGAGAGCTATTAGGGTCACGGAGGAATACGAGGTTACCACGAGCAAGGTATAAATCAAGACACAAGTGGACGTTATAGAATTAATGGCTGTGGTAGAAAGGTTGTATCATAGATAGCTTACGAGGAGAGACTGAAATGTATTCCTTTTTCAATTGCCCCATATGCTCTACGCAGGAACTCCCACAGACATGAGATCAAGGTTTGCCTGGAGATTCGCCTTGCTTGGCATGTTGCCAAACCTCATCAGCTCTGCACTCTGGACCATGAGCGGGTCTCTACCCATGCTTGCCATGGCCACGACCGTGTCGCCCTTGGTGTAGTAGGCCACAAACTTAGCATCCCCGGGGCTCCCATCGAGGACGAGGTCATCCCAGCCATTTGCGGTGTTGCCGCAGTATCGCAGCTGCGAGCCAAGGGCTGACCAAAACACAGGGATGAACTGAGAGGTTTCAACCGACGAACTAACAATATGAGTTGCGGCTGCTCGGCCGGCGTTCTGAGCAACGTTCCAGTGCTCAATGCGCACAGGCTTTCCCTCACCGCCAGGGCCGTGATAGGGGTAGGTGGCGATGTCTCCGACCGCGTACACACCTTGCTGGCCAACAACGGAGAAGTGTTGGTCGACCTTGATAGATCCATCCTTCTCAAGCTGCAGGGAACTGTTCTCCTTAAGGTATTCCGTCGAAGGAGCAACACCAACACCAAGAATAACCAAGTCTGCATCTAGTCTGGTTCCATCCTTGAGCAGGACTGCACCAACAGCTGATGGGTCCGACTCCGACGGCACAGCCTTGTCCACCGAGGCACCACCGTAGAATTTTACACCCTTGCCTTCCACGATTTTCTTGACACCCGCGCCAACATCTTTGCCAAGGACGCGCTCGAGGGGTACGTTCTCCATGCCGATCACAGAGACGGAGTTGTCGGCGGCGGTCGCAACGGCAACCTCCATACCGATGAAGGAGGATCCGACAATGACAATGTTCTTGCCCTTGCTGCCAATTGTGTCGACAATCTTCTTGACGTCATGGGCATTGCGCAAGGTGAAGATGTTATTCAGGGTCTTGAACCCTTCGAGCGGCAGCTTTCGTGGTGTCCCTCCAGTCGCGAGGATCAGTTTGCTATAAGCAATCTTGCCGCCGCTCTTGGTCTCAACGTTGCGATCTGAAAAGTTGACGGCAGTCACTTCACCCTCGACCCATTTCACGCCGCCAGCCTCGAACCAAGCCTTGTCTCTCCACGCGATCTTGCTGGTGTCGGAAATCAGGGCCTTGCTGAGCTTTGGACGGTCAATCGGTAGGTAGCCTTCGTTGCTGATGACGGTGAGAGCGCCCTTGTAGCCTTTCTCTCTCAACCCTTCAACTGCACCTAGGGCGCCGGAGCCTCCTCCCACCACGACGATGGGGTCTTCCTGTGCACCTCCTGGAGCAGCGCTGCATTTGAAGTTGGGGCTCCTGCGGGAGTTCTTGATTGCGGACTCTTCGCCCGTGATGTACACTGCGCCGTCTCGCTCGGCGACATCAAATACAGGGAGAGCATCGAGAGCTGGCGCATCTTCGACATCTCCAGTCTTTGCGTTGAAGCAAGCTGCCAAGGGTTAGCTATCTGTTCCACTCGAAGTCACACTCAAATGGGGTAGATTGGCCAAATATACCTCCGTGCCATGGGCATCTCAGATAGCCAGACTTGGTAAGTACGCCCTTGGCCAAGGGAGCACCATAATGGGTGCATTTCGCACCGACGGCCTGCACTGTACCGGCCGCATTGAGGAGAACAACCTTGCCATTCTCGACGCCCTCGACCTCGACTTCCTGCTTATCGCCGAGGGAGAGGGTGAGGGACGTGACGCCCTTGAGCTTGTATTCCTTGGGTGACATGGCTCTAAAACTTGCTGTGAAATGTCTGACCGGGACCTGCGTGCAATGCTTGGGCTTCAGCTGGCCGGAGGAGAATATAAATCTCTGGAGGCGATGCATGGGGGGAGGGAGGAGGAAGAGCAGGGCGCGGGGGGACAGCTTTGCCTGGCGTCAGGAGGGTAAGCCGGCGGGTAATGGAACCGCTTGTAGGAGCCATGATGGCGCGAACAGATACACACGGGGGCTTCTATAGGCCCAGATAGGCGGGTGCGCAGGAGACGGGGAAGAATCCATGATTTCATGGTGATGTACTGGGTTGACAAGTGCAGCAGTGCCGTTGGGGGGAGGTCCGATTGGGACTAGCTTCATTGCCGCTTGAAGTTGACTGAATACCGCTTAGTTATTCAGACTTGGGCCGTGCATTACTTTTATGCACATGCATAACTCTGCTCACAATCTGAATACTCTCGACATTGCAAAAATGAATGCGCTTCTCCTAGTATTGTAGATCCTTCGCAAGTCTTTTCTCTTCCCAGCAAAATAAGAAGATGCAAGCCTAATGTTGAAGAGTAAATCATTGTACGAAAGGACAAAAAAATGACAAGTGTGGGGTTCGAACCCACGCATCTCTCGATAATGGTGTTGAGTATGAGAACTTAAGACCACCGCATTAGACCACTCTGCCAACTTGCCAAACTTAGACAGGGGTAGCAAGGAGAAAATATAAAGTTATCCATAGACTAGCAGCAGGTGAATCAGGGGACAAGTGCCTTGACGCATTGTCCATGATCTGTATGTATTTCTCATTGGAAAGGGTATGAACTGAATTTCGAATCTTTGATAATTCCGAGGCCGGGTCTATTAACAATCAACTAGAACTAGTCGCTGAAACTTGATACTTGATTTAGTTTCTCGGTTTCATGGATACTTCAGTTAAAGGTGGCATGCGCTTTATCCAGTTTATTAGACATTGAGGCTAGAAGCAATAATTTTCACGTCCAGGTCGAAGAGAAAGCTCAGATGGATTGGTGCAGTGAAATATCCTAGAGCTTCTACTCCTTCTAGCCGCCGTTGATTGACATATGCGTTCGCACGTGTGTTAGTCTCTGGAGGATAAATGTGAATCCCCCAGAAAGCTAGTGGCAAGAGCGAAGGATGCGAGAGCCTGCCATGATTCAAACCGAACGCATGTTTTCCTGTCTTTTCCAGCTATTGCGAAGCAGAGCGTGGTAATAGTGAACATAACTCTGGATGGTGGATAGTATTGGGCATAGAAGGCTAACAGCATGACTGGTGTTTGAGAGGAAAGAAAGAAAGACCGTAACCCTGGTAGAAACAAGAAATTGAAATTGTTATTACGTTACTTTATTTCCCCAGTCTTGAGATTGGGCTGAGTATTCAAGCATGACCGTGTTTCCATCTATTCACACCAAGTATGGCCTGGAAGTATATGCGAATAGTGCACTAGACACTGACGACTTTAAACTAATTGTTGAACAAAGGAATTGGATTTATTGGTGCTCAAACTAGAGGGATTGTCGAGTCATAGGTTATCGAACTGGCAGCCAGTGGAAATCAGTGGCGGCCCGGCCCGGTATGAGCGGGCACTGATGCAGCAGTTACCCACACTTGCAGCCGAGGGCATGTCCAGTATTGGAGGAGTAGCAAAATCCGGTGAAGAAATGGATGGCTGGGAGCGCGAGGAAGTGCGGGGGATGGTCATCGGAGGGGTCTGCCCAATGACCGTGTCTAGCACCCTCAAGCGAAAATCCCATGTCATTTTTGCCGCCAGTTACGAATAAAATCGTAGGCGTTTGGGAAGAAAAGCCATGGGTATTCCCACTGAAATGATATCATTGGGCCGATGGGCGAAGAAAACGGGACAAGGTGACAAAAAATTCATGAGGTTGATCGGGCAGTAAAATGGCGGCGCCTGATGCACAGTCGATGTGGCATGCCGTGACTGGTAACATGCCAAACGGGTTGCACCCAAGCAGATGATCGGGCGTGGACTCTGATAAGCATGGCATGGACGTACATGCCGACCACATACACACATGTGCTCCTTCATGTTGCATTGGTAGTGCCCTCACCAATCCCGCCATCGAGAACCTATTTTCACCCATTGTCGCCCTCGCGCTGTGTAACCCTAACCACTAGGTCAAGAGATGCAAATGTCGGTCGTCGGGGATCCATGGACGGTGCCCATTGCCCCGACCCTGACGCGGAAGCAGCGGAGGGTTGAGCTTATGCGATCAGTACGAAGGTAAGTAGACCGGAGCTGCGTTTTTGCTTTTCGTGTTGCCGTCGTCTTTGAAGTCGCGGTCGTCTGATCTTGCTTGTTTCTCGTCCAGTCTCTTCTTCACCGGCGACTACTCCGACTGCACCATCATCTGCGGCAATTATGAGCTCCGCATGCACAAGTCCATCATATGTCCGCGCTCGCGTGTTTTTGCCGCCATGTTCACCCATGGGCTCAAGGTAGCTGCTTCTCGCATCAATACTCAAGGCAGATTGAGTGACGACTCACCGGCTCTAGGAAATAGAAACAGGGGTCGCGAGGCTCGACGACGAGGACCCAGAGGCGGTCCGCTCTCTTCTTTACTACATGTACCACCTGGATTACCCTTGTCGAGACTCGTCGGGCCTTGTCAAGGCGAACGATGGCGAATCGGAGGTCGGTGCCCCAGACCCTCTCATGTCTCCAAGAAGCGAATCGGTCATGTACCCTGACGCACCCAATCTCCTTCACCACTGCCGTGTCTACTGTCTAGCCGACAAGTTTGATGTCGGCTCGCTGAAATCTCTTGCCGCGGAGAAGTTCGAGGAGGAGGCTATCAACTACTGGGATCACCCGCTGTTTATCGAAGCTGCACGGGAAGTGTACGCGACGTCGCCGACAAACGATCTGGGCTTGCGGAGTGTGGTGGTTGCAACTCTTCAAGGCCATCACCAGCTGCTCGATACTCCAGGCGTGCAGGGGCTGTTGAGAGAATCGCAGCTTGCTTTCGATTTACTTATGGACTCGCGCCGGAAAGGAGGTCTTTATCAATTTTGAGAGGCTGAGAAGGGAGAGGGAGGTACCTAGGGGGGTGGGATCAGGAAATGTCCTGCCTTGGAGGGAAATTTCGTTATCTGAACGCTGCATTATTATCGTGTTTCTTTTGTTCCTGTATAAATCGGTATCTGCGGGATGCCAAACACCAGTATATATGTTTGTTGCTTGGTGCCTGCCTAGGTGTGCTAGATACTCACATTCTTTCCAATAGCTGCGAAGGGGGGATTCCTTAGATTAGGAAAAAGACTACGGATTTCTTCGATGGGAGGGTGTTGTTTGCTTTTTCGTCTTGATAAAGTGAGGCTGAAGTGGGCAGGTTAGTAGTGAATGTCTGAGAAGGAGAAGCAAACAGCTGCTGGTTGCCTCAGGTACCTCATTGAAAGAGAAAGGCCGGCATCAAACAGGAAGGCACGTACCAGTGAATTGCGCATTGCCCGCCTCAGGCAACAACCTCGAGCACCCTGAACTTGAGAACTGAACCAGATTTGTTTTCATTCGCCGTACAGAGCCTTCTCCTCTCATTGCCTCTCCTCTTATTGCTTCTTCTATCCCATCATCAGCCAGGCTCACGTTCCATCTCTTCGTCATCACCATCCCACTCATTAGCCCGAATCCTAGAGTTATCTAAGATGGCTTACTGCGCGCCGTGCGATAGAAGTTTTGTACATCCCGCCGCCCTTGCACAGCATATTGATGACAGCGAGATACATCAGGTGAATTACGCCAGGTACTGCAGAACATGCAATCGTCTTTATCGCGACGCTTCAGATCTTCGAGAACATCGCTCGAGAGTACACGGAGCCTACCAAGCATACTGCCGACCTTGTGGTCGTTGTTTTGTTGATAATGCTGCTCTTCAGAATCACCTCCAGTTTTCGAGCGCTCATGCACCCTCCGAACCGTATTGCCGGACCTGCGATCGTTTTTTTGTCGACGATGTCGCCCTTCAACAGCACTTCGATTACTCTACGGCGCACCTTGATGACTCTGATGACTCTGACGAGTCTGATGACTACGACGAGCCTTATTGTACGACCTGCGATCGGTATTTCGCCGATGATTGCGCTCTCGAACAACATCTCGATACCTCCAGTGCTCATAACTTCTTCAGAGCACCGAGTGCCTACAGGATTCCACCGAGGAGTAGTAAGCCAACTCTATTCAGTGGAAACCCAGCATCCAGTGTCCCACAGCCAGCCAGAATCCCACCGAGGAGTAGTGCGCCAGCTCCGTCCAGTGGAAGCCCAACATCCAGTATCCCACAACCAGCCAGCATTCCGCCGAGGAACAGTGCGCCAACTCCGTCCAGTGGAAACCCAACATCCAGTGTTCCACAACCAGCCTCGAGTTCGGTACCCAGTCGGACCAGTCCTGTGGTCTCGAAGAAGGAGAATGTCCAAACTCATCCAAACATTTTGAAAAGCCCAGACCGTCCACAGCCTATGCCAACATCCAATAAAACTCCGAAAAGCCTGGATCCTAATGTCCTTGGGAATAGAGAACATTTAACAACCGGAAAAGGAAAAGGGAAAGAAAAGGAAAATATCCCAAATGGTTTCGAAAATCCCAACGCCTCCGAGGCTTCTCAATCTTCCGGAATCGACAAGACTTGGACAGTGCCCTTGGCCGAAGCAATTGCAAAATGCCTAGAGAGAGAGTTTCCTCATTTGAGAAACTTGGATGGCTCAATGGTTGCAAAGGCTCTAGTAAAGGACCCTGATGAGTCTTCTGGCTTGGAAGATTCGAAGCCCGCAAACCACAAGATAACGCCAGCAGAATCCTCGGGTGTTTTGAAGAAGGAAAGTCCTCCTGCAAGTACAAAATCTCCAACAACTGGCCAAGAAAGCCAGAAAGCTTCGATCTGTCCAACCTTCGACCACAAAGCGGCCTCGCCAACTACATCAGTTCTTGAAATCCAAGAAAGCCTCGGACAAGACCTGCCGTGTTGCTCGTGCAATCTGTCATTCGAAACTGAAGAAGCCCTTTCAGTCCATATTCGTGATACCCCAGATCACCACATCTGCCTTCTCTGCTCCCAAGTGACCCAATTTGCAACGGTCAAGCTCTTGGAAAAGCATCAAGTCTCGAGCCATGGACTATGTACCCTGTGCAACGAAATGTTTGGAAGCTCCCATACTCTTTTCGAGCATGATGTCTTGGATCACAATCTTTGCAAGGCCTGCAAGAACTACTTCATGACCAAAGATGACTTGCGTAAGGTAATCATTCCCGCATCGAAATGTCTCATCCTAAATGGCGATGGTCCCTGGCTAACACTCCCCCAAGCATATCGAAGAGTTTCACCCAAACCAGAAATGTGTCGGTTGCAAAGAATTCTTCGAAGCCGCCTCATGCATGGTCCGTCATCTTGAGTTAGGTTCGTGCACCATCTCTAGAGATAAGTTGCGAGTGAAGGACGTCGCATTGGACTGTTTGAGGTCCAATTTTTTTGCGCCTTTGGAGGACCAGGCGTTACCATTTCAGTGCTTGACGTGCGAGGCAGAGTTCCTTGTGGTAAGCGAACTTGTCCAACATGTGGAGTCCGGCGCTTGCGAAGAGAGTATGGCCACAAACCGGCCAGTGGGTATGATTCTTCACCACATTCAATCTCTCGCTAGATTGTGGGAGAAATAAGCCCTGCTACGGTTTCATTGCCTGTACATACGAGCAATGGTATCACGTTGAGGCATTCTTGAAGAGAGAAGGGAGGCTTGGCTGGAGATATATCCTTGGAGTCGAATGGCGGCTCTATGAGTATGCAACGTCTGTCGAGATATCCCTACTCACGACTATGCTTTGGTTTTCCAAGCTTTTGATCATGTCACCCAATACAATGTGTTATAGCAAGAGCTCTTGTATATCCTGTAACATTATGGCCCCGAACCCATCCGTTCCATAGACAATTCAAACGTCTTTTGACTTGATCATGACTCTACTTCTAGATTATTCGGGCAGAGTTATGCAACTCTGGGTAGCATTTATGCAGATATGCTGCATCTGCATAATTGAGCGGGGTATTTCGATGCAGGCGTATTAAAGCAGCACTGAAGTGGGATGAAATGGGGCGCAGGCTTGGTAACGTGGTGCTGCTGATTGGACAGAGCTGCCCAAGAGCCCACAAGATACGTCACTCAGTCTTGGGCTTAGCGGAGGACGATGAGCTTGTAATTGATGACGAATATCCGGCGTATGAATGCGAAGCTGGTATGATTGGCTCTCGATGACCAGGAAAGGCGAGTTTGGACCTCTCGCCGTCGGTCTTCTGCGGGTTTCCTCTGTGCCGCCCCCAGTTATGGCTCCAATTCGCGCAGTGTGGGCGTCATGAAGCCATGTCCAGAAATAGGGAGTGCCCCGGACGGACGGGCTAAACATGGGATTGTTGTTTCAGGGATCGCGGTTGCTTGGTAATATCGACTGGCCCGCGGGGAAGTTCCGGATCGGCACAGCCTCCTCGTCTCCGCCGTGCTGTCTGTTTGATTTTTTTAAAAAAAGCCAAGTATCTTGTTTTCATTCCTCGGAGCTGAGAATTGCCATCAACCTCTGTCCACATTTCGGAGAGCTTGGTCCTTCGGGCTGTGACTTATACTGATGCCCGGCTGGTTGGTGAGATATTGTTGAAATAGCGAACAAACACAATCTTGGTTTTGAGTCGCTGTTGGCAGAATTAGAAAGTAGTTTGAGGTCTAGAAGAAGCTAATGGAGGGAATATTTAGACATAGAGGTGTACGGAGTAAATTGCTAGAATAGCCTTTCTCCCGTCTCTAATTAGTCTACCGCCTCATGGCCCATTCTACTCGGCGTAACAAGGAGAAGGGTGTCCGTTGGGTGACATCGAAATGGGACATCGAAATGAAAGGTGGCTATAAGCAGGCCCCTTTTGACAATGACTTGAAGAGCAAAGTAGTTTAAATTACATGTATAGACAATATTCAGTATATCGCCTCCCCAGAATTTGTTTATTAGCCTTTAATACTTTAATAATGCTGCTCGCAGATTTGATAACAAGTAGTATAATATTTGAGTGCCTCAAATTTAATGTCACCCTCTGGGGTGTTTGCGGGTAATTAGGCTGAGTAAGGCAACCTGGGTTGCCTTGCAGCTCCTAAATAGGCGAACCATCGTGAGGTGGGGAGTATGAAGTTTGGTTAATCACTCAATACGTAGTCATAAACCTGCTCGTCTTTTCTTCGTGCCACTATTGTCGTGCAACGGAGAAGCAGAGAGCTTCGGACAATGGGTGCTTGAGTCACCGGACAAGTTAGACTGCCCTTCAAATACTCTTCGCTCGATCCCTTTTGGCATTCTGGAAAGGCAAGCGAGTTTATAGGCCATCTAGGTATAAACTTGAATGGGTAGACTGATTTCAGTTTAAATAGTTTGGAGAAACAAGTATGGGGAGTCTTAAAGAGGGCCAAAGCGCACTTCATGAGCTTGGTGTGGCTTCAGGAGACAACCTGGACGATGCAAATTGGCTGAATTATCTTGGAAATCAGCTTTTTATCAGATACAAGAGGACTGAAGCAATATCTGACTTGGAGAAATCCATCCGAGTTGCGCAGAGGGCCCTCCTGGTTACCCCGGAAGATGATCCAGAGTATATTGGATTACTCTATCGCCTCGGAATCCAACTCGGGTGGAGATACCACGAGATTGGAGAAATCGATGATAGTGAAGAGACCATCCACATCATACGACTTGCCATCGGCAAAATATCGTATGACCCAAGCTATTTATGTTGGCTGTTATACAGACTTGGAATTGCCTTGCGGATTAAATTCCTTAGGACACGAGATATAGCCGACCTTGAGGAAGCCATTCAAGCCACACGGGACGCCATACACGAAATATCGCATGACAACCCCATATACGAGATACCCCGAGATAGCCCTATCTACTTCAACTGGTTATATGCTCTTGCAGACCAATTTGATGATAAATACGAGATAACAAAAGCTCTGCCTGACCTGCAGGAGATGATTAAGTTTACACTGCAAGCTGTCAGTAAAACCCCAAGGAAACACTCAGCTTATGGAGAGGGGCTGCATTCTCTTGGACTTCGGTTTCGTGCCAAGTACTTGCGGACTAAGGAACTTGATGATGTTGAAGAGGGTATCGACTTTATGCAAGAGGCGATCAGTTGTACCTCAGAAGATGATCCCCAACGCGCGAAGCGTTTACGGACTCTTGCAACTCTCCTCGGTGACCGATACGATAAGGGAAGGGATGTAACTGATCTCGAAGAAGCTACCCGACTTCTACGGCTGGCTACCGATATGACACCAGCATATGATCCAGATTATGCAGGATTGTTAAACGATCTCAGCAAGGGATTGCGGGTATTGTTTTTCAGGGCTGGTAACACGGCGGACCTGGATGGGGCTATCCAATCCTCGCGGCAGGCCGTAAACATGGGACCAGAAGATCACTCTGAACGTGCAAGATGGCTGATCAACCTTGGGAGGGGTCTTTATGCTAGAGTGACAAAGACGGAAGAGATCTCCGATGTTGATGAGGCTATCCAAGTCGTGCGACAAGCTATCGATTTGACGTCCGAAGACTCTCCAGACCTTCCAAAGTGGTTACATGATCTCGGGAAAGGACTTAGGCTAAGATATCTTCGAGCGAACACTCTAGAAGACATTGAGGAAGCCATCAATGTTTTACGGCAGGCTTCCAAGTCATTTCCAAGCGAGGACATAAGCTATACAGAGTTTCTGAACAACCTTGGAATGAGTCTTGCCGAAAGAGGGTTAAGAACTGGAACGGTCTCCGATCTCAATGAGACTATCCAGGCTCTGCAACAAGCTCTGGAGATTACTCCAGAGACCAACTCAGACCATCCGGTGCTCTTATCTAATCTCGCCGATGTACTTTATGAGAGATATGTACAGACTGAAGCCATGGTTGATCTTGAAGGATATATTCAGCTCACCCAGCGCGCTCTGGATGTAGTTCCAGAACACAGCCCAGATCGTCCACGGTGGTTGAACAGGGTTGGTGTTGGGCTGGGAGACAGATATCAAAGGACAGGATTAGCGGCAGACCTTGATATGGCCATCGAATTTATACGACGGGCTGTTAACACAAGCCAAGAAGACCACCTACTTCTCGGCGAGTGGTTAAATAATCTTGCAGTCCGCCTTGGCAATAGGTATTCAATTAATGGAGACATAGCTGACCTTGAAGAGGCTATAAAGGCCAGCCAAGAGGTTATCTCTATTACTCCAGAAGATCACACAAACTATCCGAGGTGGTTAAACAACCTTGGAAACCGGCTGTTGGAACGCTACATGTACGACGGAGCTGTCACCGATCTTGACAAGTCTATCGATTTAAGACAGCAGGCTATCAATATCACCCCAAAAGACCATCCGGACAGCGGAGGACTGCTGATGAATTACGTAGACGCCTTAATGACGAAACTCGGTTTGGAAAGCAACGTGGATGACACGCATAAGATGATATCAAACTGCGAATCTGCTTTACGCCAGTCGAGTTTCTACATTGATGATTGAATACGGGCAGGCGATAGACTACTTGACCTATACTCAATGGTTGAGAAGTGGGATCGAGCGTTCGAGGCCTCTGAGCTTGTGAATTCTCTGATTCCTAGGTTGACATCGCGACATCTTGAGAATGCCGATAGGCAGCACCGGCTTCGTCAGGCAGTTGGGCTCGCTTCTGATACTGCAGCAGTGGCAATGCATGCTAAAAAATCGCCATTGACTGCGTTGAATTTTCTTGAAAACGGTCGCGGTGTACTTGCCACATCTCTAGAGGATATGCGTATAGATGTCGTGGAGCTGCAGGAGAGGCACCCTGACTTGGCAGAGCAATTCATAGCTCTACGTGATGAGCTGGAAAAACCACCATCACGGGTTAACTCTTCCACCAAACAGCAAGAAATTGAAAAGCAAGATGCGCAAAATTCCTTGAGAGCAGAAGCGACTCGGCGTCGTGATACCGGTGACAAACTCAACCAGCTGATCATAGAAATCCGCAAAAGGCCAGGATTCGAGCAGTTCCTACTCCCACCAAGTGAGTCGGATATTCATGCTGCGGCTAGCCAGGGACCGATTGTTGTCATCAATGTCAGCAAGCATCGTTGTGATGCGATCATAGTTGAAAGTCAGAGGATCCGATCACTACGACTGAAAGGGCTTGAAAGAGACTATATCGAAGAAAAGAGCCGACGAGGAAGACTAGGAACTCCCGAAATACTAGAGTGGTTATGGGATTACATCGCCGGTCCAATATTGGAAGCCTTGACATTTACTCAGCCGCCTCCCGACAACGACTGGCCCCATGTATGGTGGATTCCCACAGGACCTCTGAGCAAATTTCCTCTCCATGCTGCAGGGCGCCATGAAGAAAGCTCTGGCGACACAGTGCTCGACAGGGTCATGTCGTCTTATAGTCCCTCTATAAAGGCCATCATAAATGGTCGTCGTCGCAGTGACCAAATGACTGCCCAGATGGGCTCGTCGCTCCTTGTCTCGATGGAACGCACCCCAGGCTATTCCAACCTCCCTTATGCTAGTAACGAGATAGAGATACTACATGATCTTCATAAGTCGCTCGCACTCAACCCTCTCGAGCCCGGGCGTCGTTACCAAGACATCAGGTCTCATTTGGCTGATTGCAGGATATTTCATTTTGCCGGACATGGACTTTCGCATCCAGATGACCCATCGAAGAGTGAGCTGCTTGTAGAGGACCGAGATACCAATCCACTGACGGTAGCCACTCTTCTTGAGATGAACCTCCGCCAAAATCCACCCTTCCTCGCGTATCTGTCCGCGTGTGGGACCGGCCGGATCAGGGATGAGAGTTTCGTCGACGAGAGCATCCATCTAATTAGTGCTTTCCAACTGGCAGGCTTCCGGCATGTCATTGGTACTTTGTGGGAAGTCAATGATGAGATATGCGTGGATATGGCTGGACTTACATATGAGGGAATCCGAGACGGAGGCATGACAGACGACTCAGTCTGTCGAGGCCTCCACCACGCCAGCCGGGAACTCCGAGACCTTTGGCTAATTTCATCAGCGATACGAGGCGGAAGACTAAACAATGAAGCAAGTCCACTTCCAGCGGGGGATGGGGAAGCTACAGAGGAGGAGAATGAGAGGGGTCATAGGCTGGGAAGGGATATTACTTTGGACGAGAGGGCAGAGGCACACTGGATTCCATATGTTCACTTCGGTGTTTGATTGCATTCCCACAAGGTTTGCATTTTTATGTATCTGAAAACCATGTTGAAAACTAGACTTGAAACACTGCGTGTCTTAGTAGATCTAGTTACCCAATGCCGAATCTGACACTTCATTATCCATATCATTTTCAATTGGTCCTGCACTTCTCCATGGTTTATCTTCATTTTAATTTCCCAACTTGCGGTATATCATGTCAAATAGCTTCAGATCCTGAGAAGCATCTTCCACCGTTGTCTTGACTGGCTTGCCATTCACCAAGGACTCATAAAGCTCCTGGAATTCAACGGTGTAGCAATCCTCGTAAGAAGAAAGAACAGATCGTCGTTGAATTTCGCCATGCTCATTTAATTCTTCGACCTCAACCGTAATTGGAAGACCCTTTATGTATGGGCTGTCGTACTATTACATCCGGAATCATTAGCTCTTGACCAGTTCTCATGCAAATAATAGCAATAGTAAAGAGAGGGGAATGTACCTTGATACTGACTCTCTTGGTACTACCGTAGACGGCGATGTGCGCATCAAAGCTAGGAATGGAGTCAATTCCACTCTCGTACGTAACCGAGTACGGGGACCCATCGCTGTTTCGGAAAGCAAGAATAGCGCTGTAGAAAGGATCATTGGCCGAAGCACCGAGCACTGCTTCGGGGAACCCAAGTGTCTCGCGCATCAGAGAGAGATCGTGAGATCCAAGGCTGCCCAAGAAGCGACACAGCCTGCGCTTCTCGTCGGTAACCTCCTGCCCGGGGAAAGCTTCCTTGAACAGACTCTCAAAGCGCTGGTTGCGTTCCTCAGTTGCACCAGGCGGGAAGTCGGTGCCCTTGACCTGGAACGTGCCGCTCTGGTTGACAAACTGAGCGTTGGGACCGCTAAAGTCGCGCACGCGCGCATAGAGGATCTTGGGAATGGTCGCAATCTCCCTCTTGAAAGCATTCACGTAGCTGGGGGCATAACGACGCATGTAGCCAACGAATGCCTTAGCCGTGCTCTTGTTCTGGGCAGCAAGGATCCGTTCCGCGGACGGGATGGAGAGGGTCATGGGCTTCTCCACGAAGACGTGCTTGTTGGCCTTGAGAGAAGCAATTGCAAGAGCTTCATGGCTATCGTCGGAGGTGAGGATGAAGACGACATCCACCTTGGGATTGTCGATGACCTCCTGAGGCTCCGAAGTCGTATGGGGGATGTGAAACTTTGTTGCACTGTGATTTAGCTGCGTCTGGGAGATGTCACAGACGGACTCAATTTTGTATTGGTGCGAGAGAAGGAAAAGACAAGGTCCATGGCAGACTTGGAATACTTCCTTTGGCACAACAAGTTAGTCAGATGTGGTCTTACTTCCGGTCAAGGTCAAGGGGGTGAGGGGTAGAAAGGCAACCATCATTGAGTGATGGATGATGGAAGTGGAGATTTCAACCTACCCCAGCGCCAATAATTCCGACACCCAAGATTCGTGATGAGGACATGATGAATGATATCTCTTGTCTTGACGGTTGCTCTGGATGGATGGGCAGTCGGTCGTTGGTTCCAGCCCAACATCGGCAAGCTTGATCCGTTGACGATTGAGTCCCAACAGCAAGGATGTTAGGATTGGGTTGGAGCAGCACCAAGATGGGAATGATCTGACGGTTGGAGCCGAGCGGAGGCTACTTGTATCCGGTTAGCCTCCGATTCCGCTCTCACTTGACAGGGATTCTCCCTAAGACTTAGTTAATTCCGGGGAGATCTAGATCTTGGTTTGCTTCATAGATCCGTTGGGTGGTCACCTAGGGTGTTACGGTTTGCCGGAGCTAGAGGCAGAGACTGCTGGGAGATTGCTGTATTGGATTGTTAAAGGACCAGCATGCGGCCTTCTTTCTCGAATCTACCTGCTTAGATGTGCAAGTTTCACTCAGTAATGGTTGTTGCAGACTTCTGCTGAGGTCAATGGAAACATAAAAGCCTTAAAAGCACTCTGGTCGACCATGAAATCATCTTCATTGCTCTTTTTGCATCGTTTGTGTGGGTGCCTGAGGCTAACGCGTTCACGCACTGTTAAGGTAGTAGCTTGACTGGCTTTTGCCTCACCCCGATTTCCTCACAACATCAAATTTCATTCATCTCTCTCACAAGAACGAAAGCAAAACACAATTTCTCACAACTTCTCTGTCCACACCTCGCAAAAAAAAAAGAAAAAAGTCGTCATGGAATCCATCGCACGCAATCAGGCCACCGCGGCCCAAATTCAGCATCTCGAAGATGCAACAAAAAACCCGTTGACCGGACAGGCTTGGCCAACCGGCCATGAAGCCATTGTTCAAGAACGTCGCCGCATGCCTGTCTATGGGCAATATCAACAAATCCTCGATGCATATCACCAATCTCAGGTGATCGTACTGTCGAGCGAGCAAGGCTCAGGCAAGTCAACGCAGGTGCCCCAGCTCATCCTGCACGACGAGTTTATGAGCAACCTCCGAATTGCCTGCACTCAGCCTCGACGACGAGCTGCGACCGAGCTCGCCAAACGCGTCTCGGAGGAGATGGGTGTCAATCTTGGGGCAGAGGTGGGCTACAGGGTCCAAGGCGACCGAATGGTCGACGAAGTGAAGGATAAGGAGACTCGCCTCGTTTATTTCACCGAAGACAAACTCATCCGACAGCTACTTGCCAGCAAGAAATTGAGTGAATACGCCTGCGTCATTCTTGACGAAGCGCATGAACGGACCATCGACCTTGATTTGCTTGTGGCCCTCTCGAAAAAACTCATCAACACACGCAAGGACTTCAAGGTAAATGTCGGCAGAGCTCCAACGTACTTGTTATCTGAACTGACTAACGATCATCATAGTTGGTAATTATGTCGGAAACAGCGACTGCAACTCGATTTCAGGAATACTTCGACAACTGCCTATTGATTCAAGTTCCTGGTCGTAACTTCAAAGTCGACATTCTCTATTTGCCCCCTAACTCGGCTGGACCAAGCCTTGTTGGTGAGGCCGCTGAAACTGTGATCCACATTCACAAGACGCAAAAGCCTGGTCACATTTTGGTCTTTCTCCCCGGCGAGGATGAGATCAACTGGGTCTGTGGGCTACTCAAAAAGCACACTACGGGCCTCGACATCTTTCCCTTGCACGGGAAACTATCGAGCGAAGACCAGAACCTGGCTCTGACGTCTTCAAGTGGACGCCGCAAATGCATCGTATCGACAAATATTGCGGAAGCCAGCCGCACCATCGACGGGGTCGTCTATGTTGTCGACTCCGGATTGTCGAGGCAGTTGCACTACAACCCCCGTTTGCGCCTCAACACTCTTGATATACGGCCGATCTCCCAAGCACAGGCGCAACAGCGTGCAGACCGCGCTGGTCTGACGGAGGATGGCAAGTGTTACCGTCTTTTTAGCAAGGCTGACCACGACGAAATGGCTGAGTTCACCGAGCCTGCTATTCGCTGCCAGGCCCTCCACTCGGCAGTTATCAAGCTGGTGAGCTTTGGCCACAGAAAACTGCTTGATTTTGACTGGCTCGATGTTCCTCACCCAGAGCTGCTATCGCGCGCTACCCAAGATGTGAGAGATTGGTACGTACCAGGACACAAGCCACTCCTATCAATGATGAACTCATTTACTAACATCGTCAAACTAGGGGTTTCTTGGACGATACCGCCAAGCTTACCGATTCGGGCAGGAGAGCAGCGAGATGTCCCCTGGATCCAATGTGGTATCGAGCCATTGAGGTTGCGGATAAACTTGGATGCTCTATGAATATGGTAGATATTGCAGTGGTCTGCAGCTCGCAGTCCTCTCTCTTCTTGCGTCCGGCTTCATATCGGCAGGTCGCTGATGTGGCCAAGACCGCCTTTGCACACCCGCTCTCAGACCACCTCACGCTCGCCAACGCCTTCAATGCCTACATGAATGCTCGTAAGGTACACAGGGAAACGAATCCCCCAAGTTTCGATCTCGGTGAATGGTGCCTGGAGAATTTCTTAGACATGCGAGCACTCGAGAGGGCACGTATCCATCGGCTACAAGTGGCATCGTTCCTAGTCGATGAAGCGAAGATGGCGCCGACTATTGTATCAGTGATGGACCCGGACACTGTACGCAAAGCCTTGGCGATCGCGTTGTGCACTCACACTGCTATCTGGTGTACTGGTGACCAGTACCGAACTGTGCATGAGAACGCTCCTGGACTTTTATCAGCAACGAGCCCCTTGGTCGACGAATGTTATGAGTGGATCGTCTACTCTAACTTTCACTCTGCGGGAGGGAAGCAATACTTCCAAACAGCGACGGCAATCAAAGCGGAATGGCTAGCAGTAAGTTTTCAGTTTTTGTATTTGTCTCAAGTCAATTGGTGCGCTAACACTGGCCTAGGAACTTCCCTTTTTCCAGGACACACGATTGCCAAAGAAGAAAGATGAGGATCAGACGCTCCGACAGCCCAACGTCAAAGACTCCCTTGACAGCGCGAGAGCCAGAATTAAAGCATCAAAGAAAGAGTAGCGCCCGAGCAGCCTGAGATCCAGACGACCGGACACGAGCACCACCCGTTGTGTTCACTCGTACCAACACCCCATATCGTTCGATGAAAGCCCCAAATGTCCTTTTTACGCGAAGGTGGACGAAAGTCCAACCTTTTCTCTTATCTTGATGAGCGAACAGCTCCGTATCTTGATGGTCGCACAGTCCTTGGCATCAGCCTAAAGGTCGCATTGGCAATCCTACGGGGTGTGGGTTCGATTCCTACAGCGACCGTTGCCTTGCCTCACTTGTGAAAACACTCTTCCTCCGCAGAGGAAGGCTTGATTCGTTGATGGGTGACTTTGTCACCATTCCGAGTAAGTTGTCTTGGCTCGCTCTCACATTAATTGTAACTAGCTTAATGGACATCAAATGCAAACTAGGCAAGGAGATGCCACTTGCCAGTCGAAGCCTGTGTCTGATGGATGATTCAACTCGGGCAATCAATCACAAAGGCAAGTTTTCAAAGGTAAACACTGGGGTGGCGTTTAAAAATACTATAGCGAAGCCCGAGAGGTCTGCAACGCTCTATCACAGATGTAACCTAAACTACGTGTCCGCTACTGAATGCGCGCCGTGGAGCCGTGGGTACTTAAGAACATCCGGATAACTTGAGTTGAACGCAAGAGGGATAGCACTTAAACAGATGCTTAGTTTGCTTTTTAGGTCCTCTGGGTGGCCCCATGGTTTGTTACGGTTTGTCGGAGCCAGAGGTCGAGGCTGCTGGGAGATTGCCACATTCAATAGATTTGTAAAAAAAGGACCGGCCTGCGGCCTTCTCGGACCTAGCTGGGATGTGTTAGTTTCACTCAGCTTATATTTGGCTTGATTTTCACTGATTGGCCCTCGTATTACTGGATCATACATCTTGTTCATGAGCCTTGTCTATTACTTTCCCCTTCAAAATATATCTGGCGGCTGATTCCTCCCTCCTCCATCCTCTCTTCTGCCCACGAACTGTGATGAGATGCCTAGGCTGTGGATTCGTTGGACGTGATAGCTCTGGATTGAGTTCCATCCGGCAAATACACATCCCGGTATCTGACTTCACGCCTGCCAATCTGCTTGGCAATATCATCTGCATCGGAAGCCATAGAAACTGCCCCTTTGGTGATGGGTGCCTGAAACGCGGTGGCAATCTCAAGCGGGCTCATCGATACTGGACGGCCAAGCCTCCAGAACCCGTGAAATAAGATAACGACTGCCAAGGTGCTGAAAAGAGTGATGGCCAGAGTTCCACCAAAAAACTTCATATTAATCTTGTATTTAGTGGTTGTACGCAACTGGCTGCCTTGAACTATCTGTTGGGAGGAGGGATCTGAAAACGCTACCGCGGTGCGGAAGGTCACCTCGCGGACGGCGTCCAGGATGGCAGGCGTTGGATCAATCCACCTCATGCTTTTACTCCCCAGCTCGTCGTCTGTGAAGTTTCTGTAGGTATGAGCCATCAGGCCAGAGCCCATAATGGCTAATTCCGCCGACTTGTAAACCCTCACTTGGCTGTTCTAGATGCTGCCTAGTGCATAGGCGATGCCGCCAAAAGCCGACGGCTGTTTGCTAATGCCAACAATTTCCTTGCTTGGATAAACAAGCTTGGTTGTGCGATTGACTATTCTATCTCCTGAAGAGCTTGCACCTTCCAACACAATTGTACCATTGGTGTAGCTGAATGGGTATTTCATTTGAGCACTATGTAATGTGCAGTTGGTTACCACCAACTTGCCGTTATCAGCTGAATCTGCTTTGTAGGTAGTCATGACCGTGATTACCCCAGGCTCGTAGATAGAGTTAGAAGAGATAAGTAAAGAACCAATTGTGGCATTTGCACCGGTTTTCAGGTTCATATCGTAGTCTTGGCCCCCCTTTGTGCAACTGACATCGAAGCCAGCAGTGACAAAGGTGGTGGACATTTTCTGCAGATTGCTCGATTAGGTGTTGGTGAGCGGCCTTGGATGTACCATGAGAGATCAACTGCTGATGTAGCTCGTAGCTTTCATCACGATGGGGGTGGCCATCGCTTAGGCTGTGAGCACTTCCTGTACAATTCGAATGGCTCCGAAGGATTGCTGAACATATCTATTCTCTGGCTGGTGCGCACGCGCGCTATGCTCCGGCTGATGGTTGTCGAAATACGTAGCCATGGTCAAAAGGCTCAAAGCCTCAAAGAAAGGCGTGAAATTTGGTGTCCCAGTATCTTGCTAGCAGCTCCATGAGAATGAATATTTCGACGGGCACGAAATATAACTACCTAACCCCGCCTTGGTCTAATCCTACGACTCTACTGAACACCCGCCAGTTCATGCCAAAATACCTCTGCAAGGGCATTGGACATGATGGTCGCCTCGACTCCACTGATGTAAGGCGTCCAGACATGGGGGATGTTCAGCTGCTACAGAAACGGCAGCTCCAGCGTCAGCCCCAGATTCAGCCCTGGAATGGGTCAAAGAGCGGGATTTGGCATCGACAGACTATGGCCAATCTTCTTAGGGCACCTCATCACTGCCATGACACAAGACGTACAAGTATTATCTTAGCACCTCGTAACTTGGAGTAGATGTATTTTCACAAGATATACGGGGATACCGTTTGAACTGAAAGCTCAGAGACGTCAAGTTGGTTCTATCTTTAACCAGCGGCAATCGAATCAAATAAAGGATTATAACGAGGCTTTCTCCCTCCTCGCGTGTAGCGCTGGCTCTTTGTTTAATGAAGGAGTAGTGCAAGAGAAAGAGCACCCTGTGCACTCTCTGCCTGAATAATGAAAAGAATGTAAGTGAGATTAAGCTGCTGCGAACAGGATTCTCCTCTAGCACTGTACCTATATTTTCTTCATTGAATAGAGCGCAGATGCAATTGGTTTCCTATGTGCTGTATAGATGATCTTGGAAATCCGAAGCTGGTCTGAAGATGAGGTGATACTGAAGCTGGGAAACACACACACTAACATATGTTCGTCTTACCGACGAAACCGCTACCTTTCTGTGGGATAAACTGGTTAGCCTTCATCCTGCGATCAAAAGAAGAACGCGCGAAGGCAACTCAATGGTCACGAAGATTGATACAATCTACACTTCTGACTGGCGTGTGTACTTAGTCCGCGTTGGATCTAAAAGGCCTTTGCAGTGACGTTGACTGCGAGGAGGGTGATTTCGACATAGAGAAGTAGAGGAATATTCTATGCGCTATTGTGAAGGTTTTCACCTGAAAAAAAGAGTAAAAGCGCTGCGAGAATCGAACACGCTGGCCGCAGCCCTGCCAAAAAAGCGCTTTTTTAGGGCGAACCCAAGGTTTGTAACCTATATGCGGTGATGGGCTCACCAAGATACGGCGATGGGCTCGCCAAGATACGGCGATGGGCTCGCCAAGATACGGCGATGGGCTCGCCAAGATATGGTGATGGGCTCACCAAGATGCGGTGATGGGCTCACCAAGATAAAGAAGATAGATGGGCTTTCGCCCACCAATCTTTCAAGATGGAGTTTCCTCCGCTTAGTTTGAATAGTCGATCTCGTCATCCTTGTCTCTCCAAAAGTCTTTATACTCCAGACACAGTTCGAACTCGACAGTTTTAGTTTGTACCAAACTTCATTTTCTTCGTGGGGAGATCCTCGGCGTCATGAGCATCCTCGGCAGCATGAACATCTAGCTTCCTTTTCTTCATGGCGGCATGGGCATCAAACTTCATTTTCTTAGCGGGGAGAACCTCGGCGTCATGAGAATCCAGCTTCCTTTTATTCGTGGCGGCATGGACATCCTCAGTGGCGACCACAGCGGCAGGGGCATTCTCTGGGGTGATGCCAGGGAGAAGAGCGGCTTCGGCGATGGTATTGCCGGCAGTTGGGGTGGGAACCGCAGGTGATGCGGCAGCCGAAGGGCCCGTTACTGAAAACGTAGCAGTCCAAGGGCCACCTGCTACTGAAAACGTAGCAGTCCAAGGGCCCGCTACTGAAGGCGCGATTGTCGACGCTTCAGAACCAGCAGGCTTGCCTCGTTTCCCAGAGGAGCCCGAACCAAACTATTCTTGCATTAGTAGGGTTCGCCGTAGTACATAAGGATGTTTAGAGACTCAAGACTTACTGCCACCCTGTGTGCTCGTTCAATGCCAAGCTGAGCCCCTTCGAGTACCTAACCCGCGAGCTCAGACAAAGCTTCCTTGCACTGCTCTCGTTGGTCGAATCCGACCATGATCCAGCCCAAATGACGAGCAGGGTTTCTCAATTTGGCCTTGTCGACTGGAGGCCAGAAAAAACGAGGGGACTCAGACTTGCTGAGTTTCTCCCGAAGTGCATTTTCGAATGCATGACGGGTGACTTTGAATGGGATCTTGTTGATCCGAATCAGTTTCCGACTGGTGCGGAAGGTAGTCAGCTGGTCTTCGTAGGCTGACTTTTCTTGTTCCATTCTTCTAGGCCGGTTAGCATCAGGGTCTACCGATTCATTGGTCATGTTCGTACTTAGCGCGTTGGAAAAGCTTGTTTGTTTGGGTTGGTTGATGAAAGTTTGCAGAAATGGCAACTTTGTGTTGGTTTTGGTGCAGATGGTAGAAGATGGAAGAGCGCTGGGACAACTTGGTTCTCCACCCTTCCAATTGAAGTGGAGAACGAATTCCACGATAAGATAAGCTACGCGGCAAGGTCACGTGATATGGACCAGAGGGTGTTCAGGCTCGGGAACATATGTTAAGTTCTTACTAGTCTTTGTTGGCTATCAGTAATTCACTTCCTTGGATGCATCTTATCTTATTCTGATTTTTTGAGAAGATGGGCTACTACTTGGCAGTGTTGAGTGGCAGCGAAGCAAAACACTTTGAGGTAAGACCTGGCTGGCACTTTCGATGGCGAAAGTGGCTTCCTTCCAGTTTACTACGTACGTTTGTCCCATAAGTTTACATAGGTATGTAAATACGTGGAGACATGCGCTGCTAGGTACATGGTCTGCCTATGTATTCGTCTTGGATTCGTCTCATATTGGATGCTAGATACTACCCTAGCCACAGTAGATCAATGCATGTTAAAATAATAGAATTTGATCCAAGTCACCTAAAGTAGATGAAAATTCCCTATTTCCAGAGTCGCTGCCTACTATATACGTGTTGCACAGGTTCGATGCCTCCAGGAGATTTGGTGGATGCAAAGGTCTAGATGAACTTGACCTATACCCTAGCCCACAACCTCTTTAAGAATGCTGACCTATAACTTTTTGCAGGTGTACTCCCAACACAGAGGGTTTTGAAACCTTGTTTGCTATTCAAAAAGGGATTAGGCTTATACAGATGCTTGAGTAGCAGCATGTTGGCTAGAAGGCTGTGGAAGAACGAGTTGATGATACCAATACACAACCGCAGAGTTTGAGTAAGGTATGCTCCCTAAGGGGACCTAAATCCGCTAGCAACTCGAACAGGATAGCTACTAGCACGAGCTTGAATGATCAGAGCATGAATTTGGTCTCCCCACTCACGCATCTGCTTCTCCTCCGAGAAATAGATATTGAGACTCCCTGCGGAGTGCTCTATTTGCCATCTTACCCCGAGGTGATAGAAATCTGAGATGCATGGTTAGAAACACAAATCGCCCCATTACCAAGAAACAAATGGAGGATAATGAACCTTTTGGGTTTATCTTCAATGGCACAAGCTCTGTGACGTTCTGGAGCAGGATTATAGCTTCTATGCCCAAGTTTAACTTGGCCTGGCTGGCTTTACTTTCCTCGGGGAATATGCTGCTCCGCAAGCCTTGGGGGCTCGTTGCTGCCAGCGGCTGTTCCTTGCATATCAGCAAGATCGTCTGAAAGAGATATATAGGATACTAGACCCAGGAAGTCAGCTCTAGCTTAAAATTGTTCTCCTGTCGTTGTGGCATCCTACCCACCGGTTTTGTCTTGCCCATAAAGTTGATTAGGTATCTTCCGCACATTACTAACTCCCCGAAATGCTCGACTTGGTGTCCTTCCCAGTCCTGTATCCGATTGTTCAAATCAACCAAAAATGGTTTCATGAGGACTCTTTCTTTTGCTTGTTTAATGTCCATTTGGATCGACTTGATAGCGTCCACGGCGAGCATCAGATCACTAAGTACTAGGCCCGTCAATCTAGGATCTCGTTTTTGGAAAAGCGTTACTAATGACTGGGGGAATTAGCTGGGGATTCAAGCGAAGTAAATCGATTAAGATGTACCTCAATGAATTTTTCGTACTGATCTAGGTGCAAAATGAGAAGACCTGAAAGTGCCGTCAACTGCTGCAGGGCGAAAACATGCAGATCGGAAAGAATCTTGTTCCGTCTTTCCATCTTAGCACGTAATATGGCTCCCCTTTTAGAGCTGGAAGAATCATACACCTGAAAATCTTTGCTGATTCGCGCCAGGGGAGTAAACGGAATGTTCCATCGTTGGCTGAAAGGGTGTTTCAAGACCTGGGTCTCAATTGCAAGCAAGAGCTCAACCTGCCAATCCACAATCCTATCAATCGGACCGAATACGATTTTGGACTCTTTACGATTGAAGAGCTCATGGCCCATCTTAGTTTTTATGGACAACAGCTTCCTCAACCGTTCGAAGAAATCTCGTTCAGTGTCTAAGAAACTAGCCACAGTAGCTCGCACATCCTCGAATGCATCGGGATATGAAGGTAATTGCGCAGAAAGACGTTCTTGCTTAAGAATTTTTCGTTTGACAAGTTCCCCCAAAATTGACTCTAGGGTCTCTACGACCTATAAGATAGTCAGTGTACTCAAATCGCAGAAGGACGCAGGGTTTGAGCAAGACACTCAGAAATACCTTGAAAAATCCAACATAGCTATCCCCTGTCGGGTCCAGTATTGTGAAAGCCTTTGGGCTAGGGCTAAGTATAGTGAAAGCATTCGTTCGACCAAGACCGAAGGCATTGAAATTATCAATAAACTGACTAAGATCAGTGTGCGACGTTGGGTCGGGATAGCGCCGGAACATGCGACCTGGCTGTAGCTTGTTGTATAAGACCAACAAGGGCGTCCCCTTTTGGCACACGTGCTTCAAATCTCTCAGGGGATTCTTTGGCTCATTTTGATAGAGGATGTCGGCTTCTTCAAACTCCTCTTGGAATTCCGGTAGCTGGAGGAGCATTTGCCGTATAAGTTGGCAATGCTGAATAATTGACGTGTTCCTTGTCGACCGCTTACTCCTATTAAGTTCAGTGCAAGTGACGTCCAGGCTGAAGCAGAAGCTATAGTGATGAGAATTGGATACATCTTCTATAAATATAGGCAATGCGATGACCGAAATGTTGGACACTTTACTCAGACTGATTCCAGAGAGCATGGAGCCTACAGTCGAACGAGCTATGGAACTCCTAAATGAAAAGTCCATAGACGTGCGTTTGGCCCGACCGTATACTCTCGAGGATTCAAGGTCTGCTTCGAAATCGAAAAATGAGGCGGGTGGTGCTCTAGCTACAGACACCTCTGAGATCGTTGGGAGTGCATTTGCCGCGGGGTCCGCATCGTGACCTGCCAATTTCTTATGTTGCAAACCAATGATCCCCTCTAGCAGCTTCATACGCCTAACCAGGTCATGATTTCCCTCTAACAGCTTATCGATGCTTTCGGTGAGGTCTACTCGATGCTGCTCCGCTTGCTGGTTAGACTCGCTACGTGGCATAGGTCAGCCAGGGAATGCCTTTGGAAACGACAACGAACAAGCTCTTGCTGCTCACCAGTTTAATAGACTCAAAATCAAGCTTGTGGATGATTTAAAACCCTGGAGCCTCGTCAGGAGGGACTTCACCTTGCTCTCCTTGTGGGCCCATATCAGTCGTGACCGCAAGGGGATCGAATCCGCTGGCAACTCGATCCGTAGCTCACCAATAGCTTCCTCCAAGTCTGAATAGACAAGCACTCCATCGGTTAAGACGGCAACCACATCATCAACCTGAATGAGGGGGGTATTTTTCGCGAGGCTCAGATTGTTGATCAGGCGCTGAACTGCTGAGAGAATGGTCCGCGTGCTCTCCACCTCGGCATATACCTGCAGGGCAATTGGAGGCACCGTCTCGGAGACGGCAGAGACATACGGCTTTAGGATCTTGGCCACCTCTCCAGCGGCTGTGGCCAAGCCTGCAATCGATGCTGCGACGCTAAGAGGATCCATTGCTGCCAGCGTGTCTGAAAATATTGAAGAGCCAGCCCTAGATTATGTTGCATCTGAGCTGAGAAGTGCAATGCCTGGAGGATGTCTACCTATTGCTAGCGGGGCTAGAAGGCAACCTGCAAGGCAGATTGCGGCTGACCACCCAAGTGTTCCTTGCGCCTCACCCCTGACATCAATTTTGACTTTAAAAGCTGAAACCAAAATGGTCAAAATGACCAGACAGATAGGGTAACTCTTAACTTTGTTACTGTTCCAGGTTAGAGTGTGAATCTGAGATGGTATGCCAAGATCCCCCTTTGATGATAACATATACTTACTTTTGTTCCCAACTACATATGCATACCTATACAATCAAACAGGATTTGCGACCGTTGCCGGAATTCTACGCCATTCATTGGGGATACCGAGCATGAGTACACGCTCAACAGCGAGGCCCAAGTCTAAAAGGCGATGGGAAAATCAATGACACGGAAGCCTTGAAACCTAGAGAGTGTGATATTCTTGTGAAGGTTCACCTACCGAGACGGGCGGTCGGTACTTTTATATCGGAATTGCACCAGTGCACATCGCAAAAGGTTGTACCTCTACTCCCCCTCTAACAATGAAGAATTCGCAAATGATCGTTAGAGTGAGCTAAGAGGGCCGTTAAAAACCAGGGATAGAACATGGGTGATACAAGGGCACTCGGCTTCGCTTTGCACACAAGTGATTGATAGGCGACAGCAACTCTATGGTCACCAGTCTGTTTTTTTTTTTTTTTTTAGATAAATAACACCTATTCCGGCCCTGATAATCAAAGTACGAATACCAATAGAAGGTACCTACAACCTCAGGCAGGCATTTGATAGCATCTGCACCTCGCGAGGGCGCACGTGATACTCCCAACTGCCACTCCTCGCCGCCAATTTCTGCCTGAGGTATGTGTCTTCAACACATCGTGGCAATCTCGCGAACATCTCGTGTGAAAGTTCCCTCTTTTCCGCCACCGTATCGTTGATCGAGTTCATCAGTGTGTCTGCCCCAACGCTGCTCGGACTGCCAGATCATTCTCTAGTAACTCCAGCCACCATGGTCACTGGTTCAAGCATTCCAAATCGAGAAGCCCGGGTCGCCTGGCTTCAGGAAAATGGCCTACGTGTGTACCCAATTCACAGACCGTCGTCAACCATTACGTCCATTGATGGTCACTCCTCCCTGCGATACGACACGATGCCCAACCACCAGAAATGCGCCGGCTGTGGAAAGGGCAGCTGTACGTTGACCTGCTCTCGCTGCAAGGTCACTGAGGTAGGCCATCTCCGAGTCCACTACTGCTCAAGCGAATGCCAAAAATCCGACTGGCCGTCCCACCGGAAAGTATGCCGATCCCGACAACAGCTCGCGCGCGCTGTTTCTATTCTTACTGGGCTGTGGGCTGTCCTGCAGACCAGTACCTATGCTGAGAGATGCGATTTCTCCCACGAGGACAACGGTCTCATCGCGGCTGAGCACTGGAAAAACGACCAAGATCGTCGATGCTACACTGGTGCCTCGTTTGTTAGACGCTTCCCGGACGATGTGATCCCTACCAATATGAGCGCGAAGGCAGAGAAGGCTGTGCTTTTTGATAAAAACACAGATGAGATCACCTCGACTGGAATGCCTTGGGTTAAAAGCTTTCTCCAACGTGAGTTTACGCGCCTACGGCTACCTCCTTCTGCAGATAACTGACATCTTGTCCAGCTCTCTGCATGAAAATTGAAGAAATCGAAATCAACATCAAGAACCCAGCTCTCATGATCGGGTCACTAAAGTTCGCTGGACACAATGTCCTACGCGTAACAACTAAGGCAGGTGAGGTCCTCGCCATAGATATCTCAGGCGCGCGATATGGTTGGGATGAGGGCCTCTACACCTAGGAAGTGTTCCGCCGATACCGCATCGATACGATCCTGCTAGAATGCGCAATTGGGAATGCGGCGAAGCAGGCCGCTGTTGCAGACCAGCTACTCATGTTTTCCCCGGGGAACCCTGATGCCTTCCTGTACAAGACCCGCGAAAGTCTTGTCGGCCTCGTCACTGAGAGCATTGATCGTTCGATCGCGAGCTTCCCGGGAGCCATGAACTCGTTAATGTTGTCCCCCCAACGGCATTTTGAGGATTTCCACCACCTGACTATCCGCAGCGTCAAGCACTTCATGGACGATGCCGTACAACAACTTCATCGAGCAGGAGTGGGCCGCATGTTTTTCGTCGATCTGAACGGTACCAAGGAATTGCTTACTGCGATTACGCCCAGTACAAAATACTCTGAACTCTTCAAGAAGGCCTGGTTCACGGAGGCTGAGATGGTAGCATTCAAGGATGATCAATCCCTCAAGAAGATGTGGATATGTAGAATGTCCAAGCTACACAAGGAGAACTGCTGTGACAAGACGCATCAATGGATGGGATTCTGATTTCTGATTGTGTGGAATAGTCGACATCGAAACCATCCCAGAGCAATTCGTGATAAGACACGTTTGTGGCTACTTCACCCCTTTTCTTATGTCCATTATTAGGGCGACAGCCATGTTGTTCGTCACTGTGTCAAAGAAGGGAAATTTTTTATTTGGGCGAGTATTAAACGGACAGATTCAGCTCCACACCTAATAGATCAAGGGAACATACAATCATCATGCTGTATTGAAATTATGTTTATCTTTACATTACCAACATCGTAATAGTTAATCAGAAATGTAAAGCTTCGAGCTGTTTTACCCCCGGAGCCAACATTCAGGTGTCATTTCCAACAGCTCCCTCTTTTTCGGGCTGTGTTGTCGCGGTCGTATAAGGCAGGCAGTTATGATACAACACGGATGGTCAATTCTGACTCCATTAACCTGGGATTAATTTCACATTGCATTCATGCCATTCGAATCATTTGCCACACTATATATGTTTCCTGCTAGTTTACACATACGTATGCATCTGTTCTGCATGAGTACAAAGAGCCAGGGACGATGTGACGTGTCTGACCCGCACCGGAGACAAGTCAAGGCAGGCTCACAGCTGTTGTTGCAGAGAAGACGAAGAAAAGTCCAGGATGATTTCCAAGTTAAGAGGCCCTTGGACATTTCATCCCATGGGTCAATGCAAGTTAACATCTGGGCTGAAAGCTGTGGGCACGCAATCCTAGAGCTGCAATGCTCTTCTTGGGTCAAATTACTCGGCTAACATTGACGCGACGCAAGCTGAGCTGGACAGCCAATGCAGCGGTGCAGGGTCGCGATAATGCAATCCCGACTTTGCATTGAATTGAACGGTACAGCTAATAAACTAACAGAGAAAAAATGCCACGACAAAGCAAAGGGGAAATTGGCAATGCTCCACGGATGCCTCATGAATAACTATAAAAGTGCCATTCCCTCCCAAGCAAGTTCTACTCCTCTCTCATCATCACTCACAACTCAAACAATCTACTCCAAACACTCAACTAAAACCCCCCGTTTTAAATCAACTCCATCAAGATGTCTGCCCCGTAAGCATCAACCCACCTCTCCAACATTGGCCATTGTTACCAATGCCTCCGACTGAACCCTGAATGACTAACCTGAGTGTCCAAACAGTGCTCAGTTCCAGGTTCCCCTGCCCACCGCCACTGGCCTCAACGCCCCTGCTGGTATGTTTATCGCGTTTCTCACTCTATCAGGCGGATGCTAACCACCCTACCACTTTAGGCCAAATCATCAAGGGCGCTGCCGACGACAACGGCAAGCTCAAGGATGCCGCTCTTCTGCTCGGCATCAAGCTCGACCTCGAGGCCGAGGTCCACCTGACTGCCCGTGTCAAGGGTGATGTCGTCGTTGGTCTTTACTAGTCTGCTTTCCTTTTATTTCCGGTGAAGGATGGTAGAAGCATCTTCGACTAGCTGTGTATCAGTTTGAGAAGATGTCTGCTCATCATCCCCAACCATCAGTCTCAAATCGATATTTGAATATAAAAATGTTCAAACTTGGTGAATCTTCTACTGTTGTATTCAATGAACATATGACCGTGACTGGACACCACTTGGGCTGCGAGTCCTATCTTATGATCCACCATGGGGTAAGTTGGTGAACAACCAATATGTTGGGCAAAATACCTTGCCATGCAAGTCTCATCGTCAACATTCCATGCTGCTGTTATTACTATTAGAAAAGGACGTTGTTTTCTTTACTCGTGGAGAGTGAGAAAGCTTTCCAATCATCCATTTAATTCTTCTTGTAGAGTGTTAACGCAACACAGCAGAAACACCAATTAGGCGACGCCTACTCCAATGCTCCAGAGTGTCAACTCGGAAGCAAAGCTTTGGCTCCAGCAAGTGGCTGTCATAAAAAGAGACCGCAAAGTCAACTCAACAAGATTATTGTAGTAGTCACAAAATGATGCCTCTTAATGCGTCATAATATCTAATCCTTTTGTGTATTAAGAGATAACACTATCTAATAATGACTCAATTATTCATTATTATCGTACACTATTGTCTATTATTATTATGATTGTACAAGAAAGTTGATAAGTAAAGACTCTTTTGCAGTTCCCGTTATTTTAACACCTACTTGCCCGGACTCGTTCCAGGTAGCTTGTCATGGTATGTGCGATAAACAATTAGTGTGAGCAAAGTAAGATCAATTCGGTCTCGTTGCGACGATCGATCGTGATAATGGCAGGCAGGGGCAACTCAGGAGTAATAGATATGTGGATCACCATCCCTACCGTAACCTTGAACGCTTAGAAATCAACCATCGGTTGTTCCTGATGTGGAAAACCCGCTCCGGACGAGGGGTTCGTACGGAGTAAACCTCCGAAGGGTTTCTGGGTCAGGTCATGTGAACATCGTGAAGGGAAGTCTGCTCCCCCATGCTTGACGGTATATCCTGCCCAAGATCCCGTCTCGGCTCTAGAAAGCTCTCCATCTCCAAAAGCAGAGGGAAGGGAATCTCCTCTTGTCCACCAAAATGCCTGTCTTCGACAAATTGATGCCAAACTATGTCACTGCCTCCATTGCTCTGTCCTTCGGAGGACTGCTCAATGGCTACGATACCGGGTCCATAGGAGCCATCGTCCATATGGAACAGTTCAAATCATCGATGGGCGGGACCATGACCGCCTTCATCACTGGTATCACCGTCTCCACGATCATGCTCACTGGCATTATCCCGGCCCTATTCGCAGGCCACCTCGCTGACAAGTACGGTCGATTACGTCTCATCGCCCCTGGAGCTCTCGTCTTTGGGGTTGGGGCTCTCCTCCAGGCCACATCAACACAGCTACCCCAATTCATCATCGGTCGCGCAATCTCCGGTGCCGGGCAGGGTGTATTCTTCGGCAATATCACAGTCTACATTACAGAGGTTGCGCCGCTTCGCAGTCGCGGCCGTCTCTCCGCCTTGCCTCAGTTCATGGCCACTACGGGCGTCTGCATTGGCTACTTCGCGTGCGTGTCCACAACCGGACAGAAATCATCTCTCGCTTGGAGACTACCGTATATCGTTCAGGTCGCAGTGTCTGCCGGTCTGGCCCTTGTCTGCCGCTTCCTGCCCGAATCACCGCGTTGGTTGGCGCTACAGGGTCGCGGAGATGAAGCCCAGATCTCCCTTGCCCGGCTAGATTTCGATCTTAATGAGGCCAGGAGAGATTTCCTGGCTACTGTGCAAGAACAGTCCAGCCTATCCAATTGGCAGAGCTTTGTTCTCCTCTTCCGCCGTGGATACCGACCAAAGACTTTCCTTGCACTGTTCATTCTCTCCATGATTCAATTGTCAGGCATAGACGCAATTGTAAGACTTTCTCGTCATCTTCGTTGAGGTAATCGCTAACAATCGTTGCAGACTTATGTATGGCATCTCCATACCCTCTCCTCCTTTCCTTCCAGGCAGTGGCACTAACACATGTATCAGTACGCACCATCGCTCTTCGATCAGGCCGGCATCTCCTCCACCAGCTCATCACTCATTGCATCAGGCGTATCTTCCATCGCCATGCTTCTGGTGTCAATCCCTGGTTTTTTGCTTGCCGACAGATGGGGGCGCCGCACCTCCGCGATATCTGGCGGTCTCCTCCTCGCTGGCATCATGCTCCTAATGGGTACTCTCTACGCATCTGGCGCCGTCACGCCACGTAGCGCTGCCAGCTGGGTGGTAGTTGTGTGCGTCTTCTTATTCGGTATGATCTTCTGTGCCACATGGGGGATTGTGGGCAAGATATACGCGAGCGAAATCCTCCCTGGAAACACGCGCGCTGCCGGCAACTCTGTCGGCATGGCCTGCAGCTTTGTAAGACTCAATACCTCAATTTCCAAATGTTACATCCACCGGGCTTCAATCAGCTAATTGGGAGAAACACAAAGCTCACAAACTGGGTCGTTGCCCTCATCACACCAGTCCTACTCAACGCCTCCGCCTTTGGCGCCTACTTCCTCTTCAGCGGCCTGGCCCTCTTCACAGTCGGTGTGCTCGCCATCCGCATGCCCGAGACCCGAGGCCAGTCTCTCGAGGATATCCAAGCTAGCTTCCGGCGCCCAACGCGAGGTCTCTTCTCCAGCCTTTTCCGACAACAGGCTCGAGCTCACCAGGGGGGTGCGACGGTGGGCAATGATCCAGTACCAGCTTTAGCCGGTGAGAACCAGCAAGAGGAGATTGAGCTTCAACCCACTGCTCAAGGAACGGCCTTGGCGCGTCTCCCTACTATCGAAGCTGCTGCTCGGGGGCTTCGCGTGGAGACGTCATGAGTCTTTTTTGTGATCAGTTCGAAGCGAGCGTCTGGCGGCGCAGGGCTCGCATCTCCTGGAATTCTTCACGGCAGAGCATTGCTGGGAAGAATGTGGGGAAAGCCGAAAGGCTCCAGACGGTGGAGGGAATGAGGGAGGTCTTTCAGATCATGGTCGATTTTAGTATCGACAATCAACACCACTGCATAACACCGTGGAAGATCCTTCGTTCAAATAGCCCAGGCGATCAAGTGTCGCACAAGCCGGAAGAGCGAAGTCGCATATGCGAAATGATTTCAAGAGCAATGGAAGACTTGTAATAATGTAATGTGCACAAAAACACACACACTCAACTGTGATCAGACGAGTCGCGTTGCTCAGCATGTGATGCACCTACCCTAGAGCTTGCGTCTTCAATGATTGAACGATCATGAAGATGGCATTTACCTTGACGAAAGTTCATAATTTCAAAATCCAGAGAGTTGTTATTAAGGCTACTACGTGCTGGCACAAAAATATTAGCGAGATTGAATTTTGACAGAGTAATTTTAATTTTATAGTTCTTATCACACGTGCAGTGAGTTTACTTCTGTTATTGTTTACATTGGATATTTGACGGATAATTGTTCTAGTTTCCTGCAACGTAATATGCGGCCAGGCACCTAACTAGATAGGCGGGGGGGCCGATGGCCAAAGTACGGTGTAAATACATAAGTAGCAATCTATTGAAGTCTTCCCACTTTACGATAAGAGAATGCCCGTTGCGATTCAAGATAAAGACTGGGCTGGGTTGAACGTTGGTGAGGTGGCGGGCGCGAACTAATGCACGTCGCGATGGTGCAGACAGCGGTGAAATGAAATGCTATCTCGACTCTGAATGACTCGGCCGGAATGCGCCGGGATTAATGAAGGTAAGAATAGTAAAACTTAGATCCATTGCGGGATAATGGCATCTGTTATGCAGATTTAATTTTAAAAATTTTCCTGGATGGGAGAAATGTTGATGGTGCAAATCTGAGGGATCATGATGCTTCGTGTGGGGCTGCCGGCAGGTTAAGATTAGATAGCCGTCGCTTGGGCCTGAGCTCTAATGTGTTAGGCTTATTAGCAGCTGCCCAGGGGGGGCCAGCTGGAATCCCAGAGGATCCCAACGCCCACAGAGCTTGATTTGGGCACCGAGGCGCTGAAGGACGCTGGATGGCGACAAGATCTGGCTTAATGATGCCAATATCGATAGCTCGCTCCATTTCGGCAGCAGCAGCAGCAGCAGCAGAGTCAGATCACGCCGGGATGCTTCCCTCGCATGTCGGCGACTGGACAGGTTGCATGATTGCGTTTGAATGGTTCAGATGAACAAACTCAGGATTTGAGAGCTAAGGTCATAGCGCCGTACCTTACCCAGGCCTCGCCCCTCCTTCCTCATGGCGTCCAGTTGTCGGCGCACATGACGTGAGAGAACCAGCCACCCAAGCTGGGCTACCGCTGTCAGGCACACGGGAAGGGGGGCAATGATGTATGACATCCCTGCCTGTGCCCCTCCTTCAAACGCACCTTTGGCCCGTTTGTCTGTTCCCCTCCAACCACATGCGGATGAGTGCCAGGTTTGTCCCAGCCGCGGTGGACACCTGCGCACCCATAATAGGCTGCTGGTAGATGCCCAGCGAGCGAGATGAACCTACTGCATCCTGACGGGGAAAGGCTTCGTGGTGGCATTGTACTGGACTGATCCTGCTCCTATCTTCCCACCGCGATTTTCCCTCCCAGTCGCGTTTTCAGATCAAATATCCATACCAGCCGCTTGCTGCTGGTGCCTTGGAGCTGGACTCTGATCCTTTGTCCTCCCTTTCTTGGTGCCGGTTTGTCGCAGCGTTTACCAGCACGACTCTCCTGTGTATGCGGTCAACCACGAAACTTGGCGGCGTTTAGGCGCTCGCGCGCAAATGCCACTGCGCCAGTCCTTGCAACGGACTGATGCCGAGTTTAGTCCCGACGGATGAAAGACCTTGGATGCTTTGTACCTTGTGCCCGTTATTCTTGTCACTGACAAGTTTCTTTGATTCAGACAACCCCTTGTGGTGCTATTTCTGAATCGCCTTTATCCTCTGCGTCACCACCAAGCCAAACCACCTACCCTGCACACCCACGCTAGCCCAGGCACAGAAACACCACAACAATTGGTGGATTTTGACAGGGGAAACGCGGTGCCGCTGCCAAGTTCCAACCACCGACGCAGTCGCTTTCCGTCATCAATGTGCATCATCGTCATTTGCCTGTCCTGTCTCATTCCGTTTAGTTTAACCTTTTGTCTTCGAACCCTTCCGGACCTAACGCTTGCCTCCTCATCATCGGCACGGGGGCCCCATTCCGAGACTGGCTTCTGAGACATCTCTCGAACTCCCGACGATTACCAGCATCAACTGAACCGACCCTTGTCCCTAGATCCCACAACCCCCCCTTGGCCTCGACGAAATAATCATCGTGCTCCTCGACGTCCGAAACAATCCCGACCATGTTGGCGGGCCCAGCAGCATTAACTTGCACCGAGACATACCTTGGCGACTGCTGAGGCCGTCACGCGACTACTTTCCTGGGCGCATTCTGCATCAAATGCCCGCTGCCCACTCCGCCGCGAACCGAATCATCATGGAAGGCCTGGCTCTCGATCTGAGCCACCGCCATGATCCCGCCGACTCTACCGTACACTGCTGCTGCGGGCGGCCAGACTGCGCAGTGCTCAAGAAGAACACCTCCGTCCTCGATACCGTGGAGAAAGATGTCCAGACAGCTGCTCAGCTCGGTAAGGTATGTGGTCTTTCTCCAGTGCCTCCAGCTCGTGATTTCCACCCGCATTCCAGCACCTCGTTTTCTTCGTCTTGTGTTTCTCGCGTCCGACTCAAAGCCTTTTGACTCAATGCTTTCGCTTTCATTTCCGTTGCATACCAACCCGATGGCTGGGTGCTGGCTCTTGAAATGCGCGGTCCGCCCTAGGGTCCTTCTTTTTGTGTTCTTTCCATTTCCTTGCGTCCGCTCGAATATTTCAATATTTCAAGCCCTGAATTCCTCCTCTTCGTCAACTCGACATTCCGAGCAGCATCATGGCGGAAACATTTCAGGAATCACCGCTAATATTTCCTCTGCAGGCCCTGTTGGCAAGGCATGAAGCCTATATGGCCGATGCCGAGCGCGACCGCCTTGAACTGACCACGCGTATCGAACGTCTGGAAATGGACAAGTTGGAGCTAGAGGCCGAGAATGCCAACAAGATCGACGAAAACCGCCAGCTCCTTGACCAGCTCGAGCTTCTTAACAACACTATCTCCGAGTCGGATACGAAGATCAAGAGCCTCGAGGCCAGCCTTCTCTCCTCACAACTGGCCGTGCGCCGGTTAGAAAGCGCTGCTAGCCGGGCTGAAGATGCTGAGCGCCACTTGATGGCCTTGGAGGAGGAGCAGGAGCAGCTCTATGCAGAGCTTCGCACAACTAGGGAAGATGCTCGCACACACTCTCAGAGGTTCAAAGAAGCCCAGCGGGGAATCGTCGACATGCAGGACCAGTTGGAGCGCATGGAAAAGGAAGCACAGCAGGAGAGAGAGCGCCATGTTCAAGTCATTGGTCGGATGGAGCGTCAGCGTGAGGTCGAGAAGCAGCTTGATACTGCTGCCGGCCGCCTCAAGGGCGCGGCTGCTGCGACAAAGTCTTTGGCCAGCCAAAAGGAAGGCGGTAAGGTCGTCGGCCATTTCGTGCGTGATCTTCTTCAGGACAATGCCAACCTGCAGCTCGGTATTGCCGAACTCAGAGAGATGTTGATGAACTCAAACGACGAGATCCAGTCATTGCGCGACCAACTGACCTACCACCAACCAGTATCTGAAGACAGGCCTAGGAACATGGCGAGTCTCATGGCAGAGCTTGAGCCTAAAGAGTCGCAGTTTACAACACCCAGGCGCCTTTCCCAGGAATACCATGTCCACCACCATTATCATGTTACACCTAAACAAAAAAACAAGAAGAAGCGATCAAGTCTGGGCGCTGGGGTATTCTCTCCCCAAATACCTTCTTCAGCCGCTGCATCAACATGCTCGGGTCCTGCGGGTTTATCGTCTCCCACCACGCCTGCTATTCTTGCCTATCTCGAGAGAGAGCGTGCTTCAACCCCACAAGCCGACAAGGCTGGCTGGACGAACAATGGAGCTACGGCGTCAGAGATCACAACGGCTTCGATGCCCAGTTCTCCCCGTTCCAACCGTGTGAGCTCCCTGTTCGATGGCGGCATTGCCGATTTCAACTCGCCAGCTTCACCCACAACAAGCTTTGACCCCATGTCACCTACCTGGCGGGCGTCACATCATAAACGAGCGTCTGCTGCCTCGTTCCAGAGCTTTCAGACAATCCCGCAACTTGACATCGGGGGCGACACAGTTGGTCCAGGCCAGCTCAACTATCTTGATAATGTCATCCAAGAGGTAGATGAAGATGCCAATCATGACGATCCTACGCCTGGATTAGTCGGAAACACCGCGTCGACCGACGACTCCACAACAGAAATCTCCGAGATCTCTCGGGACGATGGTCTACCACATCCAAGACTCTACAGAGCACACTCTCATGAGTCCATCATGTCTTTGACTGGCGGACTTGATGTTCACACCCTGAAGTCCCGACCGAGCCAGATGACTCTTCGCCCTCTCGGCGGTCTGGAGGCTGTGGTGACTGGCGTTACCGCGCAGCCTACTCTCTCCCGAATGTCAGTGAAGCGAAGCGACGCCGCGTTGCGAAACCATTTCAATGGATTCCAATCCCCTCGAGCAGTATCTGGCCCTGTCATGAACAACACGCCCGGCTCATCTCCGGTATCCCCGGGAATTTTAAGTGCTGGAATCAACAAGTTGACTGGGTGGAGGCCGTGGGGAGGCGGCGCATCCAGCAACGGGAAGACTCTGGACGTTCCCAATCCCACACCAACCATCAAGGAAAAGAGAGTATCCAGTCGATCGCCTGGAATCAATCAGGCTGGTGCCATCCCTGGATTCCCGGAATACTGGGTTTCAAAACAGCGCAAAGGAGCACCGGCTACGGTAAATGCCCAAAGCGTCGACCAGGGAGCTCTCGATGAAGGACTTCAAGAAGTCGAAACGGATGCTCAAAGCTCGAGTACAGCCAAGCTGGAACTCTAGCATCCAGCTTGAGCTTCCTGGCCACTGTCCTCCTTTTCAAATGGAGCAGGGCTTATAATGATACGAACACTCTACATACATATATATATGCACCTTTCACTGGCGGCGTTCATGGCATCGCATTGGATTGCGATACCTACTACTACTTTTATGGACATTTACTTTGTATAATCAGCTTCGCGGGAGAGCTGAGGAGGAGATACCCTCGGATTTTTCAGAGCATCTTGGGACATATTGGGATTGGCTCACCCACTTGTATACCTTCGATCGTTTTCGGGCCAGACATTGGCGACCGACAGGCAGGATTTGTTTTGTTTTACAGATACGGCGTAATCTCGGAGGGAGTGTCATCTCGCGTGCAGTGCGGGGATTCTTTTTTTATATTTTTTTATTATTGTTTGGAGCCTACATCATGAACGCATCTAGCATTGACACATTAGCCACATACCCAGCGATTATTCATCAGTTGGATTAGCTTATTGTCTTTTCATAATATTATTAATATCGCGATGAGGCGAATGTAATCCTGTTTCACACCTTTTTCTTCGCATGTTTGTGAGTGACTTCTTGTGGAATGGAAGCTAAGCCCCAGACAAATTTGGAGTTTTGGAGTCCGTTCTGTTTTCACCATTGCCTCAGGCTTGCTTGCTAACTTGCTTGTTCAAAGACAGGAGGGATTGGACGCGGTTACATAGCAACACAGAGCGTGAGATGGACCAGGGCCGCCCAGGAACAGTTAAATACCCGCTTGAAGTTCACGAGTTCGAGAGCAATGGTGAGGGGGACATTCTGTCGAGCTACAAGGAATGCCCGGTCAACCAAAGTGAAGTAAGTGTCTTTGCATCGTTATTGGAGTATGTCTTCAATCTCCTTCTGCCAAGCTGCGCCATTGTGGAATTTTGATTGAATCAATGTTTAACGATATTAACTATTAAGAATTACAGTCGTATGTGCCATCATTACATGCCGAACCGACCCTCATCGCTATTCTAGCTCAGCCCCTTGCCTCCGACCTGGAAACTGCCCCGATTCAATGCCCTGCAGCTCAACCGGTCGCTGCGGTACCTCGTGCGCAGAAAGTTCCGCCGACACTACCCGCTCCTGTCCTGGGACGTAGAACGAAGCCGTGCCGGTCGAGGGAGAGCCCTTCCCTGGCGCGTAAGAGCTATTGATCGCCGGTGATGTGCCTTGCTGCTCGGCCTGTTTGCGCTTCCGGAGGAGCAAGACGATCCAGACGAGGAGCGCGACGATGCCGATTCCAGCGATGCCACCGACGATCGGGCCGGCGATCCAGGCTAGGTTTTGGCTCCCATTCACATCCTCGTGCCCTGGGGTGGTGGTGGCCGCGACGGCGGAGGGCGACGTCGTACTCGGCTGCTCTGGTGATGAAGTGCTGTCGGTTACTGTGACTGTAGCCGTCCGGACTAGCGTTGTGAGAGAGCTGGAAACGGACGACGTAGTGGATGATGAGCTGGCTGATGCTTCCTTGCTCGATGTCGAGGTGTCTCTGTAGAACGTCGCTGCTGCTTTCCCATCGGAGCATCGTATCACAGTCTGGCCGGTCGTCTTGTCCGGGCTATCGTAGGCCATGTAAGTACCGCAAACTGGGATACTTGAAGGGCTGTAGACGTATATTAGTCGCCAGTGCTCCTGTACCCTGCTCGAGGGGTTCAGGCTATGCTCACGCACCATGTTGCTGTTGTCGCATCGTAGATCACCACAGAGCTCATGGTGCAGCCCACGGCTAAGCTCCGTACTCCATCCACGCAGCCAGCCCAGCGACTCGACGTCGTGTAGTAGTCTCCTGGATTACATGTCGCAGCTTTGTCTGTAACGGATCAATTGGCACCAGCCCTTTCACATTTTCATCGGTCAGGTATACTCACATGTGGAACCTGCCAAGGTGTATCCTAGAAAATTTGACGGGGACGCTGCTTGCCGTTCGTATATCTCTACTTTGACAGGGGCTTGCGTGATCTCAGGGTCAAAAGATTGACAATTGATGCCGGATATGAAGGCGAGGACCAGCCCACCGAGGATGCGATACATTTCGAGCATTGCTCTCAAGGTCTCGGCGCAGGGAGCGCACACACTTGGATAGAATTGACTGGGGGAACGACTGATCATGACAGCCTTTGGGTAGGCTGCGTCTTTTGTAATTTATTGCAACCTCTTCATTAGAGTGTGGTCGAATGAGTGCTAGTCTCGATTGGCCCGGGGTAGATGGCTTGAAGTGGCTTGCGGCTGTGTGTTTACGGTGATTGCAGTCAAAATCAGGTAGTAGGTTATTGTCAGTACTCATGAAGGCATATTGGTCTTCATCTGGCGTCTCTTCTCACGGTCCTAGATTAGAAGGTAATTCTTGGATTTGTATTTACTCTCATTCTCCCCCCTAGCGCGCAGTATACAATACTATCAAGATGGATATGCCATCCTCTCCTCTCCTCAGTCGTGAATCTTCCCTTAATCATTTTGAATGGGTCGTATAAACGACAGCTGAACTAGTGAAATGTGGCAGACAACCCGCAATCGCCAAATGGAACTGAGCTGAAATGCTGACCACCCTAGTGTCCAGCCGCAGTCGTAGTGCCGCCACCAAGGCGCTCCAGCCTTTGCCGGCCAACCAGAGACAAGTTTGAAATTGATTAGGATCCAGGGTCCTTGCTGGCTTTGGCCTCTGAGCATGCGGGGATATGCTTTGGTCTGAGCCAGAAACGATGGCGGCAAGCGTTGCCGTGGAGGCAGCCCATTTGTTCCTCTTGCTCATCACACCTAGACCAGGTAGATTGGAATTCAGGCGAAGCATATTCGTAAATGTGTTTTAATTGATCACAAGTCTCCAATACAGGCCACGTTATTAATAGATAATAGCGAACAATAACAACTTATTGAGTGATTATTAGGCAATATTGCCTGTTTAATATTACACAATAGGAAGCATGATTAGGTCCAACTGCCACAATAATTCTGTCGCGGTGACTTTGCAGTCCCTTTTTTTCTGACTTGCCTCCTTCATAATACCAACTAGCTGAGGCAAACGTTGACATAGGGACTACTATTTCAAGGGAGCAGTATCGCATCGTCGAGGAATCTATCCCAGATCATGTCCTGGAACGCATCAAGCTGAAACCCAGCATTATCGTCCCAGAACTGGGGCATCAGGTTCCCGAAGAAGTCCAAGGTTGCAGCATCGGGAGGCGGCACTGGATAAAGTTCAGGAAATTCGCCAACCTCAGCTCCGGCTGGTATGGTCTGGTTGAGGAGAGGTTCCGCGGGGGCTTGTTGCTGGGAAGATCTCTGATATTCCTGCAGCTGCTTATCGTAAACCGAAAGCGCGCTCCCGACGAGGATCGAGAACGTCGTCATGGAATCCGGCTCGGCCGATTCGCTCGCGATATCAGCCGACATGCAGTTGAGCTTGTGTTGGGCCTGCCTGACTAGATTTCGCAGCTCCACGTCCCCCGCGACCATGGATGCCCAAGGGTGTGAAGCAGATTGTGCTATTGATGAATCGCTGGGGACATCTGCGCTACTTTTGGGAGGACCAAGCGCAATGTTCACAAGCTTGGCAAGCCATGATAGAACAGAGCACAGCTTCGAGAAGGTGGAGAATGTGAGGTAGAAGGCATCTGCGTTGGGGTATTCCACGAGGCCCTTTATTAATAATTTATAGCTCTGCATTGAGTCCCAGGTCAAACTGGTTCGAGCTGCCGGGAATATAGAAGCTGGCCTCGCTGCAGAGGCATCAGAACCACACCAGAGTTCATCAAACAGCGCGCTTTCTTGGATCATCGCGCGTATCGCGGGGAACTCTAGGGCCAATGTGGCTGTTTGACGTTGTGAGCTCACGAAACGGTAAGGGGGGATGTGATGAGCTTTACCATTTTGCATTAAGACCTGAGGGATGGAACACTGAAGGGAGTCAATTTCTGCAAGATAACATTTGGTCATCGACTCAGTGACAGAGCCTGCCACTGAATCAATGTTCCCTGGATTGTCAAAAGAAAAAGTGTCGTGTATCCGTCTTGAAAGCTCCTGCATATCTACCAAGTACGGGATGAGCTCATCTGTGGGGTACTCTCTTCGTTCTGATAACCATCGGCTGGCTTGTTTCATAAACTTGGTATGCGGCATGAGACTTCTTTTTTTAAGCTTCGTGGTAAATCTAGTATAATTATTAGCGCAATTTCTTGTAGGGTCGACGTGGATAAAACGCACGTTGCAGCCAGGTAGTATGTGCCTAATAATGCTCGAACCTCAATGGGACAGAGGGTGGTTTGAGTGTCTGAAGGGTACAAAATGCCTGCAGTCGCATTTTGACTTCTCGCTCGAGGGCATTTCTCGATCCCAAGCTCGTAAACGAGATTCACGCAGAGCTGGGTCATTAGTAACATCTGTTGTTTCTGTGGCTGCAGCTGATACTGGTACCAGGCAACATGGACCAAAAGCCCTTGCAGCAAGTCCATACTCTTCTCCCGGCCCATCATTATCCTTTGATAAGCCTGTGTTCTTATCTCCTCCCCTAGCTGCCGCTGCAGAGTGCAATCCTTGACCATCATCGTGGCCATTATGCAGAGGAACAAAAAGGGGGTATCCCTCCGGACGGAGTGGAGATTGGCATGATGAGGAAGAACAACGAATGGGAAATGGTTGATGGCCTTGTTTCGGAAAGTTTGGAGGGTTTCGTGTGCTACTTCGGCACTCAGGAGACCTCTATCCACAACATCAGGTGGCCTGGTTCCCCACGCACTGCCGGCATCAGACGTCGGGGGAGTGAGCTGGGTAAGGGATGCAACGCCAACGCTTGAAACAGAAGGGATACTATAGGGCTGTGACTGGGGTTCCCGGAGGGTCCCGATTGACTGCTGAGGTTGGGGTTCTGGACCAGATGTTTGGATCAATGGATCAGGGGATGCAGTGGATTGCAGTGATGGGTTGGTAAGAAGTGATACCAGGCCTTCGACCCGCTTCTCAAGAAGCTTCACGCGCCTTGTTCTAGAGTCAGATAACCGGAGACCGATCTAAAGAAAGAAAACTTACGTATTGCTCCCAGGGCTCTTTCTCTTGTCCGCCACGTTCAGATAGACACACTCTTTGCCAAGCCGATGGCACCTCTCGCAGATGTCATTGGAGTGCGGGGAGCATTTGGCCTTTCCCACGGTGCAATTGACACATGCGCGCCGCTTGGCGCCCCCCGGTTTCTGGATGGACGACATTAGGCTTTCAGGCATACAGGCTCCTCGACTGATCGATGTGGCGGTCCCGACGGAGGGCGATGTTGCTGGGCTGCTGAGTTGTTCTGGGTCAGGAGACGGAATTTCCGTCGGGCGACTGGAAAAACCGGTGTTAGACCAAATGGGGAGGATCTAGACTGATTACGGTAAAGCTTACTTGATCATCCTGGTCGGTTCCCGCTCCCATTCCGGAGGTGCCTTGAGAATAAGACGAATAGCAGCCGCTGCGATCTGGAAAGGGATATGTCCGTTTATAATTATATTTTAATTCCGGAGATCTGGAGATGATCTTGAAGGATTTGAGTTTCGGACGGGCATAAAATATCTTATCTCCATTGGCGGACCGAGTCCCAATATATCGTCCGTTCAAGGCGTCAGTGAAACATGAATAAATAGCCATAAGCTTGCATCACCCTCTTGGCACTTCAGACTACAATACCTACCCGAATATTCGCTTTCTTAGCAAGTAATATTCGAATATTTCCCTCGTCCTCAAATTTCCATATCACCCAAAATGAGCCAGTACACTCCTGAGACGACAGGCGAGCAGGTCGCAGCCGACTGCCAAGCCCAAATCAAGAACAAGACCGTTCTCATCACTGGAGCAAGCCCTGGTGGCCTCGGTGCCAACTTTGCCAAGGTCATTGCAAAGCATGAGCCAGCCTCCATCCTGCTTGCCACCCGCGATCTCAACAAGGCTGAAATCACCGCCAAGGAAATCTCCGAGGTCTCCCCCAAGGTCCGCGTCCGTTCCATCAAGCTGGACCTGACATCTCTCAAGCAAGTCCGCGCGGCTGCCGATGAGATCAACTCGCTCAACGAGAAGATTGATGTCATTGTCAACAACGCAGGAATAATGGCCCCGGCACACTCGAAGACGGTTGACGGCATTGAGAGCCAATTTGGCACTAACCACGTTGGCCCGTTTCTCTTTACCAACCTCCTCTTGTCCAAGCAGCTCGGTCTTAGCTCATCAGACAAGCTGAGGATAGTCAATATTTCCAGCGATGGATATCGATTGAGCCCAATTCGCTTTGAAGATTGGAACTTTGATGTAAGGGCAGTTTAGCAAGTTGGAGTTGAAGTCATAGAACTAACTGGAGAACAGGACGGTAAAACCTACAATCGCTGGGCCGCCTACGGTCAGTCAAAGACAGCCAACATGCTCTTTTCTCGATCGCTGGCTCAGAAACTGGGACACCGGGGTGTGACCTCGGTGAGCGTGCACCCAGGCATTTCCCAGACACCGCTCAGCAAGGATCTCAAAATGGAGGATTTCATGGAGATTGGTAAGATCACCTCCGTGACTAAAGTCTATAAGAATTCCGCGGGCTGAATGAAACTAACACGGAATAGGCCCTATCGATCGAGCCCAAGGCCATGCCTCGCATTGGGGCCACAACGTCCAGTACAAGACGCCGTCCCAGGCGGTGGCAACACACGTATTTGCTGCTTTCCACCCGAGCCTGGATGCACCTGGTTTGTCTCCCTCTGGAATGATCGAGTTTATTGTCTCCCGAACAACATGCTGATAACTTCTACTTAGAACACAATGGAGCATATGTTGCCGAAAGCAAGCCCCAAAATGACACAACCGTTCACTGCTGGGGAAGGGATGCTATTGACGCTGAGCGCCTCTGGGCTCTGAGCGAAGGGATAGTTGACCAAAAGTTCGACTACTAAAGATTGAGATATTTCCATATAGCTCGGGGAATGGAGAAAGCAAACTTCAGCTCTCCAGGTGGCTGTCAGAACAATAGGGACTGCAAGTCACCTCGACAGAATTATTGTGGCAGTCAATAACATAATAATGCTTCCTATTGTGTAGTAATTTATAACACTACCCAATAGTTATACAACAATGTATTATTATTATAGCCTATTCCCAATCGATATCGTGGCCTATTAGAAAGCCGAGATGGGAACGCTTTTGCAATCTCTATCATCGTAACGCCCACTTTTTCTCATAATAGGTGACGACCGTATGAGTAAGGAGCAACAATATGTTATCAGCAAATTATCTCCATGTCTCACTTTCTCTTAAACTACCTACTGGTAGTGGTGGGTGAACAACTTGGTGGTCTTTTCTCTCTCTTGTTGATTTAATCGTGAATAATGAACTATTTGATGCACCTTATATCATCGGATTTGATCTTTTTTTGATACTTTGGTCGTTGCAAATAAATCTCTGCTCAAAATTGGTCATCGCCTTGGTGTTTTATTTCTTCAGTCACTCAGTTGGTGGGTTGGTTTTAGCCTGGTATATAATGAGAAAAATCCAGCACTGGAAATTTGAGTTCCTGGGCAACAAGACCGACTCAATGCGATGATTTCTCTTCTGTGTTCACAGATGACTAACTGTAGGAACATAAAGGTGTTTAAGTTATTGCGCGTCTATCTTCTTGTAAGCTTTCGGATTTTACATGACAGAAGGAGGGTATTGAGGGAGTGTCTCGAAACTGTAGTCTAAGGAGAGAATATATAGACCGGCTCTCATCACTCTCTCTGTGGTTTCGGTGGCAAGCCATGTATCCTAGAGCTGAATTGTTATACTTATCTTTCAACAAGCCAGAGCATGAGGCATACCGGAGCGTGACTTCACCTCGTGGTTGATAGAGCCCATCATGCTTGGGGCTTCAATAAACACGAGCGGCAAGTAGGGAACCACACCGGCTCTAGAATCCCGGCAGGCCCCTAATTGAAGGCCGTGTTGTAGGCGGCCCGGCAAGGTTTTGTATTGGCGGAGGCCGTTTTCATGTATGACCGGCCCGGAAGGATCGTCGAATCAGGTATAAACTTTGGACTATATGAACGATTCCCGAAGATGCTAATGCTAGCTTGCATGACTCCATATCAACTAGATAAGGTAATGGGCTACAGTATCCTATCACAGACTAGCCTATGCTCCTGGTCACAGTCTAACGTGGGAGGACGTGGGAGACAAGATTCTCAGAGATCTGCTACCTATCTGGAATCCCAGAATGCAATGTCCCGAAGTATCAAATATCCAAACTGTACTACATGTGACTATGACTTTCCTGCTCCCTCGGATGTGGAGTGCCATGAGAAGCAGCGGGTTGCCACACATTCCACAGGTACCTAGATAGATTGCACAATCATGACTGCGAGCTTTATCATTAACCAAAGAAGGAATTCTCGGTTGCAATACAACACAAACTGGGTCCGATACGGATATGGGGCATTGACTCTTGCGGCCTTCTGGTCTCAATCACCGTCAATTAGATCGATGGGATCTACGAAATTAGCGACCCGCCGTTCTCTATTCCTGATATGGATAATGGACACGGCCTGCTGAAAGGGTATTAGCTGATGTGGAGTTAGCTCCAGACAGACCCCAAGGAACTCCATCCCCATATGCGACGATTGGGGTCCTATTGTCGGAGGATAATGTAGGGGCATCCTGTGCGGTGGAAAGAACGTATCATTGTGGTGTGCTCGCGCGGAGACGTTAATATATAAGCCACGGGACGTATTTTTGGCTTCAGTATCCTCCAACTAACACCCTTGAATCCACAAACAATCTAAAACATGGCTGATATTCTTGACGTCATTGTCATCGGCGCGGGCCTGAGTGGCCTTCAGGCTGCCCTCGACATCCAGGACTCTGGCCGATCCTTTGTTGTCCTGGAAGCTCGCGATCGCGTTGGTGGAAAGACCAACTCGATGGACCGACCGGACGGTAAGGGTAGACAAGAATTAGGTGCTGCATGGCTCAATGATACCAACCAATCTCATGTCTGGGCCTGGGCAAAGAAGTTCAATCTCACGCCTGTTTTCCAGAATACGCAGGGTTCAGTGGCGAGTGAGGATGAGAACGGGAACTGCCACCTGTTCCCCTTCAACGGGCTTCCTAATGTGAGTACGCCGAAATTGGCTCTTTGAAGTGCAAGCTAATTCATCAATTCAGTTCCCCAAGACTGATCTCGATAACATTGTTGACATCCGCAACAAGGTTGAGCAGGCGTCACTCAATCCAGATAACTTCAAGCAGCCAAAGCGAGCACAGCTTGATGAGATCACCTTTGACCAGTGGCTGCGGAATGAGGGAGCTGGAGAGCGTGCCCTCCTGACAGCACGCGTTTGGTGTCGAGGAACTCTGGGCCAGGATCCCAACGAAGTGTCCGCCCTCCAATGGCTCGAGATCGCTCGCGGAGCCTTAGGCGTTGTTAATCTTCGATACGATGGCAAGCATGGTGCCCAGTTCCTCCGCCTGAAGGAAGGAACCCAGTCTATCTCGATCGGCATGACAGGACTCCTTCCAGCGGGGGGTCTCAAGCTGAAGACTCCGGTCAAATCCATCATTCAAGAATCCCCAAGACTATACAGGGTTACTACTGCATCCGGGCAGCTTTTCAAGTCACGCAAGGTCATTCTGAGCGCACCCAGCCCGTCTTATAAGAACATCGAGTTCCAACCTCCTCTGCCGCTTTCTAAGCGTGTGGCCGTGACCCACGCACGGTATGGTACCTACGTCAAGTATCTCGCTCTGTTCAAGACACCATGGTGGAGGCGCGTGGGTGCCTGCGGTTTAGCCCAGAGCTTCCGTGGCCCCATAAACCACTGTCGCGACACATCCGTCGATGTTCAAGACAACTACGCATTGACTTGCTTCGTAGTCTCTATTCCCGGACGGAAGTGGCTGGCTCTCGACCAGAAAGCCCGTGACGAAGCAGCCCTGAGACAACTGGGCTCTCTGTTCGGAGTGGGCTACGAGGCTGTGAAGGCTGAGTTCATACAATCCATCACTTCTGAGTGGCAGGATGACCAGTGGGCGGGATGGGGCTGCCCGTTCGCAGCTACGGCGCCTGGCGTGATTGGTAGGGATGAAGATGGTGTTCTGGTCAACCAAAGGAGCGGTGGAATTATCTTCGTTGGCACCGAATTCACAGATGAGTGGCGCGGATATATGGAGGGCGCCCTGCGAAGTGGAAAGAGGGGAGCGAACCAAGCTCTCACGGCTCTGCGAACGGACCAGCCGTCCCTGTGAGGAACGGAAAGATTCCTCTCCATATATTTTTATTTCACTAGCAATCCATACCGCTAGTGACTGGGCATTTTTGCGAGATGAACTACTATGAGGGCTTGGGACTATGTAGAGTTGGTAAAAGACGGCATTCTCAATTCACCTATTCTAGATTTCGGACAAATCGGTCAGCCTTCCAAGCTCCCTGCATTAATTTCTAGCTATATGGGAGTCGTGCCTTTTTATTGGATTTTGATTAGTATACGTTCGTATCGAATTCCGATCCTAGCCAATTGATACTTGGACTACACGATGGGATAGGTTCAGTGAGCAAATGCACCCGTAAACACTTGATTCCAGAAGCATATATTCCCTAGTTACCCTGATCTAACATCTTGTTTATGCCAGGAATGTGTTGATCTGAGAGATTGTCTACACTTCGCAAAGCATTGTCGATATCGTCTTAAAGCCCCTTTTAGCCCAGTCCTTTGGTACGAACCCCCTTGAAAATTCCGAAGCCCATCAGCGTATCGGAAAATTCTCAATAGCAACCTGATGTGCCAGAGCCACAATTGCTGTTACTGTGGTTTCGCGGGGTCGAAGGGCGCTGATGGTCAAAAGTCACGTGGATTTTGGATACGCTTAGCTTCAATTCGCAATGGATCTTCTGGTCTTCAACTTTGACCCCATTTGAATATCGAAGTTACGTGTACCAAAACAAAAACTGAGGGGGGCTGAGCTGACACCAAACGGCTGTGGGTTAAGCGATCATTGAGTTTTCTTGTCTCAATTCCCGTTACCTTTAATCAGAAACCCCGCTCCAGGGGAATTTTTTTTTCTGTGAACGAGATGAATCGACCCTCGTTTTCTGCTCCCGGATCGATGTTGGAAGTGGACGACTGGGCGTGCAAAAGTACTCTCAGAGAATCAGGTTCACTCTTGGGAGCCAGCAAAGAAACGCGCCTCCACCAGAGAAAGCACCGCAATCGGTTTGTCCAATCATCCGTAATTATTCTTGAGGAGTGGTTGCTAGTCAATCGCAAATTCCCATATGCGTCGCAAAAAGATCAAGATGAGCTCAAGGCAAGGACCGGCCTCAAGCGAAGCCAGATACTAAGCTGGTTAGCAAATGCGAGGAAAAGAGGCAAAGCTCGGCCCAGTCCAATAGAACAGCAGTCTCCTTCTATGCATTCTTCGTCACAGTTCCCCCCTAACCTCCGGCATCTACATCCATTCGAACGATGGCTATACTCGGGACCTGACACCGAATTTGCTCCCCCATCGGAGATTTTGAAAGCCATCAGCAACAACCAGCCAACTGTTCGTCCAGAATCTCGATCAACAGGGCATCGGCCGCACAGTGCCGATTGGCTTTATTTTCATGAATGTTTATCCAATGCAAGCAGCATGGAGGTCAGATCTTACGCTGCAAATGCCAAGTCTGTTTGCTCTGATGAATGGAAAGACCCATTGGACCCTCAGACGACAAGTGTGTTGAAGCGTCGACACCGCCGCCCAAGTTCCAAACCAGGCATTAGCATTTCCAGCAGCGATCTCAATAATGGAAGAATATTTCAATGCACATTCTGCGCGGCAACTTTCAAGAAGAAGCATGATTGGGAGAGGCATGAGAAGTCTCGGCACCTTTTACTTGAAAGCTGGACTTGTTGTTCCAATGGTAGCGTTCATGTCAATGGAATTACAAATGAAATCACTTGCGTGTTCTGCGGACAGAATGATCCTGATTCTGAACACATTCACGCGCATGGGTTTACACAATGTGTAGCGCGCCCGGTTCGGGAAAGGACCTTCACGAGAAAAGACCATCTGCGCCAACATTTACGCCTTGTACATGATGGATGCACATTTCACTCCTCGATGGAATCATGGAAGAATGGAAAGAGCGAACTAAGCTCCCGTTGTGGGTTCTGTACCAAGACCTTTGATAAGTGGAAGGATCGGGTCTCTCATATTGCGCATCATTTTCGCCAGGGGGTGCTCATGTCATCTTGGGTTGGTGACTGGGGGTTTGAGCCGGAGGTTTCGAAACTTGTCGAACATGCTACCTTGCCAGAATTAAGATCATCGAACAAAACTTCAATTGCAGGTAATGCCGTGGCTGGGGAGCTTATGAATGCTGCTATAATTGAGAGGTGTGTTACTCGAAGCATTGATACCGCTATCCCTAATCTAACAATGACTCTTAGCCCGGAGTTTGACTTCGATGGTCCTTTTGAAAGTGCCAACTGTACCGATCAATTAGGAATCAACGAAGGGAGTCGTCTTTGTGCATTTCCATTTCTGGCCCTCGAATCCCATGGGATAAAAAGTAGTTCTCAATTTCATGAGGCCATTGACGATCCTATCAGTGTCAACTGGCTAATCGATGACCGTCGATCTGAAACCATTACAACAAGTAGTGGAGAACAGAGCCAAGGCAATGAAGGAGAAATGGACATGCATTTTGCAGATTGGCCTTCTTATTTAGATCTGGACCCCTTTGAATCGGAGCCGTCTGCGTGTTCTCCTAGCAACATTATTTCTGCGTACTCTCCTCAAGCCTCAGCTGTTCTACAGGATACAGCCGACTTGTTATAAGATAAGAATTTTAGAGAATTCAGATTATAGGCAAAAAAAAAAATGTGGTCTTAGACTATGATGACTGGAAATATTGTGAGCAGTGGCTGAGAGCTGCAATAGCTGGATTGATGGCAAGTGGGAAACAAAACATGGCACGTCGAGATAGTTCAGCAATGAAATTCAACACAATATCACAATAAATAACCTAGCACTGAATACAATATCAAGCTAAATAATATATAATAGTTTATTATTCTCTTATTATTGTCTTCTTATTGTATTTAGCTAAAAAACAAGGTCCCTGTCTCACGCGGAAAGAGCTTTGGTGTGCCACGTTTTATTTCACCCACTTGGATGGTAAGAACCAGCAGGCATTGAAACTGTGGAACTGAATTTAGGGCGCACATTGACCAGGTGAAGCTACGCCCTCGGTGTATATAAACTCGAAACCGGCCCTGTAGTTGTTGATATTTTCCAGCAGTTAAGCGGATAAAGTAGGCATCGATTCGGTCTAGGTGGCTCCTACTGCGCCCTTATTTTCGGGAATATCGGAAACCCAGATTCTACATTCCAGGTCAGGCGGCTATAAAGCTACGGAAAACCCCCAACTTTTAGGGTTTACAGAATGTCCATGCAAGTACAAAGTACCCCGAAAATAACTCACTTCAACAATGGCCCCTCAGAAGATTATCATTGATACGGGTAAGAAGCAGAATCGTCATCAAGGAACGCACACTTAATGTGGTATTATCTAACACGTCTCTTTGGTGGCAGATCCTGGAATCGATGATGTCCTTGTAAGCCAAACACGATCAATTATATTGCAAGTATCAACACTGCCTAACGATGATTCTCAATAGGCTATTTCACTCGCTTTGAGCAACCCAGAGGCTCTAGAAGTTCTCCTTCTGGCCACTACACACGGCAACATTGATGTGAATGCATGCACCAAGAACCTCGTCTTGTTGATGAACGTGCTACAACAGGAGAAGGAGGCTAGAGAGCAATCAAATCTGCCAAAGCTTGCTTTTCAGAAGCCTATTATTGCCATCGGTGCTGATAAGCCCATTATCAAATCTCATGGGCACGGTGAATTTGAAGAAGACGATGGTTTGGAGGGCTATCATGGCGTTGATGGCCTCAACGGCTTTCATTCTCGAGTAAGTGGACAACACGCATCGTCAAATCGTCAACAACTTGCTGACATCTTTTGGATAAGAACCCAAGCCTAGTTGCGGAAGACTTCTTACTCGATTTCACTTCCGACAATCGCCCAGAGGGAAACACAAAGGCCTACATCCCATCTCGACTGCCCGCGTATGATGAGATATTACGTCAACTTCGAGATAACGAGCCAAAATCCATCACTATAGTCGTGCTTGGCCCATGTACCAACCTCGCTCTTGCACTTGCTAAAGATCCTGAGACATTTCATCGTGTTTCCAAGATTATTATCATGGGAGGTGCTGTAAGGCACGCTGGAAACATGACACCAGCGGCCGAATTCAACATCTACGGCGATCCGGATGCTGCAGAGCGCATTTTCAACCTGAGCTCCCCCTCTAACGATATAAAGGGATATGGCAGAGTCCCAGTAGCACTTGTTCCACTTGATCAGACGAACTACCACACATTTAGCTTGGAGACGCTCAAGGAGTTTACGGATCCTCTGATCGAAAGTGGCAGCCCGTTGGCTAGACTTCTGAACGACATCTTTTCAAGGAGCTTCGATAAAATCGCGAGTCATTCTGGAAAGGCTTTAGCCCAATGCCACGACCCTGTCACAATCTATGCTCTACTTCACCCTGAGCTGATGTCGTGGGAGTCACTCGATGTCAGGGTTGAAACAAACGGAATCTGGACACGAGGTCAAACGCTGATTGACACTCGTAACTTGCCAAGATGGAAGCCTGGAGAAAAGGGTATAGTCAGGGACAATGGAAATTGGCTGCACGGCGATACTGGGAATCAAGTGGATGTGTTGGTTGGGACAGGCGATGACCCAAGTGCATTCGGTTCTAAATTGTTCAAGGGAATTTTCCGAAACTAGACCCGGCAATCAGAGATCTTCCATACTAGGTCTAAGCAAGAGTATCCTGTTGTAATTCAAAGCATAGCTGCGATTAGATCTAGTCTGTCGAGAACAAAACCTGTCTCTTCGCCTTGGCAATAGTTTCAACAGCCACTTTCTTCCTCAAATACGCAAAACATACAAGACGAAAATCCTAAACATAGTGATTTTCTGTCGTCTATTTAGAAAAGCTAGTTTTCCCACTTGTTCTGCTTGCTAACTGTAGATAGGTTCTTTTGTCACTTCGCCATCTTTAATCCTCCCGACAGGGTTCAAATTAGCACCTCGTTGGCTGCAATCGTGTTCCATCTACACCAAGTTACTTGTAAATGGCTCTAGTAGGTACAGCATAGCCTCACCAAAGTGCATCCTGCAGCTTTATTGTGTCTATAAGCTCTTTTCTTGATTGGCAGCCTTGTGATATAAGAACACCGAGAAGGGTGAAGAGCTATAAGAACCATCCATGGTGAGGACTTGAAATAAAACGGATAAGTTCTTTCTATTCTCACAGGTGAAGTTGATTGAAGGTGTCTATTCGCTTTGTTTAGCTCTTTGACGTCTTTATTCTTCTTCTACTTTCTTACTATTCAAACCTACGAACGCTAAAGAAATGAGAAAATGAAGGGAATGCAAGCATAAATAGGCTGTACAAAACATTTCATTATATTATATATATTCCTTCAGCCTCGACTAGGAGAAAAAGATTCACTGTTCACCGCTTGCGCCTCAAACGCATACTTTGAACATGAGCGAGAAGTCCGGCACTATGTACGGTAGATTGGGCATACAGCCTTTCCCTGTATCTTAGTCATATCCTCGGTTACTTGTCTGAAGATGGTTTGAGCTCCAGTAAAGCGATCGGCTTTCACAAGGGCCCGGCCTAGACCCTGCTTCGCTGTCCATGTCTGCTGAGAGCTCGGACCAAAGACACGCACCGTCTCCCAAACTACTTCCTCCTTGATAAGTACCGCCTCATCATACTTGGCCTGATATTCTAGAACCAAGGCAAGAAATGACCTGGCCTGAAGCGAGTCAAGGTCGTTTGGCCCTGTTGGCTTCGGCAAGAGCTGGATAGCCTCCTTTATTGCCAATTCGGATTCTGGATACCCCTTTTGTGAGAATAAAACCTTTCCCAGACCCCATAGGAAAGGTGGTGAGAGATTATGATTTCTACCATTAGGGAGCATCCTGATTATCGTTCTAGCGTCTCTAAAAGCAATCTCCGCCTCATGATGTCTATCCATTTTTGCGAGATTGGAAGCAAGAAGGTAAGCGATGGCAAGGATCTTCTCATTGGCCCTTTTAACATGATTTTTGTGCCGAGATATGTATTCTCGGCTAATGGTGTTCGCTTTTGTAAGCATTCCAGCCATGGTCAATGAGCGGAATAGATTATCTAGTGTTTCAAGAAGGTTGTCCTCTTGGCCATGCTTCTCTCTGAGAATGACAGCACATTGTTCATACACGGTAGATGATTCCTCGAACCTACTTCGCTCATATAGCAAAAGGCCTAAGGACTGCAAGGTTTGAATCGCAGCGGGCTCATTTGTGCGGCGGTTTTTCTTGTCGCTGGCAGCGAGTTGACGATATAAAACCTCGCATTCGTCATATTCTTCGAGTATCTGGAGTGTGGTGGCTAGAGTCCGCTTGGTCTGTACCGTTCGAGCTTCCTCCCCACCCAGGACCTTCTTCTCTAAATTCAATGTCTCGCGTAGAAATGAGGCTGCGGGCCTATTTAATCCCATCATCGATAGACGAAGCCATAGTGCATGCATACTAGAAATGGTGGCGGGGTGTTCTGCCCCTAATCTCTCCAGTTTTACGCTGAAATCCTGATGTTGTTGTTGACAAGCGGCACGTTCTGAGGCGGGGCATTCGATAGATCTTGCCCAAAGTGCTTGGTATAGAGCTTGAAATGATATGCCATAAGGTGTTTTATCAGAGGCTTTGCCTTTTGTGGCAGGCTTTTCTGGTTGTGATGTAATTCCCAAAGAACTTGCGGCAGAATAACCTAGAACTTTAGTCCACGAGGCTGAATTCTCGCTACCAGTTACGTGGGATTGTGTGATTGTTTCTATTTCGTAAGCTGAAGTCCTGGTCGGTAGAACATCTGTCCAGCAAGCCGTTGCCTCGCTAGCTGTATCCTGATCTAGGACCGTACCTGCTTCCGGGTTTGCTCGTGGCTTAGAGTCCTTGGATGGTGTGTTCGAACGCTCCCCCGAATTTGACTTTGAAAATTCCATTAAAACCCAAGCGTCGCTTAATCCAGCTTTGGCAGTGAGTCTCTTTGTTGGATCGGCCACCATGAGAGACCGCAGGAAGCCAATCACTGCCTCGCTTGCACCAGCACTTTGCAATGCGGTCGTCGGGAACTCGACATTTCCTTCCCAGTATTTAGCTATTGCCAAAACCGAGTTAAATGGATTGTGGCCGGTTAGCGTCCTATGTATCGTTTGACCGAAACACCACATATCTATGGCGAAAGAGTAAAGAACCTCGGGCTTATCGCTACCCTCGATAAGTAACTCAGGGGCCATGAAGCTCTTGGTCCCTCGTATGTCAGTGCTCTGAGTGATTTCGCCACCTCTCTTACTAATCCCAAAATCAGCCAGCTTGACCCTCCACTCTTGTGGAGGTTGGCTTTTGATGAGAATATTCTAATCATGACATAAGTATTGCTCCGATACAAGGGAAACGCTGGGAGGCTTACGGCAGGTTTGAGATCCCTGTACGAAAACCCCACGCTATGCATGGCATTGAGGGCAGAAAGAACTTGCACAGAGATATCGTACACTTCAGGTTCTGGCAATCGGTGCCTCGGGCACTTTCCCTCGTCAGATAGGTAATGCTGTAAATCACCCAGTTCAAGGTACTCCATGGAAATGTGGATATAACTTTCGCTCGTAAACCATCCATAAGACCTAACAAAGAGATTCGCATACTGTACACCGAGTCGGCAAGTTAGATTAGCAACTGGTAGTCAGGACTTGTGAGGATGAACCAACTTTTGGTTGAGAAAACTTGAAAATAGCGACCAACTCCCGTTGATGAAGTTTGTAATCCCGCTCATTGGGAGATATTTCGACTTTTTTCACTGCTCTCAGCTGGGGAGGCCCATTTGAAGCTTTTGACTCTTTTATCTCAAGAACGACTCAGCCACCGCCGCCCGAACCAAATCTCCTCTTGAGAAACCATCTCTCCTGACTACTTGGGGCTTGGAGGTCAGTATATTCGGGGTGTACAGTATAGGTGCGCTGCCCGTCCAGCCCGAAGATAGCCTCAAGCCTCGAGTCTAGGACGACCTCGGGTAGATCGTCAAGATAATCTTGACCGGCCATTTTGCGGCGGCGAGTATATGGCGGCTTCTGGCGGGTGCGCTATCAAGAATTCAACTTTGTTACATGAGACTCATCTCATATCATCTCGATTTGAGAGTGGAAAGAGGAAGGGGGACTGGCGAGTTCATTTCACATTTGCTGCGTCAAGCTGAGCTGAAGCCAAGATGACACTCCTCTCCGAATAATTGTCATGTGACGCTGATAGAAGGTTCCACTATTAGGCTGGCGACACTGTGCAGCCATCAATGGATAGCTTAGGGACTCAACCAATTCAAGATCCACGATAATGAGGCTAACTTGACCTCAATCTTTTATTTAGATTTAACTGTCTCTCGTGCTATTTGACTCGCCATACTCAGCTGTTGTGGGCCATTTCCCTGCTCGCGAGATGCTGAGAAACTGGGAAACTGGGAATCGGAAAAGACTGCCACTGTAGTCAGAGTGACATGAACACATATCACATTATGTTCGCTTCTTTGGGTCACTTGTAAGTTGTTATATTTTATTTTCGACTTATGTATTGATTTTCTTTCCGATCATTTAGCCTGGTGGACAAATGAACCTTCTCTGATGACACCGAGAATACCTACACTCTGATTGAAACAAGAAAATAATAAATTATTCTGCTTAATATTGTGTTTATTGCTTGATTAATCATTTTGATGTTGTGTGGTAATTGTGTCAACAGCGAGTTTCTAGGTGCTCTATGTGTTATTCCAGTCGCTGAGCTTGGTCATCGCTTTGCGGGAGTTAGTTTATCCTTCCTCATCTGTGTCTTCCTCTTTGTCTGTGTCTTCTTCCTCGTCTGTCATGTCTTCCCCGTCTGTTGAATCCTTTTCTTCGTCTTCCATTTGTTGTTGGACATAATGGTACTCAATGGCCATGTGAACTTGGCGAGCCGTTTCTGTGGCTAATGGGCCGTTGAGTGGTGAGCCGAACCCATTGCTGACAATCCACGACTCTATAACGTGCATATCCGTTGACTCGAAGTGAGTGGCGAGAGCCAGTATCATACTCTTTCGCATATAAGGCGCTGGCGCAGGGAAAGGGGGTTGTTCGTAATATCGTGCCCATATATCCCGCCATCCCTCTTTGTTGAGATCCTTGATTCGGATAAGGCTCATGATGAAATGGAAATAGAGAAAGCGTGAAGATGGACGGTTCTGATCCCTGAAAATCAATTCCTTTCCATCCAAGTCGCGAAATGTGGCTTTCGTATCGAGCGGCTCATTATGGATGCTTGGGAATACATCTGTTCGCCATCGGGTGATGGGATTCTCTGTTGCGTCCCATGGAACAACAACCAGCTCATGTCTGTCAAACCATTTCTTAACATCGAATAACAGAGTAAGCGTGTTCTGCTGTTTGTCAACTTCGTCCGATTTACTCCCAAACAACAATTCGCAAATGTTCCCAAAGGAGATAACAAAAATTGGCACTATATGTGTCACCTCGACATGGGATTCCGGCTGCCATTCCCCGGTAATGTGGCACCAAATACGTTTCTCTGATTTGCCATTGATATAAAGTCTGGCGCCGTAATAGCGTATCGCTCTTTCGCGGAGGTCGTCGCTGCGCTCGCATGCCTGGCCGCTCAGCGGATCGTTTTTTTGGTATAAAGCTAAAATTGATTCTGCAATGGCTCCCGAAAATAGGTCTGAGACCTGAATTGTTCCTATTTCTTCAATACGAGCCATGGACCTGGGGGACCCCTCGGCAGAGCTGTTCTGGGCAACGGTGGGCGGGCTTAGTCTGTTCGACATTTTTTTTCTCCGAGGTGAATCTTCTTCTGTCTCGGTCGGGTAGTAGCACCGTGCCTTCTTGGTCAGATCTTCAGTAGAGTTGAAGAGTTTTTGGATGGAAATGTTCTTGGGCAAGAAACCGGACTGCGGGGAGAGGGAAAGGGGGGAGGGGGGAGGGATAATGTGGGCAAGACGGGCTCAAGGGGTTTATGTAGGTACCTCTCGATTTCATGGCATCAACCTTGAATATAGCTTCAAACCTTGCGGTATCAAAACTGATGCCTACCTTAGGTAGCTAAAAAAAGTTTCAAGCCTCATACACCAAAAGAGACTGATACTTTCAGTCTTAGGGATTAAATATTGTTATTATTACAGACCTTTGGCGTGCCACGTAACATGTTACATTTCAACAAACTACCAGATTTTCTCAACGGGCGAAAGCCCATCCTTTTTCTTTACTTCGATAGGTATTACGCCTCATATTTTGAGGCGCATTGTGAGGCCACATTTCAACCGATCAGTCATGTCAGAAGATAATTGATCCAAGAAACCAAGGCCCCCCATATTTGGATGATAGCTCTTGAATATATAATAGAATGAACTAGCTGAGAACGAACTTGTAGAATTCTATATGGATCAGCATCTGTAATACCACGGATTATGAATGATGAAATGGGGCTTATTCCCTGACTTGGTGATCTGCGGAATATCCTAAATGGGTAATCGTCCGGAGAAACCATTCAGGTGAGGATAACCGCGTTTCCTCCGAGGAGTGTACGGAGTTGGTCCGACGGACCGCCAAGATTTGTTCAGGATGACCTTAGAACATGGGGTTGGGTTAAGATTAATAATAAAACTGGAGTTCCGGGGATACTACAAAGATGCCATCACCCGCACCCCAGATAATTAGGTCATTACTCCCATTAAGCCAAACGGCGTTTTGTTGATTCAAGAATCCCAAGCCTGCTGACATGATTCGCAACTGCCTTTTCTACCATTGTTCTTGATTTCATCTGTTCTGCAATAATGTCTACCAAAGTTCAAACGGTGTTAGAGGAGCCGGGCCATTATGAACTTTCTCAGTGGTCTCACCGCCGGCAGGAGGCGGAAGCTAGCAACAACTCGACGCCCTCACAGCTACAACAACCTGAATCTGGTAGCGACCAAAACACTCGGCTGGACAAGAAAACCATCCTCAAGCTTATTAGTGCTAGCTTCTCCTTCATGGTAGCTGGTGTCAATGACGGCAGCGTTGGAGCCATCATTCCCTATTTAATTCGCGATTATCGTGTTAGCACTGCCCTCGTATCAAGCATGTAAGATGTTCCAATCCCACCCCCATGAAATGAGATCAATCCCAAAGAATTATATTTCACCACACCGAGACTGTCCGTTAACATGGAATGTTTGAACCAAGTTATGCTGCTCAGTTCGCTGGCTGGCTTTTCGCCGCAGTATCCAACACCCACTTGTGCCAGTACCTAGGCCTGGGCTCTATGCTCGCCCTTGGAGCCGCCTTTCAGATCATCAGCCATGCCCTGCGAGCATGGATGCCCCCATTTGGTCTCTTTGTCACTACCTTCTTTCTTGTATCCATTGGGCAGGCTTATAATGACTCCCACGCCAATACTTTCGCTGCTAGCATCAAGGGCGCTCACCGATGGCTGGCAATTATCCACGCCTCCTATATGGCTGGCTGTCTGATCGGACCGTTTGTTGCCACAGGTGTGGCAACCGCTGGGTCTAACTCGCAGTGGTATCTTTTCTACACATTTCCTACTGCCATTGGTTGTGTCAACTTAGCTCTGATTCTGTGGGCTTTTCGGGATTCCATGCGTGTCGAGCCTCAACTTAGGGCTGCTGATGATACTTCGGAGGCCCAAGAGACGACTACTGGACAAACCTCCAAAAACAAAGATGCCATCCGCCTGATCAAGGATATTCTTACTGGCCGCAACGTGTGGTTACTTGGCATGTTCTACTTTTTCTACATTGGATCTCAGATCACAATGAGCGGCTGGATGGTCGAGTACCTCGTCGATGTTCGGGACGGTAACCTTGCACAGATGGGGTTTGTGCCCGCCGGCTTCAATGTAAGTCTGTTCTAACTACTTTATAAATTTCCTTTACCTGTTAACCTATGATTCCGTCTGTTTTAGGGAGGTTGCCTACTTGGACGGCTGCTTCTCGCGGAGCCTACTTATCGTCTTGGAGAGCGCCGGATGGTCCTCATCTATTGTGTACTGGCAGTCGGGCTACAACTTGTTTTCTGGTTGTAAGTTAATGTTGAAGTCCTCAGAATAGGGCAAAGTATTTAACTTACACACATAGGGTACCCAACATCATCGCTGCTTCCGTTGCAGTGAGTTTCATTGGATTCTTCACGGGTCCTTTCTTTGCCACGGTAAGTTTTCAAATATTCGACACATTGACACCTATTTCTTTTTGAAGATAATGCTAAGATATTTCAGGGTATGAATATGGGCTCAAAGCTCTTCTCGGCCGAGTCTCACTCAACTGCGCTTGCTTTTATCTTCGTTTTCGCTCAGATGGGAGGCTCCCTCTTCCCCATTATAACTGGTGTCATTGCCTCGTCTGCGGGAGTCCAAGTCCTTCAGCCCATTCTGACTGCCCTCCTTGTGGCAATGACTATCGGTTGGCTCTTAGTTCCAAGACCCAAATCCCAGCCAAATCCAGAACTCCATCAAGAGTGATCTCTTGAGGATCACAAGAACCGAACTTGCCCTGTATCAACGGCTTCACGTTCTCTCTCTTGGAACTCACATGAAGAACTCCAGTAGTTTTCTTCCTCTAGGGTTGTATAAACCATTCTTCGGATCTAAGCAATTTCCTTTCTCAAAACTAGTCCGGTCTCTTCCTGCCTGTTACGCTTTTGATCGAAAAAGAAATAAAATCTCAACCTACACATCTCAAACTGCCCGATCACCTACTTCCTTCACTCTACATAGTATAAAGCGTGACCTACAGCTTTGGAAATAGCAAAGCCTCAAATTACCACATATCTTCTACCTATTTTAAATATTATGGAGGCTGATGTACGGGAAATTACATAGCTCAGGTAAAATTTAGCATCTAATCTCAGGGCACACAAAATCATGCCCTTCAGTAAGTAAGAGAAGCTACCAAAAGTACACAGATGTGGTGACTGTGACTATTTGTGATGTATATTGTGGTAGATAAGCTTAATCGACCGAATGATAGCAAAGGCATGTGTGTTTCAAGAAAAGATACTTAGTATCGCACTACTTTAACTCTCTTTAATCTTAGCTAAAGAGTGAAAGCTCGGAGGAATTCTCGGCAATGGCAAAAATGAACAAGCCATAGGGAGGTTAGTCGTAAAGAGATATCATGGTGGGCTGACAAAGTTCCCTGCCCGCCTCCGTTCTCGTCAAGTCAACATTCCCATGTAGATTGCGGGTTTACACGCCCACTTTACACTTTACCTAAGACGGATCAAGATCTCATGTATCATGTTTTCGATATCGATTGAGATCCCCTTGCAAATTCGATAACAGAAGCGAGTTCTATGTAGGTGGTATAGTAGTTCTGGTCCGCGAGCATCGCCCGTTTTTCGGTTGGTAAAAGTGCCCACCGAAGAGCAGAAGGCCGTGCTTGCCCCTCAATGCTTTCTTTATTTTCTATCTTCTTCTAAATGTTTCTTTAGACATTCCCGAGGTCATGATAGTTCACCGTTTGTAGTGCCGTAGTAGTGCAGGGGTCGCCTTGCAACTTGGCTCCGACTTATGGCACCATCTTCCCACCACATCAGCAATTGTATATGGGTAGGGACTCCGGCGAGCAACAACATTTGTTCCAAGAGCATAACAGCTCTGCTTCCATAGATATTGACATAAACGCTGAATTGCACATGATCCGCCTGCTTTCCAATAATCAGGCCGCAATGGTGATGACCCTCTCGGCGACTGACGAAACAGTCGGCCGAGTTGGTACTACATACAGCCCTGGCGATTTATATCAGGTAACATCCGTTTTGGGTTCTAGCTCTAAAAGCCTTTCCACACTATAGAAGAGGTATACACAGACTGTGGCTGTAATATGACTGCGGAATCGGACACCCTTCTTGCTTACCGACGCCAAACATGCCCCAATCTTAGTCTAAAGCTTTATTTTAAGATGTAGAGATGGCTTGGTATGTCTAATGTCAATGCGGTATGGTTTGATCTGGGCCCAAGTGTCCTCCTACCGAAGCTAGGACCCATTGCGGAAAGGGAAACCTTCAATCCTAGAAATTCCTGCCGTAGGATCTCATATTATGGAGCACAAGATCTGATATAAACTTAAATAACACATGGGAATAGCCAAGAGCGTCCAGGGCTGATCTGGGGCTGAAAATTGATACGGCATGTCTCAGTTGTCAGTGCTCAAACCATATCATGTTCCCCGGATAATTTGTACTCCAAGCAAGATCTAGAAAACATGAGTCATACAGGTGTTACAGACTACGAAAGGTCATTACTTTGAAGCTATTCCTCCAGTCTCTTGTTGTGATGCCAATTTCGTTTAGCATTCTGTCAGGCCCCATAGAGAGAGAGAGAGCATTCCAGTTCCTTTGGAGCTATGGCCGATATGCTAGGACGGTCTAGAATGTCGGGGGAATACCCTTAGAGTTAGTAGAGAAAGGAAATTCTGAATTGAAAATGCAAGTCCTGTGAGGCTTGCTGGCATGCCATTCAGTGAACAGATTTGGAGAATTGGATGTAGGTCGGCAGAGATCTACGGGTGGTAGTATAAAGACTATTTAGATAGAAGCATGCCATCAGGCCTAACGCAGGAAGTACGTGTCTGACCTCTTACGACACCGCAAAGTCGATCAAGATCACAAATTAGGACGCCTCAAAATGTGCTGGAATGTAAAGAGCGAGGCTTCCTGTCGATATGTCAACACGAGGTGCATTAGTTGGTGTGATGCGAACTTGGGGGTAGGGGACGGTAGGGGATCGGAACAGAGCCAATACGGCCAAGAGACATGGCCGCAGCCGGCAGGCAGGTGGATCTCCCCGAGGGAGCCCTCGAGCTAGAGAAGTCAAACGGTTGGGTGAAGCATCCGAACATGCCAATCCCAACCAGGTCGCTAAAGATTTCGATGTTTTCGGACATATTTGAGGTTTTCTTCAGTGGAGTAGGCTCGGATCTAGCGTCGCTTAGGCCCTAGAGCCCACTGAGCGGAGCGCTGTTAGGGGGCATGGGCTTGGGAGCTTTAGCGAATGAGGAAGGAAGGACAGACGAAGATTCATCGCGCAAAAACTTTACTCAAACAAACCTAGATTCGACTTCCCCCAGACGTCCAGCAAATGCCAAATCCGCATCTGTTGCGACTCGGCTGGCAATCGCTGTTGTAATCTCGCTAGCATCGCGCTGCGATCCTCCCGTCCACATGTGAAACAACGGGGGCTGCGGCAGGCATCATCCGTCGTCGCAGCTGTCGCGAAGATCCACGCGTGCAGGAGGGCAGTGCCAGACCACCCAGGCAGATGGTAGGCGAACCATTGCGATTCCCAAAATACTGGTCAATTGATTCCAGTCGGGCCACGTTGGGCCCTTCCCAGGCTCCTTTGGGGACCATGAGGGCGGTTTTGCAAACAGAAACGGGACGCGTCCAACTCGCGTCTAGGTCATCGCTTTAACCCGAGGCAACGACAAGGTAGCGAGCCTTCAGAGTCCGTTCAACAGCAGGTATGTTCATCTGTAAATTGGCCTACGGGTAAGCTGAACTGAGCTCTACTCAAGTGATGCTGTATGTCTAAAGAGAGCACCTAGTGGAGCTCCTCTGGCAGTGGCTTCCGCCTCACGTTAGAGCAAGGTGCAGTACAACTCACATCCGAAAACAGACGGTTGCCGTGTCATACACAGCCCTGGCTGGGGCCTGAGCCTGTCGGATGGCGCTACCAAGGACTGACACTTACCGCCTCTTCTTTACCCGCAAGTGAAAATGGGATTTGACTTTCGTGCTCATCCGACCTGGGCACTCGCATACGGCCTAGGATGAGAGGTCGGGCCCCCGAGAAGTGGGCACGAGGTAGAAGAAAGTCTGTGAGGTGGTTGTCTTGGCAGTCGATTTGGAAAACCCAACTCGACGAGACGTTGGCCAATCGCGGGAGCCAGCCCAAGCTACTACTCTGCCATCGCCAGGCCAGGTGAAGAAAAAGGTAGATTCAACTTAGGCTAACATAGCAACTGAGACGTTAACGGCATGATGTGAAAGTATACTGGAGGGGGCATGCCAGAGCACACACCCCTCGATCGTGCCGTCCAAACTTGGTTGGGACTAGTTATCAGAGTCTGCCCGACTGCTTCTTTTCCTACACGCTCCTAAGAGACTATCAGACAGTTACCATATATAATATGCCTGGGTTGTCGTCGGCTTCCACTAGTGCCGCTTTTTCCTCTCTCGACTAATGTCGCCAACCTACGTGCTGTGCGGATCGTGTCATCGTGGTTGAAGAAAACAGCCAAGATGGTGCGAACCAGTTTGTTCCTGGCATCCTTTGCCGCACATGCGTCATCCTTCGTTTCAGCAGACATTGCCCCAAGGGACTCATATCCCAAAGACGCCATTTGCGTTGGCAACAACTGGACGCCTGTGCTCGTCAGCATCACCCCCGACAGCTGTGGAGGGAAGAGCTGTAAAGCCGCAGAATTGTGTATCGCCGAAAGCTGCGTTCCTCTGAAGCTCGGAGCCAACCACGATCAATGCGGAGCCAGCAAGACGGCCTGCGGGCCTGGGCAATGGTGTAACAACGGGAACTGTGACCCGATCGAAATCATCGCCAACCCCTTGACCTGCGGCAAAGGTGGAAAGTGTAAAGCCGGAGAGCTTTGTATCAACGGTGCCTGCCTTCCCATCAACTACGGCGACGACGCGAACTGCTGCGGATCCGATAAGAAACAATGTTCCCCTGGACATGTGTGTCTCAATGACGCGTGTACCCCCATCACCATCGGCTCGAGCGTTAGATCCTGTTCTAAGAACGAGGAATGTCCCTACAGCAACAAGTGTGACAAGAACGTGTGTCAGCCCGTTATCATTGGCACCGACCCTCTGTACTGCGGTCCCGAGGGAAAGGCATGTGAGGCCGGTAGCGTTTGCGTGTCTGGCAGCTGCCTTGACTTGAATATCGCAGACGCCAAGGGCAAGACGTGCGACCCTGGGTCTGTGAGCCTCGACCAAAAATGCATCGCCATCCATATCAGCACCGACGGCTCTGCCTGCGGCACTTCTGGCAAGGCTTGTGACGCCGGCAAGGTCTGTGTCTCTGGAGTGTGCATTGGTGGCTTTGGAGATGCCTCCGCTGCCGTTCTGAGCTCATGCGAGGGCTCTTCCGATCACGGTGGTAGTGGAAACAATCAAGGTGCTCCTAGCTCTGAAGGTGCGCCCAGCCCTCAGAGCGATGGATGGCCATCAGACAGCAATACTAGCCCTTACACCAACTATGACAACCGCCGTATGACGGTCGGATCCTGGGCCCCAGACGCTCCAGCACCCCGTCCAGGTGACGGTACCTGTTACTGGCCAACAGAAGGTTACTGCCGCAATGGCGAGGTCTATATGGATGGCTTCTGCGTGGATATCATTGGTGATGTGAACAACTGCTCCGGTCCAGGCCATGCCTGCCCAGCAAACAACCTTTGCTGCAGTGGCAATTGCTATGTCGTTGAGGTTTTCCAGACACCT